TGTTATTCTTAGCTGCCTCTGCTTGTTGATCTCGACTCAGTCATACACTGACCCTCGAGGCGGTGGCCCATCAATGTAGGTACTAGGTGGGCTGAATGAAGACGACGGGGTGCTTGGCGCGTCAAGGAACTTACTAGTCAGCAGACCGTCAGATTCTTCGCCATGCGTTAAATTCACTTTACCGAGGGGGCTTGGGGAAGGAGGGGCACCGGACTTGGAAAGGTGCGCTGCTTGGCGTGGATCTAATGACCTTCTAGAAGACCATCGAACGCTTGGGAGTGGTGTGGGTGGCTGCGATGGGCCATGGCAAAGCCAATCAGATCCCTGTGTCAATCCCTCTTGCAACTGGAAGCAGCCTGGAGGTTCAGGTTTCTTGGGTGACACCAACCACACTGAATGGGTAAATCCTCCGGAAACGCAATGATAACGTTTGGAGGGAGCCTCTGGGCGCAAGCCACCCCATCTGTATAACCCTCCCATCCAGATGCGGCGCCAAGCAGTTACAGAAGGCTACTCATGTTACTCGTTCCATCTCTCCCCCCTCGAGGGAGCGGGACGGGCTGTCAGAAGGTCTACACGAAGTGACCGTGCATGCGACCCATGGGACCAATGGACAAACTCGATAAGATAAAACGCCCCAGGAAGTAAGTTCCTCGCTCAGACCCCTTTCAAGAACAAGGAACGAAGGAAATGGTTTCCACTAAGGTTTCTTCTTCAGCAACGTTCCTGCGCCCGAGAATACTCAGGGATAGTCGAGAAAGTCCGAACAAAGAATGATTACGCAGGGCAACTTTGGTTCCTGCGCAAGCCATCGGGCCCTCTTCGCGGGTCCATCAGAACCTAGCAGCCCACTCTTGCAGCCGCAGATCATGCTAGCTAGCTATGCGCCCTTCAGGCCGTCCCTTCAGCTGGTACGGGAGGATCTCACACAATGAATGGGGAGAAGGGGGTGGATCGATTGGAAAGAGGACTTTGCAAAGTGGATCAGCCATAAGTGGAGGCCGGCGATCTGTGGGTTGTTGCGATCTCGTCCAGTCCAACCCCCGGAGATACGTAGGGGGCCTATCTGTGGAGGTAATTGTGTTTTTGATATTGTCGCAGCCACACGTATCGGCTGTGCTGCACGTCTCATGCCAATCACTGGCTGTTGACAATTAGTGCACATTGTTGGTACGACATGACAGCCCAATGGCGGCTAGAGCGTCAATTCCCCGATTGCACAAAAACGGAATTGATGCAGAGATGGTATGCTATATAGAAGCAATAGTATGACAACCTCTCGGAATTTGGTGATCGCTCCACCCCACCGCCATAGTGGGTGGCTGTCACACGTGACCGAAAAGGATCCAACTGTCAGGATAGCCCATACCCGAAGACGGGGATAATCAGAATGCCGGAAATAAACAGTCGCGCCGTAGTCCCAGCCGAGCCAGCCAAGCTAAGCTGCAATGCATAATACTGCATGCAGAACCCCTGTCAGAATGGCCACTAGCAGACTAACAGCATGCAGGGAACAACTTACGTAGCTCCGATACAGAACTAGAACGTAAGGAGTTATGTTACCCCATGATCGTTTGGTTACGGCTCTATCTGTATTTTCCCTCCCCCAGTCATGTCAATGCTCTACATAGCACAATTACGTCGCACCAAAATAGCGCAGGTACAATCCTGCCTGGTTCAATTAGTATGGAGAGTTACCCACCGCGACTCCACTGGCACTGGAGCCAATCCTCCTGCCGCGGCGTCGCCCGTGCCGGCCTAGCTGGACGTAGCCCACATTCTAGGACGTATTTGGTAATACCCCACCAGCGGCCTCACGGACACGATCCCGCCAGCTCAAGCTACCCAAATGGGCTAGTGACTTTCAATACATGACGTTAGCTTTGCTCAGTGATCTGCTGGAGCCAGTCCTAGTCCGCCGGCTACCTTAGCCCAGCCAATGGGTAAACCAATAGCAATCGCGTGGCGTAATTTTGTATCCTTGGTCCCCGATGCTGCTCATGCTCTTACCGGTTAGTGTAATTTTGGGGGGTTCTCTGATCGGATGTCGGGCAACTGAGCCCACGGCCAAACCTAATTTCGAGAGGACGATGGATGCGATCGCTGAGAAGATAATGTGACTGGGATGTACACACCATGTCTTCCCTTTCTATTCATGTTGACTGATAGACATGTTTCCAATAAGAAAGAAATATCGCAACCTGCACACGAAATGACCTGCGCCCCTCTCTCTGTCTGAGTTGGTCTTGGCCTTCACTAAACATGGACCTGCTCGCACCCGAACCAACATGGCAAACCGCCTTCCACTGGTTCTACACCTGACGGATGTCTCTCACGTAGCATCTCTCAGCGGCATCCCTCGGACCGGTATGTGGCCCAATAGCCATCCTGAACGCTGCCTAGTACTATGTCTCCGACCTATGTCCCCGAGGCCCTAACGTTGGCTGGCTATTTTTTCCTCGGAATAAGCAAGAATACTAGGCACGACGATCGACTGACTCAATTGTGGGGTATAGGCCAAGCAATAGTATGTCCTTGATTTGCACTAAGTGCCTACCTTTTCCAGATACCTACATACGTACTCGAACACCTCGCCCGGGGGTCCAGGGGGGAAGAGGCAAGCTCTGCCTCGGCGATGTGCGGATGCGGAGAAAGCAGAGCCTAGGTGGACGTCCCGAAAGCTGGAGGGGAAACAGGTCGATGCGGGTGGTGACGATGCTGATGGATGTCGATTTCTGGGGATGAAGGTCAGAAACCTCCTTGCTGTCGGCTCGTCCGAACTCACATTCAGCCTACTGATATTCTTCTACAAATCTTGATGGATGGATATTAATGGGGGCTTACTATAGGGATGTCTGGTTGGTCAATGGTGTAGATATCATGCAGACATTCATAGTTCCAGACTGTTCGGACGGGGAGGCCCAAGATCCGTGGAGTTTACCATGGAGTTAAGCTCAGATAGTTTCTGCTGTCCGACTCTCATCTTGTTTTATGCGAGTCGGCAATCTTAATGATCGCTTTGATGGCTTGTCATTTGTGCTTTCTTTCCATTTTGGATTATAATATCTCTTTTATTACTTCATTCACTTGCCTCTTTAGACTTTTTTTCCCTTCCCTTTTTTTTCTTTCTCTGTTTTTCTTTTGCCCCTTCTTCCTACTCGTATTTCTATATCTTCTTGAGAATCGGACAAACCTGTCTCTACCACAATAGATGACAGGTCCATCATTATCTAGACCTTTACTCGAGGTGGGCACACCTGGGGCCGGGTATTGCTCCTTGAGCATTGGGCCAAATTCGACCAGTGTCACTGCCTACTACTTTAGTGGCTATCCCCGGATAGATAGTAGATCGTACTAATGACCTGATGGGCAAAAGGTGGGACGAATGCCCGAACGTTAGACTGTCAGTCTCGTCGTTAATTATTTTTTAATTTTAAAATTGGCATTTTAATTGGGTTCCCACTCGCCGAAATTCAGATTTAATTAATATTTTATTAGGACGTATGATTTGATCCACGATCCAAATTCACTTATGGGCCCAGTGTGTTCTCCATGTAATGAAAATACCGACCCTACCCTTGCTATTTTCTCCCCTTAACGACCCCCCTCGCTATGACTGGCAGGCTTGTTCAGCAATCCAAGCTCAATAATCAGAGACATGATAAGAGTTGTAAACCCAATGCGTGCCCGGGTAGATGCATGTCCGCATTTAGTAACCTCCCTGACTCAGGATCTGAACAGCCTCAAGCCCGCGATTTGCCCCCTCCTTCTCCCTCCTCCTCCTCCCCCTCCCTTCCCCTCTCACTCACCCCCATCTGGGCTTCTGGAAGCGAGAAGGAACCTAGATTTGGCACAAAGAGAAATCTAGAAGCAGTAGCCGTAGGAGAATAAACAGGGGAAAGACGTGTGAATGGGAGGATCCGAAAATAAACGTATGGGTGCCCCAGGAGAAAGGGAGTGGTAGAACAAGCGAAGTGATGCTAAAATAAAATGGAAATCAAATCACATCAATGGGCGAATGAATACCAAAGGGAACGCATCCATGTCCGACTCCGGTCCCAGAATAGTGGAACAAAGAGGATGGCATCCAGCAGCCCCGTGCCAACATCGAAGGAACCACCGCCGCCGGCCAGCAGAGGCCACCGTCAGGGTTTCAGCCGCTGGTAGATCCCACGGTTGTCATGCCCATCTAGAACTTCGCGCTGCAATATCCATCCCGCCTTAAACTGCTTGATATCCGCCCCAAATCCGCATCGGTTTCCTTGTCCTTCCTTTCTCCCATTCACTCCAAAACAACCAGTGTTAACACTTTGAACTACTCACTTGTTGTGCCGCTCTGGTTTGCTGTGATTCCTCCTCCACTTTTACTTTCACTTTCACTTCCACTTTCTTCGAGCTCCACCTCCACTTCCACCTCCACTTCCACCTCCCCTCCTCTTCTACCTGTTACCCATTCTACTTCTCCAGATCCTCGTCTGTAGCTTTTTCTTCCTGTTCCCCGCCCTTTCAACCGACTTCTCCTGTTCTGACCTTCATTGTCACCCTTTGACGGCTGCTTCCGCCGTTGCTTCGTCTCCCCTGTTCATTTCAATTGCTCCATTGGCTGCCGCCTGTCTTTGCCCGCCTCTCGCTTGCTTTGCTGCCCCCTTCTTCCATTCCAGTTCCCCTCTTCATTTCCACCCGGGTTGTGGGAAATCCCTGTTGGATTGTAACCCTGCCGAGAGCCCTCAAATGCATATCCTCCCTGTGGTGTACGACTCTTCAGTAGCTCTTTGTGCTCTTCTGAGCTCCTTGTTCGCCTAGTTGTGCCCGACCCACAACTGGCTGTCGCATTCTTTGACCTACTACCTACACACCTCTTCGTTTCCCGGAAGAAGAGACCTCTCCCCTCCTCTTTCTTTGCTACGCTACCTTTCACTACCTTTTCCTACCTCTTTCTTTGATCTCCGACGCCTTTACATCCTTTATTTGCTCGTCTTTGATCTCTCCCGTCTTGCAAGATGGCTACTGCTGCTACGGCGAGGTTCATTCGCGGTCCGCCACCTTCCCCGCCTCAGTCAACTGATGGAGATCCCGCCTCCGATGCTCATCGGAACTCCTGTGGCATCCTCCAGCCAGTCTATGGCCACCATGACGCCTATGCAGCCTCTGCGTTACATGGAACCCATGCACCTGGCGAGGTGACACATGAACACAGATTACACTCCCAGGCAAGCACTCAGCACTGCATGTAACCCCACCCGCTCGAGACTAATCGTGCTCTAGGACTACACTTCTCCCCCATCGCAGTATGTCTCTTCCAGTGACTATCCTCGAGCCCTGTCAATGCAGAACCCGGTAGGTCTATCTTGTTATCACAGGTTAGCAAGAACGGACAGTTGACTGATTGCAACTCAGATGGCAGCCAATGGCCTCCAGGTTAACACGCCACCCCCAGCTGCAGACGAGGGCCTGGCACCAGACTCGGTGTCACGCTGGAGTTCTCCTCCAACTCATAAGCAAGTGACACGGGCAAGGGTAGCCAGAACTCCTAGAGTGCGTCGCAGGAATAGGACCAGGAAGGAAACCAAAGCCCATCTCAATGGCCCTTTGAGCGAGGTCACAAAGCATCTCACCAATGTCCCGATTCGAAACATGGAACTTGAAGTGAATCGATCGATCGAAAAGCGACATGAGGAAGTGGTCAAGAAGCACGGAAAGGTTGCCAGACCGATGAACTCATTCATGCTCTATCGAGCGGCATACGCGGAACGGATCAAGAAGATGCTCGGACAGAACAACCATCAAGTGGTGTCTGAAGTAGCGGGTGACAGCTGGCGGCTGGAATCCCGGGAAATCCGTGAGAAATACGAACTTATGGCCAGTATCGAGAAGAGTAACCACCTGAAAGCGCATCCTGGGTACAAATTCTCACCGTCGAAAGACAAGAAGAAACGACCCGGGAGCGAAGATGAACGACCACTAGCCAACACGCCTGGCTCCAGCCCAGCTGTGTTCCAAAACCGTGCCATGAGCGCTTCAGAAGTCGGCAGTAGCGGGTGGGACAGCCGCGAAATAACACCTTTCGACTTTGCCGATCACGGTCTCTTGCCTTCAGATGGCTATCTCCCTTCGTCCTCCTGGCATGCGACCAACCATGGGCGATCGCACTCTGGCATGCTACCTTCCTCTGAGCCGTCGCATTACCTGCAACAGACGATCCATGCGGCCCTCATGCCACACGTGGAAGACGTCCGGTTCAAGAAAAATGGCTTACATGGAATCCAATACGCCACATCATCTACACCGCTGGCCGCCCTTCCTGGTGCTGCACATCATGATCTTCTCCAACCGTCCACCTCGATGCCGAGCGATGGACAGCTGGATCCCCAACTGTTGACTTTGCAGACCGAGCTTCAAAGCCCAAGTCAGCTGTTTGGCGGTTCGCACTACATGTGGCAAGAGTCGCCGATCCACCTCTACCCCCCTACCACATCGTCACTAGGCCCCAATTCAGTTTCTTATTCCGCGGGAGCCTATCATCCGGGTTTGCACTCTCTGGAAACTGATCCAGCCCTTGATGGTCCCACTGGCGAGTTTGACACCTGGATCAACCAGGGCACAGCGTACTAAGGATCATTTGAAATCCGTGACGACGGTGATGAAAGCCCTTCTATCAGTGAATCTTTTATTTAATACTATCTCTTGAGGTGGACATCTGTTTATTTGCAATTTCTCAGGACGGAGTTTCAAAGGCATGGAGATTTTACTCTAAAAGGCGGCCTGGCGCTGTTTATCATTTACCCTGGTCTTTAACACACACCACTTTGTCTGTTGACTGGGATCTATCTTTCGGTTCTTTGGGTTATGGCATGATACGGACGGTTATGGTATGGATATGGCCTTGTGTTTCCTGGGTGGCAGTTCTGTTGAAACTATTGTGATTCCCTCATGGTAGTTACGGGTTTGATGCATTAGATCGTTTGGACATTGCATGATAACAGGAGGATACCATCACAGTTCAATTGATTGTTTTATGTGTTCAAACTTGATAGTGGTGTATTTAGTGAGCTGGATTTCACAACCGAATTAATTCCACACAGATAATTTACATTGTGTTACTACTACCATGATAGCCACCTGTGTTATAATATACCAGTGAATACCCACCAAGTCTTCCCCACCATTCCACTCAGAAGCTGGCAAGTAACACAAAGAACAGATTAAATTCCCTTTTCTTCTGCAACATACTTGTCCGTCAGGCCCCCACCCAACCCCAACTTTATCCTTCTACCCCTTCACCAAGAATAACCCATCCCACAGCCCCACCCTCCACCCTCAGCTGTATCATATGCATGATACATCGCGCTCAATCCAATTACGTCACCGTATATCTCATCTGTTTGATACCTCATTTTCTACAGTACTTATCAATTATCCACCCAGATTATACCGTACCTTTGTCTACAAGATTCTGATATACCTTTAACTGAGATCTTCCCCTATTCCAAAGATTGAAAAAAAATGCCCATGGTCGTTCCGAAAGTATACCTGTTTTTGATTTGCTTTCGTACGGTTACTATCCTATTCATTAGTCGGGCTAGATACATACATACATTGAACAAACCTACTATATGCTTACATGATGAATATTCTTATAGAGTTTGTGGCTGCATGAGAAAGTAAATCTGCTGGGTGGTCGGGTTAGGGCGGGGTCGTGGGGATATTCACTTGTGTTTGTGATATTTTGGGGTGGTTTGGTTCGGTGGTTGGGCTGAGGTTGTAGGTGCTTTCATCAATATATCATGGGACGAGATGATATAACAGCGGGGGCTGGGGTGGGTTTTGTTAGTAGGAAGTGAAGGAAAGTTGAGGTTAAATGTGATAGGAATGACTATGGATTAGGAAAAGGGTGCAGGATATGTGAGATTTGATAGGGGACTGATCTCTGGTAAATTAGAGAGTGTATATTATTTGTAAGTGGATATGCTTGGGATAGAATGGGATCTAGGCAGCTGTGTTGTATGGGCGGGATGGCATGTATGCGGGGAGGTACATTAGGAGTACCTGATTTCTGTAGAAGAATGTGGGAGTCTCCGATGTAGCAATGGATGTGGTGATGAGTGTAAATATGAGTTTGATGGATGGTATGTATAGGTGGTGGTGTGGTTGGATCAAGTGTTCATCAAGTATACTTGTATTGGTATCTAAGGGACTTGCCAATGATACTTTTCGTCGGCTGTAGATATTACGCAATGAGAGAATAGGCGCGAGCAATGAGTGTATTTATTTATCATATCATGCGACTAGCGAGCAAGTATCAAGCGTAGTAAAGAGCAAATCAAACCATGAAGCCAAATTGGAGTCAATCTAGGCATATAACGGCAAAGCAAATTGAAGGAAAGTGTTAGCCACAATAGCAAAGGTAGGGCCGTCAGGACAGTATCTTCCTGATCTCCTCCTCAAATCTTTTCCTCCTGTTCGGGACGGCACCCGCAGTCATCGTTCGGCAAAGGAGGTGGCAGGGCATTCTCCTCCTTAAGTTTCTCTCTCAGATCATCCACCAAAGAATCAGGAGAGCGATTCATTACACCTGTATTATCCCAGATCTTCTGGAAGCCTTCTTCCAACTTGCCAATCTCAACTGTTCCACATCCCACGACTTGGATGCGAATGTGCTCCAACATCTCAGACCATAGTCGATCGCAATGCTCATGATAGCCCTTGTCTCGGCATCGCAAGAGAATGAGGTTTTCGACCGCCTTCGTGACAGTTAGGACCTTGAATGGGTACTTCTCCGGATTGAAAGTCTCGTCCCCATTTCCTTTGGGGTGGTTAAATCGGCCGCAGTCTCCCATAATATCGGGCAGTCGCTTATCGTCTGTCGACATGTAGTATTCGTCGTGATGCGGTGGAGTGCCCAAGGGAATGGCCGGGAATCCTAAGAGAATATCCGATTCCCGGTAAAGCTCCAAGACAATATATGGATGGTAGTACTTCATATTTAGATCTAAAGGAAGGTAAAGATGTCTCGCAGGCTTCATCGTCCTTTCCCTGGGGTCTCCAGATTGGTGGTAATAATGTTCGCAGTGTTCACCCTTGCATTCGTTGAGTAAGGGCTCTGTCATAAGAGCTTGGTACGCGCTATCAATCATCTTATCAGGGATAATGAAGGATACGACGGGGAGCTTGTTCTGATTAGTGACAGTGGCCTCGTTAATCTAGGATGCGACTTACATTCAAATGATCCATAAATCCGTACGCGGATTCCAAGAGCCTACCCCATAGGACATTAGGAACCTGGGCATTATCCAAGATGCGCGCAATAGAGGCGCACAGTTCTCGGCCGCCGAAACTCATTTTGAAGCTGATAATCCTGGGTCTATCGAGAGATGTTGCTGCAGGTCTTTGAATGGGGAAGAATTGGAAAGTGTTCCTACTCCTGATATCCTTGGGCTATGGCATGGTTTTATATTGAGCCATGTCTTGCCAAGCAAGCAAAGAGCGTTGCTGGGTATTGTTAAGAAGTAGTTGATGAATTCCTCCTCACGTCAATTGCCGGGCTGTATCTCCTACTGAGTGGTTAAATCCAGAGCTCACACGACTCACCTGAGGGAATCGGCCAAGGAATTCCGATAACGAGTCTAAAATGGCCAGTCATCTGGCTTTTTTGTAAATAGGTTTCTCTAGTTTCGCTTTGTCACTTTCAGTTACTACTCTTTGTTATGTCGGGAGAACCGTCAAGTAAATGAACAATATCACCTATCTCGACATCATCACCCTAGCCTAGCGTATTACATATTGCTCAACGTAGCCACCATGTCATGGCATGTTGAAAAAAGTAACATCAATCAATGTTGCGCTGAGTTCCCCCAATTGACGCTGCATGATTAGCCCCGGTGGGAAACGCCGGCACTGCTGCATTGGCTTATTCGGCAAATACAAGCCGATGCTATGCCTATTCGAGTCGTGGCGTAGTCTGGTCCATATTAGCCGGTGTTTTCATAAAAAATTGCTGTCGTCTCTATAGCTAGCTTGTCGGACGAAGCCTTGCGTTAAATGCGTATCTCAAGGATACTGTAGGATGTGATGAAACTCGCAGACATTCACTGGCCTACAACACAGCTGGGTTGGAGACGCATGGTAGAATCAGCTTCGGACATGACGTCTGCTTTCCTGGAATCAGCCATGACTCCAGAGGAACATAACGTCAGTGCATCTAGCAGTTGGCTGAAGTCTAGTTTGGGTTGGCCATCGCACCTCAACAGCAGGCTTGGCAGGCACGCGATCCGTACGTCACGTGTAGATCTTCGATCGGGCGGCGGCCAAGCGATCCGCAACGCTTCCCTGGCAAGACTTATCTTCGACCTTAGTTGAACCCTGAATTCCAGTTTGATACCAATCGAATTACATCTTATCGATCTAGCGCACCGGTCGTGTCTGGCTAATCTTTACCACATCCACCACAGTCAGAGAACGCGTCAAGGCTCATCTACAGCCACGGCGGATAGTCACCTCTATCCGTCATGTACGGCGAACATGGAAACAAACTCGTACGTACTTTCCACGCTATACTCCATGAATACCCCTTGCTAACAAAACCCACAAACAGGTCCAACATGCCAAACGCACTCAAGCCCTTACCCATCTCCCTCCCTACCAAACCGAACTAGTCCGTGCTGTAGCTCGCGAGGTACGCGACCTCGACCGTGACGTCGCACACCTCCTCAGCCCATTCGAAGGCAGCTTCAACCCCTCACAAGAACCAGCTATTGCATGTGCCCTCCTGGTCGACCACCTCTGCATGCGTCGCAATAAACGATGTCTCCTCGCGTATCACCGCGTTCGCGCTGAGAAGCTCGAGGAGCTGTGTTGGACGGGTGTGGATTTGCTCGAACAGCAGCTGCCGACAGCAGAGGAAGGGGCCGGAGGCACATCAGGCCAGGGGACGGGGGGACATGCAGCGATGGGCTCTGCCAGTGGGAACCACAGTTCGTTGAGTCCCGAGGAGGAAGAGTATTTCCGCCAGTATAGTGATCTGCTCGCGGCGTACAAGGGGCAGTGGACGGATATTGATCTTACGGGGAGCTTGGAACCCCCGAAGGATCTATTCATAGACGTGAGGGTCTTGAAAGATGCGGGGGAAATTCAGACCGAGTATGGGTATGTGAGGCATTTATGGCGCCCCTCGCGCTTGTTGATGATCGGCGGGCCGGAATGCTGACATTGCACAGGGTGATCAATTTGACGAAGAACAGTCAACTTTACGTACGGCAAGGGGACGTTGAACGACTCATTGCCCAAGGGTTCCTGGAGCGTCTTGGTTGAATGAGGGGGGAGAGTTTCAGATCATGCAAGTTATGTCTTATGATACCCATTGATTATTGATGCCTGAGAATGAGTACGGTACAGGACGGTCTAGCTACCATGGGTAAACTTCGTAGCAGTCTCCTGATTTATTATTCCACCATCCCTCGTAACTCCGGCAGTTGGCTGCATGCGTGTTTACTTACTAGTGGGCGCTATAACTGGAAAATTATCAAATTGCGTAGAGTAATTGGGCCATCACCAATCAATTTCGCAGCTGCAGCACCGTTGACGGCGGCGCAGTGCTTACCTAATGAGTGTGAAAGGTGGGAAGCGTCTGGGCCTATCATCGGCGGCGTGCGCCCAAGCTCCTTCGTCCTCGCCTGCAGCCAATTGTGACACTTTGACTTACGACATTTCCCCTCCCCGAGGCCCCCAAAAGACCGAACTAAACCAGGGTGAATGTCTGTCGGCCAGCTAGCGACCGTCCCCAGGCCTCTAAGGTCCGGTTGAGATCGGTCCCGTCAGAATGGTGGGCCGGTGACAGTCGTGCCTTGCCCGTGATAAGGCTTTTTTAGTCACTTCCGCCCGCCAGCTCCGATAACGACGTGGAAAGTGGAAGTCCATGCCTGGGCCTCATTGAGTCCTTCCGGACCCTTCTGGCCTCCATCGTCGGCTTTCCCTCCCTCTCCTCCTTGCTGGCGTCGCACTCTATCCTTTCCCCCTCACCCCGTCCTCCAATAGCGAAGCAATGCCAACGGGCTGTCTATCTATCAAATTCTTGCGTCATTTGATATCATCTCCCCTCCTTCTCACACTTTTCTTGTCGCCAAACGATCACAAGCCTTGCAGCCTGCGGGCTTGATCTCCTCCTCGGTAGTGTTTTGCGTCCGACACGCGCAGACTGTTTGCGTGAGGCGATCCCTCGCGACAGTCTACCTTCCGTTTGCGGTTCACGATGGGTGTCCTTCGCTCCCGAGACAGCGGCGACTTCCGCATATCCGGGTTGTCCCCTCATCGCTCTCCTCTGGAGGATGATGTAGACCCCGAGGGGACGGAAATTCCGGTCGAGCATGCTAACAATGGCAGTCCGCCGCGATCATCGGGCTTGGAGTCAATGGTGTCTGGCGGCACCAGCTTTCGAACTCCAAGCCGGTCTTTTTTCCACCGGTCATTCCATAGTCCAGCGGGTACGGAGCTACGGGGGTTTTCCCTTCCTCTTTCTTTTCCTCCCTCGAAGCCTTTCCAATTGCTCGGTGATTCATCCTGACTCTGCAATCTAGATCCGGCGCATTATTCCTCTCACGGTCTTAGGGAGCAAACAGCCGAGCTGGCTTCCTTCGCCTTGTCTCATGAATCGAGTGCCCTTCCTCCGTCTTTAGATATCTTTCAGCCCTCTCAGAGTCCAAACCGCCCGTCGTCTCCAGCTCTGAGTTTCGCAGCACCAAGGAGAACAAACCTGGAGCCCGGTCCTTCCTCGATTGTCACCACCGGTTCGTCGGTCCTGACACAGCTGATCCGTAGCCCCGATGGCCCCGAAATCGACCAAGACCACCCAGACAGAACTGCCAGTTGGGATGAGTTGAGCGAGAGTGAAGTATCCGAAGATCATCCTCTGATAGCTGCAGCCGGAGGGGCGCCTACTACCGAACAGGCATCACTGTTGCCTAAGACGACACATGCGGGACCCTTCCAGGGTTATGGAGCGATTGGTGACATTGAAAACCAGGGCCGTGCAGGGAAAGGTGAGATGGACGCGGTTCCTAGAGCTCTCCATCAACTTAAGATGGGTGTCCGGGTGCTAGCAAATCCTAAGTCGTGGGACGGACAGACGGTATGGAGAGAAGGGATTGTCTATCCGCTTAGCCTCCTGCCGTCGGTATTTTTGGGCCTTCTGCTCAACATCCTCGACGCCCTTTCGTACGGGATGATTCTTTTCCCACTAAGTGAGCCGGTCTTTTCTGACCTCGGCTCTGACGGTATCTCTATGTTCTACGTCAGCACGATAATTTCACAGCTGGTCTTCTCATGTGGAGGCTCCATCTTCAAGGGAGGGATCGGAAGTGAAATGATCGAGGTTGTCCCATTCTTCCACCAGATGGCCTTCACAATTCTAAACCGGGTTGGCCAGGACAACCCGCAAGCTGTCCTGGCAACGACGATCCTGTCCTTCTCGGTCAGTTCCATTCTCACCGGTTTGGTGTTCTTCTTGATGGGAACTTGTAAACTTGGTGCGCTAATCGGGTTCTTCCCCCGGCACATTCTAATTGGATGCATCGGTGGTGTGGGCTTCTTTTTGCTCCTTACGGGTGTTGAAGTTTCCGCTCGACTACCGGGCTCTTTCGAGTTCACTTTGAAAACGCTGGAAAAGCTCATGCAGCTGGACTCAATCTTCCTATGGACGATACCTTTGTTGCTTGCAATTGGCCTTCTTGTTCTGAAGCGTTTCTTGCGTTCCAACTTCTTGGTTGGTGGATATTTCATCGTGGTGGCAGTTGTATTCTATATTGTAAAACTCAGTGCCGGCGTATCTATGAGTTCTTTGCGCGGCAGGGGATGGGTCTTCGATGCTCCTTCTTCATCAAACCCATGGTACCACTTCTATACCCTCTATGGTGAGTGATAAATGCGCACTTTTGCGGGCATGCCACACACTGACCGTCCCAGACTTCTCCGCTGTCGATTGGTCTGCATTCCTTGATACCATCCCCGCAATGTTTGCACTCACCTTCTTTGGAGTGCTTCACGTTCCGATCAATGTCCCAGCACTTGGCATTTCAACCGGTGAAGACAATCTCAATGTTGACCGTGAACTTATTGCTCACGGTGTCACCAATGCGCTGTCTGGCTTTGCTGGGAGTATCCAGGTAGCTATATTCGAGCCTCAACTGAGAGCCAAAGTGCTGACATGTATCAGAACTACCTTGTATACACGAACAGCCTTCTGTTCATTGATAGTGGTGGTAACTCTCGATTGGCAGGGGTCATGCTTGCAGCTGCTACTGCAGGAATTCTTGTTGTTGGCCCAGTTATCGTCGGATTTATCCCAGTCATGGTTGTTGGGGCACTCATATTCCTGCTGGGTATCGAGCTGATGCAAGAGGCTTTGGTTGACACATGGGGCAAATTGCACCGGCATGAGTATCTGACGGTAGGCCTGACACTTATCTTGCTAATATTTCTTTCAGCTGACCTTGCAGGTTGTCATCATTGTCGCGACTATGGGTGCTTGGGACTTTGTCGTTGGTATCTTCGTCGGCATCATCCTCGCCTGCCTGAGCTTCGTGGTTCAGACTTCACGCAAATCCGCCATTCGCGCCACGTTCTCGGGTAAAATCACAGGCTCAACAGTCAGGCGCCCGCCTATCCAGCAACGGTTCCTGAAGGAAGCAGGACACCAGACGCTCATCATCAAGCTTGGTGGATACCTGTTCTTCGGGACCATCGTGAGCGTGGAGAATACCATGCGGGGCCTTATCGAGGAGGAAGCGTTCAATCAACGCCCTATCAGATTCCTGATTCTGGACTTCTCCCGTGTTTATGGCATCGACTTCTCTGCAGCAGAAGCGTTCACTCGCATTAACCGTATTCTCAGGAAACGCAATGTACAGATGACGATCTCAGGCCTCGACGTGGAAGGAGATGTCGGAAGAAGCCTCCAGAACGTGGGACTTTTTGAGTCTGCGAATGACGTTGAGATATTTGAAGATCTGAATTCAGCGCTTGAGTTCTGTGAGAATGACTACCTGAAGGTCTTCTACAGCCACAGGGAAGCCTTGTTGAATGGAAAGAACAAATCGACGGCTTTTCTTGAAGTCCCTGCGGCTCAAGGTCAGTCTCATCTTGGCGACGCGGTGGTGAGTTCGCCTCGTCAGCGATACTTGCAGCAAGCCGCTAGAACGACTCTTCACGAGAACGAAATTGCGGTTGTTCAGCCGGCAGCATGGTCCGCAATGCGACAGCCCCTTCCGCTTCTCCTACAGACATTTCAGGGCTTGACGTCACGCAATGAAGATTTCTGGTTCAAGGCTTGTACGTACTTCGTCCGCGAGAGCTATGCGGCCGGCACCGTGCTATTCCACGAAGGCGACATCCCCAAGGGCTTCTACCTGCTGGAGTCGGGAATGCTACGCGCAGAGTATGAGCTGCCCCAGGGGCGCTATTTCGAAATCATCGTAGCCGGGAGGCCTTGCGGCGAGTTGCCATTTTTCAGCGACACGCGACGCACAGCGACAGTCAAGGCCGAACAGGATTGCGTGAGCTGGTGCCTGACGGCCGAGAAATGGCAAACGTTACGCGAGCGTGAGCCAGAGATCGCGCGAGAGCTGCTGACAGTTAGTCTCAAACTCACAACGGAGCGGATGGACAGTATTACTTCGTAAGTGACGCCTATGACTCTGAAACTGATCAATACTGACCTCACCCAGATATGTTCTTACGACAGCAGCTTGACATAATTATTCGTCTTGTAATCGGAACATCCATATATGTTTGTTCGCATCTTGGTGGAGATACAGTGCATATGTAATGACCTAATGTGGAAGGCATCAAATACCATACTTGATTACATATACACAGACAAGAACGTAGCATTTCCCACCAATGTATACAACAGCCACCAGAAGAGTAGGCGCTCACGCAACCACCGAGCTCCATGAACAAGAGGAGTCATACTAGCCGGCGCATGACCGCCGAAGGAATGAGCCGAACCACTAACATAGCCTTAGCCTTCGTACTCGGGTTGGACAATACCAATACCCTGAAGTGATACAGAGTACATGGAAACGAGCCCCGCCCACCAATCATAAAAGGCATCGACCCTGCACACAATGATCGATCGAACAATGGCGTGACAAAGCCCGAGCCAGTCAGGCGACCTGCCCCTCCCTCCCACCGCTTATCTATCGTCAGTTCGTCACTGAGGGGCAGTGGAATCAACCCCCCCTCGTACTTGAGTCAAGTGACAAACTAACTAAAAGCACGCCAATATCTCTCGTACTTTGGGTTGAAAATCATCCGCAGGCGGGTGGGTTGGTGAGGGGTCACGTTATGTTGGCTGTGCGCAGAAAGTCATGTGGTTTTTTGGGGGTGTGGATTAGCGGGATGGATGGTCATGCAGTAGATACTTGTCTGTTTCTTTGTCAACTTTCGATAATAATACATTGCTGTCTTCTAGGTAGTATATTGTTATTGTATAGTAGTTAGTAGGTTTATTTATCCTAAATCACCGAACTTGGTTGCATGGCATCATAGGAAGTATTCTTCAGGAAATTCGCTTCCGGAGTACATACATACTATCCTTTAATTGGATAGCCGATAGAAAATGTGGTAGGTTTGGGGGCCGGAATTTTCGGGGCCGGGTTGGGTTGGGTTGGGTTGGGTTGGGTTGGGAGATGCAAGATGGCGCAATCAACATCAACTTACATCTGGGGCGGAATGTTTTGCTTCAGTTCGGAGGATGTCATTCATACGAACTAAGACTGGTCTGCACTGCTGAGTAGATACGGGGTTATGTAGGTATGTAGGTAGGTACTTTTGTTCTATGTGGCTACTTTGCATATGTATACTTACAGGGGTGGTGAATGGATTTAAGTAATGGGTTGTGATTGATTGATTGATTGACTGATTGATTGCTCTTCCCCTCTTGCTACGGATCTTCCTGAGGGGAAAAACCCCCGACTCTACAGGTACGTAGGTAGGTAGGTACTGTGTATGTATGTACAACTCCAAAAAGAAAGAAAGAAAGGGCTATCAATTACAATCGCAACACGGGCCAAGCCTGATCATCAGATCGACGGTGGTCTGATTGGCTCCAAGTGCGGCCGGGACAACAAGCAGTCGTTGGGTTTGATTGTCGAAACGGCGAAAAAGGGGGTGCTGACCCGGGTCCACTTTCTTACCGCCCTGTCCAGTAAAGTCCAATCCGTTGGAATGGTGCGGACGGGAAGGTAAGTACTTGCCCTAGTGGTTAGTATCTAGGTTGATTGGAAGCTAGGTAGATATCTACTACTGGGTAGGTAGGTAGGTAAAGTATGCTCGAGTCACGGGCGTTGACTGGATTGCCTATTCCGGGTATGCTATGATAGGCGAGAGATCATCGTGATCGCTGCTTGCTGCACTGACGCTGACGGTGTTTTGACATATGATGTAGGTAGGTATGTATGGATGTAGGGATTGTTGGTTCCGTGGTAGAGATGACTGCGTGTTGTGGTTTGGGGGCAACGAGGTACGCATGATTCATTGGGTAGGGTTTAGATAGGTCCAAGGTACGGAGGGGTGTACCTAGGTTGGGTTGGAGGGGAGAAAGGGAGGGGTTGCTTCAAGCTTGATTTTGAGGTAGAACTATCTAATTATGTGTGTGTTTGATTCTAGGGTGAGTGGCTTATCTAGGAGTACTCCGTAGGAGAAGACAGATAGGAGGTGGTGTTATTTGCGTCGCTCCTGTTCAGAGCTTCAGAACCAGTCAGTTAGGTGAACTTGAGACAGGGGATGATGATAGCGTTGGTGGATGTGGGGCGCTCGTCCGCCCGCCATGGCGCTATCCAGTCATTAACCCCTACTAAGGTAAGTAAGAAGTACGAACGAGTGAACTGATGGACCTTGTCGGGTGGATGTGGAATTTTTCGATCTTTTTTTAATTTTTCGCTGGTACACTTTAGAAATGATGCTTATTCCATAATCTGTACGGGAGTAGTAGTAGGAATTATCGGCGTCGGGGAGAAGTTGCTGCGACGGGTCGCAAAGCCACAAGTCGGAAGGGGACCTATTAAGGTGTGGAAATGAAGACATCATCAGAGTACTAGTAGTAGTACTACTGTCACGCGAGCCATCTGCTACTGGCCGCAAAATCCCACGGATAAGGCAAGGCAAGGTAGCCTGAGATGGAGGGTGTGTCCCGCCCCTGGTTGGCCCCCGAATTCGCAACAATGCCGGGCTGTCACGAGGGGCTGCCTGTCTGTCGCATCATCGCATGGATGGGGATTTCTCTCCCATACCTGAGATAAACAGGTTCGCCCTCGGAGGATGACGACGATAATTGATTCCTCTCGAACAGATCCTGCACATCGTTAACCGAAAGGACGACTGGTCGGTAACCGAGCGTCTAATAGATTGCTCCCTATGGGCAGGATAGGTAGACTAAAACTCGGAATCCCAGCAGTAGTGGCCCTCCATAGCCCGGCGCTTAACACCTGACTAACATGCCATAGTCGGAACTAATCGCAGACTACGGAGATGCCTCGAGATCTTGTGGATCAGTTGGGCAGAAAAAGTCCTGCTTTCGAGCTGTATATGTGAAACATGGATATTTGAGATGAATTTGATACAGCCCATGGCCGCTTGTCTTACTCCTTCCTCCCATGGCTTGAAGGTGAAGGATGGCAGGAGGAGAGCGCTGAACTCTGAAGATGCCACTTGTCTGGATATTGGAACAGCCAACTGACTCAACCATGGTTGTGTAACGGACCAGCTTCAAGCTAAACCCACCAGGATGATCTGAATAGGAGACCATGGATCAGAACCGGATGGGTGGCTGGGTCCCACAAACACGGTGACCAGGTGATACGAGTAAACATCGCGTCTTCAAAAGTGGTCTAACGAGGTCGTTCAGATTTCCGATAGAATTACCTTATATATAATTTTCGTATGAACTTTCGGATGTGGTTTTCCATTGTTGGAGGGGAATGGGATGGGATCATCGGTGATAAAGTGATCATGTCAGCAGCGGGTTAAACCCAGCTCGAGCCGTTAATCTGCACGGCGGGTAGCCAGTTACTACTACTAGGTACTATCTACGGATGGAGAGAGCTGCTGCTGACCTGTCACTAGAAGGGAGCTTCTCCCAGGAGTGACTGTCTTGGGGAACGATTCACCATGGTTTCAACCGCCCTTTGACTTCATAGGGGCCCAGGGTGAGGATTTATTACCTATTATTGGGCGATGGGCAAGCTCGCGCGACGCAGGAGCCATCGTCCAGAAAATTTTTCGTTTAGAGGATTACCTGCCGGCGGCCTGGTTTATAGTTTGGACCCAATAGCCGGCCCTCTTCCCCATCGATGGACACCTTTTGATCGGCTACTATCATGGTGACGGAGTTACTCCGGGATTCCCTGCCATGACTTAGGTAACCCATTCGGAGTCGACTTCCAGTAAGGTACGAGGTCGATCTGCAGGATACATACATACTGTGTACAATCCCGAATCCCGGCGTGAAGAAAAAGAATGAATGAATGAATGGTGGTGGTTGTGTGGTTTGTGGTTGTGTGGTCTGATGAGGATGGGTCAATCAATGAGTGTAATGGGGCAACCCCTGATTTCTTAGGTAAAAGAACTAAACGGAAAATGAAAAAAAAAAAAAGAAAAAAGAAAATAAAAAAGAAACAGACACACAGTCCACACCATCCACCCACCCACCCAAGCCCCGCTAAACCCAAGATTACCTAGCGCGGGAGTAGCCATCCCAGCATCAGGCCCACCCTCTTTCAGTCTAGGCTCTAGTGCCGCCCTGCAGCTCCCTGCCTGTTTTGGACGATGCGCCAATGACCAGGCCTGGTCGCCCACACCCTTTCATTTTCGCCCTCGCCGTGGCCCTCCTTTCGCCCCTTCTCCTTCTTTTTCTCCCCTCTTTTCTTGTCGCTTCCTTCCTCTTCCCTTCTGCTCTTCTTCTCTTCTCTTCCCATATTCATTCTAATCGTGACTGACCGTCCGGGTTCGTTTCTTTCCCACCCAACTTTTCCCCTTCATTGTGATACCCGAGCTCTTCTGGCTTTGCGCTGAAAGAGCTTTTGTTTCCTTCTGTTGAGATACCCCTTAAGAGATACCCTGCTCGACGCGCGCCTTTAATTCCGGAGCTTCGCCAGCTTCCATAGCTCTCATTTAATCCATCTCTACTGACTATAATTACCCGCCTAATCACTACCCGACACCATGTCTGAAGCTCAGAAGCCCGTTGAGGAGACTCCCGCGGCCTCACCCGCTATTGCTCCTGCTACTGAAGCGCCTGCTGCCACCGAGGCCCCGGCCACCGAGACTGCCGCTTCAGAGGTCCCCCAGGAAACTCCCGCTGAGGCCACCGAGGCTGCTCCCGCCGCCGCTGAGGAGTCCAAGGCTGATGCCCCCGCCGAGGAGCCCAAGGAGGAGGCCAAGCAAGAGGAGGTGACCCCCGCATCTGAGGGCGTCCTGGGTTACAAGGCTCCCGGTCTCGTCAAGTAAGGCGCCACTTGTTGCGACAGGAATACAACATGCAGTGACTAATCATGTGTGACACAACAGGGGTCTGCGTTTCGCTAAGCGCTTCTTCTACTTCAGCGATGACGCCGTCGAGGCTAAGCAGCTTTCTGCCTTCCACCAGAACGAGAAGGCCGCCATCGCCAACCCCATTGCCGCCTGGGCTAGCCAGACCGGCAAGGGCCTTCTGTTCTTCACCAAGCGCGCAGAGGACAAGGCCGCTCCCGCCGGTATCTTCAACTTGGTCAGTACCTGGAGCCACGGATAACGATTGCGCCGGTTTACTGACATCATGGACAGGCTGAGGTTTCCGACATCGCCAAGGAGGGCTCCAGTGAGCTGCACTTCAAGGTCAACGGCCAGAAGCACACCTTCCAGGCCGCCGGCGCTTCCGAGCGTGACAGCTGGATTGCTGCCCTCGAGGCCAAGTCTGCTGAGGCTAAGGCTGAGAAGGAGGCCGTCACCTCTAGCGAAGGTTACAAGGCTGAGCTTGAGAAGCTGAGTAAGTCGCATCATCAATATGCAGAGGAATAAATAGAAGGCTAACAATCATCAGGCAAGCCTGCTGTCGCTGAGCCCGCTAAGAAGGCTGAGCCCAAGGAGGAGGCCGCCCCCGTTGAGGACAAGAAGGAGAAGGAGGCTACCTCCAAGAGCCGCTCCCAGTCTCGTAAGAGGGCCAGCATCTTCGGAACCCTGCTTGGCAAGAAGGAGGAGGCTAAGGAGGAGACTGCGCCTGCTGAGGAAGATAAGGCTGAGGAGGCCAAGCCCGCTGAGGCTGCCACTGAGGCCCCCGCCGCCGAGGCTTCTGCCGCTGCCGAGAGCGCTGAGCGTATGTCACTCCGAGTCGCTGGAAACGTTTACAATGCTAACATCATCATAGCCGCTGCTACTACTCCTGCTGAGGCTAGCGACAAGAAGGAGGAAAAGGAGGAGAAGAAGGAGGACAAGGAAGAGAAGAAGGCTGAGCACAAGTCCAAGCGCGCCTCTCTCTTCGGCAACTTCTTCCAGAAGGTCACCAGCCCCTCTCACGAGAAGTCGGAGAAGGAGGCTACTGCTCCCGCAGAGACCCCTGTTGCTAGCACTGCCCCTCAGTTGGATAACCCCGTCGAGGAGGCTGCTGTGAAGCCCATCGAGCCCGAGAGCGTGACCGCTCCCGCTGAGGCTGAGGCTGCCAAGGACGCCACTCCCGCTCAGTCCCCTGTTGCGGAGACCCCCAAGGACAAGCGCCGTACCTCTTTCTTCGGTAACTTCGGCAAGAAGAAGGGTGACTCTGACAACGAGGGTGCCGATGGCGAGCCCAAGCCCAAGGGCAACAAGCTCGGTGGCATCTTCCGCAAGCCCAGCAAGGCCGTGAAGTCGGAAGTCAAGGACAGTGAGGCCGAGGCCAAGGCTGAGGCTCCCAAGGAGGCCACCGTCCCTGAGTCCCCTGCTGAGGAGAGTGCTCAGCCCGCTGAGACTGCTGCGGAGGAGAACAAGCCTGTCAACGTTGCCTCGACTTCCACTCCTGTCCAGGCTGCTGCATGAAGCGCTTCCCGCAGAGATGTCGAGTATGAGAAATGGTGGGACCAACGGTATTCGTATCCCAACCCTTCGACACCTCCATGATCAATTGTTATAAAAATGGAAAATCGGAAGAGAAAAATACATCCAAGAAAAAAAAATCCACGATTGTTACTTTTTGCGCTTAATTGATGTCTCCACTGCCACCTTTTTGGTTTCCTTGTCTTGTCCCAAGCGAGGTCGACCAGATTGAGTGTCAATGATACCCTCTGCTGCTTTGGCGGTCATTTCCGAGCCCTGATGTCTATGGCGCGTCTGGTGCTGCGTTCCATTCGTTGATGATATGCGTTTCGCAAGGATACCCAACTGGCCTTGTGTGTTCATGTTGTGCGCCGACCAAACTAGATTGATACCACTTGCCGCTGATTATTGTTCTTTTGTTTCCGTGATTCGTTCATGTTGCTGTTTAATGCATTTGTCTTGATACCCCTAATGGGAGGAAGGGTCCTCTTTGCTGGTTGGATGGGCGCGGGGCTGATGTCTGACGTTGGAACCTCCCTCCACTCAAATTGACCCAAACCGTCGACTACCGTGGCTACATGGTGTGACAGCGTGCTCATAGCGCCGTGTATACATGGCACAGCATCATGAGATAATAATTAATAGAATTCACGCATTGTTAGCAACTCGTTGTTTGCCTGTTTCAGGTGACTTGGTCGTAGCGTATCCCACTGGTTCGTCGTCGTACTCGTATGTCTGAGATGGTGGTCCACTTGGTCTACAGGGTGGGGATTCTTCAGTGTAAGCTTTAAGGTACGGGTACCGAGTATGCAGGGACCTCTCCTTGACTGTTGAAATATAAAGCCGCTTATTAATGTATAACAGAAATTTATCTTCAACAACCATCCGATATGGTGTAGTGGCTAACATCGCCGTCTCTCACACGGCAGCCGGGGGTTCGATTCCCCCTATCGGAGCTCAATTTCTCTTTTTGTTTTCAAACACAATGTCCAGTGTACAGTGGCCTCTCATTTGATTGTCTATCATTGTTTTTTGGCCCCCAATCAGCGTTGACATCGAAGTAGCCTGCTTACTCTGGCCGTTTGTGTAACCTGGCCATCGAATCAAGCAAATTTTCCGACTGATACTTGGAATTCAGTCAATGTCAATGTCTAAATATACGGAATCTATATGCTTGATGGTATCAAGATTCCTATATATAACTCACCCCGGTAAGTAGTTGAATGCTATCCAGCAATGTCTGTGGAATACCAGTAGCTGTCTGATATCCGATAAGAAGAGTGAGGGTTACTAGTACATTGAATAGCATGGATCGAATCCCGCTAGGCTGTACCATCTACGCTTGTATACATATGTAGGAGTTACCCGGCTGATTGCTTCTGCATGCAGACCTAGCATGTGGGCAGATGCCACTTCGTCATCCGAGACAATGTCTCTGTCCCGTGCAGTTTGTGTTTCTGATCTGATCTGGAGCCGAGATAGGGATTGGGGGACCCGGGGGGGTAGGGTGCTGCCTACACAGTTATCAGTCAGTTCGTAGGCTTCGATTTTCACATGTAAATTGGAACAAAGCATGTGGCTTCGGGATCAGGTTTGCTGGTGCCTGGGGATTAGGTTTATCCAGAGCATAGATATGTATGCCTGGTAGGATCCAGGATGTTCTCTTGGCAAGGGAGTTATTGATTTGGATGCCTGGTATGTAAGTAGTCTAGATTCATAGGTGATATAGGTTTCTAGGCATCCGGGTTCTTGGATCCTTGTGGCTTACTTGGCCGTTCTTGATGGGCGGTTGCATACGTGGGTGCCTGGCAGAGCTTGTTTGTGATGGCGTGGGATGGAACTGGTTTGTGTCATTGGTTGGCTAGTTGTTGTACTGTAGATCTGGGGAGAGGGTCGTCGAAGGCAGCTGGGAGGGTGGGGGGATTCGTTGGCTTGGTACTTGATAGAGGGACGGGTGAAGGTTGGCCCGATTAGATATCGTCAGCTGTGACCTGGGATCCAATGGGGTTGGGGACAGTATCCTGATAGTGAAAGCAGCCATGAAGACAAGTGTCTTGTGGTTGCAGTCAGTGGTGCCTTCCTTCTCGATGTAGGTATACGCAAAGTCACCATAATAATAGAGTCAGAGATTCTTTGCTCCTTGTCCTTACCTATACCATTACCTACCTACCTACCCCATCTTGATTTCTATGGGCTCCGCTAACCACGCGGAACTCCGAAGGGAACTGTACCGATTTGGGATTGCTATATTTACTCTAAAGTCGGTAAGAATTCTTCACGACCTGGTGGATATCGAGTCCACACTGGACCACTACCCACGCGACCCTGACTGCCTGGCCCTGGCACCTAGATACCTAGCGCCAAAATCACCAGTACCAATCTGACAGGAGAGGAAAGGCGGCTGGAAAGGTGGACAAGCAAAAAGGATTCTGGCCATCGCTAAATCAACCTACTCTCGCAAGGCTCTTCCTTAGCTGAAACGGAAGGGACTGGTTGTACTGCGGTCAGTGTATCCTGCAGCACGAAGTAAATCCGCAGCACACGGAAAAGCTTGGTCGAGATGTTGGAATTTTTCCCTCAATACCACCTAGTGCTGATCATGCATCATCGACCCGAGACAGAGCTGACAAGACGTCGTCATCGACGGCTGCCTGGGATTGGGAGAGCTGGCCTGCATACGGAGGCGCGCACGGCAGATGTATGCACGCCAATTGGCATCTCCACTCGAAGTAGATTGCAACGGTAAGGGACAGGGACATGTACATGCCTACGGGAGTACTTGGGTATGGTATCCGACGATATTGATTCCTTCGCCTGGTCAACTGTGGTGGGCCCTGATATCGGAGTTATTGCCTATCTATCTTCTCTCTACCTACTGCGTGCACCGTACCACCCATGTCTTTCTCATTTCTACTATGTAGACTCTGAACCAAATTCCTGCTTCAGGTGAAAGAGACCAGAGTGATGATTCCTGCAATTGACTTTTTAAGTTTCACATGGACCGGTTGGTCCCGTCCATTACTAATCGCACTGATTTCCTCCTCCCTGACTTGAAGCTCCGCTCGGAAGATACGACGCACATCCCCGGAGATAATCAGCCCGACCCTACGTACTCCGTCCGTATCCCTGCCGGACAGGAAATTCCCTGATTCTCATGCCCCTCTCCAATCTATCTAGTTGACACCAGCAAATATTCTATAGGGTCCCAAGCCGCTAACGACCGCTAATCAAACCATTCATGGTCAGACGAAGGCCGGAACGTCCCGGTGTCCTGATAGAGTTTGACCCAAGTGGAATTCCACGCCCTTTGAGCGACTTTGGCGAGGGGCTGCAGAGCGGGGAGAGAATTGGGAAAAGGCCATCTCCGGCCGCCCGGCTGATTAATCCCGGCCGGCCATCTTCCGGTCGGGGTCCTCTATCTACTGTGTAGGAAGCAAGCACTGTGTAGCAACTAGTAGTTGGAACTTACTTTGTACAGCACAAAGAGACAAGTCGCACGGGGACAAAAGCAATGATTGAGGAGCTTGTCCCATTCGTGGACGGTGAGACATGAGGCTCAGGCTCAGCCCCAAAGGCATCCCCCGGGCACTGCACCAATGCAGACCCCGACGGGCTGTGATGGAGGCCAAAGGATGCAGCCTGCCCGCTGGTTGGCCAATGGGTCCGGTCGGCGGCACGGGTGCGAACCGGTTTCATCATCGAGCGTCGCGCGGCCTTCCTTCTGGCGGTGGAGTTTAGAGACAGACAGTGCTCAGTCCAGGAATCCAAGTCGAGAACACTGGACCAGTGACCTGCGAGTGACATCCCCATCGCTGGCTGGATGGAGGAGAGCCCATGTGTACCTGCCTGGTACGACACACAGTCTGAGACTGCCTGCTCCGGGCACGGGAATGCCTGGGGCTCCTGCGGGGTCCACCATCTGGGCCGGGCAGCCAATCACCAGATCATCCGGCCCTATGACTCACACCTGCTGACCGCGTCAGATAGACCATGCCTGATAAGGCTAGTGCTCTGGGCGGGGGTCGAGTCGGCGGCGATTGGCTCTGGGAGCCGGCGAAGACCGCACACACACAGTTAAGAAGTGCCTGGCTTCCCGTCGCTGCCTGGCGCTTCCCTTTTCCTCCCTCCTTTTTTCTCTCTTCTTTTTCATCCTCTCTTCCTCCTCTCCACATCATTTCTATTGTTTATTCCAACCCGTCACCATACAGCATCATATCTATACAGCATCTGAATCTCCTGCCTTCCAAGATGGCCTGCTAAACGCACCCCCCGCACCAGCTACGTCTTTCTCGTACGAGACAGACATCATAGATCCTCTTCGGACCTCGTCTTTTCCCAACCTCTCTTCCCCCCCCTCAGAGTCTCCTGTCCCAGGACCTCTGAACTTCAGCATCGCTTTGCGTAGCTCAAGTTCCACGAACAGCATTCTCCCGTTCGACTTTACGTCGTTCACCACGGATCTCAACCAGCAAACATGGCTCCCCACGCCCCCGCCCCAGCAGCCTTCGGCTCCAACGAATTCGATCTTACGCGACAACAACAACAGCAACCCCAGTCCATTGCCAGAGGACTTTGTGCTCTTTCCCGCTCCGTGTCCCCAGCAGCAACCCAGGGACTCGCGTGCTCCAGCACTCAATTCCGCCCCTAGATTATCCGCGTTTCAACCTACTCTAGTCCAGCCAGGACATCCTGTTAGAAGACAACCATCAGCTTTGCACCAGCAGCTTTCAGGTTCGCCTGCGCAGGTTCCTTTTTCGGCCAGATTAGCACCGCAATCTACCGGGTATCCTCTGTCATCTGCTTCTTGGTATCATCCTTCTCTGCGAAAGCACTTTGCGCGTCGGTACGCAACACCCGCCGCTTCGAATTCCACTCCCGCAGTCAACAACACTGCCTATTCCGACCGTCCACCCGTCCCTTTATTCAACGACAGGGCGGCAAACTACTCCGCTTTTGTGAACCAGCGCAATCAACAATTAAAAAAACAATACGCACTTTATTGGAAAAATCGCCGCATCATGTCTACTCCGAACATTGCCCAAGGTGAGCCGGCCAATATGCAAGTACTGGCTTGGATTTGCCGTGCTAATACCGCCCCAGATTTCCCAGAACTTTTTGACATTCAGTCCAACCGCTTTGGGGACGATTTCAGCTCCCCAGAGTCCGCCATGCTCTCGCCTCAGATTTCCAACTCAATCTTTAGCCAGATGGGGGACGCCGCGCCACCAGGTACCGTCTCGCCTAGGGACCTGTTCATCGATGCCTCGGCTCCCCCATCGGCTACTTTCACTGACCTGAGCACTCCTCCCTTGGATACTCCCGGTTACTTCAGTCAGAACACATCTCCCATGATCAACACTGAGATGGATCTGAATGCAGCACCCGAGGAGTGGGAGTCCCTGTTTCCTCAGGATGGATTCTCCCTGGATCTGGATGCGGCCGCCCTTGAACTCGCTGCCTCGCTTCAGCAGCCCAAAACGACCGGCCCACCTCCGTCTCCTGTGATCCGTGCCAGCGCATCTCCCGCGCCATCTATGTCCCCTGCCCCGTCCCGTCAAGGCATCAAGCATTCTACGGTGGCTGGTGTCAATGCTCGTCAGCGCAAGCCTTTGCCGCCAATCAAGTTTGACTCTGCGGATCCCGCTGCAATGAAACGAGCCCGCAATACTGAAGCTGCTCGCAAGTCTCGCGCTCGAAAGCTCGAGCGTCAAGGCGAGATGGAGCGCCGAATTGAGGAGCTCGAGAAGTTGCTTGAAGAGTCCCAGCAGCGCGAGGAATACTGGCGAAACGTGGCCGAAAACGGCTCGAACTGAATATAAAAGTTATTGGGTTTTCATCTTGGGTTGGATATACGGTTTTGGTTTCTGTATTGTGCTCATTGTGCTATTCTGTCTCCTAGCGGGTCCTGTGGACGGGGGCGTTGAGCCTCTAGTCAATAGCTGTCGGAAGCATCAGCTATCAAGCTGATGCTTCCGACAGCGGAAAAGTTTCCTTTTGTTCTTGCTCGGCTACTATCGAGCATACTCTTTGTACTTACCGGTAGATCGGCTTGTCTGCATCTGCTGCTGCGATTTATTCTTCCCCAGTTCATGCTGAGGGTTTGTTGATGGTTTTTTGCATTCTGCTCAGGCCGGTTCTGATGTCTCCCAATTATCGGGATTGACTCGTGGCCACTAATAATCTACTTCTTGTACTTGATTGATCCGAGTTTTGTTATTACTGCGCTTGCGCACCAGACTGTGACTTATGGTATCATCAATTCAATCGCCACTATGTGCACATTGACTTACATGTAACAATCATATCCTGAGTAGGCTTTTCTGTCAATCTTTTCACTATTGCAAAGTACGTAGAACAACCAATAGCACTGTTAGATCTGCTAGTAAATCCCACGTCTATTTTCTATATACCATCGTCAAGAAGGCCGCATGACCCGTTGATCGGGTTATGCCTTGAGTGTATATATGTGTATGTGTAAACGACTCAGCTCAGACTTGCCTTTTTACGTACCTCATGGACAACAACCCCTTGTCTGCTCGGACCATCCATACCCTCACGCCCAACCTACCAACAGGATGACATCCCACATCCAACACACTCATTAGACTTTCGTCGATACTGCCAACTTGCGAAGGGGAAGTACCGGTCCTGTTCCATCACTGTCTGGAATCCCGCTCCGTTCACGGCGCAGGGAGTTCCCAGGGTAATGGAAAGGCGGTTGCAATCCGCAGGGAACAGAACAGATGTGGCGATGAGTGTGCTATGAGGAATAGGGAAGCATATCTGCTTGAGGGCCAATCGAAAGAGTGGTGAATGGAGGCTAGATCGAAGAGGCGGTCTCAGAAGTATCTGATCTCGAGTTGTCATCATCGCTGGTCTGGGGGTGGTTGAGGGGGTTGGTAGGGTGTGTTATTGTACGTCAAGAGACGTTCTGGGGTGGGGAAATTGGGGTTGAAAAAAGAAAGTCTATTCAGGTGAGTGCGTCGGTCCCTTTCACTTTGCTTTTCTCCATCTTGGCTGTTCGGGATCCGAATTGGATTGCTCGCTTCTTTTCCCGGGCCACGTTGGTCATACCGAGTCTCAGAGCGACTAGACGGAGGGCCTTTTTCTCTAAATCAAGCCCTGCCTCTGGTGAATCGTCTGCTGGTGAGGGGGTTCCGAAACCACACTTCTCCCAGACAGGAAGCTGTACCACCCAGGATACGAACTCTTCGTCAAGGAAAGGAAATCTCGCTTCGCGACCCCAGTGTGCAATGACTCGGTTATCACGACCAAGGTTTCGCTTTCCCAGGCGACTGACATCAAGATTGATTTCGCCGATGAGGCCTTCGAATCCATTTCGAGAGAACGCCACTCCATGCCTTGAGTATCCTGCAAATAACTCATCTGCACCAAGGCCAGACAGGAGCACTCGGGCGGAGGTGGTATATTGCGCGGGTTGGGCATCGTCCTGTCGACTGTCAAAGGCCAGACCTTGCCCACGAGAGGCGAAATATAATGCGCAGGCAATAGAGAGATCCATCTCGGTATTGTGGGGTCGCATCAGCCGTTTCACGGTGTCGCGGTGTGCAACGGTCTCCACGTATGGAATATCTATTGCCACAAATCGCCAGTTGCGACCGGGACATACTTTTTGCAATTCGGCGAATGCTGCTCGGCCGGTGATACGATCGGGGCAGTTCTCATACACAGAACCAGCTGCCTCTCCTTTGCCTGCCGCTGCGGCCGCAACGCGCGGGTTTTCGAACGCAACGTTGAGCAAATCGATGACTTCATCCTCCGGGAGAATCTCATGGGAGAGTCTAGCAAGTAGTGTGCAATCGAGACCCCCGGAAAACAGCACTGCAACTTTCACATTGCTTTTCAATGATGTGGTAGGTGGCTCGCGTACATTCTGGATCCGTAACGCCAATGATTGACGTAGCTTCTCTTCAAGTTCTTTAACGGCAATGGTTTCAACATTTAGTAAAGGAGGGACTCCTTCCGGTGTAGACTGATTCATGGGAGGAATTGGATTTTTCTAAGCCGATTGTTAGCTTTCGGGAATCAAAGTGGAAGGAATATTGCATACAGGGCGAAGAGGGCGGTCAGATTGTTTCTGATCCCAGAGTAATGTTTGTATGCAACTTGCCGCAAACAAAGGTGTACCAGCATTAGCTGTTGAGGTCGAGTCGTCCTGGAAAATAGTATGTTCAAAGTCAATCATATATACTCCGTCTGTCTCGACCTCACTGAAGTGGGTGGAAGACGTGCCATCGCAGAGACTGCATATTTTGAAGGTCCCGGTCTCATCAACGCCTTGAAGTAGAGAGCGCCGTCCAAGAGAGTCCCTGGTGAAGAAAAGCTTGGAATTGACCGCATCGTAGAACACAAAGGCAAAGGGGCCGGAGATGCTACTGATAACATCCAGGACGCCCTGAACAGCACTCGTACAAGAGTCCGCTGACGAATCTGTATTCGGATGGATGTTTACAGCCTGTAGTAACAGCTTGAAGATGAGCTCCGCATCGTTGCCCTGTATGGGTTCACCTGCTATCTTCCAGGCGTCACCATTGAAGCATAACACGGACTGGGTTGTAGCATCCACTAATGGCTGAGGAACAAGACAGTCCCCCCTAATAGACAAGACCGTAGAAACAAAGGTCAGATGAACAGAAATGGGCTCATTGCTTGACCGTGTGTTAGTCACCTTTCGTTCAACATTATGAACATGGTAGTTGTCCGGTCCGCGGTCCCGCAACAAGCAGCAGGTCTCCTCGTTCGGAAGCACAGCTCCTGAAGCACTCAGTGAGAAGAAAATCCCACACATGGCAGCATCAGACCGTAAGCGAGGGGCTGGCGGGGAGGAGTTGAGGTGGAGGAGGAGCAAAGGAAAGAGAAACAAGAGCGCCGGATGTCGGGGGAACGATGATCCCCCGCCGCTGATTGCGGGCTGACATCTTTGGCGCTGTTGGAGCTCACTTCCCCCTGTTGGGCTATTCCTTCGGGCATTGTCTCTCTGAGTCCTACTCTGATTGAGTTAGGCGCCTTACGATCTATCACCGGTCTGAGCTGTCCAGACATTTGTGGTCTGCTACGTGACAACCCCGGGAACCACTTCTCCGGATACTCCCCCTCATGATGACCCGTGTTTCTACCTAACGAGGCTCAATCAATATCTAATTTGAATTTGGCGTGCATGCAGGTTGCTTATGTCTGCGACAGAACCCTCGGAATCCCCGGCTCCTAGTGGTCATGGGGAGGTTCAGCCGGCCACTCTCAACGAGGGGGGTACAACTGAACAAGTGAATGCCACGGGCCTCGAACCTGCGGCGCAGCTACAGAATGACCTTCCAAAACTGTCGGAGGCCAACCAGGACGAGATGAAGAGAACCGTTGAGAGCGAAGCGCAGACCAGTGCGACGTCTCCAAACGTGGCTCCGATGCCATCCGCAATAGATCCCTCGAGTCCCCTACCGCTCCCCCGTGAGACGCTTCCAGAGCGCATGAAGGGGCTTTCCATATTGACGACAACACCAGAACCTATTTTGTCGCCTCCCGCGGAGATACCTCCTACGCCTCCAGCAAAGGACGATCCCTACCTGACCCCGAACCCTCACTCTGCAATTACACACTCGCCCGCGACCGAGTTGACCGAGAAGGAATTACCGGAAGTTCCTGGAAATGAACAAGATGGAAGGAAGAATACTACTGGCGGAGATAGTGACTCCCAGTCGGAAATTCAGAGTATCATGGATCAATTCCAGGACTCTACGCATGGCGATGGGCAGGAACAGATCATGTCCCCTCGGCTGGAACTGGCCGAGCAGTTTCTAGGCGGGCAAAGTCACTTCCCACCTCGCCAGTCGAGTCTGGATCACAGTAAAACGGCGATTGACGACTCGCGGACACCCAAGCCTACCACAGGGGTATCATCCATCTCGGCTGAGAAACAACCCGCAAAGCTTCCCAGGAATTCCGTGGCCGACGAAGCGAAGTTGAGCCGGCGCTCGTCAACATCGACGATTCCTCCACCCCCCGAGCCTGAGCCCGACCAGCCCTTTGATTTCCATCGGTTCTTAGAGCAGTTGCGTCACCGCACTGCGGACCCAGTTGCCAAATTCCTGCGCTCCTTCCTCCACGAGTTTGGGAAGAGACAGTGGATGGTCCATGAACAAGTCAAAATCATCAGCGATTTCTTGGTGTTCATCACGAACAAAATGGCTCAGTGTGAAGTCTGGCGCGATGTGTCCGACAGTGAGTTCGACAATGCCAAAGAAGGGATGGAGAAGCTTGTAATGAATAGACTATACTCCCAAACGTTTTCTCCCGCTATCCCTGGTCCGCCCACAATCCCACGGAGCGCAAGTAGAAGCAAACGGCGCGAGATGGAGAGGATGCACGGCCCGTGGAGGCGGGGACAGCACCAGGAGGATATAGAGCGTGATGATGTGCTGGCCCAGAAGATGCGGATATACAGTTGGGTAAAGGAGGAGCATCTGGACATACCGCCAGTGAGCGGTCACGGCCGCCGCTTCTTGAATCTAGCCCAGCAGGGTAGGTTATGTCTCTTCTGCATGTTTGATGCCCTCTAACTGGGTACAGAACTGTTGAAAATCAACGGCTATCGAGCTCCCCGCGACAAGGTTATCTGCATCTTGAACTGCTGTAAAGTGATTTTCGGTGAGTATCGGCCCTGATGCAGGACTGGCATGATATGGTTGCTAACGTCTGCCCAGGTTTGCTGAGGAACTCGAAGAGATCGGATACGTCAGCCGATTCTTTTGTGCCGCTTTTGATTTATGTGGTGCTGCAGGCCAACCCTGATCACCTGGTATCCAACATACAATATATCCTGCGGTTTCGCAACCAGGATAAACTTGGAGGGGAAGCCGGTTATTACCTGTCGTCTTTGGTACGCTGGAATATCTCTTAGCTCATGGCATGTTCTGACCCATTCATAGTCCGGAGCGATCCAGTTCATTGAGACACTAGACCGGACGAGCCTGACAGTGAGCGACGAAGAGTTTGAGCGAAGCGTTGAAGCAGCTGTCTCCGCTATTGCCCAGCAAAACCGCGAGTCTGAGACTTATGAGCGAAAATCGTCAGGACGTTCCGCTGAAGGCTCCCAATCCGCACCGCGAAGCTCTGTGGATACACAACGCACGGCGGTGCGAGAAGCACCGCAGTCTAGCGATGAAGATACGGCACCAGTTGCAGGGCTTCTGCGAACGATCCAGAAGCCGTTGTCGACCATCGGAAGGATCTTTTCGGACGAGCCAGAGTCGCCACAGGAGCGGCCGACACAGTCTGGTGCATCTCCACGTCTGACACCGAACGTGTACCAGCCTCCTCGAAATAGCAGCGAAGGCCGGCGATCGGTCGAGAGGGCACGTAGTGCAGCCCCTCCGCAAGTTGCCAGGGCGGGCTCTCAAGATGCCGCTGTCCGTCAAGCCAGTGCTGAGGATGCAGAGGCACGGAGGATTCACCGTGTCGAGCACAATAATGTCGTAGAGACGCTGTCTAACATGTTCCCCAACCTCGACCGTGATGTAATTGATGATGTTGTCAAGATGAAGGAGGGAAGGTAAGCTGTTCCTGCCTATGGGTGTTGAAGGCGAAGTAGCTGACACTGGTGTACAGGGTTGGGTTGGCGGTGGATGCGTGTCTTGCCCTTAGTGCTGAGTGAGCAGGATCAGAGAAAGCCATGGCAGGCATGTAATTCGAGGGATTAGCATTCAGTGAAGCTCTTATCATAGCCGTTTATGTACTTATTGCCTGGACTATTTGCATATAATAGTGCTGCTGAGTGGTAGCTATATTTAATCGAACCTTAACACGTTGTACGCACATAAAGGGGAAATCTCATAGGCACAAGCCATACAAGTAATCATATACACTCCGGGCAATGAGCATGCTAAATAGCGGAAACTGCATAGCTTTATTCCATTCTCCCGCTAGAGCTTATCTAGGTATACTCCGTACCATTCGTTCCGCAGCCTGAGATGCAAGGCGTGTCCAATAGTACATCACCTGACCCTCCCGAGCTCGCTTACCGCTAGCGCCATCCGGCCACCCCACCCAGTCCTATATAATCTCCTTCCCCTCGACTCCCTTTTGACCTTTTTCTTCTTTTTTTCTTCATACTTACCTTGTTTGGGTGACTGCGATCAAGAAGGCGGTTCACCACAGATTGGTCCCTGCATTGCACAGCGCGGCGGAACAGTCTGTTCAACGGCCTACGGGTCATTGACAGGCGTATTCTTTGGCACTTCTCTCTTCGGAGATCATATCCTTTTCATCAGTTCTTGGGCCAGTGGCTCGAGGGTGGGGAAGAGGCTTGTAATTGTAAATGGTATCCCTCCTAGCTTAGAAACACCTATGCTGTATATTCCAGAGTCTGGTTGTTGCTGAAGTCAGAGACTGGCATATTCGCCGTGTTCCTGTCAGCTACCTATTACTCAGTTGGTAAGCTCCCCACATATGACGTTGTATCTTGCCACTGTACGGATATAATAACAACATCTCTCCCTTCAACCTCCGCACCACTTAAGACACATCACCCCTCTTTATATCCTCCTATCGCATCATCTACCTCTACCAAAAGGAATACCCAACTCACAATCCCACTACTCAAAATGCCGCACAAGGACGAGCCCACCTCAACCAACACCTCCGACCGAGTCTCCGACTCCGTTAACCGTCTCGCTGCAACGGGAACCAACATCACCGGGGCAGTCTTCGGCTCTGGCATGGACCAAAACACTTCGACGATACCGGACTATCTATCTACAGGCGCAGAGGACGACAGACCCTTGAGTAAGGAGGAAGCGGACAGACTGTACGAGGAAAGGATGGAGGAGGAATATGCCAAGCGGGAGGGAGGAGCTTGATCGCGTTCTTTCTGTCAGCTTTGATTTTCATATCGTGTATATATACCAGATCGACCTGCACGTCCATCCAATAAGTCATGCTCCTACAGTAAATATCTGGTTTGTTTGATCGTGATGTAGCCTGCGTAGTCGATACCTTGCGACCAGCAAAGGCCGGGATGATTAAAAAAAAAAGAAAGCGTCGACGAAGCGTCTCGAACCCCCGGCCTATCCGAGAACACCGCTTTGTAGAGGAAAAACCTCCTACCTACATATGAACCCGGTAAAGGTTACAAAAAAACTGGTAGCTTCTCTTTGATTGAGCGTGTCATCCTTAGTGCAGGGGCCATGCTAATCTTCTCTGTATCGTTTCAAATTGACCAAATGCCCGAAGGCACTTGGATATCTTTACGATGGGCTATATAGGAGATGCGGGTAGAATCATACGTTCTGATTGGTCGGCAAGCGAGTGACCGGGAACACCAAACCGTCTTCACCCCGCGTTGGTGCCTGGGGTTTCATATAGTATTAGGGAGTCGTGGTGGGCGAGATGGGCTTGTTGTAGGTCGGTTTGGAGCCAGAGCTTTGATTCGAGAGAACGTGGCATATCGCGATTCGTGCTTTATTTTCGTAAATGGTTGGATTGTAGGCACAGGTTATCGTCTGGCTTCAACCTGGTACGTCAGTACTGCTCTTTCGAAGCACCGGTAGGCAACGACACGGCGCAGCAACAAAGCAAGGACGACAACAACAAAAGAAATGTTGAATGAAAGCCGCTATTGGGGTTATATTTAGCAATGAAACCAAGTTCGGGAGACAGAGGAGGAAGAACGGAAGAAGAAAAGAACAAGAAGGAGAATAGATACTCCTAGTCGTAGTCGAAGGTTGGTTCCAGTGGCCCCTCGTATCCCACTTCGGGCGAGATCGGCTGCCCGTCGGTCTCAACAACACATCATCTTACTTCGACCATACCTACCAGTTAGTTGATCCTGCATGGCTCACTCTACCATGATGAAGTGTATTCAGATCACAGAGTCTCTTTAGTTTGTTGAGTATACGTCATTTCTGCTGGGTATAGTGGTTGTGGCTCAATTCAACAGCCCCAACGGCGTGCTCTACCGGATCTACAGGACCAAGGTTTACCCCGTGGGATGGCATCTGCCTTCTCTAACACAGTCTCGTCGATACGAGATGTTATATGAGAACGGTCTGCTTCTGAGGAGATCATAATCTAATTCAATCCTATGTGCTATTTTCTGCCGCATTCGATATGTATATCTAACCTGCCTCAATCGACGTCCCGGTGTCTAGATACGATGCAGATCGCTGCCTTCGACTCGGAGTTTATAGTAACGTACACCTGCAGTGGCTGAGGCTGCCTAGTAGACTAGAGATGAGCATGATAAAAAGCAGCTCGAGTACTTAACCCACCATCCCCTACTCTATAACCCTCCTCTCCAACATATCACTCTCCCCAGCAACAACCTCAATTGACAACCAGTATATACCCTCCCAACAACGATGCACTTCAAGCTCTTCTCCATCATCATCCTCTCCGCCCTATCCCTCGCATCTCCCGATCCCTCGCCAGCCCTCGCAACAGACGACTCCAATGAATCCGACCTCCTCCTTAAATCCCTTAGCGATTTGTATGTCCTAATCCCTACCCCATATATCCATGAAGGTAGAACTAACAGCTCAATTCCGCCCACAGAGCCACCCAAACTATCTCAATGCCCACCAATATCCCCACATTGCCTAGCTCCATCGAGTCCGTGCTCATCACTGCTGTCCCGACTTCCTTCCTCTCCGAGATGTCCAACCTTACGGCCTGGTCATCGGTCACTAGTGAGTGGAAGGATGGACACTTTCCATCTTGGTATAGTAGTCTCAATGGAGACGTCAAGTCGTACCTGTCGACTGCGTTTGATACTGCTTCGCCTTCGACGTCGACATCGCATGGTGGGGCTCCTGCGCCGACGGCTATGGCGGCGGGGGTGGTTGGGGCTGCGGGGATTCTGGGGTTGGCGATTGTGTTGTGATGATTCGGGGTCTGTGTATATTAGCTTGGAAGGGGTAGAAGGGTGTATGATGTGGTATGGGCGACATGATATAGATTGTTTTGCTGCTTTGGAATTTATGATGAAGTGGACTTGGAATTGAGATAATTTCGATAGTGCTTTGCATGGAGCTGGCTGTTATGAGTCCAATAATATATCATATTGTTGTGTTATGTTAAGGTTGGATATATAGGCAGGGTATGATGCTAAGTATATAGAATGGTGAATTATAGCCATATAGTATTGTGACTAGAGCTCGTAGGTTATTGATCCTTAGCTATTAGAGGTTGTCAGCCACACCATATTACCCCGGGTTGTTAATTACAGACTTATCATAAGTCCCAGAGGTGGCTAGACTTGGCACTACGGGTAGTATAGCGATAACAAGTCCATTTATATTCGTCACTGAGGACAACTGCAATTCTACCATGCTTCACTGTCTCGAGACTCTCCACATAGTCACTCTTACAATCCACCTTCACTGAGACGCCCCTATAAGTGCAGATGAAACTCCCTGTGACTGCTCGGATGGTAGCTGGTTATTAGGACGCTTGGCAGTGGAGGAGGACTTTTCCACTCTTTCCTTGTAAGTTGGAACAGGAGTGTGTGGAGTGTGCTCCAAGAGCTATAGCTGTTGTGGAGTAAGCGTTCCCTTGAAACTCAGGATGATAGACTTGCTTATCTTGCTGATCGTTGTCGTAGGGCCCACTTCTTGCTACTCCGTACACAGTAGGATACGTATGGTCTTAGTAAGACCAGTCGTCTAGATGGAAGCGGGCTAGGCGCTTGATAATCCAGTTGGGTGGATCCAACAATGTCCAGGGCGAGATTCCAAATTTGAGGATGTCTCAGCGCTTGGCACTAGACGGGGATATTCAAACCAGGAGGTTTGGTGTCGGTCTGCAGCCCCCAGGAATATTAGCTGTTGTCCTTTCATCATAGTATTTCTGCCAGGGTCTTTCCCTGAATCGCTATCAATAGCAAGTCGTAATTATAAAGTTTGATGTCATGGTGCACGCCATCGTTAAGATTATGAGGGCATCACTGTCCCCATCATTTACGTCAACTACCAACAGTGAAGCAACAGGGCAGACAATGACATCGCGTACCGCATCTCACTCTGAAATCACTAAGGTCGAGCACTGACCTCTCAGCCAGAGATTACCTGCATCGCCACGCCTACGTAGCTGGTAGTCTCGGTGTATCCCCTCTCGGACTGCCTGAATCCGCGTCGGAGACCGACTCCGCCTCGCATACCGACCCCGAATGCGTAATAGAGCAGCAAGCTAGCTCCAGCTGGCCAGTAATGGCCGTGGTAAATGTCAGCGATGCTGCCTGAGCACCAATCAGGCTCGGGGTATTGGCTTAACCCCGAAGGATTGCTGTGCTTTGCGCCGAGATCTGCGGGAGCTGACTATTACCCAGCTTGTGATTGGCCGGCCCCAAGGTAGCCTGGAAGGGTCTGAAGAACAATCAGAAAAGTTGATTGTCGCTGCCATAAGAGGAGGGGCCCTTATAAATATCTGTGCTTCCAGAAGGTTTTTCACCTAGATTGTCGCTCATCAAGCCCTGAATCCTATCCAGCTCGCTTCTATCCCATCTGCTTTGCCTCGTCCAGCTTCGGTTTCTAGAAACAATCCTTCAGCCTTACCGGGATTGTTGAGCGGTCTAGATTCGGCTATCGATTGCGGCTTCTGACGTCAGGCCTCAGGCAACCCAGCCAATACTTTTCTCCGCAATGGCGCTTTTATTCCTGAAGCAAAGACTCTTTCCTAGCGAAAAGCAAAAACAGGCTATTCCTTATGGTTCGTTTCCTGCAAGAGCAATCATTGTCCAACTGGACTAACAAGACTAGGAAAACCACTACTCTCCAATGACGATACCGATACCCTCCCGGGCGATCAGGACCTCGAAGCTCAACGATCCTACGATACATTCCGCTCTGCCTCTCCCGTTTCCGACTCCGACAGCACCACCGCCAGCACCAGCAGTTCGCGATCGCGCATCAACCCGCGTATTGTTTCCGATGCCATTCTCGGCCTATCGGATGGCTTGACGGTGCCGTTCGCGCTGAGCGCTGGTCTCTCAGCGCTGGGAAACACCAAGGTCGTCGTGCTGGGAGGATTGGCCGAATTGACAGCGGGTGCCATCTCCATGGGTCTGGGAGGATATGTCGGCGCGAAGAGTGAAGCGTACGTTCGATTCCACTGAAACCCCTCTAGCCCAATCTAACAATCCACAGAGAATCCTACGAAACCACCGTCCGCGAAGCAAAAGAACTCATCCACACCTCACCATCCGAAACAAGCGCCATCGTCCAATCCATCTTCGCCTCCTACCGTCTCCCCGAAGACACCATCGCTCAGATCAACACCTCCCTCCACGCTTCCGAAGACCACCTCCTCGACTTCCTGGTCAGCTTTCACCACAAGGAATCCCAGCCCGATTGCAACCAGGCATGGATCTCTGCCATTACACTCGCACTGGGCTACTTCGTGGGCGGCTTCATCCCGCTCATCCCGTACTTCATCGTGGACCAAGTGATTGTGGCATTGTACATGAGCATCGGAGTCATGGCGATCACGCTGCTCGCCTTCGGATACATCAAGACGTGTGTGGTGCGCGGCTGGACTGGGCGCGACAACATCGTCGCGGGCATCAAGGGAGGCGTGCAGATGTGTTTTGTGGGCGGAGTGGCTGCGGGGGCAGCCATTGCTCTGGTCCGGTTGATTGACGCATAACCTCCTCCCTCCATCGACATATCACCCACTACCCACCCACCACCTACCTGCGCCTAATCATCTCCACACCAAAAGTTCCCCATTATGCCCTTAACGACTACTACTGTACCATAGATACCACTATAGAGCGGCTTTTTCATTCCACTTCATTCAATTCAAATCTAATTCTCTCTCTCAATCAACCTCCACGTCTCTAATTTACATAACCTATAGTAGTAGAATTCATAACTGATATAACCAGCCATACTATGCAAGTATACATAATCTATACCCCCCCCCAAAAAAAAGCACAAGAAAAAAATCTACCCTCCCAAAGCCAACCCAACCAACTCCCTCGCCCTCCCCCCCATCTCCTCCATCCCAAGCGCCAACTCCCTTCCCCGCTCCGACATCTTCCCCCACGTCTTCCTCAAAATCGCCACGACCTTCTCCTCCTCCCACGCGCCCTCAAACCCCTCCAACTGATCATCCAAAAACACCAAACACGCTACATCCTCCAACACCTGCGCCTCTGCATCCTCCCCGCCCCGCAATCCCTCCTTGCGAATCAACGCGCCCACGCGCGCTGCATCCGCCTCCCCAATCCCACTCTCCAGACACACTCCCATTGCGATTTCGGCTTGGCGGCGGGCGAGTCCCGTGCGCCATGCATAGTAGCCTGCTTTTCCGGCTGGGTAGGAGGCGCGCGGCACTTCCCAGCGTTTGAGGTGTTGGGCGCGGATGGCGAGTTGGAGCGTGGGGGAGGGGTTGGATGTGTGTTTGTAGAGATAGCTGGTCATTTTTTGGGCGTAGTGCAGTTCGTAGGGGGTGTTGGTGGGGGTGGTTTTGGTGGGGTCGAGGGAATGCAGGGTGTCGATTTTGGTGAGAGCTTGGGTTAGGGGGTCCATCTTTTTTTTGAAGTGGGTGGATTGGAGGTAGGTTATAGAGGTTGGTTGTAGGGATTGGGATTAGGATGCTGGAGAGAGGTAGGTTATAGGAGGTCTGGTGGTGTTCGGGGTTGGTTCGCAACAAATACCGGAGACGGGATTGGTTGAGGTTGGTTCGGCATTTGCTGCTAGAGAGGGGGAACTGATAAGCGGTGCGATAAGGATGCCCCACTTCAGGTTGTAGATCGTGTTGTTGGATCGAGGGAGGTTTTGTTGACAATGAGTGTTTTATGCTTGAGGTATGATGAGATTCGTGGTTTCTGTCTAGAAGTATGTGTCGTGTGTGTGCGGTTTGCGGTTTGATGCTGCTGGCTTCTGTATAAGTTGCCTGGTGGGCCAATCTCATACATTGTCAGGAGGAACAAGGAATGATAGTATCTTTGATCAATCGGACAAGGTGCACAGTCATACTGCTGTCAATACCTGGATTAATGCTCCGGTTCCAGGTCAGAGGTGTGTAGACGTCGCCCCGGCAATATAACGTTATTTTGACCTCCCGGCCATGTAGTTCGAGCCGCTCTACTACCACCTCACCGATGAAGTGACATATCCTTCGATTTCATACAATTTCAGAATCCCCACCAAATCATGGTCCAATATAGAGAGTCACCCAAGCATGCAGCCCGTCGCACCGCTGTCCGGAATATCTGGAAAGGCGTTCGAGGCTTGGAGACTGTCCAATGTGAGGACCAAGACCTAGAGCGCATCCAGGTCCAGGTGCTTCCCATGACGCTAGACGTGGACGGAATGCCGTGCTTCGAGCCATGTTATTTCAAGCCCATGAAGAACAACTTCCCTGACCCAGACCCTGAGTTGTTGGAAATGGACTTCCCACCATATGATCCGCAAGATGATTTCACCGTGGAGACAGTCTACTGGGCGGAAGGTGTTGCCAATTATGTCGAAGAATATATCCAGAGTGTTATATTTACTGGGCTCACTGAAGATAGTATCTTCAGTGAGTCCAGTAATAGTAGTAAACTGCCGTCAGAGTTAGTATTTCCTCGAATGACCTCCGTGGGGTGATACTGACCGGCTGTTTTGTAGTCCTAGCGATGAGGAGCTTTGGGATGTGGTAGGTGCCGATATTCGCTGGCTCAGCACAGCCACCAGCCATAGCCCCAAGCAGCCTTATTTCAAGTGCATGATGGCGAGCAACATCGATGGGAATGACAGGCTCACACGGTGGGAACTGGAGTGTATCTGCAAGAGCATGGAGAAGCTGCTCAATCTCCGCATTTATGCTAAGCACTTAGTTACTCCGGTAGGTCTCTCATCTCACATCCATTGCTATTGACTAGTGTTGATGTATCATACAGGTCATGATTCTATCCTATATGGGGCCAAGACAGGTCCGTATCCTCCTCGCTCACTTCGATGGGACCAACATGGTTATCCGAAAGAGCCAATTCTACGACATGCGGACTGAAGATGTGGAGGCGTTGAGATTGCTTGTCCGGTGGTGGTGTTCGTCTGAATCTGGGGATACCATTAACGGGTGACTTTGATACCATTGGCTTTATTCTTCTTTATCGAGATGTAATAGGGGCATATGATTGGCGTTGAGTTTAAATATTATACCCCGGGAAGGATTAATAACACAGTTGGTGGCTGAGACAATTCCATTGTCTTGTTACCCCGCTTCTGCTTAATTTAATTACCTACTTTGATGATGCCTCTGCTGGGCAAATATACCGCAAACTTTAGCTTCAACCCGCAGTGTCATATTGACAACATTCTAGCCCGGGCACGCCGATATCAAACGAATAAATCCACCACGACCCATTGCTTCCTCATCACAATCAATTCTAAGCCCTCACCCTGCAACAAACTATATCAAACCAACTATACCAACCTTTCTGTCAAGCCCAGGTCAGAATGACGCAACCGCCATGCGGAGAGAAATCTTCTTATATCCAACCCTAGAAAAAGCCTCCAGCCCTGCTCTACCAAAACCTCCTCCCTTTCCCCCCACCCAACCCAAATATCAACCACAATGATCCAAACCCACCACCACCCCTCCTCCACATCCGGCCTCTCCTCCCTAACCACCCTCCTCACCACCCCCACCACCTCCCTACTAATCGACCCTCCCTTCCTCCTCCCCGACGCCCAAGCAACCCTAACCTGGATAAAAACCCTCACCCCACACCCCCCAGTCGCAATCTTCCTCACCCACCACCACCCAGACCACTACTTCTCCGCAAACCCCATCCTATCCGCCTTCCCCGAGGCAAAGTTCTACGCCGCCCCTTACGTCCTCTCCCGAATCAACAACGAATACGACCAGAAACGAACCTATTGGCCGAATGCTCTGGGGGAGGAACTTGTCCCTGCGACGCCAAGGAAACCAGATCCCTACCCGTTTAGTTTCTTTTGTTTGGATGGGGAGGTAGTGGTGTTGTTGGGCCCGGTGCAGGGTGATAGTGTTGAGCAGACGGTTTTTTGGATTCCGGGGAATAGGACGGTGGTTGCGGGGGATGTGGTTTTTGGGAGGAGTGGGCATGTTTGGTTAGTTTTTTTTTTCCATTCCCTTGGTTGGGTTTGGGTTGGGGGGGGAAGGGGGATGTGCTAATGTGTGTGTGTGTGTGTGTGGAATAGGGTCGAAGAAACTGAATCCCCGAAGCTGCTCGATGCATGGCTTAAGACTCTCGATATGATTGAACAGTTGCATCCGGTCAAGATTATCCCCGGACATATGGAGGCCGGGTGGGAGTTGGATGCGGAGGCCGATTTGGCCCATACGAGACGGTATTTGCGTCTGTTTGGTGAGAAGGTGACCTATGCGTCTGAGAAGATGGGGGTGAAGGAACTGTATGAGGTGTTTCGGGAGGCGTTTCCGCAGTGTCGTGAGAATCTGGATTTCTTTTTAGGACATATGGCGAATCGGTTTGGGAAGGGAGGAACGGTGTGGGAGGAGAATCGGCATCAGGAGATTGGGGAGAAGAGTTTGGAGGAGTTAAGTGGGTATTGGTTGGGTTGATAGGGTATATTATAGTCCACGTCAAACGCAGATTTATTCTTATCCATCTAATATTGTATCACACGCATCATCGATGCCAACTTAGCGTCCTGTACTGCGCCCAAGCATCCGCCATATCTCCACGGACGCAAAGAAATACATGCTCAACCTGTTGCTGGCAGTAGCCGCACCAAGGAATGAAGAAATCAAAATATAACAACGGAGTCTGTCGAGGGCAGCGGCAAACCCCAAGATTGTCATTACAACTCCAGCTCTCGGCCATCCGAAAGCACAAACACAGCAATAGCGCAAGCAAAGAAACAGGAAAAACCGTGCCGCAACGAATCATGACTCCTCCAACGCCATCCCATTGTGAAAGCCGGGTATATCCAGCACCGTGATGCAAAATTTGTACGGAGAATTAACGAGTAGTCGAGGACATGACCACGGCCTGCAGAACCTGCCCAGCATTTCGCATGCAAGAGCAAGCCCACCAAGTCTAGCCCTCATTTTAGAACTGGAACCTATGCATGAAGCCAAGTCAAGTAAGGCAAAGAAAAGAAACGAACAAGTCACACTGCTTTTCATCCCGTCAAGTTCCCGTCCAGTTCGGTCATCTGGCCCCGATCCCAAACATACCAACCCCGTAACTTCCACCTCGGTCAGGCAGAGGGGTAGATATCTTCGAGACATGGTCCTTTTGGAGAAAAGCAATGGTGATCAGTATGTCAAAAAGCCAGCACCATCCGAATGTCCTACCTTCTTGCGTTTTTTCTTCCCCATTCCTTCACTGTTCGAGTAAAATGCTCCATCGTCATCGTCGTCAGCGTAACCTTCGCCGTAGCCAACAAAACTGTTGTCGTCGTAATGTCTTTTACGCCCCCGGCTGGGTCGAGATCGATCCGGTTCCGAAAAAGGCACCGGAGTTCCGTTCGGCTGCGTGACTCGAATGCCATTGGGAGGCGGTGCGACGGATTTCTTGCCGGCATCGCCACCACCTGCATGCTTGGATGGTTTTTCATGACCCAGTACGTCCTCCCAATACTCGTTGTTCGGGACCGTACCCGGCTCCATCTTCATGGCCTTCATCTGCAGATTGTGCAGCGCAGAATCAATGTCTGCTACTCTGATCTCTTTTCCAAAAACTTTCTGGTTCTGCCACTCTTCTTCGGGCCACATGGTCATATGCCTGAGCCCGCCGGGCGCACCAGGCTCGTTCTTTACAGGTTTATTCCTTCCTGCGAGGCCCAGACCCTTCAATTTTCCCTCATAGGACTTCCTGAGCCTATTGATCTTCTCGCCTGTCACAGGATCCATTCGGGCAACAGACTTTGCCACTGGACCTAACCCGTACAAAGAAATCAGATCCAGCGACGGGTCCGGACCAGTCGCAATATGGGCTGTAAAGTTCATAAGGCCACACATGTTAACATAACTCAATCCAAATGTCATATGGGAAAGAGTGCATTACGCATGACGGCAACAGCCACGCCAAGGACTGGGGAGCTCTTACAGCTTTTGCACAAATGAAAGGCCGACGAGAAGTCCTTCTGCAGAGACTCTAGACTTGGCCCACTGCGGATAGACGAAGCTGGTACCTCGCTATCAATCTCCATAGCGTCACTGGCGCCGCCCACGGCGAAATCGCGGACTCCAATATCCATCCCTCCTGGTTGCCGGTCATGATCGGTCCGTCTGTGTTCGGCCTGTTGCATTGCTACTGCATTCATAGTCGCAGTGGTCGCACTAGTATCGCCGATTCCCGGCCCAATCGGCTTATCGAAATTCTCAGAGTCATCAAACGAATTTGCACTTGGGATGTGCCCGCTCACGCTGCTTGCCGGCGTCGGGAACGAGTTTGCTGTACCTACCGGCGGTTGTTGCGAGGCTTGAGCAGACATCGGAGCAGAGGACGGTGGGGATGAGAGATTTGCGGGTTGTGGGGTCGCCTGGTTAGGTGATGCCTGCGAGGATACGAGATGGCTGGCATAGTTCTGAGCGCTTACCGACATCAACGGAGGTGATGTCGGAGACTGGGGAAAATGATCGGATAGATACGCCAGAGGCTGGGTCTGCTTGAGCGACCCTGCGGCGGGAGACGATGGTGATGGAGGCCCTACTCGAAATGATGCCGAGGAGGCGCGATCAGACATGGAGATTTGAAGGCAGGGTGACAAAAGAGGTTGGCCAAAGCCTGAGCAGCCCGAGCCCCGCGAAAGGAAGACCTAGATCGAAGATCTTCAACACGAGAGCAGATCACGGCAAATTCAGGCTAGGACAGAGACGAGGAGGAAATGGGGACACGCCGGTCGAGGTGCGCTCAAGCGGGCGAGCAGAACGTTCCACGGCCGTCTCAAAAGTCACACATTCCAATGAGTCGAGGTAGAATCGGGCTGTATATTCGGACAATAGAAGGCCCCAAGGCAGAGACCGGCGAAAAAGTGGATGGCGTGGTCTAAGGGCGAGTATATCACTGGCGGGGGTGAGCAGAGGTGGAAGAAGGCGTTGGAAGGGAAACCCTGTGGTCCGCAACTGGAGGAGAAACGGACGGCGAGATGTTGGATGACGGCAAGAGCCCCGGCTTGCGCACGTGACGCGCCCTCATTTCTGCGATTTTCCCTCTTTCGGCCTCCGCGCCCGTAATTCGCTTTCCATACGCGTGGTTAATACCGGTATCCGGGATTACGCTCGGGTATCGTATGCTTCGGTAATCGCCTCAACTAACTAGTTACAACTTTCCCCCTCCCATAATGGTAGCAGATCGCAGACATCCTTGCAATCGCCCGGTCGTCCGTACAAGGAGATTTATCCGCTGGATGTAAACATGCTACACAGTACGGGGCCTGTAGACATGGCCCTCAATCGGTGGCTCTCATGGATGCCCCTGACGGGCGCTCGCCTGAACCGAAGTAAAGCGGCAGAGCCATCCGGGGGTTTTACCTGGTGTCGTTGCATTTTCCTCCCGGAAGTTTCCTGCTTGCTTCTAGAATTGTCCCATTTATAGATTACAATAGACTGGCCGGCATGTATGTGTGTGTATGGCGGCTCTCGAGTCGCCACTGTGCGCTCAATAACTTGTGAGACTAATTTTATTTTATCCCCCTGCCGAAACCATTGTCCCTTTTATCCTGAACGTAGCGATCGGAAATGACCAAACACCCCGACGAAGCTCATCAACTTCCCACCACATGACCCTTGGGTATATTGAGATCCATGCATCCAGAATAGATATGATAACGCAAAAAAGGAAAAAGCACACCAGAGCGACAATAATCCTCGCATGGTAATACGCAACAAACACGCTGAATCTTACTGAATCATAACGAGCTCCCCGGGGAGGAGCTTTGACGACTGACCTATCACGACTGGTAAAATGTCGCGGACTCTTGCACGAGGAGCTGTGCGGAGACATCAGGAATATTGTCTTCCAATGTCTCCATCAGCTCCATCTGCTCTTGGTGGCTGAGCGTTCTTCCCCGCCACGGCGGCATCGGGTATGCGCCGTTTGTGTATTGGGAATATTGATCCCCTATCGTGTCGATCCAGCCCATGGGATCAACAGCTGCACCGACATACGCGAGCTGACTAGCCATGGTGGAGGCCGGGCTGAAATTGGGGTCCCAGCCTGGCAAGCCAGGGACGATGGAAGGAAATTGATTGTATGGGGTGGTTGGGTCGAACGGCAAGTCGGTGTAGGAGGGTGCGGGTAAATCGTAAGTTGGGGAGCTGAAAGATGGCTGTGTGGTGGTCGACATGGATTGCGGAGTGAGTTGGGCATCCCATGATGGGTGCTGCGCGGCCTTCAGTGATTCAGTTGCAACGGCTGAGGAGGTGGATCCCTGAGAGAAAGAAAATGATGGGTCCGCCGAAGGTCCCCTTGAGAATGTGCCAGCCGATGTGCTACTATCGGGAATCGACGAGTTTGCAGCCCGGGCGCTCTGTGAATGGAAGGAGGCTGAAGTACTTGCAGGGCTAGCAACGGACAGCGGAGTTGTAACATCTTGAGATGACGATGGAGTTGCATGATTGGACGGCGAATGGACGACAAAAGATTCTTCAGTAGCATAAGCTCGGAGGCAAGCAGCAACTAGACTTCTGTAAAGGACCAAGGCCGATTCAACACCGGGCCATCTCTGTGCAGCAAGCACAATGGCATCCAGTGCCACGCCAAGATGGCGTTTAACTTCGTCAATAGGGTGTTCCTTTCGAATGTCAGGATAAGAGAGGGACCAAAGGATAGTGTTCAAAGCCATGAAAAGACTCTGCGTGAAGATCCAGGTCAGGTCGACAGATCCTGTCGCAATTTGTTCCCTTTGCATTGCTACGTTGAAGACGGACGCATCATAGCATTTTCGTGCAGCATCGACAGAAGGCTCGGGCACCTGGGGGGAAGGTCGGAACATGAAAACTATCATCGTGTTGCGTCTTCCATGGAACCTGTGACGGTTAACATCATTAAGATAAGCAGCCAGACATATGACATGTATGCAGATGGTCCTTACCATTTTTCGCTCAGGCCACTGCCGCCATCGTTTTTAGGGCAAGAGGCTACCCATTTATCCATTTTCTCAAGCATCTGCGAAAACCATGGGTCTTGGTCATCCACAGGTACATCGCGCTTATTCAGATAAAGTGTCCGTCGAATCTCTGCCTGAAGGAGTCGCATCCTCAAAAAGTGGATTGCTATGCACTTAGGTAGTATTATCTTCGCTCCTGGGAGGATGCCATCACGGGTGATGAATCTATCTTCCACGGGGTTGAAAAACTCGACGTTGATGTGGTCGTGACAGACTGAATAACAGTTCGGGCGACCGAGGCTATGGGAAAGGCCGTACTCCATGGAAATGACAATCCAGAAAAGCCGCCTCCGCATATCGATCTCCAAAGGATCCAAAAGCTGGCCGCTGGGAGACCGCGTAATAGTCGACTCATCAGTAAGCCCTAAATCCTGACATAACTTGACTGCCATTCCAACCACCCAATATGCAGCTGTTCTCGTGGGGGTAAGCATTGAGTATTGAGCTATCAGAGCAAGGCATTGTAAGGATCTAAGGTCCATTCGTTTTAAAGACGCTTCTAGGAATGGTAGCGCCGCAAGATAATAGCTGTCCGCCAGGCCTGCATAAACAGTGCTCATCTTCTGCATGCTGATGGCTATTACCATCCGTAGCTGGAAGTTATGACAGGGATCATCAGACCCATTAAGCACCTCTTCGGCTTCTTGGCGGAACGTGGGTTCGTGTAATGTCGGAAGCATTGCCTGGGCTAAATAGCGAGTCAACAGCTGCGTGGAGGGGGGGTGCGCATCGGATAGAAAGCAAACGTACCCTTGACGACAAATACATCAATGAGTTTATAAGTCATGTGTTTCGGAGGTAGATTGGGTTGAGGTGTCGAGCTGATCATGGGATACACTTTGGATGTTGGCTTGGAGCTTTCTTGTGCAAAAGCATCCTTAATCTCCTGCGCCGTCAATTCAGGAACGACGTCTTTGATGCTTTTGGAATCTGTGTTTTGCTTGGCCATTTCCATGACGAGGCGCGTGATCGCAATACCGCTAGATGGCCCCAGATATCTCGACTCATCATTCTCTTTGAACCGAATGCGGCCTGCCCCACGCACCATGAGTTCGGCATCCGCTGCATGTTGGAACTCTTTCTCCACTTCAGCAAGCTCTTTCTCTAGCATGCGAGCTCTCTCCCGGAGCAAAACGATATAGTTCCTTGAGATCGTGCTTTTACGAGCCGAGTCGTAGTAGACACACTTGGCGTTACTGCGTTCGCATGGAGAGCATCGTGGGATTCCGGGATCGCACCTAGACTTGCGCTGTATACGAATTAGAACCGCCAGCTTGAGCCATGAGAGATGGAGGGAAGAGGAACTAAGACAACAAATGGAGATGGTCATGAAGATGGGTGGTAAGGGCAGTGGTGGAGTGAGAGGGATGCGTACCTGTCTGCACCGCGTACAAGCAGTCAAAGTATGTGCAATCCGACTATCGGGAGAATGATCGGATTGTTCTATAATTTTTGATGGAGAATCTGTCCAGGGGTTCGTAAATTGTGGGCGTGAACTTGAAGAGTTGAACTGCGAGGCCATGGTGTACGTCGTGCATAAGCACCCCTATATTAGGTTGACTGAGGGTTTTCGGGTTCAGTTGAAGGTAACATCCACTCTGCATTCTATGTATCGCATTTAGCCCGAGGCTTTCAGAGCTCGAATAAATCCAGGTCCGAACGTCAAGCACACGCGATTGTAAAATATTGATAGGGCACTTGACGAGACAGCACGTTCGACATGTTCAGGGTTCGCTCTAACATGCACCAGCTGCTAGGAGTAGGCGGCAATACCCGCACGAAGCAAGGGGTTTGCACAGGTTGAGATTCTCGGCTAGCACCTATCGCGGAATCCGGCGGAAGGTACTCATTCGGTCGCTAGAAAGGTACACGATTTCTGCTGTTGCGAATTTGAAATGGGGCGCAAAGGAGGGGGTGAGGTGGAAACTGAAGTGAAGCAGGCCTCGGTCCACCTCCCGCCTGGATCGACGGCACGCTAAAGAGCGCCCCGATGACCGACGTCGCACGTACCGGGACTACGGGCACCCACAGCGGCCGGTTGCGAAGACTGGCCTCGAAATTGACGGGTGGATGTCCAGTGCGGTGGGCCCCGTACCAAACTATCCGGTGGATTACTGCCTTCGAGATCCGGTCGGTGGGCTTGCTGCGAGAAAGTCCAAAAGCCAAGCAAGAGAGCTTAGCTCGGGACCTCAGGGCTCAGGGACACGAGGCTTTATACACTACTACTAGTAGTCGACGCAGTAGATAGCACATATCGTTGCATAACCTTTCCCTAAGATCTGCGGTGGCGGGTGATCTAGTCTTGATTACGGAGTACTGAGCAAAGCAAAACGCAGTATGTTCCCACTAGCCTAGCTTACTCCCCGAGCCTCAGCACACCTTGATACATTAATACGTTGGGTCTTGGAGTAAATTAACGTCCACAGGAGTGAGTGCGCAAAAGGAACAGGGTCGATGACTTCCTCACGGGACTCGAACCCGCCTGTTGGTGCAGTTGTACGTCGGTATGACATAAGTACTACTTCCTCGCACACCCTCATTCTGCCGGGCCAAAAGCTCTCGGTAAGGCGTTCGAAGGAGTAGATTTAGGTAGGCGGTGTCTTGACCAGTCTAGACCGGTTGCAAATGCATGATGCAAATGATTTATTTCATGGCCTTGTAAGAATTCTATGATAGGAACTGACATGTTCGTTTGCTATATTCGTAATATGGATAAGTTGAGCTGAAAAAATGGAGAAAGGTGCCGACCCTTCGAATAACATAATGGAGTTTCGCATTCATTGAGAATAAGAGTCGCGAGAGCAACAAGTTGAAGGAGAGTTATATTACCATGGTACTGATCTGAATAATGGCCCATCTGATCCAAGCTTCGGAGTTCGGACAGCTACCCAGAAAGGGTATTTGGGTAAGCACGGGCGGAAGTCTGCAACTCCCTTCAAAAAGTCAGAATCTTAGTTAATTAACTCAATTGACTAGGCAGTGATCGCCCGAGTCCTATACCTATGGCCTTATGCTAACTAGGAAATCATACCGAAGAAGCACGACTGAACCAAGCTAGTCCTGGAATACTTCATTGACCGACAAACTGCAGTAGAGCTATTTTGCGTCCCAAAAAAAAGCTCAGATGGATTGTCGTGATGTACATAGTGGTTTCATGAATAGTTTAGCGCCCCGAGTAACCGGTTTCGATGCAAGGATTCCGGTTGCATAATTCCAGCCACTGCGACATAGGCAGATATTACTATAGGCAGGTATGTGCCGGTGGGAAAACATATTGGTGCTGACGAGCTCATCCGACTCAAGCCGATCCTCTCACAATTCCAGCATGTCAGTTTAAACATGTCCTGCCCGATCAACATTGCTCGAGGGGGCATTATTGCCTGTTTTGGACCGGCCAAGTGCCGAGTGTTGCAGCACGAAGTTCACTAGTAATACGGACACGGTACTAGGCTACTAGCACCTTCTCTGGTGACCGAAGCTTTTTCGGCAAGATTATGCATAATACTCAGCCCAAAACACTTGCTAACGATACAGTATAGGTTGGTCCATCAGCCAGGCAGGACGAACCAAATCACCTTCGATAGTATACAATGGGATAAGTAGGCACATGAATGGCGCCCCAAGCCGTCCAGTCGCGCAGGAGATTCCAGGCTTCCAGCCCCCCCATTGCGCGTGGGGGAGGTGGGGTCCACTGGGGCGATGAAAGGAGGGGTGCGAGCAGGAGCCAACCTTGACCGGAGATTGGTGTGTGGCACCCAATGAAAGCAACCGCCTAAAAGCAGAACCGTTCGGGCCAGATGTCCGTGGTGCTGGCGGCCGGGCGGGTGGTCACAAGTCGCAACTCAAGTTCGCAACCCAAGTTTACCGTACCAATGATACCTGATAAGAATCCCCAAAATCCGCCCCCCATCCTCCTTCCCTGGTACAGTCGGATCTCGGGAATCTTGTTAGGCCACCAGCTATCAATCCAGACTGGTATCATTAGTCCCTTATATCCTGCTAAAATACGACAAGCGAACACAGGAAGGTGGGCAAACGCTGAAGCGGAGGTCTGGCTCAGGTACTATCTAAGGAGGCTGACGGGTACGGTACAAACCCCCCCTGCTTTTGCGCTAGCTCGTGACCCTAATTGCGTAGGGCTTGCGGTACTTGTCCTTTCTCCCCTTCCACCCTCTGCAACTGGCTCATCTTCTGCAAGTCCTGCTAGCCGCTATGATCTGATTGCTAATGTCATCTGCTTTGAAGACCTTTCACCAGTCGATCTGAAGGCACCTGTCTTTTCCGATCTCGGGTACATGGCAGATCTCCTACTTAGGGATTTTCAGCACCCGCAAGTCCTCTGTGCTCGGGGCAGTTGAGCCCCTCTTGTTACTGTGGCCGTTCAGCCAGCCTCCCCGCCAACTTCTGGGCTAGCTTGATAGCGCTAGTGCTTGGTGAGTAATCTTGCCTCGAGTTCTCGTCCCTTGACCCATATACCTACCAAGAATAAGGTGCAATAAATTTATGGCATTGAAAGGAATCTCCTGCTTTCTCCACTTTTCCTCCTGCCAACACCTGTCAAGTAGATTTCTACAGAACCTTTCCTTCGACATAAATGAGATAGTCCTCACTGACACAACTACTTGGCTACGTGCTACCAGGTTCTGACCAAGTCTACACTGCCCTCACTTTTGTGGAAGAGCCGCTTATACATACTGTTTCTTGGGCTTCCATCCGTGCTGATACTTCCTTGGTAGGTGTTACATTTTATCCCTCTTGCGTAACCATTTCATTGACAGCGTGGTTGATAAGGCAAGGCATTGGGGCGCACTGGCCTCCCTTTTCGCTGCTAAACATTGTTTGATCACCGGCACGGAATAGAGAATATGTATAATTAGCATGTCGGCCACTTCGTTTTTGGATAAACCACTCCTCAAAGTCAGTCGACCAGTGGCTGCTTGCTCAAGATGCCGAACAGCTAAGATCAAGTGTGATGGGAAGCTTCCGGCCTGCTCCGCGTGCGAAAGGGTGGGGAAAGCGAGTACATGTTCTGGCGCAAGTGATGAATTTGCTAGGGGAAAAGAGAGAAGCTATGTTGCCTCCCTGGAGGGCTACTGCGAAAGACTCGAGAAGAAGATTTCAGATCTCCGCCGCCTGAAAGCATCACTATCTGTCGACGAAAAAGGTGTCGCTCATCAGAGTTCAATCACTTCTATCTCATCGACAGGCTCAGTTGTACAGGAAGGCGGCAAGGAAGTGACCGATATTGATGACCTCGTTGGAGACTTTGGCTTTCTGTATGTCGGCCCCGCACCTGGCGCAAACGTGCTTCAGAAACTCACATGCTTGTCAGATCCGTCAATGCTACTTCGAGAGATTTCCATGGGATTACATCCAACACCTCTTTCGCCAATCTTCTTCTGTCCTTGTCACAAGCTGACCCGATACCAAAAACAGCAGCGCAACCGTTACCTCCACGTCATGAAATAACGCCCCTGCTACAACATTACTTTGACAACCTCTATATACAGCTTCCCTTTTTCCTGGAGACGAGCTTTTGGGCCTCTGTTGATGCTGTTTATCAAGCTGGGGGGCGTTTCGCCAAACCTTTCGACAAGTGGATCTTGCATATGGTATTGGCCACTGCGTCTGCCTCGATCGCTCTCGAGAATGGCGATAGGAACTACCAGAGAGCTTTATCTCATGTTTCAGCAGCATTGAAACAAGCAGAAGATGTCGTCCGCCCCGGTACTATAGTCGGCATTCAATCAATCCTTCTGCTCGCCCAATATTCTTTGTTTGATCCCAAACACTTCCGCGGTTGGTACCTAGTGGGGATGGCCGCCAGGGTCATGGTTGATCTAGGCTTGCACCAGGACCCACCTTCAGACGTCCAGTCAGCATCAGAACAGTTGGATCTTCGCCGTCGTGTCTTTCAATGTGTCTATTGCTTGGATAGGTTTGTCATCTTATACCCACCCTTGCTATGTGCTGGAGCTGATGCATATACTTGCTATTTTATCAAAGGGGAATAAGCACTGCCGCAGAAAGAACTTTCTCATTCTCAGACGATTCTGTCAATGTTGCTCTACCGTCTTCTACCACATCCTTAGATGCTTCCTTAACCGAAAAGAGCCATATCTTTTTGCGCAGCTCGGAGCTTGCATGGCACATAGTCAGAATCCGACGAATATTGTCGGAAGCTTATCAAAGGACGTACTTCCATGAACATGAAACGTCTCTTCAACCGCCGGTATCGACCTGGGCTCTCTGTTCGAGAGCATATGAGTGGTTTGATAACATCCCAAGCAATACGCCGAATTATTTCCCCGTCTTATACCGATTGGAGTTGATATACACAACGGTCATGATTCTCTCACCCTGTGATGGGAAGCCGGCACTATGTGACTACAGCAAGATTGCATTGTTTGATTGCTGTATGCGGTACATTGCCCAGCTCCATGATGTGCTGAGGAACCCCACCTGGTTACCTTTAATGACTTTCCTGGATATTGAAAGGGCATACCAGATTGCTCGACGATTCATTGGAGATATGACGAGCAACCATGACCTTTTATTAAACCCGTCAATACCTGCATTACCATCTATCCCTCCTGAGGTTCCCGAACCTCTCATATTGAATGGGGAAGATTGCATGAGCTTTTACGCGCGCGCTACCGAGTGTCTCAGTCAGACGCATGACCTCCTTCAATATGGCGCGAGGAAGTGGGAGGCCAGCGTCATCTTTGCAGAGTTCCAGCAAATATCGGAACTGGCTCAGAGACGCCTAATACATTCACACGCTCCTTATCTCACGGGTTCGGCAGCTTACATGGCTGGCTACTCTACGTTGGTGCCTGCAGGAACAGGATACCTAGGGTTTGATATTGGATAATTTGGCCCTCGGCGAGGGCCAAGGCAAAGTGTGCCGTCCATGATCTACCAATAATGCCTATAATTTGCCAGTGTCTTTGGTTATCCAGCTTGATTTCTTAGTCATGGTCACCTGCCACGTAACGTTGGTTGAATTATACTCCGCGAAGGTTGTCTTTCCTCTGTGGATACTGTATCTTTGATTCCATCTTCCTCTTCTTCTATCCCGTACTTTACTCTCATCGTGTGATGCCTTTGGGGACAATGAAATCGCAGCTTGGATGAGCCCTTAGGGATGCGGGGGAGGAGACGAAGGGTTGTGCTGCAAGGGTTGCGAACAACAACCTCCTGGGCCGATCATATTGGGCCATGTGGGCTATTACCAAACCATGGGGAGTTGAGAAATGCTCGGGAATGCCAGCCCCTGTGGCTTGTTATTTGGTTCAAATTGTATAGATATCCTTGAGCGACCTATCGACCATCCATTCATCTAGGAGAGAGCGAAGTGCTTAGGTGGAAGCTGAACATGCACCTTGTACTCTTAGTTGTGGCATGGCTTCTATGCAGGTCAATGGAAGGGATTCGAATAAGAACATGTGATTTGGTTTGAAAATTTTGGATCAAAAGGGGATAGACCGCGTGTTCTCCCTTACTTCTCCATCTCTTGACTTCATCTGAAAACTTTCCCCAATCATCATCGGGCATCGTGTAGGTAGATACAGATTGCTACGGTTACCAAGTTAATATTATGTGAACACTCGATAGGAAAAAAAAAAACGGTAGGGCAGAGCTAGTGGACTGCTCATGACGTCAGGGTGATGCGTCGCGGAGGGAGACGAGTGGAGCCACTGTCACCCTCCGTCCACTTTGGTGAGCTCCATAAGGCAGAAGAACGTTAATTCTTCGTTTCTTGCTGGATGGATGGATAGATAGCTGGAGAGGATTTCCGCGTGCCTTCAGGGGGGGGCTGATATCAGACTCTGCGTGAGTGCGTCATGACCTGGCCCGTCTTGATACGAAGTATAAGTAGGTTTTGCCTTGCCGCTTTTCGAGCCTGTTGTTGATGTGGTTGGTCGAGAGATGAAGAGCTCCCAGCCATTTCAGGGATGGACGTGCCCGGATGAATTCTCATACGCCGTCCCAGCTCCCCTGACGTGGATGAATCACATGTTGGGAGATCACTCCATGGCTCTCGACAGGAATTGAGCCCCCCCCTCTCCTCTCCGTCCATGCTGAACAGAACGGAGTACTTTTTTTTTCTGTACTTAATAATATGATGGTCAAGGAGGATCCGCGCCCCCAGTCCTGTCACGTAGCGCCGATCCCCATGGATTGCGGCCTAGATCTTCTGAGTTGGCGCGGGCCGCCCTTGACTTCACTGGCGCGCAACCCTGCTTGGTGATGACCTCATTCATGGTCGCACCAACTCTCCAACGGTGCTGGGAGTCGATGCCGGGGACGATGTATCCCTCCTCAGATGGAGTGATTGATTGCCCGTCCCTTGTCCCTCTCGTCACCATGACACCATGACGTCAAGCAGGTGGGTTGGTCCGAAGGGGCAGGCACCGCTGCCCATGGGCGCTCCTTCCCTTCGCTGCATGCGTCGTAGTATTTAATCCGTAGAACTTCGATTTTTTGACCTTTCCATCTATCCATTTGATACCCCTCTGCCCACATTCCCCCATTCTAACTCTACGACTACAACTACAACTACTACTACTACTACTAATACTAATCCGTCTTCTGCGTCCTTCATTCCGGAGATACCCAGCGACGCGACCGTTCATCCCTTGTTGTCAATTATCACCGATCTTCTTCACATCGTGTACTTTATCTTACTTTGTCTTTCTTGGCCAAACACCTTCTCCTGGTGGCTCCTGGTCCCTTGCGACATCCCGCCTTTCAACATACATACCGCAAAAAGAACATTGTTGCGCGTTTTCGAATAATTGAGTTTTTCTGCCACAATGCCTTCCAAAGCAGTTAATTATCCCCTGAACACCCAGCAGAAGGAGCAGGTATGCTTGGTCGTTCTCCTTGAATGCTGAAAGCCATCCCCTCTGACCCGTGTGCCGTTTCTAGGACATCAACCAAAAGCTGCAGCTCTATGGGATCTATCAAGGTAAACCAATGCGACTTTCCTCGAGCAATTGTAATGCTAATATGACACAACGCAGCTTTCAAAAATGGCAAGCTCCCATCGGTATGTGTAAACCATTGACTGTTCGAATCATAGGGCCTACTGACCATGTTTTCTACAATAGAACAAACAATGCGACGTTGCTCTGAACAGCGCTCTCACTTCCAAGGCCCTCTCATCGCCGTCCCAAGAACTCTCCGGCGAAGGCCAGGCTCTGGTCAAGGATCTCCGACATGTTATAGAACATGCTAAAAAGCTCGTACTTAGCAAGAACGAGGGCCAGCTCTTGCAGGAGTTCCTTTGGGAGGCACAGAACATCTCCTCCGGGGACACGGAGAAACCAGGTGTGCCTGTAACCAAGGACTCGGCCCAGCAAGATGCACAGGAGGCATTGGAAGGTCTAAAGACCCTTGGCAGGCTTCTGATCACCAATGGGGAGTTCCGGAAACTGCGTAAGTTCATTTGGACTATACAGAAAGACCAAAAACTAACAGTATCCACACAGTAAATGATGCTATGACCCTTGCACGTGATATGGCTGGCGATGTTTCCCAAAAGGCCGCGGACCGGGTTAGACCGTCGGCGGATCAGCTTGCTCAGATTGACGAACCGGCCGAAGAGAATGTATGGCACGAGCAGCCTGACTTCTCAAAGCACAAGGATCAATTTAGAGCTCGCTTCAAGAGAAACAAAGACGTGGGTTCCTGGCCCTTGAGAATATTGTGCTCATCTACTCACACATGACTAGGAGGGTAAGCAGGAAGTCGCCGATACCACGGCCCAGGCTGCCACCCGTGGTCAAGAGCCCTCATCAGTGTCGGACGTTGATGCGCGTGCTGGTGTTGCTGCCGGGGCAGAAAGGGCCCAGCAAAAAGCTTCCGAAACTGTCCCCGAAGAGACAAAGGGTCGTGCTCGTGAATACAGAGAGAGGACCAAGGGTTACCTGTCCGAAAAGGTGCCTCAGGAACGCCGGGAGCAAACCATTTGGCGCTTGAAGAAGATGGTTATTGAAGTACAAGGTCATTCGGATTGTAAGTTCTTGATAAGCTGTTGAGCAACTGCAAGTAGCTGATCCTGGGTGTGTGACATAGACCAACAGGCGATCCGAACTCTTCTTTCCATGGCTGAGAAGTATGGTGGCCATACACGGAATTTGTCTCAACAGGGTGCTGGATCAGTTCAGGGCTTCAGAAGCGGGGACAAAATCCAGAGAATGGAGACCAATCTAAGAGTATGTCAGCCAGTCCTGCCGGTCGACCAGTGGCTAACTTTATCTGGCCAGACTTTGCTCGAGCGTTTTGCCAACAACACGTCCCTTGATAACCTCTTTGACTCGCTGGACAACATCTATCGGGATGCGGATAGGGACCCCGAGCTTAAGGGTTGGTTCAAGAACATGGACACATTCATCCGGTGAGTATATACAGACGAGGACGCGGAGAAGGTTCTAATGAATTGTGCAGGAAAACCCTCACGGAGCAAGGCTATATCATGGATGACGATTGCACTCGCCAGTGGGATCAATTGACGGATCATGGCCGTTACCTATTGCGTGACCGCTACAGGGACCACACCGATCGCATCCTCGATGAGATGAAGTTCATTGGCGACCAGTTCAATAAGGACCCTCAAAATAAGGCTTTCGGGGATTCAGTGCAGAAGCTCTTTGATGACCTTGGCCGCGACACGAGCGGTAACATGGCATTTAAGAAGCACCTCCTCAGAGACATAAGGGATGTCATTTTGCCGGCTATCCTTGAGGATGTTCGCTACGTCCCTGTTCCACGCATTGAAGTGTCCGATCCCTCAGCCGATGTAGTAAGTCAATTCTTAACGTTTTAGCTATATACTTGACTGACTTTCAAAGGTTGTGGAAAACCTCGTCATCGAAAGTGATAACTTAATGCCCAACGTTGTGGAATTTGGCAGCGATAACTACTTCCGATGGGGACGCAAGAAGATCAGCAACAAGAGAGACAACAAGGTTTGTTCTAGATCCCTTACAGGTTCTGAGTAAAGTAGACTGACAATAGGTTTTGAAGATCATGATTTCGGTGTCTGGCATCCAAGCTGACCTCAGAGGTATGTTTTCTTTCAATGGTAGTCAAAATGTTCTTGTGCATTTTCGCTGACGCCGTTTCAGATGTGAGTTACTACATCAATCGAAAACAGGGATTCCCTGCCATCACGGACACTGGAGTTATGGATATCTTCTTGGGTGGTGAAGGCTTTGGATTCAAGATTGCAGCCTCTACCGCTCAGAAGGAAGACCGTCAGAACTATATTAAGTTGGAAAAGGTGTCCGTGAAGATCGATTCCTTCAACGTCAAATTGAAGCAATCGAAACACAAGACACTTTTCACCATCTTTAAGCCATTGCTGTTCCGGGTTGTCCGTCCAACCCTGCAGAAGGTACTGGAACAGCAAATCCGGGACGCTTTTGCCAAGGGAGACGCCTTTGCATACGACATTCAAAGTGAGGCGAAGAAGGCACAGGAAGCTAGTAGTCAGGATCCTGCAAACGCGCCAAACATCTACTCTCGCTACCTGGATGCCTTCCGCGCTAGGAACGAGGACAAGAGACGAAAGGCGCAGGAGATTGCTAAGCGTGACACCAAGGTGCAGACAGCTACTACCCTTCACGAGTCCCTCTTCCCTGAGATCAAGCTCCCTGGTGGTATCACCAGCAAGGCCACTGAGTACAAGGAGCTTGCGATGAAGGGAGAACGCTGGGAATCTCCCATATTTAGCATTGGGAGCGCCTCGGAGTCCACTGATATCCCTAAGGCGGGCGAGATTTCTCGCAAGCGGGCTTCACCTGCTGAGAAAGGCGGGGTCGACGGAGTAACCAATGGTGGAGCGACCAGCAATGGTGTCACGGCCCAAAATGGTGTCACTAACGGTAGACACACAAATGGAGGAGCGACCAACGGCACCACAGCTGTCACCGGCGCACCAACCATGACGAACAGAGGCGGAAAAGCTATGGATGGGCGAGTTACGAATGGCAGACATGCTGTTCCTGACTCGAACGGACATGCCAAGGCATATGACCACGCAGCAGCATCCCAAAAATTCTCTGATGAAGTCAACCAAGCTTTCAGTAACGGACACGCTGGGACTGGTGCTCACACCACGGTCCGAGGGGCCGAAACTGCTTTCAATCCCCAGACTGCATAGGTTCATGGCAGAGAAAGGTCGAGTTGAGCAGATGGATCAAACTATCTACGCCATCCTTTCTTGTCTAAGGTACTCAAGTATCTCTTTCGTCTGTTATCTTGCCTGTATGGTGTGTACTTTTTGATACCTTGTTTACGACTGTCGATTTCTCTTTCATATGTTATCCAAACCTAATCTTGTCATTAGTATGATTGTGCTAGTAGGTAATGATTAATCTATATTGATATCCCCTGCTGCTTATATGTTTGTCTGTACTTGTGTAGTGGATCACGGGTGCTACAGCACATAACCCCAGTTTTCACATTACAAGTGTTGGGAATCGGCCCCAGGAAAACATGGCTGAATCATTACCCCTTGTATAGAATTTATACTCTATGTACTTTCAACATTTTGTCCCATTCATTCGTAAAACCATTACATTTGCTCAAAGTACTTTTCCCATCCGAGCTCGCGCAGCTTGGTGCCCTTCAACTCCATGTTCTCGGCCCGGGCACTCTCAGCATACGCCTCAACCTTTCGTTGAATGGCGGGGTCAAAAGAGCCGATGATACGGGCAGCCAGGAGGGCAGCGTTAATGCTGTTGTTGATGCCGACAGTGGCGACAGGAACACCTGTAAGTTTGAAGACTTGTTAGACCAGATACGTAGTATCGGGAGTGTGGTGGAAGGTAAGGATGTAGCATGCATAGTGCGAGAGCGGGGGGGTGACTGCACTTTGCAGGCGTGTATGCAACAATAACGGGTGATTATATGGACATTGGGATCGACTTACCCCTAGGCATCTGTACAATGCTGTACAGACTATCGACGCCATCCAAGGAGCTACCCTTCACGGGGACACCGATCACAGGGAGCGCGGTATGGGCGGCAGACATGCCAGGGAGGTGAGCAGCACCTCCTGCAGCAGCAATAATAACCTTGATGCCGCGGGCCGCGGCACTGGCAGAGTAGTCAGCCATGTAGGTAGGGGTGCGGTGAGCGGAGGTGATTTCCACGGCGGGCTCGATGCCGAAGTAGTCCCTCAGGAGCTTGAGACCGGGCACCAGGGTCTTGAGGTCACTGTCGGAGCCCATGATGACCGCGACGGAGGGGGCGGGCTTCGAGGGGCCGGACTTCTGGGGCTTGGTCTTGACGTCGCTGCGCTGGGAGCGGATCTCGTCGACGACGTCGATAAGAGGCTGGATGTGGGTTTCGGCTTCGTGCATGGTGGCTGCGGTGACGGTGATGTGGCCCATCTTGCGGCCGGGTTTGGCGGCGCCCTTGCTGTAAAGGTGGATGCTGGCGTTGGGGATAGAGAGGGCGCTCTCAGCGGCCTTGAGGTGGGTGTCTGGGGCGGAGCCGCCGATGATGTTGAGCATGATGGAAGGTTGGCGGATCTCGAGGCTCTGAGCGGGGATGGGGAGGTCGAGGATGGCGCGGAGGTGGGCTTCGAATTGAGACATGGCGCAACCCTCGATGGTGTAGTGGCCGGAGTTGTGGATACGGCTGGCAATTTCACAAAGGATAAGGCTATCGTCGTCCAGGAGGAACATCTCGACTCCAAAGACACCCTTGCCTTCGAAGGCGGCGACGGCCTTACGGGCGAGTTCTTGCGCCTTGCGGTTGATTGCGTCGGAGACGTTGCGGGCGGGGGCGTAGACGAGCTTGCAGATAGAGTCCTCCTGGAGGGTTTCGACGGTGGGGTATGAGAGGACTTCGTCCTTGGTCTTCACAACCATCACGGCGAGTTCCTGGGGTTGGGTGTTAGATAGCGGGTATAAGGTGTGGAGGTGGGGCCCCGAGGGAAGGTGGGTATACCATCTTGAAGTACGCCCATTTCTCGGCGTACAGAGGGCGGTCCTTGAGGGCCTCGAGGGCTTCGGGGATATCATCTTTCATTTGCACACAGAAGTTTCCTGGAGAGTAGTAGTCCTGTTAGTGATCGGTGCTGGTGGGGACTATTGTGGTAATGGGGGAAGGGATGGTGACTCACCGCGTCCATCGTAGGCCATGGTCTTCGACTTCAGCATCATGGGGTAGCCAAGCTGCTCGCCAACCTTGGCCAATTCCTCAGGAGTGTTCTCGACGAGCTCGCGGTGATCAGCCATGGGGATGCCATAGTTCCGGAGGTGCTCCTTCTGGTTGAACTTGTTCTGGATGGTCCGGATCGCCTGCCAACTGGGCTCGATGCGGACCTGGGAGGAAATCTCCTCGAGGGCATAGGTATCGACGTGCTCGATCTCGGCGGTCACGACGTCGCAGGACTTGGCCAGTTCGCGGACGGCTTCGCGCTCCTTGAAGGAGCCGGTGACATGGTCATCGTGGGCGCTAATCTGCTTGGCCGGGGAGTTCTCCGCATCAAGGACGTTGCACTGGATGTTGAGGCGATTGGCCGATTCGACCATCATACGGCCCAATTGGCCTCCGCCGAGAATTCCCACCTTGCGGGAGTTCCACATGATGTGTAGAAGGGATGAAGTTGAAGGGGAAGCGAGAAAGGCAGGCAGCAGCACGCACCAGGCAGAGAGATCTGGGGAAGAGAAAAGGAGCCCCTCCACGGCGGAGCAAAAAATCCGCCCGATAACCGTCACGTGCCCCTGTGATAAGCGGCAGCCGGGCCCAATCAGAGCCTGCGGTTGCCGGGGGAGCCGCCGTCCCCGCGTGTCCAGATCGAGCCCATGTCAATTCCGCCCGTCATTGCTGCTTTTCCTCTTCTTTCCTCCCCCGTTTTCTGGTCGCATCTTAGATCGCTGGCCGCAGAAGTGCTGGATCATGTCGCTGGGTAAGTTCGAATCTACCGCCATGGTTGCTATCCAGCTGCAATGCTGCTTTCTCCCATATCTCGACCTTCACTATTAGCTTTCCTTCATTCATCAGCTCCTCAGGCACCGTTCCAAGCTCCAGCCAGCTGACCGATGACGCGATCGCAGATGAAGAAACCCTCGAGGTGGTCGCCAATGGTGGCTCGATGGACTAGTATGCCGATTCACACCCCAAACAAACATCAACGGGGCAATCGGAGCTGACATCCCCGTTCCAGTGAGAAATGGCCCAGCATGGTCGAACCCCTGCTTGACCGGTTGGACCATGTGCGCAACCCTCCCTCTCACACACCCCCAGCACCGACTGACCTACCTCGCGTACCTAGATCATATACAATGTCTTCCCCATGCCCCGGGTCCCTCCCGAGATTCAACAGTCTTTGAATACCACCGTTCCCTACGCGCAGAACCCCAACACCACTGCATCATCCACAACCCTCCAAACACCTCCCAGACCAACCGCCACCTCCCTGCACCAAACTCCCGCAAGCGAGCGCATCCCTGACTCCCAACCCCAGTCATCGCAAGGTCCTTCCCTTCCTCAACCGCTCGAATTCCACCTAGCTTCGATCAAATCTACCCTACGATCCCTCTTCGCCACAAAACCACCACACACTATCCAACGCCTCGCAGAACTGATTGTTCGCCCAACCGCGCACTATCGCACTCTTCCCGCGTATATCCGCGCCGTCGACCGCGTCGTCTGTGTCACCAGCGGTGCGGATATTTTCCCCCTCCAGACGCAGACTAGCGCCGCTCCCCAGCCGAACGGCGCGGTTCTCAACGGCACAGAATCCGGGCTCCTGTTCTCAGACCACGGGCTTGGCAGTGATGAGTCTCTAGGCGGGGCGCTCCTTACTCCGATTCCATGGTTGAGTAACGCTGCCGCGTCGCCAGAGCGCGAGGATGAAAGCGGTGCGGTCATGGGGGATACCAGCTTCCCTGCGCAGGCAGCAGAGGGCACTGGGCCGGATCAAACAGGGACAGGAGTTGTTCCTTCGACTGCGGAGACGGTGGAAACAAATGGAAACGAAGGCGTAGGCGGGTCTCCGCCGCCTGATGCGTTGGAGGATATTCCCCATGCGCGAGGCCCATCTGTACTCGGTGTGGAGGACCTGGGTCTCCAGGACGGTAAGGGCGTGGAAATGGATCTTTCAAGCGCTGAAGATGGTGCGTCTGAGCTGCACACTGCGGGCCAGCAAGGTCAGCAGCAGCAGACTGGCCTGACCCAGGGAGACAGTCAAATGTCCGAGGAAGCGGCCAAGCTGTCTACGGATGGAGACGGAGACATCGCTTTAGAAGATGCTAAAGCCGGAGGGGAGGAAACTCCGGGATCTGAGACAGCGAATAAAGAGCAGCAGCAGGCGTAGTGTCGGGAGTAGTATGATAGTCTATTAGCGTGCCGTGCTTGTCCAGTCCGTGCGCCTTCTCAGTTCATAGCCTCTCCCCTACATCTCTCTAGCTTGCATAGTGAATTCAAGAATGAACGATCAGATACGACTCGACCGTGACATTGGCTTTTTTCTTCACCGTCCTATAGCAAATGTACGTATCCAAAAAAAAAGCCGAAACCCGATATGATATGTTCGAATATCATCATACATAGCGCGTCATGTTCAAAGATGAGACACAAGGAACACACAATTCATGTCATGTCCCATCAAACCCATGTAACAGGGGGCGCCTACCATCAGAGGCACGCAAAAGAGGTATATCAATGCAAAATGTCATACACAGACACGAGATCATGTAAACAAAAGCTAAAAGAGCAAGATACAACATCAAGGGGCTTTATATTCATCATTAAGAGGTCATAACATCCGAACACCCACCCATCATATATAGATACTGATTCATATTCATTCAAGGAGATTATTAACCGGGAGGTAGAACGTAGATCAGACCGGTTCTACCGTTCGGAGAGGGACGTAGTGGCCCTCGTCTAGGTTGGAGCCTCTTGTCTTCTTGTGGGTCATGTACGACCAGGCGTCTGTGGCGAGATCCCGAACCCATTGGAATGAGCGCCTGCTGCCGTTGGAGCCAGTGACGGAGAGGGTGGCCTCCCACCAGCTCTTCTGGGAGCCTTGGAAACTGGCATCGGCGGTTTCGAGGTCCTTTTGGAGCTTCTCGGCGTCCATCCAGCCGGGTCGTTGCCAGAATTTGAGGAGCAAGCTGCTCACGACGACGGAGACGCTGGAAGCGGCCATTGCGGCGCCGGCGGCCATGGGGGGTAGCATGAAGCCGAAGGGGAGGAAGAGGCCCATTGCGAAGGGGAGGCCGATGACGTTGTATAGACAGGCCCACATGAGGTTTAATTTGATGCGGTTGAAGACTGAGCGGGATAGAGAGAGACTTGCTGGTACGGAGAGGAGGTCGTCGGGTCGCATGAGGACGATGTCGGCTGCTTCTACGGCAACGTCGGTGCCTGAGGCAAGGGCGATACCGACGGATGCAGTGGCCAGGGCGGGCGAGTCGTTGATGCCATCGCCGACCATGGCTACCCGGTCACCGGAGTCTTGCATCGAGGCGATTATAGACTGCTTGTCGGAGGGGGAGACGGAGGCATGGACTGCCTCTATCGGGATTCCCACGGCCGAGGCAATGGACACCGCGGTGGCATGGGTGTCACCGGTGATAAGTGAGGTGGTGATTCCCATGCGATGCAGAGCGGCAACTGCTGCAGGTGCGGTTAGTTTCACGGTGTCCCGGAGCAAGATCGAACCAGCGTATTGGTTATCGATGGCGACGTGGATTTGTGTAATACCGGCAGGGACCTTAGACTTGGGGGTAAAGCTATCGGTATTCTCGGTCTCGGCCGATTGGGGGATGGATACATCTCTCGACCGCAAGAAGGGAAGGTTTCCAACCAAGACACGGTAGCGTATACGCTCAGCACTGGAGGTGGGCTCGACTAGGGCAGAGATTCCCTTTCCGACGCAAGCTTCGAGGTCTCCCAAGCTGCCTGGCAGACCACCTTCTCCTGGATGACCAGATTCAGTCTGAGCCGCAGAGAAAATGGCTCTGCCAATGGGATGTTCGCTGCTCATTTCTGCAAGACCGACGATCAGCCACCAGAGTCTACGGCGCCAGTCGTTAGTCGTCCAGTGTGATTCAATTTTGGCTTCAGCCACGCTCATCTTCCCGGTAGTCAAAGTCCCAGTCTTGTCGAACACTACGTGGTTGATCTTTGTCGCGGCTTCCAGGACAGCGCCGCCCTTGACTAGGATCCCCTGCTGCGCACCAACTCCAGTGCCGACCATGACAGCCGTAGGGGTGCTGAGACCCAGAGCACATGGACAGGCAAAGACGATGACCGAAATGCAGAGCTTGAGACAGACCATAAACTTTCCTCCGTTGCTTTCAGCCAAGAAGACCTTGGGGGGATGAGGCAGGATATGGCTCATGAACATCCAGCCGAAAAAGGTAACGAGACCAAGACTGATGATAGCAGGAACGAAATAGCCAGCAACAACATCAGCCATCCGCTGGATAGGGGCCCGGCTGGTTTGGGCATCTTGGACCAACTTGACGATCTGGCTTAGTTGAGTATCTTTGCCGGCTCGAGTAACCTTGAAATCCAGAGAACTCGTGCCGTTGACCGTACCCGCGCTAACAACACTGCCCTTGGCCTTGTGGATCGGCAGAGCTTCACCAGTAATCATGCTCTCATCGACATAACTCTCTCCTCGAATGACAATGCCATCAGCTGACACCTTGTCACCAGGATGCAGGAGCACAACATCCCCGACTTCAATGAGTTCAGTCGGGATGATCTTGTGCCCGGGACCTGAACGCTCATTAGTTGAGGACGACTTCTGCTCCTTTGAGGCTGTATTGGCAGAGTCCCATTCCTCTGCGAGTTTCTCCGCTGCAATGGGGTCGTCGTATATCGTTGTCATCGACGGCGCAAGAGACATAAGTCGAGAGAGCGCAGCCGATGTTTGACCCTTGGCCCGATTCTCCAGCCATCTTCCAAGAGTGATAAAGGTTATAAGCATCGTGCTCGTGTCGAAAACCGTACTTGGCCGCATATCATTTTTGAATAAAAGAGAAACACCCATCGTAAACACGCTGTAGAAGAAGGCAGCGGATGTGCCCAGCATAACGAGAACGTCCATGGTCGGGGAGCGATGTTTCAAGGACTTATAGCTGGCTACATAGAACCGCTTTCCAATGCCGAATTGTACTGGGATAGTGAGTAGCAGACAGGCGACATCGCCAAGGTAGAGTCCGGAGCAGAGTTGAACACGGCCAAAGTCAAGGGCCGGAAGGTACATGGGCAGTATCATGTTGATCAGGAACACGGGGACTGCAAAAGAAGCGGAAAAGAGAAATGACCGCTTCCATTCCCGGACCTCCTTGGTTTTGGAGAGCGATTCCAGCTGTGCATTGGTGTCATCCGACTGCGACAGCAACGCATTGTACCCGGCCGCCTCAATTTCTTCGACGATTGAACGAATGCCAACCGTCGAGGACTCGTATGACAATGTGATCTGGAAGTTGGCCATATTTACAGACGCCGACGAGATACCGGGTCTCTGGAGCAGAGTGTCTTCCAAGGCCGAGGCCGAGGCAGCGTCACGCAAGCCGTGAAGGCTGAGAGTGACCCGGCTGATGCCCTTTGACGAGGGCGCCTGCGCTTCCGATGAAATAATTGCTGCATCGAAGCCGGCATCGTCGATTATGCTGACGATATTTTTGGACGTAAGAGTAGTAGGGTCGTGAGTGATGATCGCACGCTCTGCAAGCAAGCTGATGTTAAATTGCACTAAACCATCCACCCCATGGAAGGCATTCTGTACACTCGATGTACAAGCACCACATGTCATACCATCTATAGACACCGTCGTGACCATTAAGCACGACGTAGACGCTGGCGAATCCAGCGAGGTGCGGAGGGCACTCTCGGTCGCTGCAGTTTCCAGCACCTTAGCGCCAAAACCACGGTCCTCTATAATAGCCGCAATCTGGTCCGGCGTAACGAGAGAAGCATCATGCTCCACGACTGCTCGTTCCGAGAGCAGGGAGACATTGACTGATTTCACACCAGGTGTATCCTTCAATCCTCCTTCCACCGCGGAGGTGCAAGCGCCGCACGTCATGCCCTCTACCGCCAAAGTCGTGGTTGACAGCTGAAACACTTTATCCCTGGTACCGCGGGAACCGTCTACCGGCATAGACGCACTATCCGTAGAGATGATCGTTGCATCGAAGCCGGAGTCCTCGATAATCTCGGCGATTTTTTCCGCAGGAAGCAGTGTCGGGTCGTGATGTACCACAGCCCGGCCCATCATCAAGCTGACGGTTACCTCGCCGACACCCTCCACCCCTTTGAAGGCGCCCTCGACGGCGGACGTGCAAGCACCGCACGTCATCCCCTCCACGTTGACGGTTGTGGTAGCCATGTGGGCTGCTGTTCGGCCTGCAGAAGAGGCACCGTCCACGGCGCTTAGCAGAGCGGAGGATGAGGCCGCCATGTTGCGCCGGTTTGCTGGAAGAGGCCGGACAAGGACGTCGGAGTCCGGTATGTTATCGCATACGTTCGTTTGGGCGGAGAAGGCCGGGGCAATAATGGTATTATAAAGGGAGGGGACAACAAGGACAGCCCACGCAAGGGTCGTTCGATAAAGGAACAGTCGGACCGGATGCGACGGAAGGATAAGCCAAGCCTTTTAAGCTGCTGCAGCGACAAATTAAATGAGGAGAAAAGCAGACTCAGGCTAACTACGGAGGAGACCCGGACATGGCTGGCCTACACGGAAGAACCTAGGCTAAGAGCCTAAGACACCTGGGAACATGGCTAATCAAAATGGACAATAACACTAGGAGCAAGACATTCCAGGCCGGATCCAACCATCCACCGGCCGGCTTAGATTAGATCGTAGAATGATGGAAGGCTCGTCCAAATCCACCGAGGCGATGGCGCTAGAGAAAAATACGCACGGCATGGCGTCAGGCCGCCTCCGCCGCCCCGCGCTCTTACGTAACTTACCGGTATCGTATCGTCACTCATGGCTCGCCTGCGCCCGAACCCAGCTGGAGCCAAGTCGGCGGGCATTGCCCATTCCAGGCATTTCATGGCCAGGGACCACTTGTTGAACTCGGACAACTTCTTCTCGGCCTTCGAATGTACTACTATGTATGTACTTGGGAGTCGGTCCGGAGTGGATTCTGCCATGTGCGGTTGCCAAGCAGTCGGTTTCCTCTCTATCATCAAGCGCTATTGTTCCATGAATAAAGCGGTCAGGTGAACCGTAACTACAAGACCAGTCAATAAGCCACCACGCATGCGCACTAAGACAATCAGGCATCCAGTCCAGGTTGTATGACGGTATGACCGTTCTCGACGCTTATCTGTCATCACACGAGGTCGGTGTAACTCTGACTGAAGAATACGGTAGACACCGGAGGAAATGACCACGGGTGAGCCTCCAGACATGCTGCGACACGAGAAGCCTCATTGATATTATCGTATCCCTTGTCCTAATACTCCGTACCAGCTGTCATGGCTATCAAACTTAGACAAGGACTGAAAGGTCCTGGGGGTGAAACACTTGGCAATGCTCCGGCTTCGTTTCGATTAGATAGAAGTCACCGGATATGTAACTTGAATGGAATGGCTCTGTCTCCAGTAAATCAAAGCCGTTGTGGCTAACATTTAGTAGTAACAAACATATCCACCATAACAACCAAGAACGGTTGTTGACAATATCTAAGCTCCCAAAGAAGCCAAGTACAAGATCCCATGGTTGGATGGACGCCACGGTTTGCATCCCATGCAAACATCCGAGAACATCCCGACATCCCTCCCATACCATCATCACAACCACCACCACCATCAACACATCATCAAGAACACCTCATCCCTCATCCCTCACCCCTCATCCCCAACAGTATCACAACCAGATGGGGCCCCCATCACCACAATCTGCTCAGTGATATATCAACCCTCACACCACAACCCAATCACCCCCCAAACCAACCATCACTACCACCTCCCCACCAACAACCACAATGGACCAAATACACACGCGGGCCCTCGAAGCCCTCCAACCATTCATCCACCTCGCCAACTCCAACAGCGCGACCTCCCCCCGCTTCATCACAAACCTTATCACCAACGCGACCTCCAACCCAAACACCTACGTATTCGCCGAGCTCCTGAACACCCCAGCCATCCAATCTCTCCGGGCCCCCGATACCCTCCCCGAATACTCCAGCTACCTTACCCTCCTGGAGATCTTCGCCTGGGGCACATGGCAAGACTACCAATGTACTTCCCCTCCTTCCCCCATTCCCAAAACCAAATCCAAAATACTAACTAACAACCCCCCAGCAACACCCAATCTCCCCCCCTCAACGCAACCCAAACGCTCAAACTCCGCCTCCTATCGCTCCTCACCCTCTCAACCACCATCAAACCCCTAACCTACTCCTTCCTCATGTCCTCCCTCTCCATCACCGCCCCCTCAGACCTCGAATCTCTCGTCACAAAAGCCATCTACGCTTCACTCATCACCGCCCGGCTTTCTCCAGCCTCCACCCCACCAACCGTGAGCGTTACTTCCGTGGCGCCTTTGCGCGATGTAAAGCCCGAGTCGCTGGGGAAGATGATTCGGGTTTTGGCGCAGTGGGAGACGCGATGCGGGGACGTGATTGGGGATATTGAGACGGAGATTCAACGGATTAAGACGGAGTCTGCGCGGCGGAGGACGGAGGAACATGAGCGGAAGGTGTTGTTTGAGAAGGCGCTTGGTGCGTGGGGGAATGAGATGGGTGATGGGATGAAGAAGACCGGGGGTGGTGGTGCTGGTGGTGGTGGAGGAGGATGGCATGGAAGGGATGTTCGGGGAGGTGGGGTTGGACTCGGAGGTGGGAATAAGCGCGAGTTTAGTGCGGATGAGTTTGATGATGATGGATATTGGGAGTATGGGCTTGATGGGGATATGCAGGGGCTGGGATCGTCGAGGATGGATATTGATGATGGGGTTGGGTCGGCGAGATTGGGGGCTGCGGCGAGGCATCCGAAAAGGGTCTTGGGGAAGAAGTCGTAAGGATCTAGGTATTGCCTAGGTTTTTATGGGGGCTCTGGCTTTATCATATCATAGCGAATGGCCTGGTAGCTTATCTTGATCTGTATGCTGGTTTATGAATACCAAAAAATGACTTGTTCCATTGGTGACTTGTCCGCGACACTCGCGGACCAACAAGGCGAATAGCATCAGTATATCATAAGGTAGAATCTAATTACCGTGGATTATCCAAAACACCGAAGCCTCAGTAGAAATCGTTTAAACATACATGCAAGTCCAGCAGACGAGGGGTATTATGTAGAGGTAAATAAACAGTGAAAGAAAACCCAATATACAAAGGGTGAGAATGAACGTCGTGACCCGAGGGACCTGGGATGTCACGCCAGTCCATGGGTAGTTGGTGGATGGCATTCCCGCCGCTGGGGCCCAGAGACGTCTCTGGTTCCCCAAACGGTGGGCATCTGCCGCTTCTCACATTAGAGTCCCTCGAGCTCACTCGGGGCGTAAGAATAATATTTGCATCCATGCGCTGAACTTGGACCCAAGAAGCAAGACCGCTGACTAACGCTCAGAAATAGACAAATGCACATATATGCTACCCAAAAGCGGGGTCACGCGGCCGTGAAAATCAAAACAGATTTCAAGACGAAACCAGCGGGGTATACGCAACATTGCTGAGATTAGAGCATAGTACCGGGCACGAAGATGAACAAAATACTCAAGGCGGCAGCAACGAAAAAGGCAATCAGAGCGGTGGCGGTGGAGCGTTTGTTCAGCAGCTTGCGCACATACGGTTCGCGGATTGGCGACCAATTCATGAAGGTGTACTCGCTATAGCCGAGGAATGCCATGACCGGGTCGATCTTGTACTGGTACGACACGATGAAGTAAGAGGCCACCGCAAAAGGTAATATTAACTGATTGAAGATTAGCATCACATCCGGCCTGCTTGGAAGATTGGCTACATACCCAGCAACGAATGTGCCTTGGCTTATCGCGGAGAACTACGTAGAACGCACCCCAGAAGCCGCCACCAAAGCTGATCAAGGCAAATGCCAACCGTGCGATGATCGTTAGGGGAACCAGATTTCCTAGGGCCTTGGCCTGCAAAAACCCTGGGAAAGCATCGCGTTCCATTGCTTGAAAGACATAGTCCTTGGCGGGATCAAATACTTCGGGGTCGTCTCTGCCGTCGTCCTCGATTAGGTTGATTATGGAGGATACCATCTCCTCAGGCAGAACAATTTCTCTCTCTGCACCGGGGAGCAGGTACGTATAAAGGATCTTTTCTGCGCTGGCGCGAATATCGGCACGTGCCACCGTGTGACCTGGCGAAGGCGAGTCATTCCGTGTCCCAGAGCTGTCCCGAGGCGGCTGCTCAAAGGAGGTGGTGCGAGCAGCATTCTGCGACCCGAGACTGCTTTGAGGGGAGTGTCCGGAAGTGTGACCTTCAGAGCGGAGAAATGCCGACAACCTTTGGTCGGCATCCCGATCATCCACGTCGTGTAGGGCATGGCGCGAGGTGGAAGGCCCCGCTTCAACAAGCGGGATATCGTTGAAATGCTCGAAGTTATCCAAGGCAGCGGAGGAGCCTTTACTGTCGGCCTTTTCGAGATCAGGCGTAGCCACCAAGACGGACCGACGTAACTCTCGAACATAATGACGGCAGAGGGACATGTGTTGCGAGACATCGAGCCTAAAGTCATCGATTATTAAAAGTTCACAAGCACGCGACACGTGCAGAACAATGACATGATCTTCCTAAGCATACCAGAAATCCAGATAATCGACCGAGCGTTGTTGGTCCCGCATGTAAATATAGAAAGAAAATAGATCGACGGGGGCGAGAGTCCGACGACTGAGGACTTCGAAGAGCGTCGGGAGGCGATTTCGCTGCTCCAAGCTCGAAAGAGAGGGCGACGACATGGTGGAATGAGTGTCGAGGACCTCTATCGCTGGGGGTGTTGGTTTTCGTTTTCTGGGCCGAACTCAAAAGGTGTTTGCGCCGCAATGAGGGGCCGAAAAGGGGAATGAGCGAACGTCGGAATAGGGTTGGAATGGGGGGGAAAGGAGATCAGAGAGACAATTGGGATGGGATCCGACGTGCTGTGTCCGCAATTGATCGAAAGGCTGGCGAGAGACGACGATAAAAGAAGGACGGTCAACAGTTGGAGTTAGCAGTTGGGCATGGACTTTGCAGCGATACGACGGATTGGAGCCTGTGCAAGCCAGGAGGCCCTGCAGAGGGTCGTAAGGTTTTCCGAGGCAGTAAACAAACAGCCGACCGACTGCAGGAGAGGTCAGGGAGTTGCAACGCAAGCCATCCAGAAGCTCGGGAAGTGGATATCTCAGGCAGCAGCAAGAAGGGGAGGAGGGGAAGAAATTGACGAGGCCAAGGAGGAGGAGCGAGGGAAGGTGGTGGATGGCCAGCCCGCGACGGCGACCAGACAGCGAAACTGGCAGTCAGTACTAAGTGGTGCCTCAGTCGGCGTGAGAGTCGACGCAGCTGAGCGCCCGAGTGCCTGAGGGCCCGCGGGTGCCTTAGTCCTACTCGAGTAATGGTTCCCCGCATCAACTTTGTTCCGAAATGACTGCCCCCACTTGCGGCCGATCTTTTGACACTCGCCAAGGGGGCGCTCTGCCTCGCTAGGTAGTACGCTGCTGCGGAGGGTGTTGGATGCAATCCTGCTTCGACTGTATGTATCCTGTCCTTGGTGGTCTTGCAGCTGTGACACGAAGAAAAGGAGACCCGTTCAGGAGGTGGAATGCACCTATGCATCCACGCTGCATGAACCGACGGGTTCGATCGTCCTCCACCAAAAAAAGCAACCCGCGGCGGATCCGCACCGTTGGTTCTCGGTCGGTCCATCAATTTATTATTGCAGGGCCGTGGCTGGTAGGCTAGGCAGATTTTTAGACGATGTCCATTGCTGGGGGCGGGTCACGCTCGTTTCAATTCGCAGCCACCCAAAAACGAGGCCGGTGCACTGGCAATAATTTAATCGAATAGCATGGCTTGGGTGGGAGCGTAGTGAAATCATGCCGATGATAATCCGGCGATCCGTTACGGCATTAACTTTGTTAAGGTTCTCGATGATATCATTGTTTATAGTGCGCTATCTAGATAGTTGGTAACTATTATCTATCTCTACCTAGAGCACACTGGTATTTATTGAGGCAGAAAAGTACACATACGACAAACTGATCAGAAGATCTGGCTGAATCCAGCAGGCTTCCCTTCACCGCCATCTCTACGGGCTAACCTAGTACATAGTCCGAAGTATTGTACCGGCTTTTTAACATATCGAACCTTCTTATTCAGAGGTAACTGCGTTCACTGGTCAGGTGGCTCACTACGCAGTATGATACCCGGAGTTCTTGCATCCTCAAGCTCCTATATGGCTTATCAGGGTCTCCGATCATCGAGTCTTTTCTATGTCTTGACCACACAGGCAAATACCTACGGCATATCGAAGGAAGGAATGTTCCTGTCCGACACGTCCTTGCCTAATAGCGAGGGCGTATCTGGACATCCGTCGATAAATCCGATATAGATCTCGTCTCATAATCTCCAGCAAATGACTACACCTGTCCTCACCACGCGCGATTACTGCAGTCGGGCAGTCAGTACTACATCGGGATACCGGTGATAATAGATACACCTTCCCGGAGTTAAGGGATTCGAAGCTCGGAGGTCCGCAAACCCAGAACTATATTAATGGCATCAGATCCCACCTACTCTAGACAGAATTCGCTCTCACACATGTCTGAATCTTCGTTGTTTCTACACAAGACGAAAAAAATGGCTTCCAAAGTCCTTGCTCTCATTACCGGCGCTAATCAAGGCATCGGCTTCGCAACCGCACGGCAGCTTGCCAATTCGGGCAAATTCCACGTGCTGGTTGGGGCGCGCTCGGCGTTGAAGGCTGAGGCTGCAGTTAAGGAGCTGGAATCAGATGCAGCAGACAAATCGGCTCTCACAGCTATTACAATCGATGTGACTGATGATGCATCCATCACTGCTGCCGCCCACACTGTGTCAGAGGCATTCGGGCGGTTGGACATCCTGATCAACAATGCAGGTATTGCACAGGCACCAGACACAACCCTGCGTGAGCAGTACCGTCAAATCTTCGAGGTCAACGTGTTCGGAATGGCGGTTGTCATGGACGTGTTCCTCCCACTTCTACGTGCGTCGACGTATCCCGATCGCCGCATCGTCAATGTCACCTCCGGGCAGGGCCTGATCAGCAGAGCGGGCAAGAAAAATCACCCATCCAGCGCCAAGACCTTTTTCATACCTGACTACCGCAGCAGCAAAGCAGCGGTAAATATGATCACGGTCGCATACTCGGTGAATCTGGCCGATGAAAAGATTGCCGTCATAGCGGCTGCCCCAGGCTACTGCCGCACGAACCTCAACAGTGGCCAGGGAGTCAAGGAGGCAAGTGATGGCGCCAAGGTCGTTGTGCGCGCTGCCACAGAGGGCGACCCAGAAAATCTGAGTGGCACATACCTTGCTGACGAGAACTGGAGCCTTGGATGGTGAAAGATCGCGGAGGGACGGAACAACCAAATCTGCATCTCTGAACATGGCTGCAGCCGATCAACATGTCTATTATTGTCGGCAATTATGACAAGACGAGATGAAAAGATGAGAAAGGCTAAAGGCTAGATTGCACCATATTCTCAACACCGGGGTATTTGTTCATGCCACAGGAAACGAAACGCCATCCGAAAGCTTCAGCATGCTCGCAAAGTTCACCATCGCCTATCAATGGCCATCGGCCAAATGCTGTGGCATGTTAGCAGGCAAGGAACAGATGCAGAATAATATAGTACGGAAGCAGATCCCTTACCGACCACTCGGGTATATTTCGTATCTGCTGCCACATAAATTTTTCGAGTTTATTGGCACTCTTTGCATAGGGTGTGTTCTCGTTGTTGTATTTCCGGCAGTTATCGAATATCAGCATGGCGTCTTTGATGAAGTCCTGCGGCGTCGGATACATGTCCTTTTCGTGTTTCTCTTCCATTGTGGACAAGTCCATGGGCTCCTTGATGACTTCATAATAATCAGGCACCTCATCACGATTGACCGGTTGAGTGAATGGCCACGCCGCACTGTGGTTCTGCATATCGTTGAGGAGATGCAGTAATTGGTTGTAGTTTGGTCCGTGGCGTGGTTGACGTGCTAATTCATCCATGTCCGGTGACCACCCCGATTCTTTGATGGCCGGAATACTCAATGGGTCGATTTTACAGGGTCCATTCTTCCATTCCTTTGGCGGCACATGGATAATATGCGAGCGACTGAAGGCGCGGATCTTCGCGTGGACAGCTTCTTTCTGCTTCAGAAGCATGCGGCCGACCTCGAGGTACCGTATCTTAGGAAGCATTGTGCACTGCATGATGGTACCGCCCTCATAATCCTTGATATAACCCATCCACACAGACTTGTCAAGCGTAATCTCTTTCGTAAATCCCTGCTTCTTGAAGTATCCAATGGCGTAGTTGTCGGCGTAGGTCAAGAAGTGCATGATGTCCGATGTCGCCTTGACGTAATCCTGTCCACAAAACATGAGTGGGCAACCCCTCGGTACATTCTGCCAAGCTTACCTTGAGATGAGACATCAGGTGCGCACCATATCCCTTGACTTGCTGGTCGGAAGAGATGGCGCAGAAGACGATTTCGGCGAATCTGCGACTGTTGAACGGCCGGTATGTGATTCCCCTACATATTCCATCAGTATTTGCCGAGACAAACCATCCATATTCGCCTTTGTACACACCCTACAACTTCCAGTGGATGCTTGACGATGGCCAAGGAAAGATGCGACCTATCGTAGACCAGTCGCGCGATATAGTCTTTTGGCATTTTCGGGAGCTGTTTCTGGAAGATACATTTGAGGCCTGTGAGAACGACAAAGCTATCGCGAGAGCCATCGTTGTTGACCACGCGAAATTCGATTTCACCACGACGTTCTTCGAGCACTGCAGGCTATCATGGCGTCAGCGCCATCAACGGTAGGCGGGTCTGCGGGCTTACCTTCTCCGGGAAGGGGACAATTCGCGGCGGCTTATCCAAAAGTTCATCGTCGGTCTAGAAGGTATAAGTTAGGAATAAGCTTCATATGGGGATAGGTTCTTTAACATGCCTTGGATTCCTTGTCGGGGGAGTCAGTGCGCGCCTTCTTGCTCCGCTGCTGGGAATCTGGGGAGAGCGCCTCCTCCGACGCTTTCCGCTTGGAAGCTGTACCCGAGCTCAGTATATGCACTAGGCTGGCCAAGAGAAAGACCCGAAATGCGCGACAGGACACTTACTCTCTGAAGCGATTGCGGGCATGATGCGCAACGAACTGGGATGACGCCGAGGGGAGAGAGCCTCTTGGACCTCTCTCTCTCTCCACGTCCAGCGGCTGCCGATACGGGGATCGGAGCGGGAGGATGTTGATCCGGGGCCGTCAAGCCAGATAACCAATTACTAGTCGGGGCCATGCCATTACGACGACAGCTTGAGGGAGCTCCCTCTTCCCAGTTTCTCCTCGTTTCTGCTTCCTGACCCTCTGCTCTCCTTTATACACCATCCATTGAAGTCGTGTGACTCTCATACCTCCTCATGTCTCTGAACGAAGTCTGGGTGGCAGCTTCTGCAAACCCTTTTACTCCTCCGGTTGCCAAAGATAGCCAGTTCTTCGTCGGCTTCTCGCTACTAGTCGCTGGTGAGTCGGATCCGGTCTCCCTCGGCGGAACAGCCACTGACTTGGAGCAGCATTCATCCTCACGGGTCTCTTTGGACTTAGTTAGTACTCCGAACAGCAATTCGCTTGACAATTGACATGTCATAACAATATACTGACGACTTGCGCAGATCGGTCCTTTCTCAGCATCGCTTCCTTCGGCGTCCCGGCATCTTTGGCGTTTGGGTAAGCCTCCGGTCCTCGCACTCCCCCTACCACCGTTCGCTAACCTCTCGCGCCCAGCTTCGGAGCCGTGTTCATGATCTGTGCCGTTGGGGTCTACGTTTAAAATTCCAGTTGTTTCCCAGATACCCATGTACCATACACTGGAGAGTTGAAACCAAACAAAGGGTTACCTTTATAATCACCAAATCTCTCTCCTTGCAACTTTCTACCATAACATAGCCCTCAACATTGCGCTGTCGTGCTTAGCCAACTCCATCCAAGATCATGGCGGACGCGGACCCCATTTTCACTGCTGTCTCCGGCAATGCCTACCATCTCTATACCTTACTACAATGCATTAGCTTCGCATCACGAGCTACCGTGCAAATAACACCAGATGGGATCCGCTTCTCCGCGGAGGAGCTACGGGTCATACAAGGTCTCGCTTTCCTCGATAAAGCCCTCTTCACCAGTTACGCCTTCAACCCACCACCCGTGCCACACGAAAGGACAACGGACGACGACTCCGCTTCAGACTCCACCTACTACCCCTCCTTCGTGGTCTCGTTATCCGCTCTACTGGAGACTCTGAAAATCTTCGGCACCAACGACTCATCCACCAGTACCAATGTCAAACGAGCATCCAGCGTTCAGCCAACACACCCATCCGGAGCCAACGCCTTCTCAGCGCCTTCATTGCTCCTGGACCGCTCCTGTACAATCCGATACATGGGCGAAGGCTCCCCTCTCAGCATCACTCTTTCAGAGACCGGCATCAAAACCACCTGCGAATTGACAACCTACGAAACCGAAGACAGCGAAATCGACATCCCACTCCAACGCGATGCCATCATCATGAAGATCATCATGCGCTCCGCCTGGCTCCACAACGCCATCACAGAACTAGCTGCTGCCAGTCCGACAGTGCTGAAGATCTCCGCGTCCGCGACCCGCGAACCATATTTCGCGCTGACCGGCACTGGTGGATCGTTCAGCGAGTCATCTGTAGAATTCTCCGTCGAAAACGGCCAGGAAGGTGATGCTCGAGGCTCAACTGATGAGGGGTCACGTGCGAAGAAAGCCAGACTTGCCCCTACGGTCACGGAGACGTTTCTTGTCAGTCCGCCGTCGTCGATGGGATCTCGCATTAAGCAGAACTACAAGTTCGCGCTGATTCAGAAAGCGGCTCGCGCTATGGCAGTGGCTAATAAAGTAAGCATCCGCGGGGATCGACAGGGAGTATTGAGTTTGCAATTCATGATCGAGTTTGATGCCAATGGGGGTAGCAGTGTGCGACCTCTGAAAGGAGGTCCTCCGCCTGTTGTGACGTTTGTGGATTTCCGGTTTGTGCCGTTGCTTGATGATAACGAGGGTGAAGGTGAAGATCTAGTGTGATTTTGCAGTCACTTTCATGTGTACTGGATCTAGTTCTGGTTATATAGTATACATGGGATATGTTCAAGTAGCAATATCATGTCATTCCCTAACGCCACATGCTCGGTGACTATCGTGCATCCTTACCAGCTAATTTACATTCATCGTAACTAAAAGTCCGCATGTGGGTGATGAGCGAACCCAGGCTTTCCCCAGCGACTGGCCCAAATTATCGATACTAAACAGAGCAGTGTTACATAACCTGCAAGAGACGTTAGTTCCATGCCACCATAACAACCCTAGATCCAAAAACAAAGAGAGGGGGGGGGAAGAACATACCTCAGCAATAGACTGCCTCTCAATAATCGACTTCTGCCTCTCATTGCGCGAAACCCGATAATAGTAATCACTAAAGTCACCGCACTGCATATGACGCAAGAACTCCTCGTCATGGGTAATAACAATCAGCTGGAAATTTGCCTGTTGCTGTCTCGTGCGAATGATATCATGTAGCGATTCGGCAAGCGAGCGAATATTATCCCGATCGAGGTTGGTGGTGGGTTCATCAAGGGCAATCAGACCGCAGTTCACACCGAAGCATTCGGCCAGAGCGAGACGGATGATGATACTGGCAAGCACTTTTTGACCGGCACTGCAGCGGCCTCGCATGTCCATTTCGGCGCCCTGCTTGACCATGCAGACTCGGTAGTTGTAGGAGCGGTTGCCCTTGGCGTTTTCGTTGTCGGAGCGGATGAGGATCGTGTCGACGTCGGTGCCGCGGTAGGTCTTTTGCCAGAGTTCGCTGATGATGGCGTTGATTTCTTCCATTTTGAGCCCGTGGTATTTCATGATGGCTTTGTCGAGGGCACCGCCGTAACGGGCGAGGTCGTCGACGGCGGCTTTGGTTGTTTCCACTTTGATGTGCGCTTCTTTGTATTTGCCTGCTGCGTCTTTGTAGTCGGTGTTCCAGTCGGCAAGAAGTTGCATTAGTTGGTCGTCTTTGGATTTCATTTCGCCCATTTTGCTGGCTTGTTTGGCTGCGAGGGCGTTGTGTTCACGGGCTCTGCGCTCGGATTCTTCTTTGAAGCGGCTTCGGTCGACTTCGGCGTTTTGTGCGGTGAGTTGCTCGATCTCCTCGGTGACTTTGTCGAGGGATCGGGTGGCCTGGCGGTAGGTTAGGTTGTCTACGTATTGGCGCTTGGTGTTTTCGCTGTCTTTGAGCTGGGCGGAGATCTTGTTGATTTCTTTGGTGATGTTGGCTTGTTCGGTTTCGAGATCGCTGATCTCGGTCTCAATGGTTTGTAGTTCGCGTTGGCTGCGCTCGAGTTGGTTAGGGCCGCCTCGCTCGTTGTATGCGTCGATTTCCTTGTTGGCTAGTTCGAGTTGGTGTACGTTCTCGTAGAGCTGAGAGATATCCTGTTGCATCTCCTTCTCGCGCGCCTCGGCACGCTGGCTGATATCATCGTATTTGGCTTGGACCTTGAGGTACTCGGGGTTTAGGTTTTCGATGTCTTTGTCCGCCTTCGCGATTGCCTCACGTTGCTGGTTGTTAAGGGTTCTGTATTCCTCTATGCGAGCAAGGAGGTCCGCCTTTCGCTCGAGCTGGAACTTTATGTTGTCCAGATTGCTCTTGACGTCTCGGAGCTGCAGCTCCAACTTGTTCACACCAGACAATGTTTGCTCCTTGTCATGGGTGAGTTTCGACAGATTTTTTTTCAAAGCTCTTGACTTTTCCCCAATGCCAGCTATTTCTTCTTGGATGTCTTCCAGAGTGCGTGAGGCATTGGCATCCTGCTGTTTCGAAGACAGGTCTTGTATCTGAGAGCGGATGGCCTTGATCTCACTGTCGTACCTGACAATAGTGCTGACTGTCTTTGAGAGCGATTCGACATCTTTCTTTTTGTCGGTCTTCTCGCTAACGACTTTGTCGTGCTCTTCCAATTGACCCAAAAGCTTGTCCTGTTGGGCAATATACTGTTCTTCCTCTTTCTCCAGATCTGGAATCTCTGTTTGTTTCAGACGACACCAGGTATCGTAGGAAGTGCTGGCTTCACGGGCCGCATTGAGATCCTCCTCGAGATGGCGGACATCTTCATCCTCGGCATCCCGCTTTGCCTTCTTGACTAGACCCTCCAATTTATTCTTGAAGGACTGGAACTCGGCGTCAGATTTGAATGATCGCGTACACAGCCTGCATAGCTTCGACGATTTTGCAGTTTCGAGACAAGTGATCATATACTCGCCAACCCCAGCATATTGCTCGGCGTCCTTTCTGGCAAGATCGAGCTGGGCTTGACGTTCTTTGACAATCCCAGGGTATTCTTCGGGTTCGTCATCAACAGCCTCTCGGATCTCCTCGACACACTCCTTGAGTTCTTTCTGTCGCTGGCTCAATGTTTTCTTGACGCCTTTCAGCTTGAACTCGACCTGTTCCAGTTCTCTGCTGACCCCATCCCGCTCACGCTCCGCTCTCGAAACATGTCTGGATTCTTCCTCTAGCACATGCTGGAAATCCTGCTCCAAAGATTCAGGGTTCCAGTTCGAACTAACGAACTTTGACAAGCGCTCGTCGTGGGCTCCTTTCATAGTCTCCAAGCTGCGCTCACGCTCCTTCAACTCTTTCTTGAGGTGGTCTAATCGGGCCAAGTCACCAGCCTTCTTCGTCGCCTCAATAAGCTCGGCATTCAAGCGCGAACTCTCGTCTTCGAGATCGCGGATCTGCGAATTCACATTCTGTATCTCCTTGTCCCAGGATGCGGATCGCGCACGTTCCTTTGCTTGCCCCAAACGAGACCCGATATCTTCGATGTTCGACTCCAGCGCAGCCTGAACACCTTCATCCGCATTGATCTCGTTGAGCCTGCTTTGATAGGTGACGGCCTCCTTGTCATTCGTGGCTATCTGTCGCTTCGCTGCGTTTTTACTTTCTTGTAGCGCAGACTTCTGCTGTCCAATCTGGTTAAGGGTTGCCTGGACTTCGCGCAATTCGCTCTGAGCCTCCCTCTTGACACGATCCAGTGCTTGATTCTGGTCCTTCAAGATCTTCCGCGCTCTCCTCATGAACTCATCGACGTCCGCCTGGTCTACAACGTTGTCAAACCCACGAATATTGTGGTTCCGTGCAATCTCTTTCGTCATCCTCTGTCGCCTCTCGACCTGACGCTCAAAATTGGCTTTGTCGTTCTCGAACTTGCCATACTCCGCCTGCTTAGTGCCCAGTCTCTGTCGAGTTTGCTCTATCTGCTCCTTGAGCTCCATGTAGTTCTCCTTTCGGGCCTCCTCCTGCTGCTGATATTGAAACTGCCTGGACTCGAACTGCTCCAAGTTCGACTGTAGCCATTCATCTGAGTCATCGAGCTCGACCAGATGTCTTTTCAGATTATCAATCGTCGTCTGAATACTCTTCGCCTCGATGCGCTTTCCTTCAAGAGCACCCAGAATCTGGGAATAACTTTCCGATTCCTTCCACGCCTTATCAGCAAGCTCCGCCACGCGACGCATCTCCTGAGAGAGCTGATGTGTCTCGTCACGCAACACTTCAATCTCATCCTGGAGCTTAATCGACCTCTTCTCCGCACGGTCCGCCTTCTCCTTATCCTCCTTGGCATGCTGCTCCATGATCTTGTACTTAGCCAGCTCCTCATTCTGCTTCTTCCGCAAAGACTTGATATTATCGATCGCCTTGGTATACTTCATCGCCTCGAAGATCTCATCGAACTTCTTCTTCAGAACCGACGGCTCGCTCATCGGCCACAGACTCTCATCCTGATGGCAGAATATCACCGAGTCCAGGATCGCCTTCGACACGCCCAGATACTGAGGCATGATCTGATCCAACTCCGCCACGCGAGAGGAAATAGACGTCCTCTCTCCATCCTTGACCATCAACAACTGCCCTTCTAATGTCTTCTGCTGCCGTGTCGTTTTCTTCACCGTAAGTTGTAAACTTCTCGTAGCAACCATCTTCGCCCCCGACGTGCCTTTAAAAGACAGTTTCACCTGCGCCAGGACCTCTTTCTCGCCACATAGCTGCCATATCTCAGTATCCGTCCTTCAATTCCCATCATATCCCAACGTATGGTGTAGTGTAATCATACCTTCGGATCATGAATAAACGCCCCACCCTTACTGTTGGGTGGTAAGTCTCCGGTGGTGGCATATTTGAGACACTCGATGATAGTCTATTCCATCCATCAGCACCAACTCTTCACTTCAACCCATACCACACCATCCCCATCCCATCCCATCTCATCCCATCCCATCCCATCCCATCTTATCCAACCCAATATATAACATACCGTCTTCCCCGACCCATTATACCCCACAATCAACGTAAGCGGCGTATGGAACTGGATCGTCTCGCTGCGAGTATTATCGAACGATCGAACACTACACCACACCACACACCCACCCAAATCGTTAGCAATCAAATCCATTTCAGTCTACCATGTGATATAGAAGATAAAGATATCTCACCCCAAAATCGACAACTTATCAATCTTCGCTAATCCGGCATCAGTACAAATTTCGTTTCTTTGTTCGCTCACACAGACTTACACCTGCTTTCCCATTAGCAACTTCGATCAAGTTTGAGATCAGTTTGTGTGGAATAGGCTCACATTTTCGTACACTGAGGAACAAACACCTTCCACGGATTCAAGAAACAAAAACAGAAACATGCACACACCCTCCCCGATGGCTGCGTGATCCACCGCGGGTAAGCTAGCTGGGCTTTGGGATGCGCGTCGGACGACGCGGGGGAGGCGGCGCGAGGTCACGTGCCTGGTAGTGGGTACTATACTGTCGTTATTATCTTTATGGGTCTTGAATGTTGATATCTAGGATGTGGTTTAGGGGTTGATATTTGGGTACTTTGGGGTTTAATGGTTTAATGATTATCGGGTTTTGTGTTAGGAATACAAGTGGTATATACTATTAATTCCTGGGGTTTGTAGATAATTTAATGGGGGGGGGAGGGGGGAGAAAGCGGGTATTGTTGGGAGGAGGGTAAGGAATTGGCTATTTTGGAGGGGATTGGTGGGGTGGTATTGATGTGTAGTCTGTTTAGAGTGCCGAGAAGGAGGATGTTTGTTTGTTTTTCTGATACTATGAACTGTGGGCTAACATGTTGGATCTGCAAAAAGCAAAGACTAGTGATTTGTGTCATATCTGATATCGTGAGAATAGTAATCGGTTTTATTTGTCTAGATAAAAGCATCTAGGGTCATAAAACCCTCTATGACTCTGTGAAACTCATGGTAGTCTCTTCACTATAACCTGGCCCAATGTTCCACATCTATGAAATACAATCAAAGCAGAACAATGACTCCAGTGACAGCACATCACCCATCCAATAGCCGTCACACATGACCACATCGGATTCACGTCGATAGTCCCACATGTCCTGTATAAAATGATCCTCCTTTCCACCACCCCATCCTTTCTCATGCTAACCCACTCATAGCCCTTTCCCTCCAGTCCTCTACCTAAGAACCAACACATCCATCCCATTTACTCTCATCATCACTCAAAATGTTCACCTTCAGGAACATCTTCGTCCTCTTCGCCCTTTTGGGTCTGTTCATTCAGGCCGGACTGGCCACTCCCCTTGACACCTCCAACGCAGTCGCCAACGTTGAAAACACCGTCACTGACAACGCTGCCACTGCACCCGTCGACACCTTCAATGAGACTGCTGACGATCTCGACGACAATGATGTGTCCTTGCCCATCACTGACGAGCTCGATGATGCCTTGAAACCTGTAAGCGTATCCAGCTGATCAATGAATCAATGCTAAGAGAGTAAATCAAACAGAAAACCTGCAGCGGTATGTGCGATGATGCACATATGTGCTGGTGCAAGCGCGGTGGACACACGCGTTGCCCTTGTGTGCACCCTGGATTGAAGTGCAAGTGCAAGGTGGACTGAGGTGCAAATGCAAACTAAGCTCAATGGTGGGTGGATGTCTTATTCAGTGGGGTGTGATCTGAGCTGATGATTATGTTTCAGAGTGAAATGCTGGCTACCTCTGTTTCAATGCCATGGTTTCTTTGGTGTGCCAGGCAAGTTGAATGGTGAGGTAGGTTAGTTAGTGGCGAGGTCTATGAGGTTTCAAATGGTAAGGGTGGTGGTAATGTGGGTTGGATATTATTGGATCATTAATAGCCGTCTGCCTTCTTAATGCAGTATCTCTCAGACCAATGAAGTCAATTGGATAGTTGCTGAAAGTGTGGATGCTGCAGCCATAGTTATTGATGCGTAAGGCTCTGGATCCGTCCGCGTAGGCTCATATCATTGCTCTGACGCTCGCCACCAGTTCCCTGAGCAGATGCATCCACTAGAAGATATAAGCAGGAGTATAGTTCCTCTCTGGTAGTGTAGTGCGGACATCTGTAATTGCATGGCTGTCGCTGTTAGCAGTACGTGCAATCTCAACGAAGGAAATGTATCAATTCCTGTGTTCGGGTGTACATTCCCAATTGACCTGCTCCATACCATAAACACCACAGTCATTATTGGTGCCTGATCTCAGAGCACGAGATAAAATTAGACGACGCTACGCTATGCACGTCCCCAGCGGATCTAACGGAAGGCAGATAATTTCCCGTGGAGGACACGATAGGAGTCGATTATAGATAGTCAAGAGTAGATGGCCAGTCAGGACGAACGACAAACTCACCGTCCGACTGGTAGCGACCCAAGAAAGCAGCAAGAGTACCCAAGAAGTGCAGCACCGACCAGGTTCCCCCCTGCATGAAGGGACTGGATCCTGCCTACATGGTACATAATACAGGACGGGAAAGCTCCGGCCGGCCCGACGGGCGACCAATCAGGGGTTTTGTCGCGGCGGAAACCCCTGATCGCAGGGATTGGCCGGCAAGCGCCGTCATGGCAGCCCCATCGGCGGATTTCATTGGCAGCCGTAGTGGAGCCGCCGCGGTGCCGCGATACCAATGACGAAGTGGCCGGCCAAAAGTACAGGAATTGACAGCTCTACTGGTTCACCACCGCGGCCCTGGATCCTTGTTCCTCCTGCCCCGGCTTCCATGTCGCCCAGGTCATGAAAAGTCAAAGACTAAGAGCTCGTTCAGCCGTCCTTGCTATCTCCCCTCCCCTTCCTTTCTGGCATCCTCCCACCCTTTACCCCAGACACGGAGTGCCCCGGGAAGAGGAGCCGATTGATCGATTGATCCCGTTCAGCCCAGCGATGGAACTCGAGCTCCATCGAGGAGGAAGAGTGGCGCAGAACCAGACTTCGACCCAGACATACGGTCTCCGAGCCCCAGTCTCGAACTCAAAATCGCCGGGTCCGTATAGCATGGACACGCGCAGTATTCCTCGGTCGATGAGCCTCGGCGCCGCAAGTCTCCTTCAACTTTCATCTTCATCCTCCGCTGCTGCTACTGCTGCTACTACTGCTCCTCTTTCTGCTTCTACTACTGCGGCGTTGGCCGCACCGGTGGGGACCAACCTTCGCCGCTCCTCCCCCGAAGTAGGCCCAGCTGGAGCAAACAATGACGGCTGGTCTGGGCGGGTCCTGGGCGAATTGAAAGACCTACTCCTCCTCCTCAGTCACGATGGACGGGTTCTATATGCATCGCCCTCCTGTAGCGATGTCACAGGGGTTGAGACAAGCGTGCTGGAAGAGAGCGATTTCGCCCGTTTCATCCACGAGGACGACAAGCCCATCCTCGGGCACGAGATTGACGAGTGCATTGAAACCGGGCGTGAAATCCGCTGCCACTTCCGGCTTTGTAGGCCTGATAATACCTTCTGTCTATTGGAAGCACATGGACACCCGCACATGACGACGGCGGGAGCTGCTGCGACCGCAGAGTCCCGACAGCAGCAGCCGGTGTGTAAGGGGATTTTCCTTGTCTGTCGACCGTATCCTACGCGGGGGTCGCAATTACTTGATTCATTCCTGGAACATAAGATTGAAAATGTCCGACTGAACCAGCGCATAGCGCGATTGAAGGAAGAGGAAGAGGAGGAGTTGAATGCGAGACAAGCCGCTCCTGGTGGTCAGACAACGACCACTACTACCACTACTACCACCACCACCCGTCAGACGTACGTCTCGACGACGCAGTCCACATTTACGCAATCAAATACGCGGGATACGTCTGTGTCTGGCGAGGAGAATGAGTCGTCGGATACAGTCACCAACGCGGACGATACCGACTCGCGCTCATTCCTGGAACAGGTTGGGGATCATTTACCGCAGAGCGAAGATATGTCTCATATCGACGGGATCGAGGTCATGACGGGATTGTACTATGGAGAGGGAGAGCGGTCGCAGGGACTGAGTACGGGTGTTCGCCATGGTCGTCTAGTCCATTGTAATATGGAGTCGAAATCTCCAACCGACCAACAGCAGCAACAACAACAGCAGCAGCAGCAACAGCCACAGCCGCCACAACACCCAGAACACCAACAACAAGCACTACAATCACCCCCAACCCCCCAACCCCCCAAGAACCCTATCGAGCTTGACCGAAAGAAACGGGTGAAGGGCGAATACATGTGCACCGATTGCGGGACTTCCGACTCCCCAGAATGGAGGAAAGGTCCGGAAGGCCCCAAAACCCTCTGTAATGCATGTGGATGTAAGTTTACCCCTCCACCTACCTAACCCCCCTGTATCATGGTATGAACTAACAGCGGTGGACAGTACGGTGGGCGAAGAAGGAGAAAAAGCGCCAGGACTCGGGGTCGTAAGTGGAGGGCGGAACAACTGAAAGGGTGGGACTAGCGTTTGTATGAATTGTCATTTCACTGCATTTTTGGCCAGAAGGGGGCGGTTAGCCCTGCGAGGATACCCCTGCTTATCTATGTATTCCTTCGTGCGTCGTTCTTATTGTTGTTGTGCCCCGGCGACAGGTCAGAACTTTTTAGCGGCTGCGCTGTCACAGCACTGGACTCATGACCTATCTACTATCTCTATTCCTGGGAGATACTGATTTGAAACTGATCTCATGACTTATATGCCTAATCACTACACTAGACACGGACTGCAACATCATTAACTACAATGAACCCCTGGTGATACGAGCGCGCAAGATGGTATAGAAAGCAAAGATGGGGGGAATATGGCGAAAGTGGAGAGCTAATGTGTGTGACGGTGACCACGATGGATTCGATCGCTTAGCGATACTTTAGTCAATGCGGGCCGACACATTAGGCTTAACGCAGATCCTCTTGAGGGGTAAGAGGACGAAAGACCACGCGGACCCCGACACGTGCACTGAGCCTTGCATTGAGTAGCGGTTTTAGTCCTTGTGGATGATTCGCGGTTCAGACGATCAGACGGCAGACGTCTGCACAAAGGATGTTTGGGACTGTGCTCGGTGGCCGGAAAGGGTCTCGGCCGACTCTTGGTGCATTGAGCGACGGGGATTGGGCGAACTGAAGTGTTGGCGAAGTGGGAGGTCCGATGACGATGCATCGTTGCTTCGGGGGATCATGTGGTGGAATGGTGCCTTGCCGGGCATGGGGCCGGGTTGTCTCAAGGATGCAGTCCTGGGAAGGCCAGGGGACTGGAGAACAAACTCCTCAAACTCTTTCATGGTCTTCCGCTCCTCGTCGCGCTCGGCCTGTTCTTCCCGCTCTTCCTTCGTCATGATGCAGTTCCGCAGGCTGAGGCAGAGCACAGCGAAATAGTAGAAGCTATAGAACATGTCAGCTGGCTGGATCCGCAAGAAGGGCAGGAAAGGGTGCATTCTCACATGATTATGATTGAGAACACAAACAATGCCTTGGCCTGCTCACAATAATGGATGTCTTCTTTGTGCGCGGCCACTGAGCACTTTTTCGCGATGTACCATGGTGCCCCCGGCTGAGGATGCTCAGGGTCCGACATATCGGGGCCGGCCTGATAACGAGCGGAATAGCACCACACGGCGATCATGCCAGCATGGATAAAGGCAGACAAGGGTGGTGTGAGCATATGAAGGATATGGACAGGAATTTTGGTAATCCACATGAAGACGCTCAGAATACCCAGGACGAGGTTGTACTCCGTAATGCTATTTTAGCGTTAGCAATGACATACGAATTGTTGAGCCGGAACTACAATGCTTCCACGTACAATGAACTCCAGACAATGGGGGTCGTGTAGGGTTGATGGTTGGCCGCAGCGTAAAGTCTGTCGGTTGGCGAACTGTTGAACCCATTGTCTGCACCATCTTGCCATAACTTAGTCCGGTACAGGTTATGAGAGGCGATACCGGTAAGCGTGAGAATGATGACCGTCAGCGGCAACTCGACGGTCATGAATATGTACATCATGTTGTGATTCCGCCATCTTGTCGGGAAGAATTCACGAAGCGGTGGAATACGTTGGATACGCATGATGGCTGATTATTGATGCGCCCGAAGGTCGTCCAAGCCTGCGAGTAGAAGCAGTCACAATGACAAAGGCCAATGAATGGGCTATGTTCTGCTTGTATGGGCTCGATTCGCTTGCGACTGATGGCCAGGCCGGCTGGCTGTACGTTCAGCTCACTGGCATCGAACGCCAAACGATGAAACACGGACAAGAGTAAGGAGACGAGATGGCTACCAGAGGGAAGCTTCGGGCGATCCTGGGGCGATGGCGAAGATAAGAAGTCGAGCGCCGCGGAAGCGCCAGCTTCTACCCATGGCCCAGATGAGGAGAGGGGCGCTATCACAGTAATGCAATCGCGGGCAAGGAAAGCGGGAAAAGCAGTAGATGTTCCCCACAGGTTGCATCTGGCCAATGCTTGTCGTCTAGGAAGCGCCCGCATCGGCACCAGGTCGGGGGTCCATCACCAATGAGGCGGCAGAGCTGGCCGTTTGGTGGGCGGCCGTCACACACTAGGCGTGTGATGGGGAAGACGATCTGCATGCTCCGAGCGGCCCTCTGAGCAACGGGACTGGATCCAGGATCTGCCTAGGGAGAATGTCTGTGCTGCCCTGTCAGAGTGCGAAGCGCCTGGGTGGAGACAGCAGACCGTGTGCTGTTGTGATTGCGCCTGCATGAATGCATTGGAGGAGGGGTTGTTGGGACTGGAGGGACTGGAGTTGGCTGCAAGTAGGAACACCATCTGTTCCCATGTTGGTTCTGTAGCATGGTTTTGATATTGTGGTATCGAGATCAAAGTAAAAGAAGAGGAGGAGGAAGTAGAAATACAAACCAAACATCCAAAGGGAAGAGGCACATGACACCCCAAACGTCATCCATTACCCCATCCACCATCTCCAGTCAACTACAACTTTTCTCAATTAAACATCCAAATCAGCCATTATTTCTCTACTTACTCTGTACAGAATACCTCCATAAGAAATAAATGCTACACAATTATCCCAATCACGCAGCCCATAAACTCCCCATCACCCAACCAACCAACCGCAACCATTGGACCTCCGGATGCGGAGACCGCAACAACTACTGCAGGCGAGCCATCAACTCCTCGTCCTCCTCCAACCTCATCCTCTTTATCCCCCGCCAACCAACCTCTCTAAGCGCCGACTGTCAGCCGTGACCCGACAAGGACAAGCACACCACATGAGCTCCCCGACCAGCCGGAAGGGCTCCCAGCCCCATCAACTGCGCACCGCCGCCGAACCCCGACAAAACCGCCTGTACAATGTCCGACTCTCGCACATCGAGCAGGTCAATCCCTCCGTGCGACTCCTCCAACTGACTATTCCCCCCGAAATCCAAAATGAAGATGAGGACCAGGACCAGGATCTAGACCAAGTATGATAATACCTACCAACTGTAGCATTTACCACAACCCACCATCCATTCACCCATCCACTCCATACCCATAGTCCTACCCCGAAGTACTACTACTACATACATCCGCTAAACCCACCCCAGACCATAATCCTCAACCACCACCCCCAACCCCTAACCTTTCTCCCGGGCCAATGGCTAGACGTACACATCCCATCTATATCCAACGCCGGCGGATTCAGCATCACCTCCACCCCCGCGGACGCACAAATCCTCCCCTCCCTAGAACCCCCCATCACCGCAGTCGACGAATCCGACAACCCGCCCATCGACCCTCACGGACGACCTCCATACCTGGAACTAGCTGTTCGCCATGCACCCCTAAACCCAGCAAGTGCATGGCTATGGCGCCCCGCGCACGAGATCCTAGGCACGGAACTCAGCGTCCGTGTCGGGGGCAGTTTCGTATGGCCTCCAAGTGGTGTAGATTTAACCAGGATTCGAAATGTGGTGTTTATTGCGGGTGGTGTGGGGATTAAGTACATACCACTCCACACTATACCCATACTGCATTGTAGATGCTGACGGCTACTATAACAGCCCATTGATATCTATGCTCTCGCATCTGAATAACGGTGACGATGAGGCCACGGCGCTTCAACATCCGAATCTGAATATCCGGTTTTTGTACTCGACTAAACTTCCTCGGGAAGAGGGGAATAGGGGGAGGAGAAGTCTGGAGCAGGTTTTGTTTCTCTCGCGTCTGCGACAGATTATTGCGTCGCAGTCGCAGTTTCGGAGGTTGCGGATTGAGTTGGATCTGTTTGTTACGGATTTGGAGCAGGGGGAGGGGGAGGCTCTTCTTGTTGGGGAGCGTGAGGATTTGACGCTGCATGCGCGGAGGATCAATCAGAGGGATTTGGAGAAGGCGATCAGTGGGTCTGATGGGAAGGTCAAGGTGGAGGAGACGGTGTGTTATGTGTGTGGTCCGCCGGGGATGACCGATGAATTGGTTGAGAGTCTCGAGGGTCCCTTGGGAAAGGGGAGCGTGTATACTATGAAAAGTGGTGGTGATAGAATGAGAATATAAATCAATTTTTGGAAGAAAAATCCGCAATCACAGCCGAAAACCCTGCAAATGTCGAATCGAATACTATAATACAAAGAATCAAAGTGTCCGCCGGTTCGGAATCGTATAGAAACGCCCATCTGGTTACAGACGCGAAACCTGGGGTACGATCATGCAAATAGCCTGCATCACAAGCGCCTCGAGAAACCCAGCTCGAAGGAGATGGAAGGGCAATCCGCCTCAACGAGGCAACTTAAGCTTAATTTTCTTGCTCGGGCCCCTTCACAGTTCCCCCGTCGATGATCATCATCTCATCGATCTTTGCTTCCGTCTCGCCATACTCGAGCCGCTTGTATGTCACCACACGGCCAGGGTTCATGTCAAAGTCGTAGAACCGCACGCGGCGCACATAGCCCCCGTACCCTCCGTAGCCTCCAAAGCCAGCGCCTCCTCCATAACACATCCACAGGGAGGGTTTCTCCTCGTTGTCCCTATTGAGCATGCAATAGTCATTGACATGATCACTGGGAGCAGGTTAGCGAAGGTCGTAGATACGGTGGGAAGATGTCACTCACTGTCCACAGCTAACGAAGAGGATGCCCTCTTCTTCAAGAGCATCCTTAAAGCCCGAGTTGAAACCCGGCGCTGTTGGAACCTCGGACCAGTTCCCTCGGTAGTAATTACCAGTATCGCGATACTCGGGCACCGGAATATGGATAAATGCCATGTTCATGTGCATGTGCGTGTACTCGTGGTGTTTGGCCTTCAACCCCTGGGCGGTGTTCTTGAACCACCGAATCTGACTCGGCTTGATCCAGTCATACCCGCGGAACTGCCGTTCATCGGGAGAGTAGGAGTGTGAGTCGAGAAGGTAGAGAGTCAATGCGGAGTGAGCTGTGCTTCCGCGGCCAAGGACCTCCACATAATAGTTCCCAACTCCATCAACCTCCTCTGGCCCTGCAGTAGATAAGGAGTATGGTAGATCCTCTAGGATGGTCATGAGCTCCGGCCGCTTTAGATCCCCCTCATCGTCATGATTGCCAAAAATGGCCGCATAGGGAATCTTGCGATCAACAAGCAGTTTAACGGACTTGAAAAGAGCACTCTGGGCGTCCCTCGAGGTCTCCCCATTCACCTGATCACCACTCAGTACCACGAAATCAGGTTGCTCTTCGTCTAAGAGTCTCTCCACGAATTCTAACGTTCGAGGATCGGCTTCGCATCTCTGCCCAGGAACAGGCTCGGCCGGAACAGGGTCTCGACAGGCACCTAAGCCCGTGCTCAGGTGCAAGTCTGCCAGCTGCATGATCTTGAAGCGCCCGTTTTCATTTATTCTGGGCACTGGCTTCTTGGTTCTAGGAGGGTTTCCGCGTCGAACGCTGATCCGGGTTTCCAGTCCCTCCGTCCGGCTATCCAGTAGCAGCGGGGTATCTTTAACCTCCCAGCCAATCCGCGGGTCAACTGCATCGGCGCCGAAGAGGACATCGATAGCCGTGATTGCCTTCTGGGAGTCGCTCGCATGGCGCTTGGCGGTTCGCCTCAGCCAGATGCCACCCGGTCTCTGCTCCCATGTCTCGCCTTCGGCCTCGGGATCTTCGATATATTCGGGAACGAGTCGGCTTATTTTGAGGTCAATGACGACCTTGTCGGTAGGGAGGAGTTCTTCCTCTTTCTTTCGCTGGAATCGAACGAATGCGCTTGAGGTCCAACCGGTGCGAAGGTAGAGGTCTTTATCGACTTGCGACCACGACTCCTGGCTCGGCTGGCAGTTGGAAAAGACATTCATAGAGGAGCAAGTCACAACGGTGACATCTGTGATGGCGTAGCCATCGTAGTGGGATGGGAGGTGGCCATGGATGGAGGCAGGAAGGACGCGAAATCTGTTGTCCAAGGTCACAACGAGGAGAGCGACAAAAGATGCAAAAATGGCGAGCTGCACGCCCGCTCGAACCTATAGCAATGTCAGGTTAGCGGCGAAGCCTCACTAGACGTAAATGGACATACTAGTCGGCGTGTCATGCTAGAAATGGTTGGTACCCCTGGCCAGTTCTAATCGGATGAGAAGTGGCTGGGCGCAGGAGCATGGTGAAAAATAAAGCCACAGAACAGATCTCGGGGCTCACCACAGAGAAGACCTGATACTAGGTCATCTCAAGGAGCCATTAATTTGTTTGGAGGGGAAAGAAGGTGTTCAGTTGTCCGGAGGATATCCTTCCTATTCATTCATTCGGCTCGGAGCCAATCCCTTTGGGAAGGCGGTCGGTCACATGTCAGTGACCAGTCGGGTCGGGATTGGCGGCCACTAGCCAGTTCGGGTATGGCCCTCCAGAACCCTACACTAGTCCCCTTGGGGATACAAATGGCACCCGGTGGTATCCGGAGTTCTATACTCCGTATATTCCTCTATCTTAACATGATATCTAAACTATGTGTCTGGTGCGTATATACCCAAGCGATCTATATCTAACAGTATGAAAGGCCGCTGCTAACTACCGTTCCTGGTGCGGCGCATTAGACCTTGTTCGCTCCCCGGTGGACCGCCTCCAGTCCATCCTGAGCCACTGTCTTGACGGAGACCTTGCCACCCAGAATATCTTGGGTCGTAGACAGAATGGTCTCCCAGCTTTCAAAGAGGGTGAACGGGATTTTCTCGCGCTCGCAGAATGTCACCAAGTCTAGCGGAGTTAGTCAGGTCATAATCAAAGCCCGTAAATGAAATTGGAGAAAACCCACCCTTGTCCTTCTTGGCAAACAGAAGATCAGTCTCTGCGGCGGCGGATAAATCAGACACACCATCTCCTGCGTACAATAAGGTCGGGCGCACACTGTCCGGCAGTGCGGCGTACGGCTTGATTTCCAAGGACTTGTCGTGGCCGAAGTGGCTAGAAATATGACGTCAGGGTTTGGCCCCATCGAACGGTTCAGGGGTCTCCTTACCTATCGTCATGGTATTTGATCTGCCAGCCACCTTCGGTGTTAATATCCTTTCCATCACGGCCCTCAACCTCATTGGCGACAATGTAGAGGTGGTCGTCCGGTTTGCCACCCAGGAACTCCTCAAACAGGGCGCTGATGACGGGGACCATCCCGGAGGACAACACCACGATCGGTACATTGTTCTCCTTTGACCATTTGTAGAACTCCACGAAGTGAGGATCCAGCTTCATGTGCTTCTTGAGGTACTCGATGCACTCATTGTAGGGGGTCTTGATGCTGTCTAGCATATCACGGAAAGCGTCACTGCGTAGTAAGGGGTTAATAGGGTCCCTGCACAGTTGTTTGTCCGACATACCGAAAGCTCATGGTGCCTTCGAGAACGGCCACGTTTCCTTGCCGACGCTTTGCATACCCGTAGCCAAGGTTATCAATCTTTCGGCGAAATGTTAGTGGGACGAGAGTGCGCATGCGAGAAGGGTAAATACCATAGCATCATTGCCTGCAAATAGTATTAGCTGGTACACTCGTCTGGATTGGACGCTGACAGACTTCATCCGTACTTACTGTCTTCGAGTGTGATAGTTCCGTCGAAATCGGTGAAGAAGATGAGCTTTGGGCTCGTCTTCATGTATGGAAGCGTAGAAGCACTCATGGTGACGGACTGGATGGGATTTATTCTAGCCGAGTCAGCGTCACTGCAAAAATGCCAGTCGCGCGACGAAAGAGAAAAGTGCAAGCAAAAATCAAAGGAATACTTGATTGCGAAATATCGGACAGTACTCGGATGTAACCGTCGAGAATAACTCCGTCCCTGAAAAGGGAACAGGGGCGACAAACCTAATCAGAAACCCAGAGAGGAGCAGATCAGACAGGCGCAATTAGGGAGGATCAAAGAACTTCCGGTGAGAATGAAGACGGAGATGCTGGTGGAGGGCTTGAAGATGTCAGAGCGCGACGAGGGGATGCTGGGAGTAAAGCAGAGACCCCGCGGCGAGCGACTAGACTCGATCAGTGGATAGTCGCATTCATCCTCCAGAGGGACAAATGACAATCGCCCTGAATGGACCCATGCGGAGTTCCCCATAATTCCACCGCGACACTAAGACTAAACATCCAATGTCTTTTTTCGGTGGAGCCAATCCTGCCCTTGTTTTTGCCCAGGTGGTTTTTCTGTTCTGGGTCTAGCCGAACCGAGTATCTTCCCGGAGGACTCGACTAGTAGTCCCGATTTTTGATCCCGTCACTCAGTCCCTTCAGAATCGCACTCGGAATGGCTCGTCTGCTGCAATCATTGCGTCGCGTCTTGGGACTGACCCCCTCGAGACCTGTCCCTCGTTATGCCCGTTCAATCGACACCAATTTCTCCTTCTTCCAAGGTATGTCTCAATCTTCTTCGCAGAGGCCGGCTCACCCGTTCTCGTTTGCGCCATCGCAAAATTAATCAATGGAATTCTTCTTATAGAGGGAGACAGAGTTATCATCAATGGCAAGACGCCGCTGTTAAGCAAGCCTTTGCGGAAGGGCCAGAAGTCGGACACTCGTCGGGGACAATTGGAGCATGACAATATCATCGGCCGGAGGGTACGGGATATGGTTCAGGCGCGTAAAGGTCAGTATTCTCGTCTCTGCAATCCAGAAAAGAACCAACATAATCTAACAACCGACTTCATTGACAGGCCCTGAATACCGACTCTCCCTCCCCACGCTCGAAGAATACGTTTCCTTGACACCCCGTCTAGTCACGCCGGTACGGACCCAATCACACACACCATCACCGAGCACCCCAGCCCTCATTAACGAGCCCCAATAGATCTACTCCGCAGACGCCAATCTCATTGTCTCCCTCCTAGACATTCACATCAGCCCTCCAGCCGAAGAAACAGACCACCCCCAACCACCCCTAGAAATCCTCGAATCCGGCACCGGCCACGGCTCCCTAACCCTCCACCTGGCGCGCGCAATTCAAGGCGCCAATTCAATCCCTCCTCCACTCCCCCACAGCTCCCAAGTCACCTATCTACCAACCAAGCCTGGAGAGGTAGCAACACGCAAGATACAGCCCCCCAAAGATGGCACGACAGAAACAGTCAACCCCGACCAAGAAAACTGGGACGCCTGGCGCTCTCAGCGCAAAGCAATCATCCACAGCGTCGACGTGACACCCAAAACATCCGTCCACGCCGAAAACGTAGTTCGGGGCTTCCGTCGAGGCATCTATACCGGAAACGTGGACTTCTACGCCGGCCACGTGGAGGACTGGATCGCTGAACAGAAGAGACAACGCGCACCGACAGGGCTCCTCTCCTTTAATAAAAGCGAGGTCGAGCCGTTCCTGTCATATGCGATTCTGGATATGCCATCCGCGCATTTGCGGATTCCTCACGTCGCTTCGATCCTGAAGCGAGACGGCCTTTTGGCCGTGTTCATGCCCAGCGTGACGCAGATCGGCGACTGTGTGGAGCTTATTCGTCGACAGAGACTCCCTCTCGTCCAGGATAAGGTTGTTGAGCTCGGAAACGGAATCAGCGGTGGTCGAACGTGGGATGTCCGGCATGCGGTGAAGAAGTCCCGTGAGAATGTATCCGTGGCTTCTGCAGCTGAATCCGCCGAGGAGGGTTCTGATTCCGTGGAGGAGGTCGCTCCCGAGGGCGAGACTCCTGACAGTACGGTCACTGTTCCTGTATCACCCGAAGAGACCCCCAAGGAAGAAAACAGTGTGCTTGTGTGTCGCCCCAAGGTTGGATCGCGGATCGTGGGCGGCGGCTTCGTTGGCATCTGGAGAAAGATTGAGGATACGCGGAAGAGCTGAGCGGAAAGCTTTACTTCTTTCCTTCCTATTTCTCCATCTACTCCTCTATACATCGGATACCCATTTGTACCATACATATCATACATACCATAGACCTACACTCATGAATAAACTGTACTACTACACTATCTCATTTATATCAAGCCAACATCAGCGAGAAAGAACAGCGGATGAACTCATCCAATAACTCACACCCTCCCTACCTACTACTACCTAATATAATATGACCAACACATTCTACGGCCCAACCACCCAATCAAAGAAAAACAAGCACAACTCCCATCCGAGAATACAGATAAGTCGGGCTACCACCACCACACACACACACACACACACACACACACACCACCACAACAAAAAAGAACGAAGAATAGAATAGAATCGAATAAGCAACAAGGCAAAGTCAGCCCCTCTCTCTTTCTACATCAAGGGTGTTATAACAAACAACACAACTATAGACGTTAAAGGTGGTTCCAAGACGACGGAACCAAAACCAACCCCTAGGTAGAAGAACCCCCAGACCACGCAACCAGCGACCAGCAACCGACAAGCCGCTTAAGGATACAAGCATACACACAAGACCGATTCGCCCGCCTAAGTGCAAAATGAGATGAGGAAAGAAAGAGGAGAGAAACAGGAAGGAAGAAAGAAAGAAAGAATCCATCTTTGGGATCCAATCTACAATAGATGATGGAGGAGATGTGAGTGGGCAGGCAGAGAAATGAGAAGGGGAGAAAGGGAAGAAAAGAAGCGTCGTTAAGAAAGGCATAAGATCCTAACACATACCAAATCTGGGAGGACGACGAAGATAAGACGGTGCTGAGAGTGAAGAGTAAGAGTGAGAGAAAGTGAAACTGCTGCGCCCGTGACTACTTTCCAAGATCATGGATACGCAGGTTCGATTGAACGAGAGTCGGTTGGCGACAGCAGTAAACAAGAAGTAAACTCACAAGAATGGAAGAAAAGGCGCAAGAAGAATGAAAGGAAAAAAAGAAGCACAAGATGCGGCAAGAGCATGACAACGTAAAAGAACACCACAGACACGCGAAAGGCCCCCAAAGATTCCGAGATAACAAGATAAACCGGCTACACAAACACCAGTCTCGTAAGATTCGACATGCTCCGTTCCCTCAATTCCGTTGCGGTCCAAAATCCGCTTCCACAACCTTGCCCTTTTTCCCTTTAACGGTAAACTCCGCAAATAATGCGATATGATCACTTGGAAAATGAAAATTGGGGAACCCAGGCACCTTCTGCAAATACTCCTTATCCACCTCCCCAAGTAACGCCGAGACATGCAGCGAATTAGATGAGAACCAGACATAGTCCAGGATATCTTTAAAATCGGGGGTGTAGTTGGTGAAGCTCAGCTCGTTAATCGAATTGTATGCCGACTTCAGCTTGAACGGGTGAGTCATGCCGACCCGGCTGAGATTACCGTACAGCCGCTTTTCGAGGTCCGGATGCGCCTCCGTGAGCCCGCCTTGTGCGACCAAGTTGTATGCTGCCGACCCAGGCGATGAGTTGAAGTCTCCGCACATGAAGAGCGGAATCTGATCGCCGCTGGAATACACCATAGACGGCGCAGGTTCAGGCGGCGGAGTCTCCGACTCACCTTCTGCTTCCGAGAAGCGGAAGGCAGTCTTGTCGGTACAGGCGGGCCATTTGGCGTATGAGTCGGAGAGCTTGGTGATCTCCTCCATCAAAATGGCGGTTTGAATGAGCTTGACGTCCTTGAAGGCCGGGTCCCAGTAGAGATGCGCGTTCACGACAATGAAGCGGGAGCCTGTCAGCCGGTTTTCCAGGAAGATTACCACTGCGATGTGATCCTTCTGCCACAGTCGATTGTAGATGTCATCTTGGCCCTTTGCATCCGGTCGCCGCACGGCTGTTTGACCGAAGTTGATGACTTGCTTATCGAGCAGGATGAACTTGCTTCCCTTGAAGAACGTGGCACAGCCATCGACCAACTTCGCTTCTTCCTCCTGCATACCCATGGCTCTTCCTCTGGGCCAGTATACACCTTTGTAGTCATTGTAGGCTAGCTGTTCTCTAAAGAAGCCATTGTAACTGCCTTGGTCGATTTCCTGCAGACAAATGATGTCCGAGTCGTGCGATCTCAATTCGCTCAGAATGAGCTCACGTCGGAATTCCCATGAAAGAACACGGGACGGAGTATATCCGAAGTGGGTCGGTGTGGCAGAGGCTTCGCAGAGAGCATTGTGTGAAAGGACGGTTATCTTCTCGCTGGGATTGTTGCCGGAGCTTGCGGTCTCGTCCAAGATGATCCAATCTCTATCGGGGGGTGGAAGGTGAACTTTGAAGCTGATGTTAGTACAAAGTGCACGAGAAGTGTTCCAACAGCAAGCACAAACCTGGCATTTCTTCCCTCAAATACCGAACCAATGCCTTTGTTCCCTCCTTGATAACCTGGGATTTTAGGACTTCGTTCAACGGGTTTCCATCTATCCCTAGCATCTCTAATCTGTAAAGATAGCCCATCTCGAAAGGGAGCGTGCAGATATTGTTGTCGAAGAGAAGAAGCTGCTTCAGACTAGTAAGCATGCCAATTTCTTCCGGGAGTTCTGTGAGGTCGTTGCTTGACAGGTCCAAGTGCGTGAGTTTCCGCAATTGCCCAATCGACGGAGGGATTGTCTTCAACTTGTTGTGGTTTAGGTACAATTTCTCAAGGAAAGTATAGTGAAACAAAGATGTCGAAAGTGCGCGTAGGCCCTGACCACCAAAATCAAGAGCAAACCAGCCCTGCTTCGGAGCAGCCTTGGTTTTGACTAGACCATTGCGATCGCTACCCCCATTCTCTTGTGGCTCGGAGGGCGCAATGGGGATGCCCTTGGCTTGCTGTGCGACTGTGCGGGCATGGTAATGGGGAGAGTGTGCCTGTCGCGACTCCGCAGCCAGCTGGAGCTGGAGCTGCCAATGTTCGTTCCGGGTATCGTCGATGTCTTCTTCCACGTTGACATGAGCACCGTTCTGAAGGGGACCTGGAGTGAAGTGGGGAGTAGCGGCGGCCAACGCTCCACTGGAGAAGTTGTGCTGGTGATTGATGCTGTGGGACGTTTGGTTGTGGTGAGCGTGATGATGGGGCTGCTGTGCAGGATGTGGGTGATGGCTCTGCGATTGGAACTTAGGGATCTGCATGCCAAACCGCTGGTGGGCCTGGCTGCCATTCATCATGACATGTTGTCCTTGGTGGGTTTGGGTGTACATAGTGAATGGATTCAGGGCAGCTGCTTGATTGATAGGAGGGGAGCGTGAGGGAGAAGGAGTGTCGTGGCTGAATTTTAGTCTTCCAGTGGGGGAGTTGGTTCCGTTTCGAACGAGGTGACGTTGGTGACTGTGTTGTTGTGTTTGCGTTTGGAAGAAGAACTGCCCGGCCCCAGGCTGCTGGAACCTGTAGGTACCATCTGCCATTTAACGTGGCAGACGAGACCGTGAGTCGACGGGTTCGAGATTTCTAGGAGAAGTTGCTGGGAGAAAGGCTGGGCTCTGGGAGGCGGCGGTGGCAGGAGAGAGAGGAGGAGTCGGGGATCGGATACGTTCTCTCCTTCTCTTCAACATGGGGTCCTGAAGCGGAACCACCCCAATAAAGTCGAGACGCTGGAATCAAGACCGCCGCAATTTCACTAGGGTCCGTATCACACGACTTCAGTTGCAGTTCTGGGGGTCGGGATCGGGAGGGCAATGGAGGATCGAACGATGGGGCGGGCGTCGGGCGACCGAGTCAGAGAGCACCGAAAGGCAATGATCTGACGAGCAACCTGGATCAATGTCAAACTGGGCTCACAGACGCAAGTCAGCTAGAGCAGAGCGGGCAATGCGCACGTAGATTCGGGTCGAGAGATGTAGCAAAGGTGCCAGCAGCTTGTTGGGATGAGACAGTCTTGTCTAGACGCTGCGAAGTGGTTTGCATCCAAGGCGGGAGGTCGCTCTGGTCACGTGATGTCACATCTGGCGGGCGTGATTCGCCGCCAATGGCAAAGCCAAGACCACCTCGCGACAACTTGAAGGACACCTCCAATTTCAACCACTTGCTACAATCTGTACTCTCCAGAGGTTGGAGATCGGTCTGGATCAATCGTCATGAAATCTCTCCAAACCATCTACCCATCATTCACCAAGTGAACAATGGCCTCGTCTTAACCCCCCGTGAATCAGGATGGCAACCGGGCAGGATCTGGGTAGCCTTCACTGCCCCATATTCCCAATTATTGAGGGGACTAGGCGATCCGCGGGGGTCACTGCACCAGTAAGGAGGTGTCTACTTAAGCACTCCAGCACACGCATCGAGAACCTTTCAAGAACATGCTATTTTTTTTTGTCTACTGCATGCGGAGACATCTTTTGACAGCATCTGCCAATCCTAACCTTCAAGCCTATCCTGTCCTTGCCATCGATTCCATGTTCAATCCCACTGACGATGGAGGGACTTGGCTCCCTATCTTATCTAGATTAACCGCCCATATCGCCCGCCCCCTGGGCCAACCAAGGCTCCCGCGACCCTATGACGAAGCCCGTATCAAAGCCACATAGCAGCACGGCTCACTCGGTTGGTTCCGATCGCCTCGCTATCTATATGATAGTCTTATGTTCTATGGCATCCCTTTATTGCTTTCGATCACTGACACTTAGAGCTCGGAGCTAATTGGGCAAGGTATGCACAGATCCCAAATCTTCGTTATGTGGGCTCTAAGGGGCCCATGTTTCCAGAAGTGTCCGAGACATTCTTCCCATTTCGTTGTAACACCATTCCCCTTGCAAACCCAACCCAGTGCGGGTGTGATAAGTTTCACGAGGAATACGAGGTCATGAAGAGGGTGTGGCAGTACGTAATGATCAATGTGTAGCTGGAATGCTGCCTATTATCTAGTGGCCTTGACCTGAAAATTAACATGGACAGCAATCATAACCAAACGAGTTGAATCGGAAACCGAATTCATCCGAGGTCATGCTATTACTTATCCCATGGCCATCAATGCTACAGCAATTAGACTGTTGTGTTGATTGAATTGCCCAGCATCCCTTCTAGGCTGAATCCAAACGGTCACACTGCATACACATACATCCACCCAACTATACACGGTATCATTTCCATTTATGTACATCAGAAAGTAACAAGCAATGTAACAATTAAACGAATGCTATACCACAATCTCCCAATCCCAAAATCATCACCCCAAAGCATACAAATCCAGGCTACCTAGATTAACCTATAACGACCTCAGTCTCAAATCAACACCTACACAGCACCCTCAGGAGATAAATCACCACCACCCTCCATCCCTCCCCTTGACTCTCACACACGTCAGGCCTATCCTATATACAAACATCGCTAAACAACCCAAGATCAACCGACCCTTCTTCCCCCATCCCAAAAATCTCAATAAAAATATCAACCTACACAAACCTATCTACACTACACCAACCCATCCACAAAGATTCCCCAACACAGTCCTTCAAGCCCTTCAACAGCATATCTAGATCCCAACTACCCATTTCTCGGCAGGTTCTCAACGTGTCTACAGTACGGATGCCAAGCGCTAAATTCAACATGCTATGTACTTAAGGTATTCCAAAAACAGCCCGGCTCATGATCTGCATTAGCTATGAAAACCACTAGAGGATCTATCGATATGATATAGTTTACTGGTCTTCAATCTTGACTACCTATCTAGCTGGGATCGGAGTGAGCACTCAACCTTTCCCCAGTCCACTCTACAAGCACGTTTGGGTGTGAGACACCTACCCAGATAGCTATGGAGTATACCTAATATAGTCATATCAAATCCACAACAAAATGTAAGATCATAGAACAACAGGCCTTGAGTCAAAAACATAACAGCACGGAAATAAGCAACAAGCAAAGCACCGAATAGCATATCACCTTGAGTAAGACAAACCTCAACACTCTGTACTCTCCACCAATGTCAAAAAAGCTTGTACCATGCACACAAGCCAATACTTTGCATTAAAGCCGACCAGTCGGACAAATAAGAATTCTCATCCCAAGCAATGTTATTTTATTGCTGACTGGTGTTGGTGTAACGTTCGGGAGCAGCTTATTTTATTTCACTGATTCTTGACAAATTCAGGTGAGATTATATGGTAAGGTATGTAGGATCTGATGACTCCTACGGAGTAGTAGGTAGGTACGTTGATTAGGGATAGATGATTGACTGCTATGCATGGCATGTGATTTCTCATGTATCGTATTGACTGCTAGTCACAACACAACATAAATCCACAGTAATAACCACAAGGAAGAAAAAAAAGGGGGGCCCAGAAAAATAAAAAGCCACCAGAAGGACCACCGAAAAAGCCCAGAGCTCGGGAACAATCCAACCGCTACTAATTTACTAGTGTAGTCGGACTAATGATATTCGAGGCAATCCCTGACAGGGCAACAAGTGACCCGTGCCAGCACGTGTCTTTTCAGGCCAAGAGTGGTCCCGGCATGCATAATAATCCTGGATGGCGGAGCGTTGCAGGACTGGGGGGGGTGGGAGAACAATGGTTTTGATCATTATTTTTACTTTTATTCTTCATTATGGTCTATGATCATGATTATTCTGTCGTGAGGAAGCAAGTCTGAGTAGGTAATAGGTAATGCTCCCACCATCCAGGCTAATATAATTCAACCCAACAAACGGCCGTGATTTGGTTGTAGGGTTACTAGTTCAATGAACCAGGATCTGGACTCGTCCTTGTCATCCCATCCCTTATTCCTTACCCGTTTGTTGACTTGCTCCGAAGCCTTCATCGGAATTATTTGGGTTGGTCTAATTACTGGTTGACGATTGAGTGGTCGGGTCGGTTGCGCCGTCGTTGCTACTTGCTACAGATTACTCCTAGTCTGACTCTGGATTATTCTTCAGATCCACAAAGCTACCCAAAATAAGTCGTCAACATTTACAATCATGATGTCAAGGAGCCGGTCGCTACCTGCCTTTTGCCTTCTCCGTTACCTAGTTGTAGCCTGGAAAGCCTGAGACTGGGCTAGGCGGGTTCCAGGATCTTTCCGTCTCCCAAGCTCTTATTTGGTGCTCTTAAGATTTGATTGTTTTCTCCATGCATTTCTTCATGCATTTTTGCCCTTTCGGCCCCCGGGCGGATTCCGTCCCCAGGCAGTGAAAGATTACTCAGGAGACGGGCCAAATTGAAGCTCGTCAAAACCTGCCGCGGTTATTCCGAGCAGCCGGTATGTCCGCGCAGGGCTCTATGTGGGCTGGCCGGTGGATTCGGGCGTTAGAAATTGAAAGGGCGACCCGTGAACATGGAAGGGATGAAGCAGGGTATTGAAGGTGGACGTGCCCGGTTTCATCGCGGCGGTTATCGTTATCAGTTCGTTAGCAGCTGGATCGGCCGTACTTTGGGTTGCAACTAGATCCATGGATGGCGTTTTCCTCGCTGCAACCTTGATCCTTCCTGTCCATTCATTCAGTTTCAGGCAAGGGCCCGGATTTGGCCGGTGGGTAGCCGAGACCACGCCAACGGACTGGGGATACGGAGTCGCTTCCAACTCCCAACTCTACTGATTCTGCATGAGAGCGATCAGATGCCACCCTTCCAAGCAGTCAGTGCAAATTATCGAGCCAATAATCCGTCGCTCGGGCTGCTGATCTTGGATCCTGCTGCAGGAGAAATCAGTAGTCAGAAGAACTTTGACTGGTATCTATTAGATCAGCAGAGCTTATGCAGGCAGTGAGTAGTAATAAGTACCTAGGTACTACTTGATGCGTCTAGGTATACTACGATGGCTGCAGTGGACGCACCCTTTCCGCCACCACCAGCAGGCGCATCGTTTGTTTCCATCGTCCGGACTCGTTCGGCAGAGACATTCGTACCGTGCACCGACTAGCAGAAGGAAAAGAAAAAATAATAAAAATAATAAAAAAAAAATTAGAAATCGACTTACTCCCGAGCAGTACTACCCAAAAGAGTTCTGGGGGGCCTTGTCCGGAATCCCGCCAGATGATTAGTGGTAACAGAAAGGCAGTCGCAGTCATAGTGGAGTGGCCCTAAGGGGGGTTCATTTAATCGAGCCGGGGCGATTGCATTTTCGGTCACGATGTGGTTTTTGCCCCCCCTCCATCTTCCTCTTTCTCCTCTCCTCCTCGGTCTCTCAGTCTCTTCCCATGGGTCGAGGCCGCCTGGAACTGTATCCGGACTGCCTCACTCTCTCTTCCTCCTTCCCCCGCCCTTCTGACTCGCGCTTGTTTCACTTCGCCTCTTACGCCTTCCCTTCCAATTACAGTACCATGTTCATAATACTCGAGTCCCTCCCCCGTCCGTGATCGATTTGCGCTGCCCTTGTCGGATGCGAGAATGCAAACCGTGGTTGCTAGCAGAACCAGATCGATGACAACCCAATCTCCGCTGTCAAAATGGATATGATGTCAAATGGGCCCGCGACTTTTGCGCCCGCCGCAACTTCGGGCTCCGATCTTCATTCGACTATCAGCTCGACCGGTCCAACCCTCGCCGCGACGTCGACCTCTTCCCTAACCTCCCTCAATGACTACTCCAACTTTCCCCTGGTCCGCCAGGGGGATCGCACATACCTCAGAGACCCCGAAAATCTCTACCCTCTCCCCTGCGATCTTCAGGAGATACATCGTCAGACCCTGCGCTCGCTGATGCTCATGCGCGTGTTCGGGGGCCCCTTCTGCAACCCGTACATGGCCGACCGACCACCCAAGCGGGTTCTAGAACTCGCATGTGGTTCGGGCCTCTGGTCCAGCATGAGCCATGAATATTTCGTCCGCCGCGGCCACCGCAACGTGTCCTTCCATGGTATCGACGTCGTCTCAGTCGCACCTGATCTGCGCAAAAAGGGCGTGCATTGGCAATTCCGAAGACACGACCTCCGAAAGCCTCGCCTCCCTTTCCCGGACGACTATTTCGACTTTGTCTTCATTAAGGACGCAGGAATGTGTCCTTCTAGCCCGGCCCAGCAAGCGTCCGGGCTAAGCGAGCCATTGAGGGTCCTCAAATCCGGCGGGATTCTGGAAGTTTGGGACTCTGACTGGGTATTCCGATCCTTGCTTCCCAACCCTGCGCCCGCCCGCAAATTAGCGTCGAGGGAACAGGAGACGGCCGATGCGACCGCAACTTACACATTTTCCGCCGCTACCCCGTTCACAAGAGTGCAGAACAAGTTCTTCCAGGACTATAACTCTTGGGTTGAAAAGGCTTTTGACCGTCGCAAATTGACGGCGTTGCCGTGTGCGACAATCGGCCTGTCCTTCAACTCAGAGGTCGATGTTCTAGAGAGCGTGGATAGTCGTCGCATCGCTATCCCGCTAGGAGAACTACGGTGGGAACGTGAAGGTCAAGGGAAGGATTCGGTCGGATCGCGCAGGCAATTGACTGCAGATCAATTGTCCATTCGGCGCACGGCCCTTTTGACAGTAATTCAGATGATTGAAGGCATGGAGCCTATCCTCATGGAAGCCAGTGGCAAGAGCAGAGATGAATGGGACAGGTGGTGGGCTGCCATGATCGCCGATTTGTTTCAGAAGGGAGGCCTCGCGAACGGGGAGTGCTTAGAAGTAAGCGCTTGGTGGGGTCGAAAGAAGTAAACAGTTTTCGGCGGAGAGGATACGAACTCAACTGTTGGTGTTCTGGCGAACGCGGGAAAGAAGACACGAAAAGCGTCGTGACCATTGCTCTCTCATATTGGTGATACCCCCACTTTTCTCCTTTCAATTTCGCATTTACTTTTTCTGTATAATCTTCTTGAGAACGTGTTGATAAGGCCCCACGACAAGTTGGACGGCCGACATCATTTATTATCATAGCGCTGTTTCAAGGTGCGATATCGCTTTAGATAGTACCTGGGTGCTTTCCGTCAGTATTGACGTTGACATTATCGAGCGTGTACAATCTCGAGAATCATGACATGATGAATATTCGGATGTACTTGGGCCATAGGCGGGACTTAATAACAATGGACATTATCAAGCCTTTCGAATAATATGCCAAGGGCGTTCACTCGCTTGTTCGCCTGTAAACAAGACATCGTAGGATATGGCGGACCCCGACAACCATTGGGGCTGACAGAAAGAAAACGTGGGGTATCTCACAAAGCTTCGATTTCTGCAATAAACATCCAACGATCAGATCTGATCTCTCATCATTCCGCGCAACCAATTGGAGAAAGAAACCCAACCTACCCTTTTTCACAAACTCCGCTCTCGCAATACCCTTCCGAATCTGTTCCTCATTTTCCAGATGTGCCTGACTAGAAAATGCTTTGTGTAACCTAGTCCGATAATACTCGTAGCCCAACGGATACTCGCGACCAAGAAAGAGGAGTTCTTCCGATAACGGAGTGTTAGTTGAAGAAAGACTTAAGATCCGCATTAAGTCGATCAAACTGAACGACCGGAAACTGAGAAGGCATACACATACCCTTGTAAATATTTATCACCTGTGAGCGAAGTGTTGGATTCGTCATTGTAAGTGGTGTTGTCAGTTAGAAGAAGCAGGAGCTAGGATCTTTGAAGAAGGTGGGAGAATCGAGGAAGTTGTTTGTTCCCTCCCCAGCTTTCGTTAGCCGGAACGCTATCGGTGACGTCGCACGGACGGAATCGCGATTTCAATGTTTCGGAGGGGCTGCCGGTCCGGGTGTGCACGGATACTGACACTGCACATCGGGCCTTTCCGCGGTGTATACTTCAAGGGTTTTGGTATGGCTGTTTTTGATGGGGTTTGTAGGAATTAATGGTTTCTGGGAACTACGGGGTCGGTTTTTTCATGGTTGGGCCTCTAAGGGTTGGCTGGTAGTTTAGATATAGTTGCCTATCCGCTGGAAGAGCTGTAAGGTCATGTCAAGTTGGCGTGATAATGCGATTAGCTAGTATTGAAGAAGCACAAGTGATAATCAAAAAAAAAAAATAATAATTTCTAGGCCAATCACCTGCCAGAGAGGCCCAGCTTTCAAGCAATTGTGTAGGCCAAAGATTGATGTATCTTGATTTCTATATATAACCCGACGCAAATATAATATGAAGATAGAGCACATAATCTGTCAAGGTTCACCAGTAGACCAAAATGATATATCGCTGATCTTTGGAGAGCAGACGGAGAGAAAGAACATCCCAACATAACCTATAGTGACATCTAGTTATTGATAGGTGCACTGCCTTTGATAGTCAAACAAACTTCTGTTGACTGACATGCGCATTCTATCACTCCAATCAAGCCCTTGTTGATTGCTGAATCTCCATCATTTACATGGAGCACAATGCTTCTCAACTGAGGCATATCTTCACGTCGGGTGACTAGCTTTACAAGATCCCATACTAGAGCAGGGAAAGTGTTATCCATAATGTCAACAATTTCAAGAGACTTGAGTGATCTTGGTAATATCTGGATAAGCAGTTCATGATCAGGACTATATTCCTTCATAGGACCTGTGTTTGGTGATCTTATGAGGTTTGCATGTCGCATGAAGAGATTTTCCAGAACATGGAATTCTTTGAACGAGCCAAAAGGAAGATTCATCTTGCTCTGTTCAGCATGGTGCTTCGAGTAGGTTTTGTACGACACGCGAAATTCTAGACGCAGAGACTTGGGGGTATACTTGGCTGAGAGGAGAGATCGACGGAATGCTTGGGCTGTGAGTGGATTGTATCCCTCCGTGTGTTTGATAGAGTTTATCATCCCAAACTCAAGGTGGAAGTGCTCGAGTTTACTGCATGCTGCAATCCAGTCATTTATATCATCACAAGCGATCGTATGGATTAGGTTGATTTCCGTGACTGGGCATTCTGATCTCCTGTGATCTGCGAAATCGGGCTTCGTGTACGACCCCGGGGAGCCTTCATACACCTTGAGCGCATTGACCTTGCGGACGGCCGGAAGATAGAAAAAGGGCATTGCATGATCCGACCAGATCATCTCGTTTTCTAGGGGACAAGTGAGCTCGACGTCCCGGAAGAATGGAAACGGAGTACTCTTATCAAACGGATGCTGGCGCTTTGCTGCTTTGACCAGCACATCCAACAGAAACCCCTCCTTGATATGTGAGATCGAGAGGCTTTGTAGATGAGTCAACCGAGTCAGTAGCACCGCCAGCCAGGCCCATCCACATGAATTTTGCAGATGCAAGCTCCACCAATCCTTATCTTGGTCAGTGTCGCATATTTCCGTCACCATATCATGTATCGATGCGAAATCGCCAATATCTTCCTCGCTATCGCTTTGGTAAAATTTCTCATCGTAAGGACACTTCTGAGACTGTTCGACTTCCAAATGCTGGACAGAGGGTGCTAGATAAGGACGATACCATAGGTACTCAATTGACCTTCTCAAACTGCAGTCGCCAGCCTTCAGGTCTCGAGCTGACAGTTTCTTGATAGACGAACAACGTAATGGTCTAAGCTCAAGGCGAAATCCACGCGAACACTCGCTTAGGGCGCACTTTGTGGGCAGGTCATCAATGTGTCGCCAAATAACAGGAGGGCCTCCTTCGGTAATTGAACCATACCGTTTAGTTGTTTAGACCTGTCTGGGGACAGTGTAACCACCTTCCCTACAGATTCAATGAAGAAATGCGCATTTTATGTGTCTGCTAATCAGGAAAATCGGGACTCCGCGAGGCGATATTCTGCATCTGCCTGGACAATGCATCTGCAACGCTTGGATCTTATATATGGCAATCAACCTACTTCGTACTGCTACGATATAGGGAGATGCCTAGAAATATAAACTCAGCTTCCTCGCGAACAAGCATTGGCCACCGCATTCGCTCAATATTCGCTGGCAACAATGCCAATAAGTATGATGCTCTATGGGGCACAATTTCTTCTTGTTTCAATGATTAAGCACGAATCACAGAGTAGAATGCCGATCACAGGGCACAAAGGAAAAAGGTGAGAAGAAAAAGAAGCATAGAAGCGATTAGATGATCCAGGGGTTGTACCAGCGCGCGGAGAGGGAAGGAATGCGCGGGGTTAGCCGAAGCTCCAACCGCCGGACAACTAGCCGAGGTGAGAGCTCATGGCTACTAATGAGCCGGGAACAACTACCTTCCTTCAGACCACAATCACCAACCACGCCTAATTGCGAAGCATGATGTCCTTACCAACAATAAGGAGGCGGTCACTCGCTGCGATATCCTCTCAGTACTCACTACGCACCGTCCGTCTCTTTTCCGTCTCGACTATATCGCAAAATGCCCCTGCCTCCGAACCCGGAACAACACCAAAGAAACCCCACGGCATAGACCCCCGATGGCTGACCATGACCAAGCGAAGAATCGGCAGGTGCATGATGTTTGGCTTGAAGCCGCTGCAGATTCAAGAAGCTGGGGAGGTATTGCAGCAAATAGCAAATGACTGGCGGGAATTGGTCGCTGGCAGCGAAGGCTATCTGACCGATGAGACGAGAAGGGGTCTATTCCAGCAAAAGGTCGCGTGGGGAGAGATGGTAAGATATGCACTTGGTATATGGAGGTTTACATATACCAGTGTGCACATATGCTAATGTTTGGACTTGAATCGAACAGGATAGCATGGTAAGACCTCAGACTATACAAGCGTTGACTGAACTTGACTGACTCATGAGACAAGGGTATGTGATATCCCAGACTAATAGATTGAGCCACAATTTCTAACCATTCACGAGCACCTTTTTAGGACATGTCAACAACGTCACATACCCCCGATATGCGGAAACGGCACGGGTATACTATACCCGCAACTTCGCCATGCATATTGATCCGGCTCATAAGAGAGAGTGGTTAAATCTTGTCAGCTCGAAAGGCATCGGTCTAATTCTCCGAAGCATCACAATCGACTACAAATTCGTATGGTGCTTCTGTCCAGAGAAATGAAGCCACTCGCTAACAGCTCGTCTCTTCACAGCCCATGACATACCCCGATAAAGTCACAGTGTACCATAAGCTAGTGCATGACCCGGCCTCCCCTAAATCACCTCATCATGGGTTCCACCTTCAAGCCATGATAATCTCCGAGGCTCGCCAACGACCTGCTGCCCGTGTTCACGAGGACATAGTCATGTATGACTACAAGGCAAATAAGAAGACGGAACTCCCACCGTTCGTCTTTGAGCAATTCAAAGCCACCTGGAAGCTCCAGGAGCAGGCCAAGGAATTCTGGCAGCAGCGTATACTCGATATCGAATCGAGGGTTCGCACACTGGAGACGGAGAGTTGGGACCGGGAGGATGCGGTCGAGGATACCGGATCCGCGAAGTAATGACGCAGCAGCGGGTTCCCGCTTCCAGGCAACTTCGCATGCCGACAGAACTCAGATCAACAATGTATGTGAATGATCGATCGTAGGACATTCGTATAGATCCAGTTACAACTCACGTACTGTGAGCGCCGTAGGGAGCTGTACCGTATCGAGCATACTGGTAATGTACGAACCTGAACTGCATACAGTACATGTAATTTTACAGGCTGTACTCTTCACTAGAGGTGGCGGTGGCCCTTCCGAGGGCCAAGCAAAGCTTGCCTCACCCAGCGGGGACCCGGCTCAGCCTCGGCCCTCTCCAGGCCGGGAAAGGAGTCGACGGGACGGCGTCTTATCATGCATACCGAATGGATTCATGGGCTGTCGGCTAACTGGAAAACGACCGTGAATGACTTAAATCGGGTGGTTGGTACCTGATTCCATTCCAACGGTTATTTCTTAACACTGAATTAGATACAACCCACGGAAAGCAACTTCAAGAAATTATGGTTCTCTATCGCCAACCCACGGTTTGCCGAAAAGGTTGCGGGTATATTTGTCCTATTTTTATGTCGAACGAATAATAAATACGCCACGCAATACATGGAGTTTCCCAATGTAAATATATGTTCAATGTTTAGGCTCAGATTGGTGCTGGTATTTAAATATCATAAATGTTTGCGATTTGGGCTTTTTTGGTGGTATAATAAATCAATTGGAATAGCTCCTAAATCTCAGCGTTGGCGTAAACAGTGTCGCTGACGATGTTATCTTATGATTCTTAAACCAAACCATTGCACTCTAACCCTCATGTTGGACGGGTTTATGAGCTACCTTTAGTACGGTGTATACTTATGCGAATCTCTCTAACATCTATCTGCGTAGCCTGCTGGCTGATATTAAATCCGTTATTCCGGAAAGCATCTATCTATAGCATACGCCAAGCGGTTTGAAGAAGTAATTTCATTCTCGCTCCTTCGTTATCCTGTATGTCAGGGGGTAGACTGCTTTTGGATATTATTCCAAGTAATAGATAGATGTGGAAGTAAGGTCTTATTACTCACAATGTATAGATTCGATGCTTAATATAACTGCACTAGTACTAAGCCACATGTAGGAACGACATTCTGCCGGTTGTACTAAAACCGATACTTTACCAGTGCGGCTTGCTCACCAAAGATATTCCAAATTAGCTTGCATCTTTGCAGAGATATCAAGAACCCCAGGTTTCAAGGGTGGGTAGGTATAGAAGGGTCATGCTGTAATGACCCCTGGACATGCGGGGCAACCGTCATTCTGAGACAGCTGGATCATGTCCATATGAGTCTGGGCTAATATTGACTTGATGGCTGATGATCTAGGCCTAGATGGGAATGTTTCCACTAATGTCAACCCCCCCCTTCCCCCTTGCTTTGCGGTATGTGGTAAATGTAACCCAAGACGTTTCCTAAATGGTTCAAGCCTCTAGGTACTTCGGAAAGGTGTGAGGTTTGTAACTAATGATATGGTAGGAATGAAGATGAGGATCGCTGTCCTCTCTATTCACTCTCTCGGAAAATTCGACGATGGCAATCAGTCTTGCCTGTCATTGGTGGATCGCCCAGCATCTTCCAGTTCAGTGATCGTTCTGACTAGTTAGCTTTTAGGTACTGGAAGTCTTCCGTGTGGAATCAAATAAGGTCTGGAGAGATTAGGTGTCTCAACTTGCAAATTGCGTAAGCCGCCTTTATGATATTGTAAGATTGTCAGCAGAGGGAGGTTAGCAATAAAGTCCCAAGCGCAATTATGGAGACACAACCCAGGAATCTGGATAACTGTGTGTCTGTTCCTTATGGAATACGGTCATCGTCATCCTGAGTTTGCTCGATGAAACGCCATCGGGGGTGCTTATATTTCCTTATAGTACGAATAAATTATCCAGAGCAAGCGACAAAGATCAAGGCAGTGGATTCTTTGCTAAAACTATATCCGCCATGAGCCTTCCGGCGGCAGAAAATCACTACGAATACAGGTCCTCTACTCTGCTAAGTCTGTCTTGAGAAAATATATCAAGATCCCCCTCACCTGTGAATTGGAGGTTCGAGAAGAGGATGAGAGTCAGAGATGAGTCTATGCAATCCTTTCCGTTATTCTGACAGTCATCGATGGACAAAAACTGCTCCCTATATTCGATCAAGACAATCATCCTGGGTTGAACTGCCATTGGTCGATCCAGGGCTTCTTGCAAAGCGAATATGCTGTGCGGTCAACCTGCCGCCAGCATCGCTGTAGTAAAACGCCGGGACGCAACTCATATTGGCTGCAAGGAAGTGCTGCTGCATACGCCCTATAAATCATCCGATCGACTCAATACCACGGGAGAACATCGGTGTTCTGGAAATCGGAAAGTCAAGTCTGAAGCCGCTGGCTCGGCTCGGTTGTCGGCAGCTGATAACTATAACCTACCGAAGCTCAGACCCGCAACCGCCATGTGATGCCTACCCTGGCTCTGATTCTTCACAGCGGGGATGATACACAGCACGGAGAGATAAGGATTCCCGGGAGATCGTCTTTCTTTTCATCTCAGGTCACAGACTGAAACTCGATGACGACCTCGACACCTCTGGCACACCTTTCTTTGCAGTAACACAAGACATGGTTGCTGTGGAATCCGATTGCAATTTGTTGGTTCGTCACGGCTTGACCCGCTTCTTTTGCGCCACAGACTCTCTTCTAGACCACATCTAGTGTCTCTGATCGGAAGCTTTTCCGGATCGGTATCAGTAGTGCCAGCGCCCGGACTGATGGCCTCGAATCGGTAGGATTTCATGATGGTGCTGAATGAGGGGGTGTAATAAGATGGGAAAATCTGCACCTCCACCAACTGGTATCTGCATCTGGTTATACTCCGTATTACTGCTAGCATCAAGGGTCCAATACCCTGTCGTTACAGCCCTCAACGACAACGGACGGGATAATCCTGGTATCATCTGACAAGGCTGGCGGGGCACGACCGGCAAACCCTTCAATTTAGTCGACGCGACTGTCCACTTTAGGGTAGAAACGGTCGATCATCCATCCGATTCCAAGGCTAGTCGATCTTTCTTGTCCGTGAACAACGCAATCGGTTTAGGATGCTTTGCCTATCATGCTGCATCCAACCCAGCAGAAAGCATATGACGAACATTCCAATTATCCTGTGACAGCCAGATTATCCGGCAAATGACATCCCGTCATAGTATAGACGGCTCTGCCGGAAGAAAACCGAAGAAGTGATGATGTTACCTGGGTGGAGATTGTTCGGTGAAATACCGCATCATGGTACAATACGGTACTACCTATATATAGCGGGAAACTTACGCTTACGGGCTTATCTAATCTCATGCCTTGGACCTTCCACAAGATGTCAGTCTGTGATGACAATTTCCCGATGGAGATGGGCAATCCCCCAGATTGACGGTGTCACTGACGGGCTTACAAATTGCTACCATGCCTCCCTGATCTTTTTCTTTCTTACTTGCTTTTGACCGGGAATCAAATGGCATGACAATGATCTCCTTGCAGGCTGCTGCTCGGGACTTGGCATGTGTACAGTCATTACAAACATTCATCTATCTATCAGCTGTACAACCTCCCGCACAAGTGTCAATTGACAAGCCAACAACCCGTTGACTGGAAAGCTAGGATATGCTTATCTTGACTTGCAAGTCACGAGCCGGAGGGCATATGAAGTACCCCGTGCTTCTGCGTGATATCACACGCAGACTAGCTGATAAACAGATAACCAACTATGCGATAGGGATGATACGGCTACAGCTCTCTACTGTCAACTGCCAATGGATTGATGAAGATGTGGGCTGTCAGTCTATTCACGGCTTTGTACGGAGAATCGCGCGCGCGAACAGCAAACAACGAGGATATCCCATGAAGGATGGGATCGCCAGATCGTCCTGTCTAGTTAGGTCCTAATCCTGGTTTACCCGATCAAGCGCAACCCCGGGTCTTGTCAGTGGGTAGCGGGTAAGACGTGATATGTAGGGTGACTGCGTGCGAAGGAGGGGTAAACGGACATTAAATGGCGCTGAAATCCGCGGGCCTATCAATGGCAGCAGCATTGCAGGAAGACCAGAATGAACACGTAGTCCCCCCGACTTACGAGGCCGTTTTTCAGCAACCATCAGTCCACAGATGCTTAGACCGGAGAGCTAGCTCAATAGCCATTCACAAGTATACTTAACTGACGCCGGAATATCCGCACTGCCCGCTTACATGGGTATCTTACTATATTGGTTGGGATGGAGATCCTCATCGATCGAGCGATGCCAACAAGCAATTCATCGTTGAGTGCGTTAGAGGGAAGGGAGCTGAAGGCGGGTGCAAGTGGCCTCATGTAAGACTAAGATTAACAGGAGGCTTAGGTCCCCGGCGGTGGAGCCGTCAAAGCAAGCGCTCCAAGGAAGCTGCTGCTAGTATCCGGCCCCCATACTACTACTGAGTAGTACCGATGCCTCGAGAGTCGAGCGAGCTTACTCTTGGAGTGATGTGGCTGAAGAGCCAGGTGTCAATCTCCCCTGTAATTGACTGTATTGAGGACACGGGCGTTGAATATCCGGGCAATTAGACTCTCCGCCAGGACCTCATCAAAGGAAGAAGTAAGCAATAGCCCCATTGATGTTTAGGCTTCAACGATCTCCGTGGCTGGTCTCAACCTCCATCCCGATCGCCTCAAAAATCGGTCGAGGAATGAATGATGGGTTTCGATAGTCACTAGCCAACCGGAAGGCGGCGCTGTGCGACGTACGTCATGTACCGTACGAGCGAAGTAACTAGACATACGGTACGTGACAGGACGTGTGAATGCCTGAGGCAGGAGCAATGCGCAGTATTGGCCAGCGGTCGCCGCCTTGCTGCCTTAGCGTTTCCCTCTGACGATCCGTTTCCAACCTTTCGTTTCGTCTTTTTCCCGCCTCGTCTATCCAGACCCAAAAGTCTACCAAACCTCATTCATTTTTCCCTTCTCTTTCCTCCCCCGCCACCCTCTCTTACTCACCCTCCCCCATATCCAATCCGAATCATTCTGACTTTCCTTTTCTCATCCTAGTCCTTACCTTACCGACTTTCTATCCCCTCTTGTCATTCCTTTTCCCGCACGCTTTCTGGGTGCTACCTCCCCTCCCTTTCCTTTCCACTAACCCACCCCTTCTTCTCCCCAATCTCTTGCTTTTCGACGCTGTCTTCGTCCTCAATTCTCGCCTGGTCCAAGTCCTTGGCTCCTCCCTGCCAAGCTGACTCGGACCTGGGTGTTAGGCTCCCTCGTCCATGCCACGTTCATCGGCCACGGCTAGGAAGAGTCATAGCAATCGGCATGAGAATGGTATCGTCGGTCCCGGAAAGAAAGTGAACAAGCAAAAATCCAATGGAAATTTGAATGGGAACTCGAACGGCACCTCTGCCCCGAACACTGGTCCCTCCACTCAAGTCGACTGGCCCGCATCTCGCTCTTCCAGTGACTCGGTTCTTATTTCGACGCAAGCGACAGCAAACAAACTCAACGGTACTACGGAAACTTCGAAGGTGGATGGAAACGGGCGTGGCTTGTTAAACGGTTATGCTAAGGGTAACGCGGACATGTCTTATGGGCAGACGAATGGCGCCGTGCCCCAAAATGGCGCACTCGCCAGCCAAGCGTCGCGTCGGACGGAGAAGCCGGCGACCGGTTCGAAGAGGTCGAGCTCTATCAATCCACTCCAGCTAGCTTCGACCATCCTCAAGTCTTGCCCGATGTACGACACCATCGCCATCCTCATCTTTCTCCTGCAGCTGCCGCCTATGGTTCTCACTTTGGTTCAGTTCCTATTCGCTTCCCTGACCTTCATGCCTCCCAGCGGTGCATCGTCTGGCTCCTTGACATCCAACTTCGACATCTTCCAGGGTCCTGCCGGAACACCATCTCTCGGTACAATGATCGCCATGGATGGGTTCTGCTTGCTTTTCTGGGGTCTTTTCATGTGGACATGGGCGCAGAACTTTGCGCTCGATCTCGCTCACGTGCAAGTTGCCATCACGCTAGGTGGAGGAGGGTCGGGAAAGAATGGAGGGGTCAATGCCCTTTGCGTTGGCATTGTTCTCGTATTACATCTTATCCGCAGTAAAGGTATACAGGATTTTGTTCTAGGTCACCTGCTCTCCGCAAAGATAGTCTCGCCCGATCTCTTATCGCAATACTCGCATCTCATGCCGCCCGAGTTTCGGCGCACGGAACCACAAAGCTCTCCAAGCTGGATGCGCAGCCTTCTTGCGGTTCACATCCTGGCACAGGCAGGCACCGCCATGGCGAGAAGATCGATGGCCAAAAACCGTTCTCCGGCTCCACCTCGAAATGGCAAGCGCGTTGATACCGAAGCGTCTGCCGGATCGCAAACACAAATTGATTCCGCCTTCGAGTCCGGGGCTAGCGTCTCCTCCTATATTGGTGCCGATGGCCAAATCGTTACGCCCGCAACCCATAAAGATGGCAGAGATAGACTTATTTCGGCAAAGAAACGCAGAAGGCAGGCCAACCAGGTCCGGAGCCGTCAACCCTTTTGGGCAGCACTCGCGAGCACGAAGGTGACGGTGATGAGGGAATATGAGCATTCTAGGGCTTTGAACAAGACTGGTAGGGGGCTTACGATGACAGAAGAAGATCTTCAGGGCATTTCGTTGGACGATGGACTTGTTTGGATAACCGAAGTCGATAGCTCTACTATCAAGTTTGCCGCGGGGGATTTTGCCTCACTTGATGATCCCGCTGTCTCTGGAGTCTGTGAAACAGGGCGTCTGGGCAACGAAGAAACGGAACCTTTCTATGTCTGTGTCAACGGCGCATTGTGGGCGACCGCAACTATCACCAAAGTACAGGATGCCCCCAAAGGGTCGAACACGGTACACTGGCGGGGTGAGGTCTCAGGGCTCGCTCCTAACTGTGCCTACACTTGCTCCTTCATGCGGACCGATACTGATGAAGAGATCTGTGTCATGAGCGTCAAGACTCCTGCTGCAACTGACGCGGAACAAGGTAAGGGAATACCTCGTTTGGCCTTCAGTTTGTCTAAAACAGTTGTCTCATTCTGGCCACCCACAGTCTCTTCAGTCCCCACTCCGCCACAACCGTCTTATCGCCCGTCGTCGCCAACCACCACTCTCAAGAATTCGATCGTCAATGCCGAGGTCAAGCTGAATGAAAAACGTGCTCGGTTAAGGAAAGCTAAAAACGACCACAAGCTAGTTATATCGAAGATCAAGAAAGAGCTGGATAACTACAACCATCGTCTGCAAAGTGGTACCGATGAAAACCGACAGAAACAGCGCTCGCTGCAGCTCGAAAGAAACATCAAGCAAACCGAAGAAGCCACGGCCGCCCTCGAAAGCCAACTCGACAATCTGGAAAATATTCCCGAGGAGGAGCTTGAGGAATGGACAAGCCAGAAGGCCAAGTTCGATCAAGAGTTGGAACAACTCAACTTGGCCAAGGAAGAGCTCGTTGCTGCGCGGTCTGCTGTTGCTCGTGAGGTGTCGTCATTGGAGTCGGAGTTGAACTCTGCCATTCAGAGAAAAGAACGTCTTCAGGGCCGTCGCACAAGGGTCAATGAGCAATACGAGCGGATTGTCTCTGCAAATGCGCAAGGTCTCAACGAGAGGGAACGTCGTGCTGCCGAACAGTTTGCTAGGGAACAAGACCAGGCAAAGTTGGAGGCCAATTTCAACGACCAATTCACGAGCATCAGCCATTCTGTACAGGATTATCAACTGCGTACCAATCAATTGTGGCAGCAAGCTGCGGCTATTGAGCAAGCCATTCAACAGCAGCAGCAGATACTCTTGGATTCTGCCCCGCTTACTCCTGAAGGGAACCTGCCGGGCACGAATTCTCTGACCGAGACGTCCGGCATGTCTTTGGGGTCCTTGACGACGACTGCGCCCAGCACCCGATCTCTTTTGGGACTGAGTTTCCCCGCACTGAAATCCAGTCCGCTGCAGCATGCGTCGTCCCCGGCCGGTGCCATTTCGTCTCGCCCGGCCAGCCCGATCCAGGTTCCATATTTGCAGCACTTCCCAACTTCTCCTCTTGGCAACACCGGCACTTACTTCGACACGGACTTTACCTACCGTGACCGGTCTTTCTCGAACCGATCCGCGCGGAGCAGTCTCTACGGTGCAGATTTCTTGGACTCCAACCGTCGGGGTCCCTTCCAGCTCGATCTGTCCGACACGGTCGCCGAGAAGCGGATGGATTCGGGCTCTGAGGGGGTGACTCCAAACCCAATCATGAGACCCATCTCCACCCCGTTTCAGCGGACGGACAGTCGTGGCAGTGGCAGTGGGAGCGGGAGCAGCGGTGCAAGCGGCAGTGGAAGTGGCAGTCCCAGCTCAGCAGGTGGTAAGGGCAACTAGGCCAGGTAGAGGGGCAAGTCTTGATGGGTTCTTTAAGGGAATCCAACCGGCGTGTTCCTGGTTGCGTGTGGTTCCGGTTACTGCTAGGTAGTGTTCATCTTCAGACGTGATACTCAAGGTTGTATGGTGGTTTACCTGGCCCGGGTGCTTTGGACCAGACACGGATCAGCCCCGACGAGTCCACGCAGCCGTGCGGCTTCGTCCAGGTATTCCATCGCCTGTGAACAAACAAATCTTGTGTCATATGTAGAGCCTATTCATAATTTGCCGAACCTTTTCCATTCGTAATGTAGTACATCCGTTCTGCAGAGATGGTAGCAAATCAACAAGGCACGACCCTAGGACTATCTCCTAGAACCCGTTGAAAGAGCCCCGGTCCCAATATACAATCTCCCCGAACGGCTCATACACAGCTTACAACCAACGAGGCAGTCTTTATGTGCAGTTTCTTTCCCGGGTGTATTGAACAACTGAGAGACCGGTCGAGCCTCAAAGATCGGGACTTCAGGCTTCAGTTGGAAGTTGGAACAACGCAACCATTGATCATCCTATTCCACCTACCTATCCACCCATATTTATCAGTATATATGTGCCAGGAACAAAAAATAGTAAAAAGAGTAAGCGACACCTCTGGGACTCGAACCCAGGCGGGCGAACCCACAGGCTAATCAGCTAGTACGGTGACGTAGTAGCAGGCCTGCGCCTTAACCACTCGGCCAAAGTGTCTAAGCATGGCTAAGGGGGCAGAGAAGGAGAATATCAGCTAATTGGAGAGGAGATCAATGTAATTGGAGATTTGCCTCGAGGTGCCAGGGTCGGGGGACTAGCCTACTTTACGACTTGCTTTATTTACCTCGCTGTCGATAAAGGCAATTGCTAGACCTAATAAGATTAACGAGGGAATAGGAATTCAATAATGAGCATTTGCTTGAATTATTTCGTTTGTGTGGCTTGGATATTGAACCTACACTTGTTGATACTGAATAGTATGTGGCGTCGGGACTGACTCGGTGTATTAACTGCTTGTTTAATAGTGAGACTAGCACTTAACTCTTTATATTCAATATTTGACATTCAACATTCACGATTAGTATTACCACCAAGGTGAGAGCATCAGTGACTAGGCCTATATACGTCTTGATAGTGTCTCATATCATTCCCACAGACATACATTCACACCCCTACCATAATCCTATAAGAAAATGCAACACAACATGATTAAACTTGGAACTACATGAACCTATGAGAGATGCACTGCCTCAATCCAGAAACTGACTGGCAGCTCCTGCAAATGGACCTTAACACAACCTGCTCATACCTAGATATCTCCGCTCTACTCGAAACGAGCAGATTACCATAGAACCACCGAGTTCAGACATAATACAGGGTACTAATATCTACATAATATCCGACAGTAGTACCCAAAGTCATGTTACCTTACATACTTGCCAATGTCATTATCCCAAACGAGCAGTACTCCCCACCCACCAAGTGCATTCACATCAATATCCGGTATACTTAGTCCAAGAGACAGCCTACGTAAAACCTAACTCATAAACAGCTTTCAATAAATCACCGAGTAACCTACTGAATTCTATAAATTATCACAGGGCATCCTTTCAAAAAAAGTATTAACCTCCCCACCTCATCTACATTCCCCTAATTACCATCTAGGGATTGATTGCCAAAACAGAATCTCGACCATCAACCAATCAGACACTTTGGCCGAGTGGTTAAGGCGCAGGCCTGCTACTACGTCACCGTACTAGCTGATTAGCCTGTGGGTTCGCCCGCCTGGGTTCGAGTCCCAGAGGTGTCGCATGTTTCTATTTTTTGGCATATGCGGGAGAGAGATAGTGTGGATATGGACGGTTCATACCATAACGTATGAGCAACCTCTAGAGAGAATACTACTAGGATACTTACTCTGGGCCAATCACGAATTATACCAGGCCTAGAACACAAATCCAGTACCATAGCAGACTGCCAAAGGATCTCTGTCTCCCATCAGCCTAGTGTGCATGTAAGTCCTCTATACTCATACACACTATGTGATTTTTTGCGGTGCGAGTTGGTGCTAGATTATATCCCCAGCCAGCCTGTCAATTCTCAAAGCCCCGACTTCTGACTGGTGCTTTTGAACACTCATAACATGACATGACTTAGACTCTGCAACAATCACTGCCTGAGTTAGATGAGTAAGGGGAGGGTTTGAGAGGGTGGAGGACAATACGTGTAGATTACAAGTCCAAGCAATGTCATGTGTGAATCCAGGCCCTGTGTTTTAAATACCCGGTAAAGCCCTTTAGGAGTCCTTGAAAGAACCATTAGAACATGTTAGATATGACCCTTAATAAGCGTTTGACTACCTGTTTCTGAAGGAGAGTCACAGTTTGCTTACCATGACGTTTCGCAATGATTTGTCGTCTGCGGGCACCACGGGATAGGAGATAATGTTCTTAGCAAGTGTCCTGAACACCTCTATCCGTGGAAAACAGGGAGGGAAAAGGACTATGAAGTAATGATATCATAGTATAGGATGAGTATGCTCTAGCCAGGATTTCTCACACGGAGGGTGCCAAGTCAGAGAAGTATGTAAAGGCTGGACCCGGCCAGACTAGTTAGCTTTCTGGGGAGGAGAGAGAAGAGATATGAAGACGATGAACCGACAAAGCATATAAACAGTGGTAGCTTATCAATAGCTACATAGCTATTATCCAGTAAAATAACTCTTGCCAAAGCTACTCATCTTATTTAACTACAAGCTACCCAACCCTCTCACAGACCATCAAAAGGTAAGAAAGTATACCATAGAGACCTAAAACAATAATACCACGTAACCAAACCACGATAAAACGATGGGATTTACAGGGAAGTTTCTTGTATCCAGAAACCCCGGCGACTATCTATATAAAAAGGACCTCGCGCAACACACAGAGCATGCTATAGTCCAATTCCGACTCCTACCTGTGCTACTGGAACTATATACTTAGTTTAATTGAAATTGATCAATTTACAAAACATCTCAAACTACATCGATTAGACACTTTGGCCGAGTGGTTAAGGCGCAGGCCTGCTACTACGTCACCGTACTAGCTGATTAGCCTGTGGGTTCGCCCGCCTGGGTTCGAGTCCCAGAGGTGTCGCATATTTCTATTTTTTATGCTTTTTTGTACGGAGACATACTGTCTACTCCTCTTGCTTCCTCTACAATGTACTGGGCTTCTTCAAGGGATTCCCCATGTTGGGAGGGAAGGGGCCCTGCTGTCTTGGATGCAGTAGTAACCTTCTCCGAAGAACCCTAATTCCCCGTGCTGAATGTTTGCGCATCGGTGAATTTGAGTAAGTGGTTGGTTGCGACTGCACTGGTGTTACTGAAAAAGCATGGAGTATATATTCTGCAGATGTCTTACTTTGTATTCCTTATTCAATGCCAGCTTGCTTTCATTTACGTCCATTGCATTTCAATAAGTCATGATCTACCCAGCCTTGGAGGTAAACAGCAATGGTAGAAACCCCCAAGATATGTTTTGTATACAGGCCAGATATCCCACTTATACGGTGCACTTCGAAGGGGTTTGTGGTAGATAGTTGGACTGAACATGTAAACTCTAGCTACTATTCAATGCATGAATATTGATATCAATATATAAGGTCCTTCTTAGGGTAATCTTTCGCAACCTGCTATACTGTTTGTAGTGACCATCCGTTGACATATGAAGCTTATTTAGTGTGAATGGTGTTATTTTGACCTCCTGGCCTGAAAAAGATTCACTTGAATGCTCTGGTGTTCATTGCCTGTGTGTATTTTTAGAGAAGTTCGGCAATTGCGATGGCCCAATACTATTCAACTCGAGCTATGATTCATTCGTTACAAGGATACTACCGTGATACACTCACCAGTATCATATACGTAGGGCTGAATATACATTGCAGCAGCTATTAATTGAAGGGCATGTAGCTTTAAGTGGAGTGAGAAGACTGGATATGCTGATGACTATTGTGTGAGTTTCTATGGACATACAACGAAGACATTGCCAACGAGGTTCTTGTAAAGCCCACGATGTGAAGTATATTCTACAAAGATAAGTGATATATGTCAATTACCATAATTCTAGAGATTAGTTGTCGTTTAGCCCGCACCAAAGTATTTATCTCGGCTCCAAGAAGGTCAAACCATACGGCGGGCAGACGCCTCTCATATCTCATGGCCCATTTCCCAAAAATGTGTATTGGCATAAGTCAGACAAAGGTCTGCAGCCTTAGTTTCCGAATCAAGACTCGGTAGCTGTCCAGACAGCGCTCGAACGACAGTTCCCACAACGATGGTATGGTCATGAACCTGTATTCCCTGTGGATGGAGTTGACACTCCAACACGAATGGAAAGTCCTCCGAGTCCGCAGACCCACTGCCCTGCTTCCTCTGCAACAGCGGCAGTGGTCTGGTGGGGGTTTCATCGCCGCGAATGGAATGGTCATGCGAAACGAACTCATAGTCGCTCTTACCGGCCAAGAGGGACAGGTTATGATTGCCTCTGGAAAAGTCCCGAGCGAGGGTAGCCGTTGCTTGTCGGGGGGCCAGAAGGTGAATGAGGAAGCGCTTCGATGATTGAAGGGCGCTGAGTGTCTCAGAAGGCCGGCGCACATTGAATGAAATGACAGGCTCCGGACTAAGGGTGACGGTGTTGAAGGAGGAGACGGTCATTCCTCGGAAGGCCTTATCTGCCGGGCCGTGGGGATCCGTGGCTGTGATGATGGCGACAGGGTAGGGGACTCGTCTCATCAAGAGACGGACCTGGTCGGACACGGAGGGGGTCTCATTCTTCGCATGCTGAGCTCCTGCTGAATCGGATTGGGAGGGAATCTTAGTGTTCGGGGCGAAGTTGGTGACCGTTCTGCGGGATTGCAGTAGTCCGGATCGGAGAGCCGTTCGGATGAGAGGCGCACATTGTCCTTTAGACGAGATCAATTAGATTGATGAGTACACTTACAAAAGCGTGTGATTGACCGGACTAACCTGTGCAATGGCTCGCCGTCCGACTGACCGCAAGCATAGCTCGAGAGTACGGAAGCATTATCCCGCAGCGGACGGAGCTCGAAGCTCACGGAAAAAGGGGCAAGAGAACAAGAAGGAAAGCAGAGAAAAGACACTCGGAGCCCTCCAAAGTCATCATGAAGACCCAGACGGGATACCAGTAGCGGTTCAATAGGTAATCATGCTAGCCACCGGACCGGAGCACGAGAGACGTTGGATCAATGCAGGCCGATTGCAAGTCGGCGACGAGAAAAAGCAGCACGGGATGCTGACATAATCCCGCCGGTCCGCCCAAATTTGTCGGCCAAAGACAGAGAGGGAGAGAACCGCAGCATCGCATCTCCGGTCTCGAGCCAGCCAATTCCACCTCCCAGGCCAATCCAGATCTCCCTCCGGCGTCCTCTCAATTCCTCTCGGGCTGCAAACCATGTCCCTCAGCGCCCCTCTTCGCCGCAGCGCGGCCACCACCGTCCGCGTCCAGACCTCCACCACCTTCATCTGTTCGCAATGCCGACATGCTACTCTCCTCCGCCGTCCCAAGCGCCCCTACCAGTTCACCCAGCTGATTACCATGACCGATGGTAGCACCTTCACTCATCGCACTTCCTCCCCTGTCCCCGTCTACCGCTCGACCCGTGACACGCGCAACACCCTGCTCTGGAACCCGACTTCAAGCAAGCTGAAGAGCGTCGAAGATGATGAGGCCGGTCGATTGGCGGCCTTCCGAGCCAAGTTTGGTCGCAGCTGGGACGTGAACACGCCCGTGGAGGGAGCAGAATCGAAGACGGACCAACCGGAAAAGAGCAAAGAGGCCGCTGCCGCGGAGGCCGCTGCCGCTGAAGAAGAGGACGACAACCTGCTGGATCTGATCAGTTCATTCGGCCAGGAGGAGCAGCAGCCGGGCAAGAAGAATTAATTGGATTGCGCTAGAATGGGGATGGGAGCTAGGGGGTTTCATTGATTTTCGTTCGATGTTGTTGTTATACGATACAGATCTTGTTCAGCTTTATGTACAGTACACCATACCATTCAAATGGAGTTTCAGCATCGGTGGTTCCCGCTTCCAGGGTATGGCCTCTAACCGAGGCGTTGAATTGGTGGGAACAAACAAGGTAGAAGGATTAAATGCTACATTGGGAACCACATTGGGGACCATTGATATCAGGACGCTGCTAGATAGGGTTCCGATTGCATACGTGGGAAAGACTCGCCATAAGATAAAACAAGTGTGCGCTGCATCTCACAGTAAGTAGACGGAGTGACAATTAACGTTGGATAGGAATGCAAGGGGAGGGTGGATGGGACATCAACGAGTCGTTGCTTTTCTTTTGTACAGATGCCTATGCCTCTTCGGTCGGTGTAGCTTCGGCAGTTCCCTCGACCGCAGGCGGCGCAGCAGCATCGCTCGCTCCCACGTTGCCGTATAGAGGATTGCCTTCTTCGCCCGCATCGAGTTGCAAGAGAAACGTCTCCCAGAGCTCAATCAGCTGCGAGACCTGTCAGTAACCGCTAGGACAATGGTGTCGGGGCATGTAGTTGCTTACCTCCTTCTGGGCTTCAACTGCGCTCTCCAAAAAGGTCTCAATGCCAGACTTGAAGTCCTCAACCTTCTCCTTCTCGAATCGCTGTAGCTCATTTCGCATTAGCCGGCCCATATCCTCGAACAACAGGCGCGCCTGGTGAACTTTTCGTTCGGCATCCGCCACATCGGCATTGACCTGGGTCAGACGATCTTGTTGCGTCTTGCCCTGCCTGAGAAGCTTCTCCTGATTATGTTTGCGCTTCTGCATTTCTGCCTCCGCCGCGTGCCAGCTATGGAAAGCCTTCTGTCGCTGAGTGAAAGCTGTCTTTACACTCCCAATCAAGCGAAGATACTCGTCGATGGTGATTCCCAGAGTAAGGACATCCTGCTGGGCTTGGCGTTCGTACAGCTCTCTAATACGTAGCTGGAGGTCGGAAAGGCCGTCCAGAGGGGTGGAAAGTGTTGGTGACAACTCGACAGCCGCCAACGCATGGAGGGATGCCGAAAAATCACCAGCAGCCTCAGACAAGCCCTTGCGTTGCGCCACCACCGTGTCGACAGATTTCATCAATGCCTTGAGCTGATTCTCCAGGGCATCAAGGTAAATCTTCCGGTCATGGAACCACTAACGTGCCGTCAGTACATCAATCCGACCGCGTAGATAGCGATGAACTTACATCGTCGTGCTCGACAAATTTCCCGCCACCACCGACGTTAATTCCAAAGGAGCTGAACATGCCCTTGCTTTGGCCAAGATCAGGCTCTCTGTTCTCCTTGTTCTTTACGTCCATGTTAAAGGTTTCGCTCTCCAGGAAGATTTTAAGGTCACCATCATGCTGGAGGATAGGATGCGCCGCGATCTTGTTCAGCATCCGCTCGAGAGCAGCTCGTCTAGACTCGACGAAATTCGTATCAAAACGACCCACCGCCTGCTTCTCTGGAGGAGGGGGGACCACAACGCCGGGGTTGTTGTTGTGCATCGAGTTGTAGAGCCAAAGGAAATCACGGTATCTGCGGCTGACAGTGAACTCCGACTGTCGGTATGCCTTGGAGGTTGTCTATGTGCAGCATGAGCAGAGTCCAACAGCAGCCCAGGGAGCAAGGGCGAGCATACCTTGGTTCTCACTTGATACACGATATGACTACTCGTGAGATCGCCCACTTTGTGCGGATCGCCAACAGTAATTTCAAAGGTCGGGTTCGCAGCTTTTTCAACGCTGATGCTGGGCTGGGATTGCCGTTTCGACCCTTCCACATCACTCGGGGGTTGTACTGGCGGAGGCCCTCTAAATCCGGCACCATCCTCTTCCAAGTCCACAGAATCCGCCAATGTAGCTCCAGTAGACACCTGGGAAGCAGATGATGTCGGTCGAACATTGCGCCCTGAGAAGGCCTCCTTCTGGGGCGGGGTAGGAGCCTGTTCATGAGGACTGCCCTCGGCCTTGTCCCCGAGCGGACCAAGCGGATCAAACGAGTCATCCACCGCTTCTAGCTTTGTCGCCTGCGCATTGATCCTTCGGGTGCCTCGTGGGCCTCGTCGTACGGGAGAACGGGGGGCATTGGAGCTAGCTTGTTGTATCGGTTGTTCGGGAGCTGTGAACCGTCATCAAGTTAGTGCATGTGGAGAAGCAGTTTGATAGAGGTGAAAAGAGTAGGAATCGTACAAGCTTCTTCTGCTTCGGATCGTGGAACATTATGGCTGCTGCTTGATTGCGAAGGCACGTCTGCATGCTTGGGTTAGAGGAAGCAAGATGCGATTGTATCCGTGACTGCCTGCTTGCTTACCGCCCCACGGGGAGTCGCCGGCGTCGAGATCCATAGGAAATGCCGAGATTGAACTGTGGTAGATTGAGAAACAAAGTGGGTCAATTACGGAGTGAAATCAGCTATAAAAACAAGAGATCGTGGGAGGTGTTGGGGAGAGGCCGCAGCCGGGGAGTTGGAGCGAGCGACCAGGTTGCCGTAGCCCGATGATCCGCGCCGTTGTCCAACTACGGATTAGGGTTCCCCCGCCAAGATCAATGTTCTCCATTGGGGCATTCAACTATGACATGAGACCCAGCAAGAGCCTAAAGGTGCATTTAGATACGGACTATCAAGGCATGAGGAAGATGCACGGACGCTTACGATTTCGTGGCCTGAACAAATGACATAAAAAAACAAATTGGTCCGCGGTATGGATTCCAATCTTAACCAGCGCATTCCCCGATTGCATGTTACTTTGGTTTCCCAGCCCCAGCATTCTACTGAATAATATTGTTTCTGCGAGTATTTCGTGTAGTAGTGTAGTATTTGTTTCATACATATCGTCATCATAGTTAGGCTGTCTCCGGAAAAAGAGACCTCAAACTGCGAGCGTCATACGACACAGGCAGCACGCAGACAGATGTACAGGCCAAATATTCTTTATGAGTATTTATTTCACCCATGGGAGACCAAGCTTGTGCATCTCCACAGCAAGCTGGAAGATGTAGTCCAGACTCTCGCACTGGGTCTTGGCCTTGGCGACGTTATCTCCCCAAACGTAGCTATACATATTCATGAGCTTACCACCACCGACAAGTAAATGATTGGAGATGACACTTACATTCCATGTCTCCTCACCAGGACAGCATAAGTGTCAGGGTATTTCTCCATGGCCTTCTCCAAGCTTCCAGTGAGGTCTTCCTCGAACGCAGTGTTCTCAATGATCGGAATGCTAAGCGTATCGAAGAAACCGAGCATGCCCTTTCCCTTGCCCCGGGGAATACCCTTGATCTGTTCAATGTTGCTGATCTCGAAGCAGGCGTCCGGACCCTTCTCGCGCTCAACCAGGAGCGTCACCAGAACTGCCCACTGAGAATGGGTGTGGATACAGCAGCCAGCTCCCTGCTCAAAGGCCGTAAGGAACAGTGGCGTGCATGCGGAGGGGTTCAGGTTGAGCGGCTTGCGGATATACTTGCGATCCGAAGGAGGGTACTTGGGCGTAGGGAATTCAAGCACGAAGATGTTGTCGGGTTGCATCATCTCCTTCTGCACACCGGAAGGAGCAATGAAGATATGGTCGCCATGGCGAATGGAGGTCTATGTGCAGCCATTACGATCAATTAGCGAGGAATCATGGTCGCGATCGATGTGCGACAATTCTTACCCCACCACCGGTGCCGGTGACCCAACCCCAGTTGTAGAACCGGCGACAAAGGTCAGGGATCTTGTTGGCGGGGTGCTCGGGGTCAGCCGACTGGACCAAGTGGTCATTATTTTTCTGCTGGATTTCCTCGGCCATGTTGATAGATCTTTCAAGCGGCTGTGAGATCCCCGCAAGCTTTGTCGATTAGATTGAATAGCTCGGACGATCGGCCAAGGTGCTGTCGCGGATATCAGTAAAACTAGTAGAGCGCCTTCGTTTCCTTCGAATGGGAAAAAAGAGAACTATATACTAGGAATGCAATGACCGAGCCTGAAGTCGTACGGGCGAGGCAGTGGATGTATGACAGGACGAGGAAAAAATGTCAGGCGGCGGGGAGGGGAAGCAGCAATCACCTCACTAACGCATTAAGGTAGCGGGGAGTGCTCGCGCCATCGCCGGCCATTGGTGGACCGAGAAGGTAGAGAAGAATCTAGTGCCTCGGATGGAAAGCCAGCAAGCACCGTGCTGGATGGAGAACGAGCAGGATGACCGGGCCGGATCTTTTTATCTGTTGGTTGCACTTGGGCGCAAGGATCCTTGGAGTGAATGGAGCGGACATTTTGATTAATCTTGATCAAATGTAATGCCAGCCGGCCATGCTCTACATTGTATCTACTAGTAGATCGTAGTAATAATACCGAGACGGACAAATACCAAATCAGCGGCTGCGGTTTGCACCGATTTGCATCCGCAGAACATTGGAGAAGCGCGACTAACCAGATCGGGCAGGCGGGACTTTACCCCAAGGAGCAGCGGCAGCGGAAGAGGCCACCTTGAACTTCCCAGCTTCATGCATTGCCTTGCGTCTTCTTATATAACCATCACACCAGCGGTTCCTTTCTTTCTCTTCTCCTTCCCCTTCCCCATTCCCAGTGCAGCTACTTGATTGTTGAGCTTGCCTTTATCTCTCTTCCCCACCATCTCCATCCCCGGAGGTTCAATTGCTGGTGCGCTTGCTCGCCTTGTTTGTTTTCCTCTTCCCTTCCCTTGAAAACCCTCCCGGACGTTCTGGTTTAAGAGCGCCAATCGCCATCCACCATGCGTTTCAACGCGGCTTTGACTTCTGCCTTGGTCTCCTCGGCCTCCATCATGGGCATGGCCCATGCTGAGGAGACTGAGAAGCAGCCCGAAACTACCTCCGTGGCGGAGAAGCCTACTTTCACCGTGAGTAATCTTCAGCCGGTATAGGTTGTCGTCGCATCCTGCTAACTGCGCGCTTCCAGCCCACCACCATCGAGGCTCCTTTCTTGGAACAGTTCACCGATGACTGGGATTCCCGGTGGACTCCCTCTCACGCGAAGAAGGAGGACTCCAAGTCGGAGGAAGACTGGGCCTATGTTGGTGAATGGTCTGTCGAGGAGCCTTCGGTCCTCAAGGGTATCGAGGGAGACAAGGGTCTCGTTGTCAAGAACGTCGCTGCCCATCACGCCATTTCGGCTAAGTTCCCCAAGAAGATCGACAACAAGGACAAGACTCTCGTTGTCCAGTACGAGGTGAAGCCGCAGAGTAAGTAACGCGACTCGACACCCATACGCGCAGGGCGCTAATAGTGGTATTAGACTCTCTCGTTTGCGGTGGTGCCTACCTGAAGCTTCTCCAGGACAACAAGCAGCTTCACCTTGACGAATTCTCGAACTCGTCTCCCTACGTGATCATGTTCGGTCCCGACAAGTGCGGTGCCACCAACAAGGTACGATCTTGCAAAACGCGTTGCCGAGCATTGGAACCTATAGCAGGAGCTGACAATATTCTACTAGGTTCACTTCATCTTCCGCCACAAGAACCCCAAGACCGGCGAGTACGAGGAGAAACACCTCAAGTCCCCTCCTGCGGCCCGTACCTCCAAGGTCACCTCCGTCTACACCCTGGTCGTCAACCCCGACCAAACCTTCCAGATCCTGATTGATGGTGAGTCCGTCAAGGAGGGTAACTTGCTCGAGGACTTCACCCCTGCCGTCAACCCCGAGAAGGAGATCGATGACCCCAAGGACAAGAAGCCTGCCGACTGGGTTGATGAGGCCAAGATCGCCGACCCTGAGGCTACGAAGCCCGAGGACTGGGACGAGGAGGCTCCCTTCGAGATCGTTGACGAGGAGGCCACCATCCCCGAAGACTGGCTTGAGGACGAGCCCTCCAGCATTCCTGACCCCGAGGCCGAGAAGCCCGAGGATTGGGATGATGAGGAGGATGGTGACTGGGTCCCCCCCACCGTTCCCAACCCTAAGTGCCAGGAGGCCTCTGGATGTGGCCCCTGGACCGCCCCTATGAAGAAGAACCCCGACTACAAGGGCAAGTGGTCCGCTCCTTTGATTGACAACCCGGCCTACAAGGGTATCTGGGCTCCTCGCAAGATCGCCAACCCCGCCTACTTCGAGGACAAGACTCCCTCTAACTTCGAGGCCATGGGCGCTGTAAGTCCACTTCTCCACCAGTTTTCTGACTTCCGCGACTAATGATCATACAGATTGGTTTCGAGATCTGGACCATGCAGAATGACATCCTGTTCGACAACATCTACGTTGGTCACTCCGCCGAGGATGCTGAGCAGCTGCGCAAGGAGACTTTCGATGTCAAGCACCCCGTTGAGCTGGCTGAGGAAGAAGCCAACAAGCCCAAGCCTGAGGAGAAGGTTGTCGAGCCCAGCGTTAGCTTCAAGGAGAACCCCATTGGCCACATCAAGGAGAAGGTCGACAACTTCGTCCGCCTCTCCAAGCAGGACCCCATCAACGCCGTGAAGCAGGTTCCCGATGTGGCCGGTGGTCTGGCTGCTCTTCTCGTTACCATGGTTCTGGTCATCGTTGGAGCCGTTGGCGCCAGCAGCCCGGCTCCTGCTCCTGCCAAGAAGGGCAAGGAGGCTGCCGGAGCTACCAAGGAGAAGACTGGTGAGGCCTCCAGCTCCTCCGCGGATACTGGCAAGGGTGGAGCTACCAAGCGCACTACCCGGTCCTCTGCCGAGTAAACTGGCGCAGCCATAGTGAATAGGGGAAGAATGAGAAGAAGACATCCAAAAGCGAAAAGGAGCAAAAAAACAAACCAGGGATATCCTAAACCACATTGTGTTTCAACTTTATACCTCTGCTGCAGCGTTCAATCAATGATTCATTCTGATTTTAAGGTGACAGACAGGCAGGGGGTTGTATCAGCTGCCGAGAAGAGGAGAACCAGACCTCCAGTTGGTGGCGTTTTGAGGAGGAGGTTAATGCGAGCAAGACGTGTAAAGTAGCCAAGCTGCAGAAAGTACCGTTGGTCTTTTTAGTTCATAATTCGAGAGTTTCCCGATTATAAGCGGTGTCACAATTTTGTGACGGATCGTCTGGGGTACCAGTCTTGCGGCGACATCGGCGTAGGCCACCCAAGAGCGTAGGAGTGCAGTGATTGACTCGGGCAATGGGCAGTGGACAGTGTGATCATAGCCCACGACTGATTGAGATTCAGGTCATATTCGTATATTGCCCTCCGGGGAATACCATCTGGAATCATATTCCAAGCTCCGCTGAAGACGAAGAAGACGAACATAGATCTGGCCCAATCAGGCAGGCCGTTCCGGTTGGTCGCATGATTGGCCGGTGGCGCCGAGCGTTATCATAACCTCGGCGGAATGTCTGGGACCGTACCTTACGGGGGTCCAGAGGAAGAGTGGATGTACCTTACTCCAGCTGCCCCGGCCTCCTCTATTTATCCTCTGGCCTCCCTCCCTGCTTCCTATCTTACCTGGAATGCTCCCCGGTTCTCTCTGCTGAACGGATTCCCCATATTCTGTACTACCTACGTGGTGTTTTTTATTCCCAATCCCTTTCATTCTCTGATTCATTCATCATGGCCGCCCGCCGGTCACTTGCCCGGTCCATCCCCGCTCTCCGCGCTGCATCTCCCCGCACGGTCGTGGCCACCGCCAGATCAGTCGCTGCAGCTTCGTCCTCACGCCGTCTTTCGACTGCTATCTTGTCTTCCTCATCTGCTTCATCTTCATCTACAGCTTCTAAGCTCTCTACATCCTCACCAGCTCCCATGGCCGCCACCCGTCGACTCCACGCCACTGCTCAGCAGCTCACCCCCGCAACCACCTCCGCGGCTAGTACCGCCACCGAGTACCCGACGGACCACACTCCCATTGCCAACCCCATCGACACTACCAACTTCCTGGACAATCAGTTTGTGACCTCCACGGCTTCGACATGGATCGACCTGCATGATCCTGCTACCAACAACCTTGTTACTCGGGTGCCGCAAAGCACCGATGAGGAACTACGGGCCGCCGTCGAGTCCGCCGAGAAGGCCTTCCCCGCGTGGCGGGCTACCAGCGTCATCGCCAAACAGCAAATCATGTTCAAGTTTGTTAGCCTGATCCGTGCGAACTGGGACCGGCTTGCCGCATCCATCACGCTCGAGCAGGGCAAGACCTTCGCCGATGCCAGGGGCGATGTCCTCCGCGGTCTTCAGGTTGCCGAAACAGCATGTGGCATCACCACCCAGCTAACGGGGGAGGTGTTGGAAGTTGCCAAGGACATGGAGACTAGGAGCTACAGAGAGCCCTTGGGTGTGGTTGCAGCCATCTGTCCTTTCAGTGAGTGGTCCTGCCTGCATGGTCATGCAAGTCCACGCTGGCTTTCTCCGACGCTAACCGCCCGCAACAGACTTCCCCGCAATGATTCCCCTTTGGTGCATTCCCGTCGCTACCGTGACTGGCAACTGTCTTATCCTCAAGCCGTCTGAGCGGGACCCCGGTGCTGCAATGATCCTGGCCGAGCTGGCCAGGGAAGCTGGCTTCCCTCCCGGTGTCATCAACATCGTCCATGGTGCCGCAAAGACAGTCGACTTTATCCTTGACGAACCCGCCATCAAGGCCATCAGCTTCGTTGGCAGCAACCGTGCAGGAGAGTACATCTACACTCGGGGCTCTGCCAACGGTAAGCGTGTCCAGGCTAACCTGGGTGCCAAAAACCATGCTGCTGTGGTTCCGGACTGCAACAAGAACCAGACCCTGAACGCCATCGTCGGAGCGGCGTTTGGTGCTGCTGGCCAACGTTGCATGGCCCTGAGCACAGTGGTCATGGTTGGCGAGTCTAAGGACTGGCTTCTTGAGATGGCCGAACGGGCCAAGGCTTTGAATGTTAACGGCGGTTTTGAAGAGGGTGCTGATCTCGGCCCCGTCATCAGCCCTGAAAGCAAGAAGCGTATCGAAGACCTTATCGCCAGCGCCGAAGAAGAGGGTGCGACCATCCTGCTGGATGGTAGAGGCTACAAGCCGGAGAAGTACCCCAACGGCAACTTTGTAAGCCCCCTCCCAAATGTTAGATAGGGCATGTATTCTAATCACTAGTTTCCAGGTCGGCCCTACCATCATCACCAACGTCACTCCAGAGATGAAATGCTACAAGGAGGAAATCTTTGGACCTGTCCTGGTTTGCCTCTCAGTGCCCACTCTGGATGATGCGATTGAGCTTATCAACAAGAACGAATACGGTAATGGTGCTGCCATCTTCACTTGCTCCGGCTCTACTGCCTCCCGGTTCCAGAAGGACATCGAAGCCGGCCAGGTTGGCATCAATGTGCCCATTCCTGTCCCGTTGCCCATGTTCTCCTTCACCGGCAACAAGAAGAGTATTGCTGGTGGTGGTGCCAACACTTTCTACGGCAAGCCTGGACTGCAGTTCTACACCCAGCAGAAGACGGTGACCAGCTTGTGGCGGAGTGAGGATGCCATCAGCACCAAGGCCCACGTGGTGATGCCTACTCACTCGTAAGGTCATTGCCCGACGAAAGAAAATGATTACAGAATATGAGATTTATACCATTTAGCTAAATTATCGGGTTTAATTGGATGTCGTTTTTTGAGTGCCAATTTCAAATTGCCATTGCATCTTAGTTCAATCCTCAGGCGCAGCGTTGCTACTCTTTCAAAGGGGTGTTGGGTATAGCCAAATGGACGTACAAATTGACTCAATTGCAAACCCCCAGACTAACCACGCAGTGATGAATGGGTTTTTCGCCATCATAAAACTAGATGAAGAGGCTATAAGTTGTTGGGACACAGAGTCTTCGTTCCGTCTGTTCTCCAGATGGCCAGCGGAATTCCGTTTTGGCCTACTGGTATGAACTTAACATAAGTGACAGCCAACAGATTATTCCATGCAAAGAGCGATATTGGAAGGGAATTGTACTGTTAAATATCGCCTCCGACTCACTGTTATTTGCATCTACATCTCTAGCAAATGTATGCAGCATTGAATTGGAAGAACCTTAGGTAGCACTACCATATTATACTGCTAAGTCTGGAACAAGTTGGTAGAATACACGACTACCGTACCCTTTGGTCCCTAAGCACTTTACGAGGAACGATATGTGTCAATGGGTTGGAGGGGATGTAATAATGCTTAGTTTCCCTGAATCATTTCTAGTAGCAACAGTTCCAGACTTCCATTGTCATTGTCCTCAGGTTCTCAATGACGAGGAGCCTCCAGATCTATCACCCATCATTCTAAAAGACGTGCCGGCTTTAACCCCAAGCATCTTACACAGATGCCCTTACTCAGCCCGAGGCTTGATGAAGGCGTAGACGAATCGGGCCAACTTGTAGGTCTTGCCCTTGACGACGGCAACACGGCGGGTGTAGTAGCGCTTGCCATCAATCATTTCAAAGCCCCAGATCTACGTGTGCTCCATGTTAGTCCTCGTCAATAAGAAAGAATGAGAAAGACCAACCTGTTCGGCAGTCCACCCGCTATCCAGGTTCTCCACGAAGCTTTGGAACCAGATGCCCTCGCCCTCGCCAAACTCTTCGCCCATGTCCTCTACAATGAAACCTTCACACTCACTGCCATCAGCTAGAACTTCCCCCCTCAAGAACTTGAAGACTAGGGGCTCGTCGCTTTTGGTGTTGAACTCCAGGTACGGGCGGGCCTTTCCGTCCTCACCCTTTGACCCACGGAAGAACTGGGACTGGCCCCTGACGTGGCCAAAGATGTGATCTTGGTGCTCTCGCGGCTTCGAATCGCTGATACGCCTCTCGGTTGTACCCTTGATACCACCGGTGATAGTTTGGTCGATGTCGATGTGCATAATGGACGGTTCTGCGGCGTCGGGATATTCATGGATGGAGAGGGTGACTGTTGCGACGCTGAGAGCCTTACGCGTGAGCCAACCCATTCCTTGCTGATCCGGTCACGGCCGTATATTAGCGAGGGATGTTGCGTTGGTCCACAAGCATTCGAGCTCACGGGAGATGTTTGCAGGACTTACCAGCTCGAGAATCGGTTCTGTGGGATTGGACAGGGTTTTGTCCTAAAACAGATGAGGTCAGTCTTGGGGAAATGACGGCAACCTCCATGCTGAGAGGTTCTGGTGAGGGCATCTATGTACCATCGTCCACTCGCCGTTGAGGTTCTTTAGGGTGATGTCTGCGGGAGCCGCCATGGTGTAGATGGGTGATAGGTGGGTCCGATAAGATAGACTTCACCAGATGGACGTAGGTGGTGACAGGTAAGGATGGATAGTAGATGGTGGGAGAAAGTCAAGGGACGAGCAAGGTAAGAACCTCGGTGGTGTAGTACGAGGATGGGCTGAGGTGGAGGAACAGCAGCAATATATAGATCGGGATTCATGTGATGCGCGCCTTCCTTCTTAGTGTCTCTCCATCATGCGCTCGCTCATCGCCGGATCGCCGCTTCCGCCGAGGCATTTGACACGTGCCACTGCAACATCCCCCAGACACCATGATTCTCATGATTATCGATCGTGGTCATTGTCATGGCTGCCATGGCACTCTCGGGGCCGGAGTATTTCCTTTGATCGAATCGAGTTGTTGCGCGGAGTAATTCCTGCCCGACTGACACTTTCAGGTAACCTTTGAACCAGCCCCGGTTCAGTTCTTCTCTAGATCATGATAGGTGGTTGGGTTCAATGTCAAACGTCCAAGCAACCTTGTGTCCAAGACGAAACTGGGATGATTGGAATTAGGTTCCTGTGGTGACTTTGGCTTTGGCCCTCCGCTTCCTGCCTTAGGCCCCCCCGGCTGGCGAGGCCCCTTTCACGTGCCAGCGCGGAGGCCAACGCAACTCCGGCCGGACCCTCCAGCATGTCGGCAACAAACATTCAACAGTCAGTCCCTGCTGTCATTCGGCCATTGCACTACCATTGTGAGGGTCTGCCATGTCCTTCAATAGGAAGTATGCCGGTCTTCCCGACCTGGTAAGTCTCCTACATCTTCCTCCCGGTTGCATCTCGACCAACCGACTAACACCGTTGTTTGGGCTAGGACCTCGCGCCCGATATCTACGAGACCCCCGATCTGACCGACGAAGCGTCCACCCTACCGGTTAGCTACCCCGCCTGGAGCATTGCCTCTGACGTCTCATTCCTAATACTATATCCATAGACTACCACTATCCGCACCGCATCCAACGCAGACGATGATGCCGGCTCCAATTCCGATATCGATCGCGAGGGGATCAATGCCGATGAGGCACGCGCTCATTTCTTAGGAGCCACGGTCGATGCCCGTGATGTCAATTTCTCAGACAGTATCGCGATGAAGCGCAAGGCATACAAAAACAAGAACCGCCGACGGCGCAGACAAGAAAATGGTTTGGAGGACCCAGAAGACTTTAGCGATGGCGAAGATGAAAGCTTGGAGAGGAAGCTCGCCCGCCTTCGCAGGGAAGTGGAAGAATTGAAAGATGAGATGGCAGCTCGGCAATCGGAAACAGAAATCACTGAAGCTCCGGCTGATGGAAAAGAGGCGGTGGGCGACGGCGTCCTTGAACTGAGTCGAGCATTGGATAACCTCTATACTTCCCGAAGTGACACCGGGTCACACTCAGCGGCTGCGATGCTCTCACAGAGAATAACTACCAAACCCACGCCCGAAGCCTCGGCAACTATCCCTAGCAACCAGGACGCTGAATCCACACAACCTGACACTACTGCTTCTCCCTCTACTGGTGTGCTGGCCCACGCGGCAGCATTTGACGGCCGACTGGCGCTCATCGAAGCCGCCATGGGGCTTTCGAACTCATCGAATCCCTTCGTCAGTGACGGAATCTCAGAGCCTGCGCTTCAGCCCGTACTCCCAGCCCTTGACCATCTCACATCCCGCCTATCCACCCTCATGAATATCCTCGTCGGCCCGAACCCCGTCTCGGCCGTGCCAACGATGGGCTCCGCTCCCCCTTCCACCACCGTCACAACTCCCCAGCTTGAGACCCTATCCTCCCGGGTCAGAAAGCTTACGGCCGACACGGAAGCCCTTGCATCTGCGCGCAAACGCGCCGTGGACGCCGCCAAGGCGGCACAGAATGCGCGCATCGCATCCGCCGCCATCGAGCCCTCCGACATGTCCGTATCGTCGTCATCAGCCACGGAGGTCGACCCCGCTGCCACGCAGCGCGACGAACAAGCCACCAAGATCCAAGCCCTCTACGCGACTATCCCCACCATCCAGTCTCTTCACCCGATCCTTCCCAGCGTGTTGGAGCGTCTCCGCTCGCTCCGCGTCATCCATGCGGGGGCTGCACAAGCCTCGGAGTCGCTGGATACATTGGAGAAGCGGCAAGCAGACATGGCTCGGGAGATTGAGCAGTGGCGCGAAGGGCTGCGGGTGGTTGAGGAGAAGATGAACCAGGGAGAAACAGCGATGAAGAACAACATCGAACTAGTCGAACCCTGGGTCCGGGATTTGGAAGACCGACTGGACCGGTTGGAAGGAACCGGCGCCTGATGCAGGTGTCGAAGCTGATTGATATCGATAATCCGAATCGTTGAAGCGGAAATAATACCAATACCAACCTTTACCAATTTGCGAAGCATTGTACATAGTTCTGCTACCTTATGAAAGGGCTGGAAATACTGCATAGTTATGATACTGTACACATTGATTCTAACAATAAACTATCCCATCGTGCATTTTGTTCATTTCCAACAATCCAACTACTAGGGTATATAAATCCATCCACCAACCTACACTCTTTCACCCCCTCACGTGCCTCAAAATCCTAATCTTCGGCTCCATCCTCAACTCAGCCCACCACCCCCTTGTAACCACCCTCCTAACAAACTCTCTCCCCATCTCCCACAACCTTACCCCTTCCGCACCGAACACCTTCCCGACAATCCTCCCCTCAACCGCACCAACAGCCTCATCTCCAGGCCGGACAATCCGCAACCCAGCGAACCCATCTACCGTCTCCACGGCCTCCCACTGCTCAGATCCAGAGCCGGAGCCAGACGCAGCAATCAGCTTCTCTGTCTCTTCGCCTGGCTCGATAAGGACGTAGTTGAACTGAGACCAAAAAGCGGAGGTAGATTTGATGGTTTCGTTTTCGGTTTTGTCGTACTGCCAGACTGGCGTTGTGGTGTTGGTGGTAGAGGGGGATGAGGAGGAAGGGTGTTGAAGAAAGCGAGTGACGCCAGTTTGGCAGGCGAGGTTACCTAAGTAGACGGAGATGAGAGGGGAGTTGTTCTCGGTGTTGGCGTCAGCGTGTGTGTGGAGGGCGTTGAGGGCGTGAGCGCCGGGGTAGTTTGCTGAGGAGGCGGGGAGGAGAATGAAGGTTGAGAGGAGGAAGGAGGCGAGAGTGGAGGCGAGCATGAGGAGGGAGAGGAGACGGTAGAGGAGGGATTTGGCGCAATGGGTCCAGATGTAGGATGCTCCGAGGGCGGAGGCGGCGGTGAGTGGGGGGATGGTGTAGATGATGAAGCGCCATTCTTTGTGTGGTTGGGCGCTGTAGATGGCGAGGAAGATGAGGGAGGGGATGAGGGTGTAGGCTGCGAGGGAGCGGGTTGCGGGTTGGATGAGGGCGAGAGGGATTCCCACGGTGAAGGTTAGAGGGTTGAGGAGGAGACGGGGGACAGCGTTGGTGAAGTAGAAGTGCCAGGGATGGGTGCCCCAGGCGGAGGCTTGGCCGGAGATGACGTTGAATTTGAAGGCCGCGAGTTCGGGCCATAGGGGGAATTGTTGCCAGAAGAAGGAGTCGACGAGGACGGTCGAGGTTAGGCCGACGATGAGGCCGAGGATGCCAGCGGGGATGATCTCGCGCTGGACGCTGATTCGGCGGGTTGCGAAGAGGAAGATGGTGTTGGTTGCGAGGAAGATGGCCAGTTCGGAGCGGAAGATGATGCCGGCGATGGTTATTAGGTATAGTGAGAGTCGGGACCGTTTCTTGTAGGTCTTAGAGCTGACGGGCTCCGGGAGGAGATAGCGTAGGGCCAGGGTTGTGAGGCCAAAGGCGAACATGTTGGATAGGGTTCGCGATGCGTAGTAGAGGACGTGGAACTGACTGGCTTGGAAGAGCAGGTACCAGATGGCGGTGGTCTTGCCAGCAGTGCGTCGCAAACCGGAAGCGAATGACAACAATGAGACGGCATTGAAGAGGCCCAGGATAGCTCGTGCTGAGTTGGAGTCCGGTTGTTAGTATCGGCGCAAAGTCAAGGTGAGATGCAGCACCTACCGAGCAATTGTCTGTCGATATTGGCCTTCAACCAGATGAACGGTTGCGACAGCCCGGACAGTATCACGGCACCGACGAACGTCCTGGGCACGGCACCGGGGAATGCGAAATGGTCATATTCCGCGCGGAGCGTCTCGGAGACATTGCGAGTGGGAATCCCCGAGGACAGAATATCATGGATAGCCTGGATGTGGAACGACTCCTCTACCTTTGTATAGGGAGCGGCGGCGAGATGGAGGAGGATGAGGGCCGGGATTGCGCCGAGCAGCAGCAGGAAGACTGGAAGGGGTCAGCGATTCTGTCCAACACTGCGGAAAGCACATGGATATCATGCGAACCTACCGACATCTCTCCCCATGATGACACCATTGACACTTTCTGTGCTTTGTAGGAAATGAGTTCTCGAAAAGGACAACAACCCGCCCCGGTAAAAATACGTATGCGATACATACTGCCGCCGCGGCTCTCCGCCTCTCCTCCGCCTCTCCGCCATCAGCATCTCCGTCCACTCCAGCTGTACCAACAGCATTAATCCCACGCCCGGTTCCTGTCCTCACCCAACCACCCAAAATGTTCTTCTTCGGCCTTGGGAAGCTCGTCTACGGTGCGCTATTTCTCCCTCTCTGCTCCGATAACCACTCAAGCAACCCAACGCCGCAGCCCATTCACTAACTCCATGCAGTCATCATCCTCCTCATCAACTCGCTCGCTGTCCTCTCCGAAGACCGCTTCCTAGCCAGAAGTACGTTCCCTTAAAATCCTAGAGGAATCCAAATTCAATTAACTCAAATAAAACAGTCGGATGGGGTCGCACACAAGGCGATCCAGCCTTCGGCGCAACCTACGATACCACCAGTGTCAAAGCCAAGACAATTAATCTGATCGCCAGTGTTCGGACCGTTATGCGAAGTATGTTTATCACCTACAGCTACACTTATACTCCCATCTACATCCGCGTCAACATCACATACCCGTGTTCTTGTCTTATGCGGGGAGCAAAACAGAGCTAACAAGTGCGATTCTAGTACCCCTCATTGTGATCAATACGATAGTCATCGTTTACGAGCTCATCCTGGGTTGAAGAAAGGCGTGCGATTGTTTTTTAGGGGTTTGGGGAGAGGGTTTCGGATATACATACAGCATTGTTCTTCCTGCTTCCGATTATTGAGGGGATATATTATACTTTGTACGAAAATGGATTGGGTTGAATGATATGAGGTTTGCATTGATATTATAAGGCTTTGCGATATGTCTGCTGTAGAAGGGACTGGGCCGGACGATGGGGATTCGACTCGTACCTAGGCTTTTCTTGGAGTGTTGGCTAGCCAGGTCCAACTCCCTCCCTAGGGGCCATTGTGCCAACAAGGTTGGTCGGTGCTTCTGGGATATTAGTGGATGAGCTGGACAATTCCAGATCTACACACTCCCTTGTATGAAACCAATGAAGCAGCTAGATGAAGGCGACTCTTTCGTATGCGTATTGTATTTGCACCAGTCTATATACCGTGCAATGTTGATACATATGGTCTATCCCATCGGAACAAAGGATGGAATGCTCAACGTAGCAAGACATGAGGTGATCGTACCACGTCAAATCACGGTCTTCCCACACGAAACTGCGCCCGCTCGGGTGCTTTTGCATCAGCTGAAGTTCCCCGTCATAACCCCGAAACAGGCCTGTAACCCCGATTTCCATAACACATTTTGAATGGTAGATTCGACAACCAGAGATAACTGCAGATCCAGAAAGCAAACTCGCCTAACGCCTCACTTGCCCAGCTGTGTGACCCAGGCACGGGTATCACATGATCGAACAGTCCAAGGAGATAGCAAAGAGAAAACAAGCAACGATTGGCTAAACGACATGCAGAAGCGGAATTGGAAGACATCACAATGCAGGCCAGAGCCAAAAGATGGGAAAATAAGACAGGAACCGGACCAGCATCAAACAGAGCATCCAATGGCGACAAGTACGCACATCGAGCAATCGCCATATAGAGGATGGATCCGGTGGTGAAGAGAATGGTGATGATACATCAGGATAAATATGTACGAGAAGAACGCGTATAGTATGTGCATGTATGCATTTGGAGCAATTGGCGAAAAGCAGGTCTTATGAGAGGATGCTGAACGATTTCTTCCGGATGCTGAAACTTCGCCATTTGCCATGCCCGGCTCGATCGCCCTTGGGACTCTTGAGAGTATCTTGCTCGTCATCGTGCACCAGAGGCTTGTGCACGATGTGGGATTCCTTCGGAGAAGCCTTACGGGGTGAAAATGACTGCGCATGTTCAGGTGGCACATGGTTTGGAGTAAGGGGCTCGGCACTGGGGACTGAGGACAGACCGGATGAAGAAGCACGACTTTCTTTGTCTTTGCCCAAGCGCTGACTGAAGCTCTTGCTGCCCCGTTTCAAACGGCTGAGACCGTTGCCAGACTTCTTCGAGTCGCTATCCTTTCCGTTATCGGGGGGATGGCGTCGATCTTCATCTGCCTTGGACGCTTTGCTGGCCTCGAGCGCAGCCTTCAACTCCGCTTCCTCGCGTCGCTGATTTTCCTTGACTCTCGCTTCCTGTTCTCTCCGGCGCTGCTTCTCTAGCTCTTTTTCGGCGGCCTTGCGCTCCTTTTCTTCTTTGGCCCGTTCCTTTTTGGATTGGATGTCACTCTTTTTAGGGCTCAACGGCGGGTTCTGGACTTCAGGTATTGGCGGAACCGGAGGTGGAATTGCCACCGCGGGACTCGGAGCATCACTCTCTGGACCTGTATGCTCTGTATGTGTGGGTAGCTGAGGCGCAGTGGGGGCTCGTCGGAGGCCCGTGTGTCGTTGGGGTTCGTCATGCAAAGGGATCTGCGAGGCACTATGGACATGAGCCAATCCCGGTGGCTGAAGGGAGCCATTTTGTTTCACCGCAGTCTCATACGAATCGGCCACGTTCGAGTTCATATTCTCCAATTCTTGCTCCTTCAAAACAGCCTCCAATGTAGTCTCCTGGTAGAACAGGACGTAGGCGCATGCTAGGCCTGGCTTGTCGCCGAAGAAATTGCGAACATAATTTTTATCGACAGGCTCCACCATCTCATCATCGAAGAGCAGCCATCCGCGATCCTGTGTCTTGATAATGGCGACATAGTGTCCGTGGTAAGGACCGCCCCCGATGTGTACGACCACTGCGTACAACTCGTATAGGCGATCCGGATCCTCTGCATCATCCGTCGTATTGAAGAGGCGAAGATGGTAAGGGTATACGACCCTATGGAAGAGCTTTTGGAGACGTTGGAGGTCCTCGGTATACTTGAAACGCTTGAGGTGCAAAGCCAAAATTCGAGGCAGTCGCTTGATCTTCATCCTCTTTTCCGCCTCCTGAAGTCCCCCGCAATTGTCACAGTGAAACTTGTTTCTTTCGCAGAGCATTTCCTCCGCCGAAAACTTCCTTAAACAAGATGTAACCGATGAGTGCTGTTCTAGATCCACAGACAAGTCCAAGAAAATCTCGTCACGCTGGGAAACTTTCTCACAGGTAAGGCACTGCGTTTCCGACGTTAAGGTCCCCTCAAATAGCTCGTGCACCCACCTCGTCGTGTTGGGGGTTTTAGATCCCGAGCTGACCGACTGTTGGGACGACTCCGCGGTTTCCGGTGGTGGTAGGCTCGGTATGGGTTGCTTCATGGCTTCCGCCTCTACATTCGCCACTACTTCGTTGAGCAGAAGGTTCAGGAATTCGTGAGCATCCTGATGCATGGCCGACCGAAACATTTCATGCTCACGGCGAAGGACGTCCAAAAAATGCTGCGGTCGGATGATACCAATCCTGGACTGACTCCCCACGATAGACTCGAAGATGTCCTTGAGCGAAGTAAATAGCGATTCAGACATCCCATAACTGGCCGCATTGTTCTTCGTTTCTAACAGCGGTAGTGTCTGCAATGCCATCTTCTTCTTGTATTCCGGCGACTCCTTGTCTTCGGGTTTCTGCGGCTGGCTGGGAGGTGCCCCGGGACGCTGAGCATTGGCGGCTTTCTGCTTCTCCGCTTGTGCCTCGGCTTCCAGGTTTGCGGCGGCATTCTGATAGCGGAGGTTCTTCGCTAACGCAGCTTCTAGGCTTTCTATCGGCGTCCGTGTGGGATAGTTGATGACGGCTTCTCTGAATGGAACTGAATAGTAAAGACACTGCAAGATCGAGTTGCAGTAACTGTCCAAATGGCAATTAGCAATTCGGCCCTCCGACGACGCTCCTGCCCTCCGTCAGGACGAAGGAGGTTGATATCGATCAGCAACTCACCAAGTATTACCATACTGGAAACCACAAGCAGGAGTTAGTCACACTGAAAAGCCAGGGGACAAGCCACAAGATGGGTAAACTAACGTTTTCCATGCCAAAAAACTTGTCACTACCATCCTCGCGAACTGAACCCATATCTTGCAGCATCTTCTCCAGCGGGGTCATCGGAAGCGCCTGGGGTTCTTTCTTCGCGGGAGTCGCCCCGACCGAAGGAGTGGCAGATCCCTAGAGAGAAGTCCATTAGCATTCTGTTGGTTGTGAAGATTCGTAACCAGGGTGCAGCAGGTCTATTCATTCGTGTGCTGGGGCGCGCCTCTCTATCTGTGGGCATTGCCGAGGTAGACAGGCTATTTTGATCTACCGAAGACAACACCCAAAGACGAAGAAATTCTAGAAAACGCTGGGAGGGAAAAAAAGAGCACGACTAAGCCGACTAATTCAGGACTCACCACATCTCTCCGGAAACTCCTCAGAAAAGACCCCATGTTTATCGCAAAGTCTCGAACTTCTTAGCGTTCAGCTTCATCTGGTAACTTTGGCGGGATAAGAAAGCCGACGTCGGAACCGAAGGGGGTGAATATGAGGCGTTCAAGTCACGCGCAGGCCAGCCAGCGAGTATGCGACGGCAGGAACCAGAAAGCGAAGTAGAGATGAGAGAGGAGTTGGAACAGCAACAGGTAGGTTCTATGATACGGGATCGAGAACAATTGCTGGCAGCGACAAAGAACAAAGAGGAGAACGTCTAGGTGTCTAGCATAAGGTTTCAGAGGTCCGCGGATCCGACGAGGGTCGAGGAAGGCTTGGAGATGTGGGTGAGTGAGCGAGGAATGGGGCGGAACGTGAACGGGCGGCGGAATCGAAGGTGGAGAACGCTGCGGTCGGAGGGTGAGAGGCGCAGCCGAATTGAAATCCGCTGGGGAGAGAATGGATGGTAAGAATAGGGCGCAGGTAGGAGGGGAGGCCGGAGAAGCAGAGGAAAAGGACGAGCAAGAGAAGAGAGCGAGCGAGTGGGAAGAGGAGGAGGAGGAGGAAGGGGAGCTACGTCGTGGTACTTGGGCGGATTACTCCCCCAAGTCAAGTCAAGCCAGGAACCTCTAGCCCGGACAGGTAAGGATGTATAGTGTATACACTATACACATCTGCCTGGGTATTATTACCACGGTCTCCGATGCACAACCGGTGACTGGTATGGTATACGGCTGTACTGGGCATGGGGGCCCGTAATGACGGGCGGGTGCGCGGGCCCGAGCGGTTTTGGAGCCTTTCGATTTGAGAGACAAATGGGGGGAAGACGTTACATTATACATATCTAATAGGTAGAAACTAGAATCAGGTCCATTCAAGGCAGTCTGTTGAACACAAGCAGACACTAAGCTCGATCTACAGTCCAGACTATGATCCCCTCCATGAGTGAGACTCCCGGAGTCAGTCTTTATCTGACCAGACGCGATTCTTTACGAACCCACCCACCAGTACGGAGTATTTTACAGTGGGTTCGAGATTTTTAAGTCCTCCCACGCATCGGAACGTGTCTGTCCACAGGGGAATATCCGCGACAAGCCCCGTATGTGTTCCCCTCACTCTTTTCTTTATTATCCTAGTAAGTCGAGTGGAGGGCTTGCTCGTTTCCCCCTATGGCTGGCTCCGGCTCTTAGTGCTACGTCACTTGTTCTATATATTAAGGTTCCTCCACAGCGCACTTCTCTACGCCGTGCGATGCAACAAAACCAGAAGAGGGGGTTGGGCTTGGTCCACTGGTCTGTCTGGAATATACCCGGTGGTTCTCCTCTCCTCTTCCGGTGTAAACTCCGCCAGTTAAACTCTTAACCCCGAAGGCCCGGTCAATACCATGGAGCATCTCATCTGCTCTTGGGTCAAGTCAGCAGGCTACACATGCTATTCATAGTCGGATCTGTGTAACCAGGCTCCTAAAAAAATAGCGGTGCAGAGGATCGGAATCCACAAAGTATCGATGTGTAAGAAAAGACGAAAAGCTTGCGCAGAACAAGTGGCCGTCGGGTGATATAAACACAAGGAGTGAGGTGCGGTTGCATCGATATCAAGGACTAGGGCTCTGATTTGTTGCCAGCCCATTGGCATAGCTTGAACTTTCCATGAGCCTTGTGCGGACCGTACAACCTGAAACGCATCTGTTGCGTCGCATTGCTTGAGGCTATGCTCCGTTCACTGCAGGTATGGCAACCCAACTAGGTATGTTATCGCCGGCGGACGCAAGGAGGATGATCGGAACAACAACGGCGAATGATGATGGCAGGGAGAAAGCATGATTCTACCACTGCCTAGCGGTCATGGAAGCGGGATAAGATGCGTGATTTTAGTAGCCTGTCCAGGCTGGCGGCGTTCTTGGCAGCGGCTTCGTGCTGGCAAGTCGTCGCAGCGGCATCCGTCCGGGGTTTTCTTTTCCAAGGGGCCGGGAGGTACCAGGGGCACTGAACGGGGTCAGGAGACCAACGTGTATTCCGACTTAGACCTTATTCTATATAGACTTCCCTATACGAGTCGTAAACCATGCAATCGTCATCTGTCTTCTTACGTCCTCCCCTCTTTCTGGGGTACGGTCGGGGCCCTCTCTTTAGATAATCAATACCACCCAGTGTACATAGGCTGTACACAGGTACGATGTCATTGTCATACATACCGTATGACGCTACACCAGAACCACGTGGAAACTCAAGGATCAGAAGGCTGCCTTGTAGCCAATCGTATAATTTGCTTTGCCCCGCTTACCCCATCACCCCCAGCATTCGAGATACTAGCGTCATACAAACCGGAGGCGCTGTAAGGGTAGATGTAATTGTACCTTAGCAGGGCCCGTTTGTTTTCCTTCCGTGCTCGTGTCAGTTTCCGATTCTGTCAAGGGACAATTGCATCCATGGTAAAGTTTGATCCGATCGATTCCGGGTGCATCTGCGATGCAAAGAAGCGCAAGCAACAGCCGAGGCTGGCTGACAAGGATGGAATGGCAGGTTTCACAATAGCCCTTGCATCCACCACAAATCTCGACTGTGTGACCGACCGATTGCATCCGCTGCCTGTCAGCCCAGCAGCGGCTGATACTCCAGCCAGGTAACATCATCCCTCTTCCCTGTCATTGATAAGCCCCATGGATCTAGGTAGCGCGCTCTCAACAAATCGGTGGTCTTTCTCGGGGTCCGATGAGAACAGGAGATAACGTCATTGGGTGGCAGCCCACTTGGGGTAGCGCTAAGTGCTGTGGGCGTCTCAATGGAATCTTCCATCGGCCTACTCCGGAGTGTACCTAGTTTTGCCTGGTAAGTATGGGGGGGAGTGCCTGGTCAAACGGAAGAGAAAATTACGGCAAGGTGTCAGTGTAACATCACACCATGTGCCGCCCTCACATCCAGCGACCGCCTTCCGCCAATAAGCGTTCTGCCCATGTGGGTTGACATCCGGATGTGCTCGAATCTACACGGGGGCAGATCGCAGAATAGGCTGGACTATAACGGGCAGCCAGGGATGCTGTCTGGACTTGTGCATAGCAAACCAGTTCTGGTCCGGTTATTGGAGCGATCAAAGGCTGATGTTTTTTTGCTTGGCGGAACTTGAATCCTCATATGGAGTGCGGAAAATTGCGGTCCTGATTACTCCGTACTACATATCTCACTTGACTGACTCAAGACAACGACAGTGACTAGGGGGGGCATTTGTATCCTGCTACCCCATAGTCTGTACTACGTCGCATGTTCTATTCGGTCATCTCCCGAACCGGCTGGATATTCATGACTATTATTGCCAGTGAAAATGTCGGGTAGTTGTAACTTTTCCACAAGTTTGATCTTCGATGGAAGTCGATGACACGTCTATTGAGGATCTTCCAGAGGCGGATATCTGTTCTGTCCGCCATGTGACTTACCCTGATGTTGAGCCCTATTACCACGTTGAGCTGGATGCGGAGAAACTATCCGCGATGGGTGGGACAGAGACAATCAACTATCAAGACAGTAGACTAAGACAAGATAAATGTTGACTACTAGTGTCTTGGTACGAACTAGTGAGAAAAGTGCAAGCCACAATGAAACCAAGTAAGTAATCATGAGGAAAGGGTTCATCATGGTGGCTGTGGTGGTGGATATTGGAAAAAATATCATCAAAAAAGGATATGCGACACCTCTGGGACTCGAACCCAGGCGGGCGAACCCACAGGCTAATCAGCTAGTACGGTTAGGTAGTAGCAGGCCTGCGCCTTAACCACTCGGCCAAAGTGTCTGATTTGATATCAGAGGTAGAGCTAGTATATGTCATAAAGTCAATAACATAAATAACAAACCAATAACTGAGTCACAGCCTCTTCCACCGATTCGTCGACTTTGACTTGCCTCCAAACACCAGCTTCCAACCCAGCGCTGCTGTCCTGCCAGGCCCATTTACACGTGTGAGTCAGAGTCAATTCCTTGAATGAGCCGCTCACTCCGACCAGGCCTTGTCCGCTCCGCCCGACGAGCCATTGGGGAGAGTCACCGGGGCCCAGCGAGCAGCAGCAGCAGCCAGCAGCACCACCAAGCCAGCGTGCGGCCAAACATCCGGCAGACGGTCGAAGCCCCCACCATCCCCCACCACCGCCACTACCTCTCCCACTCTCTGCTTTCCTCCTCGACTTTTCCATCTTCCTCCCCTTCGTCCATTACCCCTCACCCCTCCTCCCGTCCGCTCTCCACCATGCCCAAAGAAAAGGAATCCAAGCTCTCCTTCAACCTCAAGACCCCCAAGGGTACCAAGGATTGGTCCGGGTCCGACGCCCTCCTCCGCGACCGCATCTTCAGCACCATCGCCGATGTCTTCAAGCGCCACGGCGGTACCGCCCTCGACACCCCCGTCTTCGAGCTGCGCGAGATTCTGGCCGGCAAGTATGGCGAGGACTCCAAGCTCATCTACGACCTGCAGGACCAGGGTGGTGAGATCTGCTCCCTCCGCTACGATCTTACCGTCCCCTTCGCCCGCTGGCTCGCCATGAACCCCGACGTCCGCAGCATGAAGCGCTACCACATCGCCAAGGTGTACCGTCGCGACCAGCCCGCTGTCAGCAAGGGTCGCATGCGCGAGTTCTACCAGTGCGATTTCGATATTGCGGGTACCTTCGACCCCATGGTTCCCGATGCCGAGATTCTGCGTATCGTCACCGAGGTCTTCGAGGAGCTGGGCTGGAATGGTCGCTATAACATCAAGATCAACCACCGGAAGATTTTGGATGGTGTGTTCCAGGTGTGCGGTGTGCCGGAGGATAAGATCCGTCCCATCTCCAGTGCCGTCGACAAGCTGGATAAGATGCCGTGGGCGGATGTGCGGAAGGAGATGGTCGAGGAGAAGGGTCTGGATGCTGCCGTCGCTGATAAGATCGAGACATACGTCGTGCAGAAGGGTGGCCGCGATTTGCTTGACATCCTCCTCAAGGACGAGGGCCTGACGGCTAACGCCTCCGCCAAGGCCGGTCTGGACGACATGAGTCTGCTTATGGACTACCTGGAGGCATTCGGTGTCCTGGACAAGATCTCCTTCGATATGAGTCTGGCCCGTGGTCTCGATTACTACACCGGTGTCATCTACGAGGTCGTCACTGAGGGTTCCGCGCCCGCCGTCTCGTCGTCCGCACCGGAGGCCCAGGCCGTCCAGAAGTCCGGCAAGAAGAGCAAGTCCAAGGGCGGCAATCTGGAAGACGACGACCGCTCCAACGACCCCACTCTGGGTGTTGGCAGTGTCGCCGCTGGAGGACGCTACGACAACTTGGTCGGCATGTTCCTGCCCAAGGCACAGATTCCCTGTGTGGGTGTGTCCTTCGGTGTGGACCGTATCTTCTCCATCACCAAGGCCCGCATCGAGCGGGAGAAGAGCGCGGAGGCGCTCCGCAGCAGCGAGGTCGATGCCTACGTCATGGCCTTCGGTGGCAAGGGATTCACCGGCATGCTGAAGGAGCGGATGAGCGTGTGTCAGTCTCTATGGAACGCTGGCGTGAAGGTACGAACACCCTCCTCCCTACCACCTCCCCAACCCCATACTAACCACCTAATCTAGGCCGAATTCTCCTACAAGGTCAAGCCCAAGCTCCCTCAACAATTCAAGGCCGCCGAGCAATCCGGCGTCCCCTTCGCCATCATCCTCGGCGAAGACGAGCTCGCCGCCGGCAAGGTCCGCGTCAAGGAGATGGGTCTAGAAGACGGACACCCAGAGAAGGAGGGCGTGCTGGTTGATCTGACCGCCCTCCCGGTCGAAGTCAAGGCCCGGGTGGCCAAGAAACGGGGCGAGAGTGTCTCGGACGTTACGCAGCAGCTGGGCGACCTGAAGGTCGATGCATAGGCCATCATAGAGAGGGAGGTTTACTAGACCGGGGGAACCATCTATTTTCAACTCTGCCAAAAGTATACACATATACATACAACCATGCATGCACGCATGCATACCTGCCCTACAACGGGTCATTAAAATGGGGGCGCCGACAGACCAAAGAAGAAAAATGGAAGATATCAAAATACAATACCCAAGTTTTCTTTTCTTTTCTTTTTTATATTTATTAGATTGCAGTCGAATTGAACTTATTTGAATGGATTCGAAGCGAGAGAGGAGATCTTTCTCGTCCTTTATATAAATTTAACCAATATCCATCTATCCATCTCCTACGTAATGACTATTGATGGTTGTTAATTCTTATGTCAGGTCGGGCGTTGACTCAGGATTCAGATTTGGGTCCTGGATAGTTCTTGATATAACTATTTCCCGTAGTCACCGTGTGTGTAATACCCATTCATTCATACATGATAAAGGAAAATGTATAATATACATATCGACCCAACCATACTTACCAATACATATCCTCGAAAGTAAAGATGGGATGATCAGGATTGGATAGGGATAGAGGAAGAGTACCAGTGCTGTTGCTGCTGTACTACGTACCTACCAGCCCTCTGCACCCTTCATCAATAATCCCTTGACGAAGGAAACTCGGTCAACGAGATCCAAGCCTAGACTGCGCGCCCACGCTACGGGCCCGTTGCCGGGCACATTGTATAGCTTGTGCAGGACGTCGCAGGCGCCGCCGATCTTGGCGTTCGTGGCGTATCTGTCGCCCGCGTAGCGTTCCAGGGTGAGCAGGTCTCCGACATCCATGCCGTGGTGGACGGCGTACTCGATCGTCTGGGCGAGGGAGGCCACGTCGCCGAGGCCGAGGTTCAGACCCTGGCCGGCAAGCGGGTGGATGACGTGGGCGGCGTCGCCGACAAGGGCCACGCGGGGAGACACGTAGGTTGCGGCGTGGCGGAAGCGGAGCGGGAAGGATGCGACGCTGCCTTCCTGGACGCCGGTGACCATGGGTGGGATGTGGGAGGGTTGGGGAGTGTGTTCGAGGCGCCAGCTGAGTTCGTTCTCGTGCGGGTCTTCGAGGTCGGAGACGGCTGTGGCGGGGCGTTCCATGCGCAACATGTATTGGAGGTCGGTCACGGAGAGGCGGAAGGCGGCGTTGACCATGGCGAGGAAGGCCTTGGGCGAGAGGGATTTGAGGTAGGCGGCGTTTTCGACGGTGGTGGACCAGACGAGGGTCGCGTGGTTGTTGGGGAGCGGGAGTAGAGCGATTGGTCCGCCCAGCGAGGGCAGGAACCGCTGGTAGGCGGTTCTCATGCCGACGGGGAATGGAGCGGGGTCGAGATCGGCGAGGGACAGGCTCGCGACGATGCCGTGTCGATTGTAGTCCCAGCCATCAGTGGCGATGTCGGCGAAGCGGCGGACAGGGCTGTTGATGCCGTCGGCGCCGACGAGAAGGCGTGCGGCGATGCGAGTGGGCGGTTGAGAGGGTGCGGAGCCGGTTGGCGTGATGGAGAGGACGGGCCAGGCCGAGAGGTCAGGGCCGTCAGGGTTATCGGAGCCATTGGCGATGGAGGAAACAGTGCTGTTGGAGAAGAGGGAGAGGTTCTCGTCTCCCGAGGCGGCGATGCGGGATAGCAGAGCGCGGACGAGGTTGGAGTTCTCGGTCATGGTTGCGACAGTGCGGAGGTCTTCAAATGCGGAGGTCTCCATGGACCAATCGAAGGAGATGCGCGAGCCAGTTTCGCCATCCCACACTTGCATCTCCTGGTAGGGCTGTGCGCGGGAGGTATCGAGATGGTCCCAGGCGCCGATCTTCTTGAGGAACGACACGGAGGAGGGCGTGAGGCTGCTGACGCGGTTGGAGAAATGCTGTGCATCGAGGGACCACGAGCGGGCTTTGTGCAGGTCCTGGGTCTCGATCAAGGCGACCTTCAGCTTGGAAGTAGCGGGGAAAGCGCCTACAGAAAGTCAGTCATGAGAAACGGGGGCCCAATCGAGCTTCATGGGACAAGCATACGGAGAGCAGCCAACAGGCCCAGCCCGGCAGGACCACCTCCGACGCAGACAACATCGTAGATTTCGGGAGCAGGGCCGTTGGAGGACGAGTGGGAAGCGTATCTCCTGCGGGCGGGGAGACGGCCCAATTGGCAGGAGGGGCAGACGTAGGGCCGGAGGGCTGTCCGAGACAGAGGACGCATGATGGAGAGAGATGAGGGGCGAGCGAGGCGGAAAACCGGCGACGAGCAGATCGCGGCGGAAAGTGAAGCTCAAAGCAAGCCCTCAGGCCATCAGGCCATCATGGCGCAAACAGGGCAAACACCGGGGCCGGGCTCGTACCACCGTAAGCGGGATACGGCGGGGGTATTATTGATTGGTATCTATGGAAGGATTCCGTGAAGATCGTCACCACATCAAATCCCGATGCCCTCTGTACATACTTCGGAGATATGTATGTTGTAGATACTATCAGAATGACAGGGGGCTGACGGTGGCCACCGTGTACGACCAGGCGACATGCCACCCATTTTCAAAAAGAAAACATCCGTTGTCAATGCAACATGCCGGTGCCTTCAGCATCCGATCTCACCCTCACCCTCACCCTCACTGCCACTGCCCCCCATGCACTCACTCCGCCACAATCCACCAGACACGGACATTCCATCTCCTAATTCCTCCCTCCTGAGGGGGAAAAGGGGACTCATTTTTTATAACCCGAGCTCAGCCCTAACCGACTCAATTGACCTCGATCCTTCTCAGAAACCAAAACCCACACACTACTTCTTCCGGACTAAACGATGTCATCCAAGTCAGCCGGCTCCAAAGATGCCCAGCAACAACAGCAGAAACCGCATCTAAGCGCCAACTTTGCCCACCCGCAATCCCACCAAATCGACTACGACCATGAGGTCTACCTCCATCTAATGGCAGGCGGGGATGAGAAGAACAAAACCAAGACACCGAATCAAGTCTATCGACAGGTGGGTGCAATGATTCCTTACTTAGTTCTGTTCTTTATGCTGTGCGTGCGCGTGAGGGTCTGGTCTGATGCAAGAGGGAGCGCATATAGAATATCGTTCGACGACATACGACTCGCGCGTTGGATCCGGCCGTGGTGGATCCCCGCGGCCAGCGGGATCCCAGTCCCTTGGATCTGGAATGGGCGGAGAGCCAGAGGGCCAGAGATCGCCTCGTGGGCGGTTGACATCAGACTCGGTCTCGCTACTGGAGACTCCGAATCATGTACTATGGGCAGAATGGATACAGACATCGTAATATTCATGGAACCAACAGTCTCCCCTCCGGGAATCAGGGAAAAGAGAACTCTCGTGAGAAGAACAAGGCTAGTGCGACATCACTCAAACAATAATCGTAGACGATAGACCCGCTCCATACCAACCTACCGACTCTCCTCCGGGCCCTGTTCTCCATGGTCCTCTTCCAGATCCCCTTCCATCTCTGCCACAAACCGCTCCCATGTGTTCAGCACCCCCTGGTAGAACTCAATGTGCTTCTCCGACAGTGCCCCCAGCGTATCCCGGAACTCAACCGCCTTGATCCGCTCAAAGTCCGCCACCTCCCGCACCACCTCCTCATCGAACATCTCCGACGTCGTCTTGGCCGACTCGACCTCGCGCGTGAGCTCGTCGATCCGGAGCTCCAACTTCCGCACTCGCTCGCGCCGCGACTGCTCGTGGTCCACCCCGCGCATGTCTTCCATCTTCGACCGGATGAACGAGGCCGGTGAGGAGGTCAGCGGGTTGGAGGCATAGTACGATGATGGGTTGGAGGCCAGAGAGTCCCGCTCCGCCACCGCCTTGTTCCGATAGTCGACCAGCGCTTCGAAGTCGAGCTGCTTTTGCTCGCGTGTCTTCAGGAGTGATTTGAGCGAGATAATATAAGCCTCCATATCCCGGAGGGACCCCAGGTAGCTCTGGTCGGTGTGATCCTTGAGCGTCTTGAGCCCACGCCCCGTTTCCTCCACCGAGGCCGCGAAGACCTGTAACGGGACCTCCACCTCTGGCTCTAGGGGTACGAGTTTGCGAAATTGCGTCGCAAGGTCATTGTAGTCTGCCTCCAGGTCCGATTCCCGCCGGGCTACCCGAGCCACGATCTTCTCCACGTGGTTGAGATCCTCGTCCAGCTTGTCCGCCTTCTCTCGCACCTCGATGAACCGACGGTCCGGCTTGTGCACCTTGGTAAATGCATTAACAAAGGTATCCGTGAAGTTGTCGAAGATCCCGGGCACCCCGCTGCCGTCCGAGGAGCTGTTTGAGTTGCGAGTTGTTCTCAATCGCATATGTGCATTCCAGTCGGGGGACTCAAGGAAGATTGCCAGCAACGGAGCCCGACGAAGCACCGGATGTAAAGTAAGACGCTTCAGGAAGCGATGTAGTGACCAGGCCCGCCGGGTGGTGAATTCGGGCCCGAATCGATCGCCCCGTACATACTCCATCTTATGCTTATCCGGCAGCGGCGGGACGGCGCAGGCGGGATACTCCCGGTAGAGCGTCTTGTATAGGAAATAGAAGTCTGTGAATCTGCGTCGCACGGTGAATTCGGGTTTTTGGAAGGACTTGAAATCGGTCTGTGGTGGCCATTAAGTCAATATGTAGATAGCAGAGGGAGGTCGCCATCATCATGCAAGCTGCGCTAGGCAACCCGGCTGAGTCCAGCCTCAACCATCTTCCTTCCAAGATCGCGATGGAAAGGACAAGGGAAACCCACCGTAGTAGTAACCAGGTACGATATGTATGCGTCTTTCGTTCCGTCGTTCTCCTTCAAGGGCGAGTCTACCAAGCACTCCAGCACCCCGTCGCCGATACCTGCCAGGTCCACGGCGTCGGCCAGTGGGCCGGCCTGGGGGTTCTCTTGAGCGGAGCTCATCCTTCGTTTGCCATTGATATCGTGGCTGTATGCAGGCGATTCTTCAGTATCGGTTCCCGAGGTGGTGGGCCGCGAGACATCGCTGTCCGGCTCATGCCTCCATGAGACGCTGTCGAAGTCGTCGTGCTGATCCATCGAGGGTTGCCGCCTAGAGCCGGCAGAACAGACTTGGGGGCGAGCGGGTACGATACACGCAAGGCAGCAGAAGCTAGACGGGTCCGTTCCTAGGCTAGAGTGGAAGATCGGAAGTAAGGCCAAGTGGGAGAAGATGGAGGAGTGGAGGAGTGGAGGAGGTGGCGGGCGGTAAAGGAAGGGTCCGATGCGGAGGGAGCGAGCGAGCGAGACTGAGAGACGAGGAGGAGCTGCAAGTGCAACGGTACGTACTTAGTAGTACTTCGAGGGAAGACCGGCGTCATCGCCAAGCCCCACCACAACCACCACCCCGTGCCTGACCTCTCTCCACTTCTACTACTACTGTGTACAGTATACACAATATCTACACCTCACAAAATGCATGCAGGGCAATACCGGCTATATACATACGCGCTCGTCATGCAGCTTACACAGATAATAGTTCAAAGCAGGTCATCCAAGGAGTAAATCACTTCCCGACGCAACATCCTCTCCCCCCATTCATCCTCACCACCTCCATTCACCGCCGAGGATGCTCCCCATCCGCGCCATCCCGTTCCTGCTCGCCGCTGATCCCCCGATCCCGATATGGCTCATCATCCTCGTCGCTAAACAATGGTTCCTCGTCGCTCTCGCCCGCAAAAGCATTGTAAAGCTCCCCGCCGCGCCGACGTGAGCGGTTCGACCGTCCATTCATCGCCTGCAGCTCATCCTCGTCCTCAATCATCTCAAAGTCGTAATCATCCCGGCTGTCATTGCGGATGCGCTTCCGACGCTGGACGTGGAAGTAAACTCCAAGCCCCATGCAGAACACGATGATGGACCCGATCGCCGCATAGATCCAGGCTTGCGTCCGCTTCGACGCCCCAAAGGTGGGGAAGAACGAAGGCAGGAAGCTGTCCGACGCGGCGGTCGGGGATGGGGTCGCAGTCGAGCTAATCTCCGTAGCAGGGGTCTCCTTGAGTTCGTCCTCGAGGGGCTCATCGATCGTCCCCGTCGGTTGTGCCGATGCCGAAGGCTTAACGTTCACCGGGCGATCGACGCCGTCAGTGGGCGTGCCAGGTGGGTCCGTTTTCGTGGGAGCAGCGCTGACGCTCGTTGTAGCCACCACCGCATCCTCATAGCTGTGGTCATCGTCGTGTTCGGTGGGCATAGGGTGAAGGGGTTGGTTGGTCCCGTCAAGCGCCTCGCCCCATAGGTTCAATCGCCAATCGACGAACTGCCCCGTATTGTCATTGACATTGGTATCCTTGACAATCACGGTCCAGGTCCCGACTCCGGACTCGCCCCTGAAGAAGTATCAGCAAAACCGATGTATAACAAGGAGATAAGGAACAGGCTTACCAATGAGCAACGCTCATAAAGGTCCAGTCGACATAGCCCACTTTTTGATTGTCTGGCCGTCTGGTCGTGCTGAGGTGACTGACCAGACCCTCGGGGCTCCGCAACTCCACGCTGAGATCCCCGCGGCGGGTGTGGTTGACATTCATGGTCACCGTGACATGCTCCAGCCTTTCCAGATTGGCTTCCTTCATCATCTCTTCGGTCACCTCGTACGAGCTGGCCAGGCCCTGGTCGCCCTGCGGAATGTCATGCTCTACCCGCTGCCAGGGGGAATTGAACCATGCTTGAGGCTTCACCAGGTCCCAGGACTTTGCCTGTTGCACCAAAGTGTATGTATCCACTTTGCCATATCCCCAGTCATGGCTGAACATCTTCCCATTCTTGGTGGCCTGCCAGCTCCCATCATCTTCGTGAACAGGCACCGCTGCCTCAATCATCAAATACTGAACATCACGCCAAGTCAATTCTGGTCGCATGCTGAGTGCCAGAGCCACGGTTCCCGCAGCCAATGGACCTGCAGCCGAAGTTCCACCATGTGTAGTGGAACATTTGTCCGCACCCACATCAGTTGTATGGATTGCATCGCTCGAGCCGCTGCTGTAGGCGACTACCAACTGAGCCGAACAGGATTCCGAGTAGGCTGGGTGTTGACCCTCCCGATCAATTGCACCCACGGTGATGCTGTAAATGCTGTTGGTGTAACCATCGAAGTTACAATTGTCATCATGACTAGCACCGTTGCCAGCCGCGAACACAAAGACCGAGCCTTTCCCACCCCGACCGTTCTGAATGCCGTTCACCATAGCCCGCTTAATTAGGGTTCCCGGCGCTTCCATTGTGGCGCCATCATCATAGGGACCCCAGGAACACGAGTAGATGTCGTTATCTTGATAGGCGTAGTTGATGGCCGCCGCCTCGTCCGTGTCGTCAATAGGCGCGGAAAGGATTCGGATTCCAGAAATGCGACTGTCATACGCAACGCCGACCCCGCACACGTCGTTCTTCGCCGCACCAATTTCGCCCGCACATCTGGTACCGTGTCGATCATCGCTAAGACGCGGTCTCGGCTCCGGCGACTTGTCGTTGTAGTCATAGGACCCCGCTGCAAAGTAGTTGGGCTTGAGATCGTTGCTGTACATGTCCAATCCGTCATCAACGATCGCCGTAGTAACGCCCTTCCCTGTGATACCTTCCAACCAGATCCCCGTAACATTAAGGTCGTGACCCAGCTGCACAGTATTATACAAATGCCATTGTTCGTTGAATATGGGGTCCGCGATCCCTAGCTCCGATGCGACCCGCTTCAGCGCCTGAGTCGCTTCGGGATCCTCCTTGGGATTCGCCGGCGACCTAGCCACATTAATCGATGGGGGGACTCTCTTATGGAGTTTCTTCTGGGGGGCCAGCTTCTGGGACCAAAGGATCCCATCCAGCCCCTCATCTCTCCCAGCCAAGGAGGGGAGACTAGCAGCGGCGTCTCCGGAGCGTCGCCGTAACCGCCTCCTATCCCGCAATTGATCTAACAGCGTATCGAGATCGTCACTGTTCTCTCTGGGTATGGAAAAGGTGTGGTGGAGAGGTAATTCTCCGACGGGGCCTTCGTGGCGAGCACCTAGGCGTTGAGCGACGTCAGCCGGCGATGCGGACTCATCGAGGTGCAGAGCGAAGTAATCGTGGGTCTCGTAAGAGCGACGAGGATGAAGCGAAGCGGAGGCAGCAGCGCAAAGGCCCAGGGCCGTTGCGACGCCGCCGGGAAGACGCATAATGGGAGCGCGCAGCGAACTGGCTCCCCCTCAGTAAGATGAGATAAGGCCAACTAGGGTGATGGCCATGAACCACGTAGGAGGCGGGTCCCGTTGTCGGCAGAGGCAGGGAACTAAGTCACCCAGAGCGGTATGTCCGTAGAAAATGAAATGCAAAAAGGAGGAAACTTGATCAATGACACAAACAACAGCTGGGAGGTATTAGGAAGTAGGGAGGGTAAGACCCCGCGAAATCGAATCGATAGAGGAAGAAGGAGTTGAGTAGCTGGCAAGAATGAATACACCTACGCGGCCCCGGGGCTGAAGACCGACCAGCAACGTCGTCCCGAGGAACTAGTCGCTGAAGAGTTTCCCGACCCGCTCAAACATCTCAAACGAAGGCCCGTAGACTTGGCCCCCTCTAACCTTATCTGGCATGGTGTCTCTTGGCCACCCCCTGTAGCTTGGCCCCCGGAGAAAACGTTGTCCCTTCCCGGTTACTGACAGGTACTGTAAGGTACAGACGTGATACGGACTTTCAATACAAAAGAGATGGAGACAGAAACCGGACACAACACTTTTGGCCTGCTCAACGACTCGGTTGCATGACAATCGTTCTCATATGAGCTATTAGAAGCCTGAAGATCTCTCCAGGTCGCCAAATATTACAAGTCTTCATGCAACAACAAACCTCCAAGTCTCCTGACTTGATCTGATGAGACAGTGGCTCCATTTTATACAGTTCGCTCCGCACTCCTAACCTTGGGGATATTTGAGTTATCTTCCACCACACCCACGAGGGTAGTCTACACAACAACACTTACTCTCTTCTATATCCCCTGTTACAGAATGCTTATATACCCAAGTAGATGGGATTCCAGTCATGAGAGAGTTAAGGTACTAGTGATCAATATGGTCATGCACTTGCTGGAAGGGACGTTCAGCAGTTGGTACTGTTATCCCACAACAAAACTGTGAAAACCATAAATTCGCTGACGGAGAAGCTAACTAAAACACAGGATCGAGGAATAGGAACATATTTCGTCAAGAAAACATCAGAAAGCGCCATTAAGTCCAGACTTCACTTTTGTGTCTCATACATCGTTTTCAAATCAAAACATCAATAGCTTTTGAAAGGTGGAGGGAAAACAGACAGAAAATGGAAAAGGCTACCAGACAGCTCCAAGCCACACTGCTCAATATCAGCCCCTGCTTTCGGACCTGTCGCAAGACCTCGGTGTATCGCATGGTCTCAAAAGCCACCATCCGGTACTGGGTGGCCCAGCCGAGCTGGGGCGCATAGAAACACAAGAATTCCTCAATCTGCTTGCGGACCCGGTAGGAGACTTTGAGAACGCCTTGTCTCAGCTCCTTGTAGTTCTGCAGGGCCAGTTCGTTGATTATGTGGACGTCAGGCTGGCGGAACTTGGTATACTGCTCGAGATAGTCCCCCACAATGGCTGCGGGGGTGTCGAGTGGCTCTTTTTGTTGTACCAAATGAGTCAAAGAGAGATCGTACGGCAAGGAAGGCAGGTTTTTCCTTTGATCTAGGAAATCTTCGAAAAGGATCCGGACATCTTCAAAGCCAGTGTTCATGCCTTGTCCGTAGAAGGGGACCATGGCATGCGCCGCATCACCAATCAGTACACAGGAGTCCTGGTAATGATACGGAGAGCACCGAATATCAATCATGGGATGGTGAAGATTGGACTGGAACTGCTTTTGAAGGCTGTCGGTGGGGATGAGGTCCGGTGTAATACCAGGGAAATGTTTCTCGAAGAACTCCACAATTCTTCCGGATGACTTCAGCTCCACAAAGACGCTTTCGGGGGCAAATAGGTTACAGGTAAGTGTTCCTTCCTGAAGATGGGGTCAGTGATATATCCACTTTTGGGGGAGTTTCAGAAAAGATATACCTTATCTGGACAAGCAAACAACATAAAATCGTGTTGGGGCCACATATGAAGACAGTCCAGAGGAAGGGAATGCCCTGAAGGTATGGTGAGCTCGCACCAGAAGATATCCTCCCACTTCTGGCTGATGTTTATTTTGGCATAGCGGGAGAGGTGGAAACGAGTCGTCGAATGGGCTCCATCAGCCCCGATGAGTAAATCAAACTTGGTTTCATGGTCCGGCTCATGGGTCTTGGTGATGTTCTGGAAAGTGGCAGACTTCTGCTTCATGTCCAAGCCACTGAGCTTATGCTTATAGAAGACACGGACATTGGGAAATTTGGACAGCTCTCGAAGTAGGCTGTAATTAATTTCCGAGCGGCTGATAGCATAAAGAGCCTGCATGGAAATAAAGAATGTCAGACAGGGGAAAAGACAAGAACAGAAGGGGAAAGAAGCACAGTCATACCTGCCCATGAACATCATATGGAATCCGCCTCGTGGTCAATCCTGCTTTGGTCTTGCCATGTACCATTCGACCGTACACGGGGACAGTCTTGGATAGGATCCTTTCCGCCAGGTTCTTGCATTTACTCTGACGCAATGACTTGATGCCTCGCTCAGACAAGGTCAGGCTGATACTCTTGGTAGAGAAGGCAGTCGCAGTATGAAGCTGATTGTACTCTAGTTGGACCTCCATCCGTTAGGATTTACCCTTAAGCAACCTTGAAATTAGGGTAGGTAGGAAGACGCACCGTCTCGCATTTCATAAATCTCAACTTCAAATCCCCGCTGGGCAGCGTATAGTCCAGCCAACGCGCCAACAGGACCACCCCCGACAATAACCACTTTGAAAGAAGACATGATGATGCACAAAGAGTTTGCTTGTGACTAGAAGAGCTGATTCCCGAGTGAGAACTCTGATATGAGTAGGGTCCTAACCAGGGGCGCTCTGGAGCCTTTTTATATGCGAAGGAGCTATAGGATCTCCAACATAGACCGCTTCTTACTCTTCAGACCTGCCACGCAGCCCTCGGGCGAAAGCACTACCGGCGAATCCTCATAACCAGGTGGATGTGAATCTATTCCCAAAAGCCCGTGCCAAAGTACTCCGTGTAGGCTCCTGCAAGAGGATTGGCGGTGGATTGGACGTTCCAGCCCGGAATGCCGGACTTCATTGGTCTCCTCCATTGGGTCTTGTGGATTCGCTGGCATCCTTTGTGATGCATGATGAGGATTTGATACTCACACACCAGAACACTGTGGATCCTCCGCGCAACCTGGGGCCAAAAAGCTCAATATCCTGAGCAGGGTCGGACTTGACGGAGTATACGACCTCCGTTCGCTTGCTTATTTTTTTTCTGATCGGAACTAGTAACCGTGACCATTCAGCACAGACCTAACCCAGTGGCAGTGCGGCTTACTTGCAATAAATTCATATGAGACTGTTGCCCAGAAAGGTTAATCCGGGACGGTGCATCCAATTGGTGTCGTGTTGGTTGTTCTGATCGGAGCGGGATCACCACCATCGACTAATCCTGGATGAACCCTATGTATGACCTTAGCAGCCCAGCTCACAAGGCCCAACAACCAACGTCTCGCCAACAAATCGGTTCTTGGCAGTCTGAAAGCACAGTGAAAGCTAGTCGGATCTCGTTGACATCCGTCGGATTTCAGCAAGAGACCCAGATAATAGATACGCTAAGGGCCTGTAGAAGAAACTTACAGGGGGTGGAATGATTATTCTGCTTGTTTGAGCTTAATGCTCGATTGGCAGCTACTATATTGTGGGATTGGGTCCACTTGAAGGCCAAAATCTGACGTGAGGGCTCGGCAATCCAATGGATAGATGGATTCTGCAACTCGTTACTGAAGAATCGGCGGCTGACTGAAGGATTTGACGGTGCAATTCCGCTTCGTACTCGCTCCTACGCATCTCCGTCGGCCTTATCAGGAGAGAGATCATCTTGTCGGTCTAGACCGGGGCAATATCACGGCTCTGCCGCTAGGCAACGCCTCGATCTGCTTCCTATTTGCCGGAAATGGCTACGAACAAGGCCTTTGTTTCATCATCAGTCCACTGATAACACTACAACGGGTTCGGATATCATGTATTCCGGCGTGTTCATTTGGTTTTCAGCTGATCCTACTCATCTTTCTTGCCACCCACTTTTCCACCGGAGCGGAGTCCCACAAAACTGACCACACAGACCACTATCATGGCCGCAAACATGAGCCAATAGGCTGCTTGATAGCCCTTGAGCAGGTCCCCGTCCGAGTGCGCTGTAACCGAGGCAGCAATTACTGCGCTGATGGCTAAGCCGACAGAATTGCCGATCTGTGAAACGGCATTAAACACGGCCCCGGCCAGTCCTTGGTTTTCCCCCGGATAGGCCTGTGAGATGATCAGGTTCGACACGGTAAACAGCACTGCATTGTCAGATTAGTCGATCAGGATCATCCTGGCCTCGATCGCATTTATTCGGTCACAAATCCTGGGAAGCTTACCGTCTGGATGAAGCGGGCTCAGGAGCATCCCGACGAATGGCCCCCGCCAATACCCCCAACTCGGCTTGACCAATGCCATCAGGATAGGAGAGATGGTGCTGACGCAGGCAGAGACAAAGACCAGGGTGCGAACTTCGACTTTGTCGACTACGTACCCGGTGAAGAGATTGGTGATCGCCCCGACAATCACCAGCGGCAGGAACATGACGGCTGAGATGAGCGCGGAGTGATGCTGAATGTTTTGAAAACTGCCCATTGTGGTCAGCTGCTCGGGTTTCTTCAGCAGAAGGGTAGTTCAGCCTTACTAGAGCGATGAAAAATACTGGAAGGCATTGAAAACCGCCCAGGTAAAGAACACTATAATGCAAGTTGAGGTAAATGTGGTGTTCTGCCAGATACTGTTGGGAATCAGGGCCGGTTGCCCCCGTCGCTGGCGCCATCCCATCCAAGCGACAAACGTGGGAATCAGCACAATGGAGATTACCAGCAGCGCAATGACGTATCCAGTGCGAATGTTACGATAACTCCCGGAGAGTTCACTGTGAAACACATCGAATCAGTTACCCGGGGTCTGTTATAGGGCAAGTCGCGAGATCACCTACGCCATCACAAAACACAGCAATGCCAGAGAAACACTGATGATGATTGCTCCAATCCAATCGATTCTTGCAACTCTCTTGTACCATGCGTCACCACCGCGCTGTTTCACGGCGGGTAGCGCCCAGAAGGCCGTGGCGGATAAGGTGGCATTGATGATCGCACTAATATAGTACCCGTAGCGCCATCCGATGGTGTCGACGAACACCCCCCCCAGGATCAGCCCTACCGAGTAGCCCAGAGGCTGACCCATCCCCATTGACGCAAACCCAATGTTCCGCCGCGTGCCTGACGGACAACTGCGCGTCATCAAGCTGACCGCTGAGGGCAAACACATGGCAATCCAGAGACCCAACAACGTCCGGAAGGCGATGAGCTGGTTGCCCGTCTGAGTAAACCCGCAAGCCAATGTGAAAATCGCATAAAGAATGCTGCCAGTCAACCAGATGAGTTTGTCGCCCACCGCATCGGCGATGGAACCAAAGAGCAACAGGGTACAGCCCGCCGCGAGCGCGTAGACCGATGCCGGCCATAGCATAATATCCTCACTCAGGTGGAGGTCGGCCGACATGTTAGGGAGCGCCACGGTCAGGATGCCGGATCCCATGGTGTTGAGGAAGCTGACCCCCGTGAGGACGACAATGGTGGAATTTGCGCGGGTGTTGCTGAAGGGCGCGAGTTGTGATGCTGGCACGGATGCGGTTCCATCGTGGCGGGCGCTCTCCGACGACGCGGAATCGGTCTCAGGCGTGGGAGGCTTGTAGGGGTGTTTTTCGTCTTCTGATTGCATTCTGTGCTTCTCCAGGACCATCTTTAGCGTTGTATCGCGGGCACAGAACCAGAGTCAGAGCTAGATGGACTATCTCGCAGCGACCGCCGCAAGAAGTAACCTCCAGTGTCCTCTGCCGGCCAGTTTTGATGAGATGGTTAGTAAGCTAGGGAGCTCAGAGCCTAGTAGTAGATTCATTGGCCCACCAGACTGCCTAGTACCTGGGAATTGATGCTGACATAGAATCCCAATGAGGCTTTTGTCATCAGGCCGGTTCTTTTCCGCTCTGCAGAGCCCGAAATAGGGCAGGATTCACGATGGGTCTTGGCTCACAGGACCCCCGACGGAGACGCCAGCCGCAGTTGCATTAGGGTTATCACCGGGTCCCTGATAAGCACTCGGGCCCCACCGCGGCCGCCATTCCGTGGCCCATTAAGACTACGTACTACGTAGTCAGCGGAAAGATTGCTGGCATGACAAATTCATCCTTAGTGCACGGAATCATCAACATCCGGCCAATGCAGTATTATTTACTCCGTCTGCGGAAGATCTTTTCTGCACCTTACCTACATACCTATGCTGTGCTTACTGGTGAAGGCTGACGTGGCAACCCTCCAACTTGCACCGGGGCAATCTGCATGATAATCATCATACCTTAAATAAGCCACTGACTTAGTAGGGAGTCTATACTCTGTACTCCGTATTCCTTCAACTCATATGCACCATATGACTAGCCCCAGCAGCGGAGTGACAGCCTCCATCCGCTTCCAGGCCAGGCAGCCATGAGCCGCTGAGCCGCAACTGACAAGAGTGGATGCCTATCCCTCCTCGTATTTCAATTCCTGGCTCATCCTGGCTGTGGGGGCCCTTCAAATTTGAGACAAGTACTGCCTAGTAGTTTTTCACCACGGGAGACTTCGTCGATCACCACCGTCAGATTGCTAAAGTATCGCTTCTAGGCCAACTAATCACCTGACCACTTTGCTTCTGTTGGTTCTTATGGTGTCGGATCCTGGATTTTCACTTCTCATTCCATTCCCCGCTTGCCCATCAGGCTGCCTGGATCCTACGACACCGCTCTTTCGCATCTCAACAGGCAATGGGCATCCTGGAACATGTTCCGATGATGAGTATTCGATGGTATTTCTGTTTCCTTGATGAATTCTCACTGAAAAGGCCCTTCTCCTTTCGTCATCATGACTTCCCAGCTACCCTTCCTCCGCATCCTGATCCCTTGAAACTTGAGAGTAACTGCAGATCATGCACTTCGATTCTCCTCAGGTGCTTACCCAAGCGCACCAGACTACGTACACCTCTTCTCCTGCATCATAGTCATTACTTCAGCTCACATAATAATCAGGGTGGCGAAAGAAAGCAGGACTAATCTCATTCATTGATTCAGGGGTTAATTTCTAAGACTAAAGATGGCTGTACAGACTCCGATGGGGCTCGATAGCCCGTGTGCTTGAACGAGTTTATACCTACTGCAGAGGAGTCTCACCTTCGGCAGCTTCAACCGCGTAGGCCATCACCTCATCTGTTTACACATGTCCTGACGCCAATTCACCTAAACCTCCCGTATCTCAAAGAATCTGCCGAAGCAGCTTCATGCGAACAAGAGATGTGCAATTGCTCCGAGAACATCATACCAGTGCTGCCTCGAGTCAGGCTGGAGTGGGAAGTGCCCTTACTTCGATTGAGGTTTCCATGGCTCTCCCTTCTGCTTCTTATGACTTAGATAACAAACCTGGCTAAACTGCTGACCTTTTTCACTCTTCTAGCTCCTTGGATCACCAGATCCTCGAAGCAATGCCTCCGTCGAAACATGCCACTCCACCCCTCGAGTAGGGGTTTACAGACCTCCCATTTCATACAAAGACTCAGAAAGAGTGGAGGAACACCATTGGCTAGAGGTTTTCTTGCAAAAGCTTCATTGCTTGCCTGAATCTATGGGCATCCTGCAAAGACAAGACCCATGTATCGGGATTTCAGCTTTTGATACCTCACTTCACCCCCGTATGATGCCTCTTCTGTGATATCTCGTCATCTGCACCACCTACCTAACATGCCAGTTTAATTCTACAACTTAGGTAACTAGGTGGGTCAGGAATCTGAGTGATGAAGAAGATAATTTCTACAGAAAACGCATTATCTCAAGTCATCGGGGTCAGCATTGAACCCGACTCACCCTCCGAATGTTCGAAATACGAGGTAAATTCAATACCGCGATGGCCGGCTATCTCCATCCGGCAAGGGCTGTATAGTTGGTCAGGTGACCAGCGCTAAGCCGTAAACAATACCCGCAGTCACTGGATCCAGCAATGGGCTGGTAAGGGAGGGCGAGGAGAAAGTGTACCGTCTGAGACTGATGGGCAGACGTAGTCACACAAGTTACAGCTCTGCCCTCGAAGTAGACATCCACGACAGATGTGCATTGGCCTCAACAACCCGGTCGTGGTGATCCATGCTCCCGCGCGGTCTGAGTGCATTACGTGCATTACGTTTTCAAGGCAGGCTGCGCAATGCCTTGCCTATGATGCCACCCTCAACGATCCATGAGCAGAACACCAGGGGCAGATGGTATGACAGAGGAGATTAATTGACAATAATTTCCCCCAAGGCTGGCCTGACTGACAACCGACCGCCCAAGAAGTCCAGGACGGCTGATCTGAGGTGGCGGAAGGGGTGACGTTGACGGGAGTGATTTGGCAAGAGGAGAGAAATGGAAAAGATCATCCGAACGAAGATGGCTGGTGATTCAAACCATTCAAGGTAAGAAGAATAAGGAAAGGAGATAAAAAAAAAAAAAAAAAAAAAAACGGCGAGTACCTGGCAGCGCTCGTGGATGGGCGCCCCGCAGCAAGAGCCGAAGGGGAGAAGAAAAGAAAAGAAAAGAAAAGAGGGCTGGGGTTTTGGCCCAAATTGCCAGCCACCGGTTTAGATTGACATCCCCGATCGATCAATCAATCAATCACGGCCGCCCCCCGTGAGGATGCCACTTGCGTTGGCCTTCTGCCTTCTGCCCCGAGCTCCAGTTTTTCTCTCTTCTTTGTCCCTTTCCCCTCTTCTGCCTTCTGACATTCTTCACGTCCTTTCACTGTCGTTCCCATTGTTTTGTTCCCCCCATTCTTCGGCCGTTGTTGAGTGTTTATTCCCCCACACCATCTGTAGTACTATATTTATGATATCCGCCTTGTATACCCCGAAAGTCGTGGAGGACCACTAGGCCCCCGTCTGCGGTGCAAAATCATCGCTATATAGCCATTTCTCTATACCAACTGAGCGATCCTTTCGCTTTGGATTGATTGCAGTTCATTTACTTTGACTGTGCTATCATCAACGACCGAGTGGTCGGATGCGATCACAGTGAGGTGAATACTAACACGCATCCCAAACACACCTCCAATCGCCGGCGGAGCCTCGTGAAGCGGAGCAACTGCTGCGTGTTACACTGCAAGCATGGCCAACGAAGGCTTTGGGGCCCCTACCAATGGGGCCCATTCGGCCCCGTCGCACAAAAGGCAGCCATCCCATGTCGTCAAGTCGGTTGCTCCAGACTACTACGAGGACAACGACTTCTATGCCAACTCCACTACTTCAAGACCGTCGCCAGCACCGTATCCGGCAAATTCCAGCCGCGTCCACAGCCACCACAGGTCTCGTTCGTATTCTGCCAGAAGCAAAAGCTACAGGAGAGACATCTACCCCGAAGACGATATGGAGTGGAAAGACAAGCCCCCAGCATCGGAGCCCCCAGCATGGTCCGAAACAAGTGCGAAACCATCTACCACGAGAGGGGAGAAGCGTGGAGACGATGCTCTCAAGGCCCCTGCATCTTCAAATAGCCAGCCATCGCCGATAAGCCGGTCGAGTACCATCCGCTCCACCACTGAGCAGCGGCGTGATTGGGCTGCCGACCGTTCGCCCCTTCAAAAGCTCGAAGTCACTTACACTGGCGCTAGCAAGGAAGAGAAACGAGCGCGGGCTCTAGAAGCTGAAATGAAATTGAGAGAACGGATGAAACGGGAAGCTGATAGTCGCGCAACAGCATCAGCGCAACCTTTTGACATGCCAGAGCATACGGACCAGCCAGTGCCAAGAGCAAAGCGCTCACATCACCGACATGCAGCTTCCGAAGGGCAGGCGGGATACAACCCCTCTGGACAAAACCCGTCTGAAAGAGCGAGACCTCCTCGCAGCAGAGCACCACCGCCTCAGAGCGCTGCAGAGCAGCCGTTTGAAGAGGCTCGGTATGTTGATGAGAGACTACAAGATGCGCCTGTGAGAAGGGGCAGCGCTCCTAGGCGAACGGTTTCGGTGAAACACCAAGCCCAAGGTCCCCCGATGGGCCCGCGGGCGATGAACCAGGGCAAACAACGGGATGCGCAAGCTTACCCGGCTGTTGCTCAAGACCCAGCGGTTCCAGAACAGCCTAGGATGGCGGTCCCATCCAGAAAGGCTGTCCCGAATCAACCCCAAAGCCGTGCACTGCCATATCCTGAGCTGGCGGCCCTCCAGAACACGTCACCTCCACAACTTGCCCCGGAGAGAGGGCCTGCCATACAGGGGACAACTGCCCAGCAGGGAATCATGAAGAATCCTACTGGAGTTGCACCGGGCTTTCCTATACCTGCCAATGTTAGCATGGAGCGTGGAATGGGCGATACCAATCCGATGATGCCACAGAGTGCTGTAATGGAGACAAGCGCGCTGTCGAAGCCCAAGGTTTCGTTTAATGTGCCACCGCCGACACCCCCTCCCCTATTCGAGTGGCGGACTGCGTCCGTGGCCAGGCTGGGAGCATCTGACTTCGATTTCCAACGATTTGATGCTGATCGAAGCAAAGCCTGGTGGGAAACCGGGGAAAGCAACGACCGCAGAACCAGTCGGGCCCTGCCGAATAGCTTTGTCCAAAAGCCTTCCGCTCAAAAACAAACCGGTAAGGAATTGGGGAAACGGCGCATTGTCACGAGGTCATCGGTCACTGATGATATGCTATATACAGGCAACAAGCGCTTTCAGCCGTCGATTTTCCTACAGAGTGGACCTCTGCTCCGCTATGCCGGTCTGAAGCGGGTTCGAATTGATGGGCCCAATGGTCCGTTCAACAAGGAGACCTGGAGAGGCAGTGTTTTGATCGTGACACAAGACTCGCTTTCCTGCTATGAGTCACGCCCAACCCTGAGGCTGTTCGCCCAGGCGATGGATCTCCTTGCTCCTCCGCCGGTCCAGGTCAACGGGGAGGATGCTCAACTGGCACCCGAGTATGTTGATCCGGCTGCGGGGCTGATGAAGTTGGGACGGGATGGACGACCTCTCTACGTCAAGCCGGTGGAACATACCGTGGAAGGGGAAGATCTTTCGTTTGTTGAAAATGATGATGGAATCTATGAAATGTCCCCCAGCATCATGGACTACAGTAGTGAGGGCGTCGGGCAGCCCATCCCGGCCAGTCGCCTCCATCCCATGGACGGAGAGGCAGCTGGAAGTTACAAAGAGATCTCCGGAGCTCGTTTGTACGCGGATCCGGGCAGGGATGTCACATTCTGGAGGTTCAATATCGAGATTGAACTGGGCCCTACTCAACAGCGGGTCGCCTACCGCCTGAACCAGGGACCGGCCCTAGGCTTCTGGGTGCCAGCCCGAGGCCAGTCCATGAACGTCATGTTCCATACCGGCAATGGTTTTAGCCCCGCGGTGGATTCCAACAAGCTCAGTGGTCCAGACCCCCTCTGGCGCGATGTCTTGAACGAACACCAGACTCGCCCGTTCCACGTGATGATCGGGGGTGGCGATCAGATCTTCAACGACAAGGTGATTGCGGAAACGGCCCACTTCCAGGAGTGGGTGAAGATCAAGAACCTGAGTGAGAAGTACGAGTCACCTTTCACAGCCGAATTCAAGGCTGAACTGGAGGACTTTTACTTGGAGAACTACTCGGCGTGGTTTTCTCAGGGCCTGTTCTCCCTCGCCAACTCGCAAATCCCCATGGTCAACATGTGGAATGACCATGAGATCATCGAGGGATTCGGCTCCTACCCAGAGGAGTTTATGAACTCGCCGGTCATCTCGGGGCTTGGCAGCATTGCGTTCAAGTACTACCTGCTGTTCCAGCATCACAGCGTCCCCGAGGAAACCGAAGCGGAGGAGCCCAGCTGGATCCTTGGCGCCAAACCAGGACCGTATATCAACCAGCGAAGCCGGCATTTGTTTATGTCTCTGGGTGACGGGGTGGCATTCCTGGGGTTGGATTGTCGGACGGAGCGAATGGTGAGATATGTGATGAACCTCTAGTACTGGATCGATGCTAACAGCGAGCGTAGACCGACGAAATTATCTGCGAAGAGACGGGCGAGCTGATCTGGGACAGATGCCATCAGGAGATTGTGCGGGGTGAAACCAGACACCTGATTGTGTCGCTGGGTATTCCGCTTGCGTATCCCAGAGTGGTATGTCATCTACCTTGCGATTCCAATGCGTTTCTAATGCATCTGCAGGCCGTGGTGAAGAACATCCTCAACAGCCGCAAGTCCCTCGGAAAGGCGGGCCTGTTTGGCGGCCTGGTGAACAAGACCGGCGCCAAGGTCGAGATCTTCGACGATCATTGGACGGCCAAGCGTCACAAGGCCGAGCGGACATATCTGATCGAAGATCTTCAAGATCTGGCCGCGGAGAAATCGGTCCGGGTGACAATTCTGAGGTAGGATCTGGCCCGCTTCGGCATTCTAAGAGACATATCTGACGGGGATTGGCTACAGTGGCGATGTGCATCTGGCGGCAATCGGGCAGTTCTATTCGAACCCCAAGCTGAACGTGCCCAAGGACCGGGACTATCGATACATGCCGAACGTGATCTCGTCCGCCATTGCTGACATGCCCGAGACGGAGATGATTTCCGACACGCTCAACAAGCGCAATCACGTGCACCACATTGACACCAACACCGACGAGGACATGCTCTCCATATTCACCCACGACGTGAATAACAAGCCCCGGAACAACAAGCGGTTGCTGCCACGACGGAATTGGTGTTCGATCCGGGAGTACCAGCCCGGTAAGTTCCACCCCCAGTTGCTCTTCTCATCCGAGACCGGCAAGAAACTTTATCTGACCGGTCTCTAGGCTCTACACCCCCCGCGACACCGCAATTTGGAACCGCCGAGGAAGAACCTCGCCCGGCCAAGCTGAAGCGGACATTGTCGCTTACTCGCGGCGACAAGGCTCCCCGCGCAGGTCTACTGCGACGACTGTCCCTCCGGGGCCCGCCGCCGACAAAGGACTTCAATCTCGGGGACACGCCCCCTGCGCGTCGGATGAGCATGGACGGGGCCTTCACAGGGGGCGACATGGGCGAAGCGGCCTTCCATCCGGCAGGAGATCCCAAGCCCGGTCCAATCCTCCGCCGGCCGACGACCCTCAGCCGGAAGGCGTCCAAACGGGGGAATGGCGTGGGAGCGTTGATCAATCTGGAGGGGGTCTCGCGATCACGCTAAACCTGGAGCTCAACCCGAAGGACCCGGCGGGGATCACGACGCCGTACAAGTTGCTTGTGCCGGCACTACGCTACGAGGACATAGAATACGAGCCGCCGGCGGCGTCGGTAGCCAAGGGATGGCGGAAATGGCTGGGGGTGAGAAGCAAGAAGAGGGACAAGACGGCGGGAGGAGAAGAGACGGATGCGGAGAATGGTCTGACGGACGAGGAATACGACGATGAGTTTGATGATGATGACGATGAGCCGGAGTCGTATGCACTTGGGGAAGGAGGCGTGCTGCCGGAGACGCTGGTGCCTGTGAGCCAGGAGGGAGGGCTAGAGGAGGGCGAGGGTGAGGGCGAGGTTCCCAAGCGGAAGAAGTGGTTTGGGCGGTCGAAATAAGGAGTAGTTGAGGTTATTGAATGCGCGACGATTGATGATTGATGACGATGATGATGACGATGACGATAATATCTAATGCCACTGTTGATATTCGGAACCATGATAACGATAACGATAATGATGATGATGATGGTATACGGAGGATCTACGGAGTAGTAATAGTCCCGGTCTCGACCCGCCACGGGTTGGTAAGCAGGGATCACGTGCGAGGGTCTCGCCGGGGATGATTTGTGAGCCGCGTTGCCTGAGGTCGGGCCGGGGATTTCCATGGCGGTTCTTTGGCCTTCCTTGTTGCTCCCTCCTGCCTCGCCTGCTTCGCCTGCCTTATCAATCAATCAATCACCTCCATAGTCCAGCCACGGCGTGTTCGATAAGCAGTTGGCTTCTCCACCTACCTAGACCTACACTACTAGTACCTACTACCAGGTAAGTAAAGAACCCTACTGGTGAGTAGGTGGTTGCTGGGCAGGTCTTAGCTAATCGCGCGTGGCCAGCCCTTGGGAATTCCCCACCTGCCCGTTGCAACTTGCACCAGCGCCCCTCTTCGCCTCTGCCTTCTGCTGCCCTTCATATTTCCCCCTTCTTCCTCTCCTCGCTCTCTCCATTCTTCTTCTCTTCTTCTCTCCAGTTCACATCAAACACCGCCAATCTGTTTTCCTCCGCCTTTCGTCGTTTCTCCTCCTCCACTCTTCGCTCATCTCTTGGACTGACCGCCGCTGCCGCCTCGTCCTTCCAGCAAAACTCCTCGCCATCTACCCTCTCGACGCCCCTGCGCGTCAATTCCACCTCATCCTCCAGAATGGTGCACACCAACGTTGTTAGTAAGTATTGCCTCCGACAATCGGCGGGTCAGGGGCGGACGCAGAATCTAACCGCGGGCGAACCACAGTTATCGGCTCCGGCCCCGCCGCCCACACGGCCGCCATCTACCTCTCGCGCGCCGAACTCAAGCCCGTCCTCTATGAGGGTATGCTGGCCAACGGCACAGCCGCCGGTGGACAGCTCACCACCACCACCGACATCGAGAACTTCCCCGGTTTCCCCGCCGGCATTGGCGGCGGCGAGCTGATGGAGAACATGCGCAAGCAGTCCGTCCGCTTCGGCACCGAGGTCATCACCGAGACCATCACCAAGGTCGACTTCTCCCAGAGACCCTTCAAGCTGTGGACGGAATGGAGTGACGGTCCCACCGACGAGCCGGCCCACACCGCTGACGCCGTCATCATCGCCACCGGTGCCAACGCCCGTCGTCTCGACCTCCCCGGCGAGCAGAAGTACTGGCAGAACGGTATCAGCGCCTGCGCCGTCTGTGACGGTGCTGTGCCCATCTTCCGCAACAAGCCCCTCTTCGTCATTGGTGGTGGTGACTCCGCCGCTGAGGAGGCCATGTTCCTGGCCAAGTACGGTAGCAGCGTCACCGTCCTGGTCCGTCGCGACAAGCTCCGTGCCAGCAAGGCCATGGCCAACCGCCTCCTGGCCCACCCCAAGGTCACCGTCCGCTTCAACTCCGTCGCCACCGAGGTGCTCGGTGAGGAGAAGGCCAACGGCCTGATGACCCACCTCAAGGTCAAGAACGTTGTCTCTGGCGAGGAGGAGGTCGTCGACGCCAACGGTCTCTTCTACGCCGTCGGTCACGACCCCGCCACCGCCCTGGTCAAGGGCCAGATCAAGCTCGACGAGGATGGATACATTGTTACCCAGCCTGGCACCAGCTTCACCAGCGTTGAGGGTGTCTTCGCCTGCGGTGACGTCCAGGACAAGCGCTACCGCCAGGCCATCACCAGTGCCGGTAAGCCCTCCATTTTATATCTTTACCCACCTTCACAACCGCTAACAAAATCTCAGGATCCGGCTGCATTGCCGCTCTCGAGGCCGAGAAGTACATTGCCGAGCGCGAGTCCGGCGAGGAGGAGGCGCCCGTGACCAGCAGTGAAAAGGACACCCAGGGCACTGGTGCCGAATACAAGTCCAACCCTCTTCTCTAAGCGATTCACTACCACCACCATCATGAAAGCATCTATTCCCATTCTATCCATCTCATAATCTCCTAACTCACCCCTCTATCTTCCGATCTCTTTTCTACTACCCATCTAGATCAGGTTCAGGTTCAGGTTTCCCATTTAGACAAACGGCTTATGGGTGTTGCATCTTCATCTTCCTCTTCGCATTTTTATTTCTTATCTTTTCATTTGCTGAATGCTTACCTTAACGGCTGTTTATATTTCTAGATTTCCAGCGATATTTTTGTTCATGTCTTGTTTTGTGATACACGGGATTTCGATGGGGTTCGATCGATCGATCGATCGATTGCATGAATGCGAATGTGAATACAATCAATAGAGTAGAAGAGAGAGAGAAGAATCATAAAGTAATTTTTTCGAAGACATTTCCTTTTATTCTGGTCTTCGTAGGATGAGCTAGCTCAGTTTGAGCATATAAATATGATGTCAGAGGATGGTCGGAGGCAATAGGGTATTTATTCATCCCCCCCCCCCCCCACCGAGTCCACTGATTTATGAGTTGGGTGCATTGATAGTGAGTGTACAAAGGTAGTTAATTGTACAGCGGAAAAACACGTCAATGTTGGTTTGCAGGAGGGGCGGTGCCGTTCGCTTGCGTATCTGGCCCGGGGGTTGGATGTTCACCGTGGGGTAGAGCGGTATGAGGTTGCTGTGCATTTCCAGGCTGAATGGTAGAATCCGAGGCTTGGGCTGACCTTTTCGACGGCGCCTCCCAGCTAGCTAGAGGATTGGCGGCGCACCACCGCTCCTTGATCTCGGTCGACTTCTTTTCCCATTCCGCCATGTCGCTCCGCCAGCGGTTCAAGATCTCCGTGCTGGTCTGTCGGTTTACTTCAATTTGCTCGATGTACGGCCGTTTCTCCTCTTTGCTGGCCTGCCGCCACATAAGGCCTAGGGCTTGGCGGATCTCGTCGCGCGCAGCCTTGGCGTTGGGGTCCTTGGTCGCGGCGCGGCGGGCTTCGTCACACTGCATGCGGCACTTCCCCCAGTAGTCTTTCTGGTACAGAAGAAACGGGTTCAACGCCGTTCGGGCTGGTCGTGGGGGGGCTGTGCCTAGCTCATCGTGGATGGCCGCCCATATGGCTTTGTCGTATGCATTCCGACGAGCGGCCTCGGGCGATGTACCGTTGGGTGTTGCACCAGTGGGTTCCTGGGACCTCCCTGTGCCATTGTCCAAGGACGGCTCCTTTCGCTTCTGAGGCGCTGCCGTGAGGGTGCTGACATCGAGGGTCTTGCCTTTCCCTGGAATCAGCGGATGAGGCACTTCGATGGGTCCGAGGACGGTCTCGATGACTTCCGATGCAGCCCGGAGCCCAGATAAGTACGCGCCGTGGACGGTGGCTGGGTGAGTGCCACAGGTGGCCTCTCCCGCAAAATGCAAGTTGCCAATCGGTTTAGCCATCAGGTCATAGTCTCCCGGAAGCGACTGTGCAGCGACATACGAGTAGCTCCCTCGGGTAAACTTGTCGGTGCCCCAGCGGGTAACGATGGTCTCTAGAGGGTCCGGAACGACTGCATGTTTGAAGACATTGCGCAGCTGGCTGGTCACTTCCGTAATGAGCTCGGCATCAGGTGTGCGTTCTGCTTGATGCGCGGCATCCCCGGCCATTAAAGCAATGAGAACTGGAAGACCAGTGGTCTTCATGCAGTTCCAGAACAGGTAGAACCGGCCACGATTCATTGCATAATCCTCCTGGACCATACTATTCCGATTGTTGGGTTCCCGGAGAAGCCCAAACATGTCACGCTCCGTATCCCAGAAAGGCTCGTTGAATACTAGGATCACTTTGTTCATGATTCCGAAGCCTAGGCGATCAACCGCGCCCGTTTTCCACTCTGGTAGGGGAGGTGAAAACTGGATAGAGCGATGCTTCAGTATGCCAAGAGAGCCGGTAAAGACCACCTGATCGGCAACGAACGACTCGCCGTCTTCGCATTGAACCACCGTCCTGTTCTTTCCCAGCCCCGTGTGGTCGTAGGTGATCCTGGAGACAACTTTGTTGGTCCGGACATCTAGCTTTGTAGGCAACGACCACAGTCCGTACGGCAGTTGCTGATATCCACCTACCACCTGCGAGTGCTCACCCTCAAATTCGTTTCCCATATCCTGGTCCCATCCGGAAAGGCTGAGTTTGCCGATATTCGAAGCATTCGCATACTCCAAATTCGCCATATGCCAGTTGAGCAGGCGCATATCTTTCGGAGTCAGTGGGAGCATATGCTGGTACTGCCGGACACCGTCATTCATCACGGCGCCCAAGGTCTGGAACTTTGAGGCTTTGGCTACCGGGTCCAAATTGATGGTGTCGTTGACAGAGGTCCCACATTTCAAGCTCCAACCCATGGTCTGACAAGCGAGCTGAGTCGGATTTTCTTCAACGTCGGTAGAGTCGGCCAACGGGGCGCCTGTCGGCTTGATTTCTGTGGTTTTGTGGCCAACTCCTCGCCGGATACGTTTTGCAGGAAACAAGAGCCCGATAGTCCCAGCAGCCCTAGCTTCTTCGTATTGCCTCACTGTAAGGCCGTCGCTGGTCGACACATCACGCCCGGAATCGATCAACTCCCGGTCACCCTCCGCCGTGGGCACTATCACTGACTTGTGCCGATAAAGCCCGGACCGATCCAGTATGTCATTGTAGAGCATCTCGTCTGTTGCATCTCGAGCTTCATCCACCGGTGAGCCATCAATGTCATAGATTGTGGAAATATCGCGCAAAAGATGATATGGGAGAGCGAGCTGGCCTCGGATAATCTGATCTAGGGGGTTGCCGTGATCAAAACCGACAATAATCTGGGCACCCATTTCAGCCTTGGGGACTAATCCAGGACCCAAGGTAGATGACTCTAGGCTCCGTAAAGGATGCGAGTAGATACGACCCCCAATCCTGCGCCGTCCTTCCAGGACGATCACCCGTGGCGATGTGAGCGCATCGTGGTAGTGGTTGAATAGAGCTTCCAGATGCCGCGCACATCCCAAACCCGCCGTTCCTGCCCCAATTACGACGATTACAGGACCCTCCTTGGGTTGACCCCCCTTGGGGGGCTCGGGAGCGACTGGAATTTCCACACAGCCAAAATTGATATAGCCGTTGCGAACGAGCCATTCATGTGCGAACGCGGCAAGGTTCATCCAGCGATAGTCCTTCGCACACCCCATGGCTTCTTCTTTCGAGACACTCAGCATGGGGTTCCTTGTCCACAGACGCAGGATACCATTTCGGATATTCAAGTAAACGGTGACATGAAGATGGCATAAGTGATCTTGAAGGATTTCCTGCTCCCCTTTGTGTAGAGCGTATGGGTTCAGCCGGGACGCATACGCCGCTGCCACACATTGTTGAGCATAGACTGCAGTCGGCATTCTCGAAGGTATGGAAGACCGGGGGCGGTACTTCACACTTGTAGCTCTACTGTCAGCAGCTTTGGGATCAGCGGTCACAGATGATGAGGATGAGGATGGCGGTAGGATATTGACGAGTGATGATGGAGACGTTAACGTGTGATTGGAGGTGGGGGGAATGGAAGGAGCTCTCGCCAGACCGTTGGAGGGTCCGCAGATTGAGTTTGTCTCGCGGCCGTGTGAGGAAGGGTCTGCTCTCTGCAAGCGATCCTGGACCGTCTCGAGGATCCCACTGCTTTCTGAGGGACCTTCCACCATTCCATCATTCGGAGCGGGTCTGGTATCGGCGTGCCCATTGACGGTTCCATTGACAATTCCATTGAGAGTTCCATTGGCAATCCCACTGGCGATTCCATTAGCATATGAGAGGCCGTTCAGAGGCGGCCCGCCCAGCTGCTTTGGCGGCAATTGCGACGGGGGCCTCGGGCCAAAGACGGCTTGGTGTGGCGCCAGCAAGCCTCTTGCAGCAGCATTGAGACTGGCCGGCAAGTATTGGTCAAGCTGACTTCTCTCGTAGGCATAGCCCTCTGGGCCCTGAGTCCCAACGGCTGCGGCCGTTTTCATGATTGCTGGCAAGATTGAAGCGGCTTCTCAGCAGATGTATTCTATCACTGAGCTTGGCCTCCACGGACCTACAGGCCAACTACACGGACGATATGACGACTGATTGATACCATGGACCACCCATATCGTGAAGTTATGTGACTACCGGGTCTCATTTTATTCATCCATGGCGGATTCCATCACACTCAGTCCTTTTGATAGGGAAGGAAAGGCCGGGATCCGGATGTAAAATATACCTTGAAATCAGGTCAGCGGCCCTGTGGAGGGTATCATATGCTGGGAGAGCACCCGAGCAGCCCGGCAGATTGATAAGAAAGCAGTTTAGGAGATGACCAGTTGACTTACCTGGTGGATGGACTTAGGCTAAGGAAGGTCGAGAGACGATGCGTATCAGCAAACTCATCACGTTTGCGGGCATTTGGCACTGGGGCAACGGGAAACAAGGAGATAGCAGAGATCCCCGTACGTAGCGACCGACTCACAGGGAAAGGATACCAGCAGCGAGGGGAAAGCAGCCAGACAGCGAATCAAGGGGCGACCAGGAGAAAGCCGCGATGCAGAGGCTGAGGCTGAGGCCGAGCCCGAGACGACGACCACACCACTCGGCGCCACATTCGCCCGGATCCCCGCGTATTTCTCAGTCCGACCGTCCCTTGCCTTGATGCATTCCTCTGGTCTCTCTCCATCATTCCATGACATCCCCGGTGACATTTTCCCAGCGCCGTTATTCGTCCCCAAATCTCTTCGTCCCGTCCCGATAGGCGTTCATGAACTAGTAGAGATAGTGCAAGGCTTCGCCATCGGACTATTGCCCCCTTGCTCACGGCCCCCCCGGACCCTCCCGTGACGCCAGCGCCAGAGTGGACCTCCTTCCATGCCACCCCAGTGGCATAGTAGATACATTTTATATTAAATAGATGGCACGCCACGCCGAATCTCATGCAGAAACCCTACGGCTACAAAAGAGCAAGATCACCGTTGCTGAACGGTCTAGGAGCGCCATCACCCGAGATTGCAGAGACCCCGGTCACCCAGAATCAAATATAATTATTTACGAAACACCAAAGGTTATCCATAAACCGTCATGCCCATCCAGCAGGGTCGCTGTCATCACTCGTAAGAGCAGTTTCTATCACGTAGGCTCCCAGGTCCATCAACTGGCCAGGTTGACCTAGGGACCCTAAGGCTTCCGCATGTGTGTATGGAGGGTATACATCTCCTCACTGGCCCCGTCTCCGTCCCGGAAGATATCTGAATCATTGTCGGTAAACTCGTCACGATACGGTGTGGCTTTGGTACGGTGGGGGGAGGTCTCACTGCCGCTCTCGTCGTCAATCGCGAGGTCCACGTGGTCGTCGTCGAGATCGGTGAATCCGATCTGTGCTTCTTCGTCGCGCGCAAGGGTGGTGGCCGCGATGTCAACATCCGGGTCCTCGGAGAATGCACCATGGGGACGACGGGCTGCGTGGTCAGCCTGGAGCGAGTGCCGGATGTCCTCCCTTTCCTTGGCTTCTAACTCTTTGGCCCGGGCCAAAGTTCTTATCCACCACGTTAGTCTGCGGGACTATACTGAGGGGCATTCAGGGCGTCCTACCTTCGATAGATATATAGACCAGTGAAAATTCCAATCGATATCGAAACAATGATGCTGCAAATATTGACGGCCTTCGAGCCCGCACTCATCTCCTCATTATTTTCCGACAGTACACGCAACCGGTTGCCAATGAAAGCCGGGACGAGCAGTTTGGGAGAAATGAGCGCTGTGGCCAGCCCATACATCAACGGGCTCACCGTGGGGAAGGTTGAGACCGCCCCATTGCATACCGAGTAGGGCAGAGGGCACAGGCGGATCATACACAGCAGTTTGAGCCCATCATACTTGAGTGTCAACGACAGAGCCGCGAATCGGGTATCGCGTTCCGTCAGGCGGCGGACAAATTTGGACAGAATCGTCCGAGACACAATGAAAGAGCAAGTCGACCCGAGGACGGTCGCCGAAGCATAAAGAAGCCATCTAACAAGGTGTTAGCCTCCTGACACATCAATGAAAGGCACTAGACTTACCCCTTCCAGACTCCAAAGAGGTATCCCGCGACAGTTCCAAAGGTGGACCATCCAACCAAGGGCGGAAAGGAGACAAAGAACACACACAACCACAGAACAAAGTACGCTAGAGAAGACTTCTCCCATTGTGCAGCAACGGGCTGAATCCAAATAAACACCTTGCCGGTGAAGACCAGAAAGCCGATTCCAAGAAGATTGGCCAATAGGATAGCGGCCACCGCCCCGACTCTTTGCCAAAAATTCATCTTGCGCCATGCTTCCCGAATGCGGTGCAACATCTGAGTCCCTCGGTCTATGAGTTGATCCCGGAGAGTAGCGGTTCGCCCGCCGGAAAGACTGGCGGAGTTCCGCCTGCCAGGTGCTCGCCGGCTCCAAGGCGGATAGGCATCGTCCTCTGACGGGGACAAAGGTTCGGGGGACGACGTTGAGACGGAAAGCGCCCGGGCGGTGGATGAATAATCCGCGGGCATGTTGACACGAAGAGAGGAGTAAATCAGGACGTATCTAGCTTGTTATCCAATATCCTGAGCAACGACACGGCCCGTAGCAGAGATCGGCGGATGCGAATGGGTGCAGAGAAATTGGCCGGGCGCAAACCCGTACGCAGTGTTGGATCTCCGGTATCCAGCAAAGTATATACACGGTGCAGTGAATGCCCAACGGGTGCTAGAACAGACGAGTTTGCACTAATCAAGGAGGGCGTAGCTAAGCCCCCGTCTAGTAACGAGGCATGAGCGGATAGCGGGAGGGACGTCCACGACGGCTAGCTGGAGGTAGCTGGGCGATGATGAAATGGGAGCTGGCCGGCAATTGGTCAATGAGCTTCTGCCAGCTGGGATGACGGGAGGGTGAGAAAGATGATGATGATGGTGGTGATGATGATGATGGATTGTTAAGGCCGATTGAACTAAGCTAGTATTTCCTGTAAGCACCAGGAAGGCCAGACTGAGGATTGAGAATAATATTAGAAGGAGCGAAGGGACCGCAGCAGCAGCTAATAATTGAAGCTTCAAGGGAATTCCGATGGGCGGCTGCCTGAAGGCGGAAATCAAGGATGCTCTTAGTCAGCCATCCTTACCCGTCAAGGCTGTAACACCGTACGAGCCGGTCGGTATTATTGGCCTGGGGCTGCATTTCCTTTCGGGTGGGAATGCAAGAAGGTGGGTGACATGGTCGGGGGGAGAACCGGATCCCGAGTGCATCTTGTAATGAGGTACTTTTCTTGTGTGATGTGGTCCACTGGGGAAAGGACGAAATGATAGACCCCATCTCGATCCCAAGGGCGTAAGTAATATCGGCAGATCGCCCTGAGGAGGAGTGGCAGCCAGTCTAGATCCCCCACATCCACCGGCGCTGGCTGGATGGAACGGACGGACCAGGGGGGTAAAAAGGGGGGTGACAGCGCCGCCGTTCTTTGGTCCAGAGTCAAACCGCGACCCGGATTGGGGAGCGATGATTGATTGCTGTCAATAAAGAAAGCCCGAGCTGCTTCCAGGGCGTTGGTTGGTTGGTTGGCTGGCTGGTTGACTGGCCTGGCCTGGTCGGGGAATCTCATAGGTGTAGGTAGGTACTTAGGTACCTCCTGGAAGGCTTCCTCATCCTACTTGCTGGTAAGTACTTCTGGCTCAGTCCTGTTCCCTCCGCTCCGACTGTCCTCTTCTTACCCCTCCCTGTCTCTCTCTCTCTCTCTCTCTTTCTCTCGTTGCACTCCCCTGTCCCTTCTTCATCATCATCATCATCATCTTCTTCCCCCCCCCCCGTGTTTTCCCTTCTCTTTTTACTTGGATCTCCTTCGTTTCCTGTTTTTCTCCCTCGTTCGACTCCTCCGTTCTCAATCATTGCAAGACGGCAGATGCGATGTAATCACCCGTGGACTGCAAGCCTGTCCCCTGTCGCCCGTCAACCCTGCTAACATCCCTCTTTTCAAGCTTCCTCTCCATCCCATGAATTCTCTCGTCCTCGGAAAATCATGGCCCTAGATTACTAAACTTGACTTGCTTGCTGTTGTCTCCTCGACTTGATCGCTGTCCCCCTTCCCATCGCCGATTACCCCACATCGGTCTGCACACCGTGTATCCGTCGCTCTCCTGCTTTGTCCCCTCAATTTTCCAGCATGGTTCCCGACGACTTCCTCGAGGAGTGTCTCAACATCCTCCAGGATCAAGCTCTGGACGAAGAAGAGCAGGTCGAGAAAATTGAGGATTTTGTACGCGAAAAGACCATTTTATCGGGCCCATCCTTGGAGAATGTTGTCCTCGATATTCTTTGGCGTCATCGCAATCGCACCTTGCCCGATTCCTCCCCTCCGCCGCCCCGTCACACCGTTATTCGTCGCTCGTCCCCTGCTCCCTGGCAGATGGCTCGCTCTGCGACCCCGCTATCCCCTCATTCCAACCTAGGAACGAGCCCCGGGAGTACCTCCTGGCTCCAGAGCTCTCGAGCGGGCTTTCCGCGGCCACCACTGTCCTCCACGGTATCGCCCTTCACGTCGCCTCGTCCATCGCCCCGACTTGCTCTCGCGCAGCCCATTCCTCACTCCCCAAACTTGAACGCATACGAATTCTCCGACCAGAGCCAGGTGTCGGATTTCTATGGTGACCTAGGCAGCGATAGCAATGTGGATTGGCTGGTTGCGGACGACGCTAATAGCGTAACGTCGTCTATTGGGACCGCGAGCCTCTCCGGGGCGCTGAGCGCTACGGCACCGGAGTTTGTCCCGGACATGAGTCCGCACGACATCCTGCGGACTGTCTTGGGAGACAAAAGAACCAATGAGGAAATTGAGACGGCTCTGGAAGCCAATAGCTACGATTTGGGCGCAACTATTGCGTCGCTGTCACAGCCACATGATGGGGATCCCATTTCGCAACTCGCGGAAGATAGCCACGTCGTGGTCGGAAAATCCATGTCGATGGAACAACCGAAGATCACCGTCGCCCCGGGCCACAGTCGCAGTCCCGTTGTGTGCAAGTACTGGTTGTCTACGGGCCAGTGTCTCCGTGCCGATTGCCGGTTTAGTCACGATTTGACCAATCATCTTTGCAAGTGAGTTGATATCCGAGCGTTCCGATGGTGACCCGAGCCAGAGCAGCACACTAATGTCAACTTGTGTCACACAGGTATTGGGTTATGGGGAACTGCCTGGCCGGCGACGGCTGCCCGTTCTCACATGATCCTTCCGCACTCGTGGCCAACCTGAGTGTGGCAGACGGCAGCCCAGGGGCGGCTGGCGCATCATTCCACATGGACAACGCCTCCGAGGCGTTCCCTCCGCTGCAATCTACTGGCGGAGTTGGAGACCAATGGGGTGGCCAGTATATCCACAAGTATCCCGGTCATTTGTCAGCATTTTCCGGCAACAAGAACGGCCCCCAGGCGATGCAGTACCTCGTCGGCAAGCGGAATGGTAGTATGACCAATCTGTCCCGTCCTCACTCCCGGCCCGGGAGTCGACACCAGCATCGTGAGCTGAATCCGGCTGCTCCGTCGGTCGATGACCCCGACGCCTTCCCCACCCTTGCCGCTGTCAGCGCCAAAAATAAGAAACATCATGGCAAACGGGGGCCACATAATCGCGAAAACAATCCGAGCCGAGAGAATTTGCCCACGTCACTGGCTGATGTTGTCCGGATGTCCCCATCCCCCGCGCCGGGGAAGGGCAAGTCGTCGTCTAAAACCAACCGGGACGGAATCAAAGGCCGTGAACACAGCGCAGCAGCTCAGGCGATCCCACCCCCGCAGAATATCCCTTGGCTTGAAACCGGTTCTCGAGCGAATCAACAATATATCAAGTATCGCACGGAGGCCATCCGCCATGGCACCGTGAGGAACAAGTTCCTCCAGAGGTACGTTGTCACATTTAACTTTGAATAATCAGGAACTGACTGTCGTATTAGTGCGGCCCAAGCTTGGAACCGGAATGATGCCAGGGCTGCCAAGGCCCTGTCTCTTCGCGGCCAGGCCGAGAACGAGGCCATGCGCAAGTGCCATCGTGAAGCGGCACGGCAGCTGTACGAAGAACGTAACAAGCATATCGTGGAGGCCGGACTGGATGATTCGGTGGAGGAACTCTACATCGACCTGCATGGCCTGCACCCGGAGGAGGCGATTGAATATCTGGAGAAGATTCTGCTGAAGCATGCGCGGGAAGGCCGGCGGGTGGTTTACGCCATCACGGGCACAGGCCACCATTCGAAGAACGGCAAAGACAAGATCGGTAAGGCCGTCAAGGCATGGCTGAATGAGTGGAAGTATCTTTTCCGCGAGTTCAGCGTGCCAGGCGAGCGGGGCGGCTATGTTGGCGGAATTCTGGGGATTGACCCCACCAGCTACGACAAGTCCCTAGCCAAGAGTCTGGAGGAAGATGCCAACGGCAAGGCTGAAGCGGACGTCCCAGTGCTGACGATGGGGAAGATCCAGCTGCTGAAGCGCGAAGACTTGGAGGCGAAGTCGTAATCAACCTCATTCCAACCTCCCTTTTCTTTGACGCATCTAATCAACACCTCACTGTGTTCTGCCTCCGAACCGGGATTCGATGTAATGGCTAAGCTTCAGTGACGGGATGTAATACATAGACCATCTTCTTTAATTCTTGCGGGATCTATTCCACTCTTCAGCAGTAATGACCAGCCAATATTATCTGAGAGTGTACATAAGCCCTAGAGCCATCTCATCCATAAAGATTCCCACCCACATCCCTATTCAATAAATCTACTCGGGCTCCTGCCCCTTCCACTTCTCCCTCACCTTCCCAACATTCACCCCACACTCCTCCGCTTTCCTCACAATCGCCCTCGCCTTCTCCGCCACCGGCACATCAATCATCTTCCCATCCAGCGTCCACGCCCCCCTCCCCATCCTCGCAGCCTTCTCATCCGCCACACAGACTCTAACCGCCCATTCGACCTCATTCTTATCCGGCCCAAAGATCCCCTGGACCGTCTCCACCTGCGACGGATGAATACACTGCTTCCCATTAAACCCTAGCCGTCTCCCATCCTGACACTCCTCCTCTAACACCCTCGGCACCCCCTCCTTCGCCTTATACTCCGTACAAACCAAATCGATTGTAGACGGTAACTCCGCTGCCCTTGCCGCAGTAGCGATCATGGATCTCGCGAACAAGAATTCTCTCAGAGACGGGGTACGGGTTATGCTGAGGTCGAGAGCGAAGTCCTCGGCTGCGAAAATCAATCCTTGGAGGAGGGGCGTGCTAGAGGTGATTTGCGTGAGGCTGGTGAGGGATTTGGCGGATTCGATGAGCGCCAGGAGGGAGATTGGGGGTCTGGGTGTTGGAGTGGGGGGTTGGGTGGAGAGAGTGTGGGTAATTACATCGGTGATGAAGGTTAGGTCGGAGGGGGAGTTGACTTTGGGGATCACGAGGGTGGTGAGGTTGGGAGATTTGAGCTGGGAGTTTGTTAGTGGGTGATTATTGGGGAGTGGGAGGGGAGGAAATTACCACTTCGGTGAGATCGCTCAGGGCGAGACCGCTGTCTACGGAGTTGATCCGGACTGCGCGTTCGCGGATCCCCGGCGGTGCGGGCTGGTCGAGGGCCTGGCGTACCAGGGACCGGGCTTCGGCTTTCTTGTGCGGAGTGACGCTGTCTTCGAGGTCGTAGGCCACGCAGTCGGCGGTTAGGGTGCGGGATTTGTCGATGAAGCGTTGGGAGGAGCCGGGGACTATTGTTATGGAGTTAGTATGGGGGGATAGGTGTGGTATTGTGGTGGATGGGGAAATGCGGGGAGAGCTGGGGTTGGAGAAATAAAGTGGGGAGACGTACTGTAGAGCAGGGCCCGACGGAGGGTGTTTCTGGTTGCCATGGTGGCTTAGGTGAGTATGCCAGTAGCAAGTATGGTACGTGGTAGAGGATGTTGGTTTAGGATTATCTCGGTGGAGGAGAGGAGGGAATGAATGCATGCAGCGGATTGACCCGCAACTTTAAGAGATCCTCGGTTTGCGCATAAAGGCTTCTCCAGCCGTCAGGAACAGCCGATGACCTCATCGGAGGCTCGGGTACCCCAGTTCGGGCCATTGGGCTCTCCCATTAATCCCTTGCGATGTACATCGGGTATGCGCCTTTCTCCAGCACGGATAAAAAGCAGCATGAGCCAGCCGGTGTGCAGCGTGTGGAACTGGAACCGCGCGTGTCGGAGATGATGCGGAGGGCGTGTCAAACAACCGGAGTGGATCCATTCTGCCGCTCCCCACCGCCCAGTCAGGCGACACGCAGCATCAACGCCATCCCGCCGCATTCATTGCTACTCCTCGCCAGGAGGCTCCTTGACGCCGTCCATCTTGCGCATCGGACCGTTTCTACGAGGAGTTACTGTCTCACGTCTCACTATGGAATCACAACCTCTTCAACCGCAGCAGGGCGACCTGAACTGGCGTCTCAGCTCCCATCCCATCACCCTAATGTTCTTCCTGGGCTTCCGCATCAGCGCCTTGCTGATGTATCTCTTTGGCGTGCTCTTCATCAAGAACTTGTACGTCCCTCTCCATCCAATTACAGCTGGAACCCCTCTGCTTAATCCCATATATATCGGATCTATCTCATCTCAGCTATCATTGAAATTTGCTAACGGATTAGTGTCCTTGTCTTCATCCTCACCCTTCTCCTCCTCTCCGCCGACTTCTACTACCTCAAGAACATCGCCGGCCGTCGCCTCGTCGGCCTCCGTTGGTGGAACGAAGTCAACACTTCCACCGGCGACTCGACCTGGGTCTTTGAGTCCTCCGATCCCACAACCCGGACCATCACCGCCACGGATAAGCGTTTCTTCTGGTTGAGTCTGTACGTGACGCCCGCGCTGTGGATCGGTCTCGCCATTCTGGCCATCATCCGGTTGAGCAGTGTGATTTGGTTGAGTCTTGTTGGTGAGTACACCCAGTGCCTTCTCCAATCCAGAATACACGTACCACAATTCCCTCCCAGATACGGCATAGAATCTAACAAGAATAGCAATTGCCCTCGCATTGACCATCACCAACACAGTGGCATTCTCCCGCTGCGATCGATTCAGCCAGGCGTCGACATTCGCGAATAGTGCGCTTTCCGGGGGCATTGTGACTAATCTTGCCGGGGGTCTGCTGGGCAGGCTCTTCAAGTGAGATATCACTGGAAAATTGAATTGAATTATATTGGGAGTCGGGGATTCGGATTCATGCTGGATGTGAATTCGGGGTTCTATTTTCTGTTTAGTTTGTTCTGATTCCGGGGGTAGTGGTGTGAGTTTGGGGAAGTAAGTGGTGGAGGAAAGATGAGAAAGATGGGAGGGTTTGTCTTGCGGGTTATAGCGTGTATGGCTTAGATTTACTCAATTGAATTGTATCTTATCTTTATTGGGGCGTGTAGTGTAGGATGCGTGTATATTGATGTAAGTTTGTTACCCCGGACGTACTAGCAGGAATGAGCTAACATTCTCACGATTGTAGCACGACATAATCTATGCTGAAAATCATTCCATCGAGATTTCATCATCTCGAAATCTCATAAAGTACAGTCATCTTGAAGCAATGTCTCCATCTCTCCAGGACTTGGACAGTCATCACTGACGAGTTCCCATAGTTCATCCACTGCGTACACATACTGCGGCGAAGCCCCCGGCCAATCATCCCCTTCCAGCACAGGGGCATCCCAGGTAACTATCACGCCGTATGGCTCAAACTCATCCCGAACCCGAGCCATTCGGCCCCAAGGATATCCTACCGTGCCTTGTCCACTGTCGTATGGACTAAATGCAATTCTGATGGATTTCAGCGCCGCCCTTTTCTCCACCGCGGCTCGGGCAAACTTTCTAAGCCAATTCTCCTCTTCCTCTCTGAAGTCCTTCCAAGCTCCCTTCTGATCAGTCAACTTCCTGAAGTCCCATGTAAACGTTTTGAGACTGGGCCCGAGCAGTTTGTCTGCATCCGTGTCTGAGAGCCACAACTTGGTGCCCATGTTCCATCGGGACAGCCTCAGACTCCCCAGCTGGGGAAATGCCGAGGCATTGAAAGCGCATTCACTTGCGTTGTCACTTGGGAGCCCACATAACGTCAGGGTCTGCAGAGTAGTCTCGTGCTTTCGAAGCCATGTCTCGAACATGGAAAAGCTATATTTGACACTGTCGTCGTTTACGTTGAAACATGTCAAGTGGAAAGAGGACAGTGCTTTGGGCCATTGGAGTAGCTGGGCCATGACATCCGGAGCTTCAAGACACCCATCCAGCGATAAGTTCGTGACAGAGGAGTCTTGGCTTTTCTTCGGGTGTAATTTCAAAGTTTTCTTGATCCGCCTGCCACTCCGGATGGTCAACGCGTTCAAGGACGAGGATTGAACAGCCCCCATCACCCAATTGAATCCCACTCCTATGCATTCAAGGCTGTCAAGTTCATGCATATTCTGGGTAGCATTCGCAAGGGTGTCACACAGGCTGCCGACATAGTCGACATGGTCGTCTTCTGCATAGTGGTAGGAACAGTAAATATGCAGTTTCTTCACGCTGGTCAACCAGCTAACGATGTCTTGCACAATATTGACATTGTCCCCAGGGGTCGTCAGGATTACGCTGGCCTCAAGGAAAAGGATCCGGCAATATTGGCGGAGCGTTGGGTTGGCCTGGAGGGTGTGGTGGAGCCTCCAAGTGTCTATAAGTTGAAGCGAAATGCTCCGGTAGAGGATCGGAGTAGCAATCCAGTACAGCCGACGACATACGAGGGCCAGGTCTGCCACCGTTCGATAGCTGAAGTAGTATTCTCGGCCGCCACATGTCTCAATGAAATATGGGGCGGCAAAAGTGATGATCAGCTCGAGCACTTCTTGTGGCAGTCTAAAGAGTGACCCCTGCTGGAGGCAAGGGACCGGGTTCGAATGGAATGCGCTTTTGACACGGGCCTTTTTGGAGTCTTGGGGGCTGTGATCCGGGATGATTTGCCTCTTCAACAACAAGGGCTCATGAGGGGGGCACGTCGAGCTTGACATGCTGGGATTATCTATATGGTAGTGAGTGATCGTTGTGGCCGTGTCTGGGTGACATGCAGACCACTTTATCAAGACAGCCAAGCACGTCTCTGCCTAGAAGCAAGGGATCCTGCTCATTGATGCCTGACGCCCTTGCATCTCCGTCTTGGCCCGGAGCCTCGTGGAATCCGAGATAAGCCCGATTTGTCGGCCACGTGCAGACGATGTTGAAACATCTCAACGACCTAAACCTTGGATGTGGACATTGGACGAGCCTACTTGCCAAGAAATCTTGATTTCACCCAACAGCTCCCCTCTTTGGATATTGTGTTTCTTCACGGCTCACAGCAACTTGCTACAAGAGAAGTGCATGCAGAGTGCGTGCAAATGAATGCAAATGAATGCAGATAAATCAAAATACGTGCAACATGAAACCATGTGCATCCTGGGCAATCCCCAAACTTGAGGCATCGTTTCGAGGGCCCTGCAGATCCTCATCTGACACCCTGTTTCAACCCTAACCGGTCCGTGCCGATCTTCAATGCAATACGAAATACGACCCGAAGTCGCCCATTTTTGGGTCTCGACTCCTATACGGACTCTGGCTTTTAAGCGGACCACGCTGCCCTCCTCTCTTCCTTTTCTCCCCAGCAACACTCTTTTCTACCATGATAGCGGCCGCTCTTCTCCTGGCCGTGGCGGTCCCCGTCCTAGCGGGCCCTAACACCGATGCTGTGTCTGTATGCCAGCACCTGCATACCGTCTACCCTCAGTACACTGTCTGGGATCCCACCGGAACCTATGCCACAGAGACATTCTGGAACCAGTCCTACTATACCAACACTGTCAAGGAATACTGGAATGGTGTCAATGCCGACAACCGTCCTGCCTGCGCCTTCTTCCCCGCCAACGCAGAACAGGTGTCCGTCGCTGTTCAGCAACTGAACAAATACCCTACTGCCCCATTTGCCCTCAAGTCCGGCGGCCACAACTTCAACGCGGGCTTCTCCAGCACCAATGGCGGCGTCCTTCTCTCCTTCAACGAGAACCTCTCCTCCACCACCCGCAACCCCGACGGTCAAACCTTCGACGTCGGCCCCGGTGCCCGCTGGGGCGACGTCTACACCGTGGCCGAGAAAACGAACCAAGTCGTCGTGGGAGGCCGACTAGCCAACATCGGCGTAGCTGGCTACACCCTCGGCGGAGGTCTATCCTACTACTCTGCCCAATACGTATGTACCCCCTCTCTCCCTTCCACCCCAGCCCTAACCAATCAATCAACCAGGGTCTCGCCTGTGACAACGTCGTGAACTTCGAAGTCGTCCTCGCCAACGGCACCATCGTCAACGCCAACACCACGTCGCACCCCGACCTCTTCTGGGCCCTCCGTGGCGGCGGCAACCGGTACGGAATCGTCACCAAATTCACCATCCAGGGCCACCCGCTCGGCACGAACGGCCAAATCTGGGGCGGCATGCGATTCTACAGCGCCGACAAACGACAACAAATCTTCGAAGCCCTCTCTAACTTCACACGGGACTACCCAGACGCCAAAGCCGCCGTAATTCCCACCTTCGACTTCGGCCTCCCCGGCGCCCTCGTCTCCAACCCCACCCTCTTCTTCTTCTACGACGGCTCCAAACCCCCCGCCAACGCCTTCGTCGGCCTCGACAAAATCGAATCCCTCTTTTCCACCACCAAAGCCCAATCCTACACCGAACTCACCAACGAAGCCGGCGGCGCCAAAATCTACGGCATCAACGCCGCTGCCCGCGTGAATACCTTCCCCAACATGCCCCCCGCTCAAATGTCCCAACTTCTCGAAACTCACTGGACCACGTACCAAAGCATGATCAAGAACGATTCCTCTCGGAATCTGGATATCCAAATCGGGACGTTCACTCCCCAGCCCTTGTCTGTGCGAATTGCCCGTGCCTCGACGGAGCGTGGGGGGAACGCACTAGGTCTGGACCCGAATAACGGGGATCGGTTCTGGTTCGAGAATGATCTGATCTGGATCAACCCGGTGTGTAATGATGCGTGTCCGGAGTATTTGCGCCAAGTGGCGGATACAACGCTGGAATCGTTTGAAAAGACGTTGAAGGGCACGAAACCGACGAATTGGAAGAGTGGGGATGTGGATTGGGTTTCGTGAGTATCTCTCTCCCCCCCCCCTCCCTTATTGGGCTATACGCGGCAAGATATCTGTGTGTGTGCTAATAATAAATCAACAGGGTCAACCCCCTCTTCATGAACGACGCCGCAGATTACCAAGACGTATACGCCAGTTACGGAAGTGCGAATCAAGCCCGATTGGAGAATATCGCCAAGGCGTATGATCCGAGTCGGTTTATGTTTCGGCAGGGGGGGTGGTCGTTTTAGATTTGATGGATATGTATATACTCTGTGAGATGGTTTGATCAGGGTGATGAGTGGGCTCCAACCTAATCCATCATCAACCAAGGTTGTGGAACATGTCACGTTAGATATACTTAGTATACTTCGTATGAAGTTAATGCATGCGGCATAAAAGATAGATATAATGATTGACTCATCCCAAGCTGAATGCCGAATGGCATTCAGTCGATTGCATATATCCTCATGGGGACTGCATATCGGCCAATGTTCTGCGTCATTCATCTCGGGCAACCATTACGAGGGGTGAAGAAGAAAGGGAAGAAGAGGAGGAAGTGGAGGGGGTAAAGGAGGGAGTCGCCGGCCTGCCGATGTCTTTTACACGATACCTTTTATCCACCTCGGCAGGTTTTCCATCGGACACTTTGCTGTATTTACCCTTGTGGCCGTTGCCTGGAGGTTCGCCTTCCCTTGGCTCCTCCCCCTCGTAAAGAGCGACTTGAACGTTGTCACTCAAATCTACGGCCTATTACCCATAGTGAGTGAGGAGAGAGGGATTTTTCGGTTTGGGGTTGGAGACTTCTTACCTGACCCTGACTATTGACCACGACATAATGCGGGGTCGGAATCTTCTTGTCCTTGTTGTCGGTGTTATGTTTGTGGTGATGAACTGCCAAGGTGGCCGGAAGCTGGGCCACGGACATAATACCCTCTTTCTCTTGTTGGATGCAGTTGCCACAGTTGGTGCTATTGATGGCGGCGCTGAAGTTGAAAACACTGCCCACGAAGTTCCTGGACCTAGAGTCGTAGAAATCTTTGGGGTCTACTGGTCCCAGGAAAATGTTAATTTGGAAAGGGCTGCCTTTCAATGCATGCCTGAAAGTCCGGTCAGCGGGTCATGTGGAGACTGAGTTTGGACACATAATGAATGGAGGGGAATTGCCTACCGGTTGTACTTGATGGTTAGAACATATTCCTGTTTGCCTCTGTACAGGTCTTCCCTCCTTCTCCCGTACAGTCTGCGCACGTCGTCCTCGATTTCCTCCGGATTTCTTACTTGGCATAAGTCGTTGCCGGGTATCTGGGTGATCGCGTAGTCGTAGTTCAATTTTCGCCAGTATCTCACGTCGTCAGACTTGTAAAATGCGTTGTTGTCCTTGTGGAAGGGTTTCAGATCATCGTTCCGTGACTGTTGACTGTCGTCATCGAACCACTTGTCAGGGTTCAACGACTGCCAGATCGCAGTGAGGCGGTCAATATTGCTACAGCCCCTCAGTGTTAGGATCCGTGTTTCGTGCGAAAGTGAACGTTGCCAGTGGCTCGAAGGATGGCTTACCAATGGTGCAACCAAAAAATAGGATCGAATGCAGCAACAGGAACATTGCTCATATGGCCGACACCCCAGAGCTTTAAATCATGTTGCTCAGGACGGCGAAACATGAATCCTCCCACCCAGTTCTGCGGCGCCTTAGCCTAAGGAGTCTCCTGAAAAGGGGTTGCGATCACCTACATGGACGTTATTGTGGATTGCCTCTATGTTCATATAGTTGGTAGGCAGAATGTCAATATCACGATCGTCATGCCACTTGGTGCTGGAGAAAATTCCCCAGTTTTCCAATGGGGTTGTCAACAGGCGGAAGGTCGAGTCCTGGAGGGTTGGAAGTAGATCCCAGGCATACATGTTTTGGTACCATGGATGTTCATTCAACGCCAGATTGGCCCGCTGCCAGTCCTGGCCACCATCAGACCAGATTCCCTCGTTATACCCAGCCATAAGACCGTATTTGGTGGTGGACTGGCATTGGTCGAACTAGATTCAAGGTTAGAATCCGTACCAAAAGAAATGGGAAGTGAACCCACTGGAAGAGTGACTCCACTGGACAGTTGAGCGGTGATCTGATATGGATGCTGCAACTCGCCCATGGGGATGTCCATACAGAACCTGTACAGAGGATTGGGCCTTCTTATCTTGTCTTGGCGCCCAATCACGCTGACGGTAACCATGGGCATTGTGGCCAGAATGGGCAGTCGAAGTTCGTCGGCTTCAGGACCGTCGAGTTGGTGCTTGGGAAACCGGGCAAAGTCCCAGTATGGGAGACGCCATTGCTTTGCCTCATTCAACCACTCTTCTTTTACCTGAGCGGGCACATGAGATTGATTGATAAATCTAACCATGGCTTCGGATAGGACTTGCTATATGTTCCGTTAGCATGTTAGGCTTTCAGCATCACTCGGGCCAGGCAAGCCTCACCTCATACAAGGCCAGATACGCTCGATGCCATGTCGGAAAGGTGTAATTGCCATGCACACAAAAGCCCCGGCCTTCGTTGTCGGGGTGGTCGGGGTTATAGGGGCGACCAGGTACACCATCCCACTCTGTCCAGGGAGCGCTATGGATACCAGCCAGACGGAAATACGACAGCTTTTCGGTGTAGTCGGTGTTTTGCAAGGCGGTCAGCGCTTCTACGAATAGGGTGAGCTGGATACGTTTGCTATTTGGAACCGTCTGCTCGAGATACCAGTTATCGATATCCCGGCGCAAGGGAGGACCCTCAGGTTGATCACACTCCCTCGGAACCCCGGTAATGATAAAGGTCATTGTGAACGTGTGATGTCGTTGCAAGGACTGGAGCTCAGTTTGACACTGGTCTTGGATAGACAGGTCTGGTAACGATCCCTAAGTTGAGATGGACTCGCGGCCAATTTATATTTCAATTGGGGTCTTGCTTCAAGACGAACGCAACCAAAGGCTCGCATAACCGTCATTTCCCCGGTGGTTATGCTTGCACCGCAAACGACTATAGCAATGGCCAGAATGTACTTAATATGGTATGAATGTAGTGATAGGGCTGGGCTGGTTTCTGCTGCCCTCGAGCCCCATTGGGCTATGCATTCGGATCACTGGAACAGACTAGGTGTGACATGGTTGTAATCAGCCCAACATTCAATCTTGTCAATACTACCTTGCAGACGTGGCATATGGTTGAACCCGGTCAATCTGTTCCAATCAATGCCCCTTCTGCCACCTCGGAATTTGTCTCCTTGCCTAAGACATTCATTCGTGTGACATGCCGGCGAAACAGCCGCCAATCAATTACCCAATCGTAGGTCTCGCCCCGGGCCGCGGCTGCATTAATTGTAGATCCCTACTGTCATAGTTGCCCCTGCAGCTGGATTCCCGGCTGACTTTCCCTTATCACTCGAGGCCCGACTGGTACTCCTTTCTGTTCACGGAAATAGTCCTGCGTATTGATAGGTATTGTAATGGCGTACCAGTGGCAGCGGAAGTGACAGTGACGGGGATGTTGCAGCTTCTGATGGAGGGGCTCATATCCTGATAGAGGGAGGCCACTGGGGTGCGAAGGGGCCACCGAGCGAAAAGCTGAGTGGTGGCAGAGGGTCACGGGACCATCCTGGCGGCAACCGCTAACAAGATCTATATAGATCACACGTCGGATATTCACAGCTGGCATAGATTACATGGGAAGTTAGCTGCCAAGCATACTAATGAAGAATCACCTGGTGATAAGTTACCCTCCGAGCCGGAAGGATGATTACAGCAGGATGGAGATAGATATAGAAATATATAACTTGTAATAGCTGAAGGGTGAAGAATCTTGGAGTACTTTTCACAAAACATATCATATAACATCTCTCTATTCTGTTTGAAGAAAACTAATTGTAGATCCTAATCACAACAACTTCAGACGCACCGGTGCTGCAGATTTGATCAGAGAAGGGAAAGTGAATAGATCCTTGTTTTCTTCATTATTACCATGATCGGTATAGCACTTACAGTCACTTAATGAAATCTTCCAAAGCAGGATGAACTATTTGCTCTAATTGAGTTTTAGTCCTTCCAATCCGTAACCCCATCCACTTGATATTTAACAAATTGAAAGCCTTAAACATCCAAGGTAATTTCGTGCTCTTTGCCGCGAATATCCTTGATCTCAACATCTCTCACATCAGCGATACCTTCGTGTTGAGCATTCCACCGTTCAGCCTCGGGTATATTAGAATCAATTGGTTTCAATAATATTGAGATTGAAATCAAGCCATGGAGAGATAATCCATTCTCTTGTTATTTATACAATAGGGGATTAAAAGTGGAGACCCAAATCTACGATTCTCCACCGGCCTCGTGTTCGGGTTCGGGTTCGGATCCAAGATGGAAGATCGGCACGATGGCACGAAGAAAACTGTGATGTAAAGATCGAGAGTCCACTCGCCTTGCTAGACTTGGTTAGCTGGTTTGAGGCTGTGCCAGCAGATTCAGCGTTCTTACCAAGGTGCTACTCATACCAAACCCACGCATACATATAAAGCAAGCATCGCCTTCTTATTCCAACTATTCATCGGCAAACACCCCTTCCTCAAGCACAAATTCAACCATAACCATGTCCACCAGAAGTATCGCCATCCTTGGATGCGGAGGTATGGGCTTAGCCATCGCTCGACGCCTTGGTGTCGGTCGACGACTATACATTGCCGACTTCTCCAAGGAAATTCTCTCCACAGCCCAGGAAACCCTTACAAACGATGGTTACACGGTTGAAACATTCCAGGTGGATGTATCCGACTATGTGTCCGTCAGCCGCTTCGCACAGGCCGCTGCATCGCATGGACCCATCGAAGCAGTTATCCATACCGCCGGCTTGTCCCCATCGGGGAGTTCTGCGCAAAAGATCCTCGCAGTCAATCTTCTCGGCACCGCCAACGCTCTTGAAGCTTTCTTGGAGGTGTCGCAGTCCGGAACGAGCATGGTCTGTACCGCGAGTATGGCCGGTCACATGGGATCGGGCTTGCCAGTGGAGCTAGAGCGTCATCTTGCAACAGCGCCTAGGAATCAGTTGTTAGAGCACGTCGCTCTGAAGATTGATAAGGCTGATCCTCATGGCCCTGCACGGGCGTATGGGTTGTCAAAGCGCGGAAATCTACTTCGTGTGCAGGCTTCAGCTAAAGCATGGGGACGTGTTGGAGGGAGAGTCAATTCCGTTAGTCCCGGGGTTATTTCAACGGGCGCTGGACGCCAGGAGATTGATGGTCCAGCCGGGAAATTCATCGCTATGAGCCCTGTTGGTCGGGTTGGGACGCCACAGGACATTGTGAATGCTGTCGCGTTCTTGGCTAGTGCCGAGTCATCTTTCATCACGGGGAATGACATCCTCGTGGATGGAGGCGTTGTCTCGTCTTTACGATGGGATACTTTAGAAACCTGAGCATCAACTGTCACGTTCATACTAGTAGGCCAAACCGATATACCGGTGACCATCTGGAGAACAGACGGAACGAAGACTGTATCCCAACATCAGCTAGTATGAGTGGCCAAATTCTGGGAGTCTATGCGTCCACATGTTTTTGGAACATAGAAACCAGTGATGGAAGCGTTTCAATATAGCTAACAGATTTATCTAAACTGGTCTTTTGAAATCCCTCATAAGCTCTCTTCTCAATTGCGCTGTAAAGCGGAAGTATCAGGAAACAGGATTGTCTTTATAATCATGGTGGTACTCAAGGTGGTAGCTTGATAGCAAAACAAGAACAAGGAGATAAACTATTCGATATTCCCTGTAATGATCCGAAATGGTTGTGCCAGGCTTTTTTTTTTTTTGTTATTCTACTAGTATGTTGGTTGATATGTGATCATTTGATTAGATTTTAATTGATCTGGATCAAGTTTAGTAAATTATCTAGCCGCCGCTAGACCCTACATAGCTAGCGTCACATCTCACTCCGCGGTACGTTTAAACCCAATTCCGGTACATCTAGTACTTCCCATCAGGAACATCAGATCTCTACACCTGAATTAATTTTCCTCCGAATATACCAACTACCATACCAAACCCAAACTAAAATCCATCAAAATGCATCCACGACATGCGCAACTCCTAATAATACTATCCATAACCCACAAACTCCTCCAACCCCTCCAACCCCTCCTCAAGCGCAAAGATCCACCCACAACCCGTAGCGCCGAAAAAAAAACCCCCCTCCCCCACGCCACCACTTCAGACTCAAACGTGGCCCTCCAGCATCCAATAGACGCAAAATACCCATTAAAATAACAGTATTCTCCACCGCAAACCCATCAAAAAGCCCTGCTGGCGCAATGGTAGCGCGCAAGACTTCTATCTATTATGCAATCCGTGCGATGAGACGTCAAAAATCTTATGCGAGGATTAGGTGATCTTGAGGCTGTGGGTTCGACCCCCACGTAGGGCTCGCGCATCTGGGAAGGTGGCCTTGTAGGGGTTCCTTTCGTTTTGGGGGGATTTTTGGTGGGTTTGGGGGTTGGAGGGGGTGGTTTTTGGTGTGTTTTTATGGGGAATTGGGGGGTTTTAAGCGTATAAGTTGTTCATTGCCTTGTACTGGTTTCGGATATACTGTATTACTGATGGGATTTTCTATGGTTGGAGATAGAGACGAACTACAGAGTATGTGGTAAACGCTGCGGTGGTGCCGGGAGTGACTTTGTTCGACAAGTAGTTGTCCTTTTTGGAAGCTTCAAGATGTATTAGTACTAATGTAGTAGTAGTAGTAGTAGTTGTTGTTCTCATTGACCTGATATAGCCGGTCGTAGTACGGAGCAATGGTCCTGCTGTGCGGGCGGTCTTTAGATAAGGGATGATCATACATAACCCCCACACCCCATTCCCTACTATACCTCTGGTCTGGTTAGCGCTCGCTGCTTGTTATAGTTATATAACTTCATCTGTACATAACAATATGCTTGGTCGGGCTGTACCAGGCTACATTAGATACTTCTCAGCGGATGTTTCTCATGATAGTGTGTTTGCTATTCATCGAGGATGCGTCTCGTCGTGGGAAGTACGGCTTGTGAGTTTGACGAGAGGTTATCTAGATGCTACTAAATCATTTTCCTGCGTCATCCAGGCCGATTATTTTATCTTGTCACGGACTCTATTTTGGGAGAGAAATATCGGGAGTCTTGATGAAGTTCATTGTGGATTGTTTCGGATGCATTGATGCAACGGATTATTCGGGAAGAGTTCGCAGGTTGCATGACCCGGGGATTTTGCTCGTTGGCTAGAGAATATTCTGAGCTTGGTCGTGTAACTGCGACACAGAATGGTGAGATTGGATAGACTTATGAGTCATAGTATGGAGTTGCACGAATTTAATGTGAGAAACGTATCGCAGGCAAGCAAGCATTAATACTGGTAGAAGCTCCCAATAGGATCAAGATAAATATCTCATGTCCACAGGAAGAGTGGATAGATAGAGATCCCGACGGTTTTCGCTCCAGTAAAACTCGGGGTTGCTATGCTAGACTTTGCTGGACTTTGGGCTACGGAGTAGACACTTATCGGGTCAGGAATTACAACTATAGAGGAAATCTTTACCACGAAAGATAGAAAAGAAAAATAGAAGAACCATGAAAGAGAAGAGAGGAGTAAAAACGAAGAATAGATGATGCAAGAAAAAAATAAGAAAGATAGACATAGCATGTCCTGGTTTCGATCCAGGGACCTTTGTGATTGTTAGTGATGTGGTTCGGATGGAAGGTAAATTCGGTTAGACGTACCTCCGGGTTATGAGCCCGGCGCTCTTCCCCTGAGCTAACATGCTGGGTTGGGTGAGTGGGGCTTATAGATTTGACAATATAAGGCAGGCAAATTTATGGGTGCAACCACAACTCCATTTGGTTCAGCTAAGTGGGAGGGAATACGAAGTGGTTATTACCTTCCAAAAAAGAGAAGGATTTATTAGTTTAATAATTTGAATGGACTAGATCCTTAAATGTGTAGCACATGACTGCTAGGGATAAATGTTTGAAGGATCATCAGCGATACTAGATGGTTACTATATATTTATGGGGTTTCCGCACTTCCAGTGCAGAATTCCACAGAGATCAATGTCAAGTAGCAATAGAGAATTCACACACAATTTCTTACAATGTACGCGGGCCATGACCTGCAAATTAACCTACACCAAAGGGTGGCTTTATAGCAGCCGCGCAAAGAAAGGGTCAACTGTTACTAAGACTAAGAAACCACGACTCATTTGGCTGTAGTAGAGTCCACCACTTTACACCTTCTTGAAAGGGTTAGATACTGATTGATTAGTGTGATCAAATCTGGGGAATGACAAGACCGCAAGCTAAACCCAAACAGGAAAACAAGCGGTTGACATGTCCAGTGCCGATCAGGAACTGGATTAACGCGTCGTGTTCGCGACCGATCTTAAGCCACAAACTCAAGTCCCGAGCACCGGAAACGAAGCCCATCCCCTTTGTTCTTGCAATACAGGCCACAATCCACATTCTCTACAGATTTCAGGATGACGAAGCTTACTGCATCCGAGAACCAAAAGCCAGAGCAGGGCCAGAAGCAGCAGAGGCAGCTGAGCAGGACGCAGAAACGAAAGAGGCAGAGGCAGAGAAAGCAGGAGAAGGAGATATCAGCCCTGGGACAGGAGCAAACAGAACTTAAGAAGAAAACGCAGTTGACCAGCCAGCAGCTAAGAAATATCAAGAAATCGAAGAGACAGAGGCACAGGCAAAGACTAAAGGAGCGAAGACGGCAGGGTCGTGAAACGCAACCGGAACAACAGCCTCTACGACAGAACCAGGGACCAGACCAGGATGGAGCAGCATCGGAACATAGTGTGGACTTGGAGCGGGAAAGAGAGGAAGACTCCATGAGAGCAGAGTATGAAGAACTCCTGAAGGAGAGAAGGAGAGAAGCGCGCGACTGGGAAGAAACAAAAATGGCCGAAGTGAAACGCTCTTACGAGTCTCTCCGGAATGGCCAAAGAGGCCCGCGCATTTACATTGCCGACACACATTTCGAACTGTTCTGCCTGGAATACTTCGATCATTTCTACAACCCCGAACATGAAAATGATTTTCTCATCAAGTTTGTCGAGTTTGAGCACCAGCGCGGTAATCGTAAGGAAGGTCTTCCACCTGCAGGTCTGCGGCGCGTCAATGGAAACGTATGGCTGGAAACCGAGGCAGAGCCAACCTTCGAACCCTTTGTCGTCCCCGCCTATGCGAGCAGAAATGTTATTCGAGTGAGAAACCCGTGGCATGAAAAACATGAGATGTCAGTCCAGTTTGTCAGCGATGATCATCTGATATTGTATCTGTGCCGAGAAGCGGTCTTTGAGCCTCGACCTCCGCCCCCGGATGTTCCGAAAGTCTTCATATTCTTCGGCGTTCGCGCTCGAGGGGAACGTGTGCTATTGAGGGAGAGAGAAGAATGGGCGGACGACCTGGCTTGAAAGCCCACTGATGCTCGATTGCATAGTACCAACTTTGTATTATAAGGTAATGAATCTGACTTGGTGTTCCATTAGTTAGGATAGGTAATTTTTAATCCTCATACTGTTTCAATTGAGTCTTTAGCAAATTGATGAAGGTTCCCTGTAAACGGTCCGCACAGAGCATAGTTTGTTTCTGTAAGCACAATCACAGCCCATCAAAAGCCTTTACAGCAGCCTCAGCCGTAACATGAGCACTCGCAGGGTTTGCTCCCGTCACAATCCTTCCATCAGTTATAGTGAATGTATCCCAAGGACCAGCCGGCGATACATCTAGAGTTGTCAGCTGTGTACGAATAAGCACGAATATAAACATACAAGTCGCTCCAGACGAAGCTGCAGAGGCCTCAATCGTAGGCCTATTCCACTTCTGAATTGTCTCGAGGACGCCTTCTTCTTCACCGCGAGTCGTAAAGCCCGTTACTTTACGACCGTCAATAATTGACTTTCCGGTACTTGGGTCCAGAATGCCAGGGAAGATGGCGCCTCCGTGGCATCTGATTATCGTTAGCTACCAAGCTCTCTACAAGAAAGGGGGAAATGAGAGGACATACACAGCCGAAACGATTCCACCATCACCATAGATCTTCGAAGCGATGGCTTGCAAGCCCTTAGCATCAGGGTAATCGATCAAGGATGCGTGTCCGGCCGAGGCGAAAAACAATCCATACTAAACAGTAACGTTATGAGCGATTGGTTTGCCGGGAGAATGTTCCACCTACACTGCCTGCTTGGACATCACTGGGTTTCAACAGCTTGTCTAGTTTCGATCGGAATTCGCTCGAGTGATCCTCCCAGACCTTTCGATCCTCCTCAGGGAGCCAATCCTTTTGCTGGGACAGCCAGTCGGGCTGGTAGGTGCCTGTTTCGGAAACCAGGTCGACTTCGAAACCGGCTTCTTTGAAGACGTTAAATGGGTGTAGGGCTTCAGTGAGGAAAAGACCTGTAATGTAAGAGAGATATGAGTAGAGTTCGTAAAAGCTCGAAAGGAAGATGAGGTGGATGCGGGAGCGGGGTAGGGCGGTACCGGTCTCTTTGCCCTCTGGATAGAGGGGCGCATGGGCGGAGGTGATAGCAATCAAGGCTTTGCGTGGTTGAGACATTGTGCTGATGGTTAGGATAGATAAGGTAGGAAAGGTGAGGGGGGGGTGTGGTGGGTGTCGGGGCTGTTCTTATAACTCCGGCGGACAGTGATGACGTTGATGAGGTTGGGTTGTCCACGACCACGAGTCATGGCAATTAGCTGTATCTCGTACCAGGGAGGTCCTTCGAAGTTAATTTTGTCCAATGAGGCATGTTGCAGAGGCCACTATCTTTGGAATGTTGAACCGTGTTCAGCTATCGAAGGAGAGTTTGAAATTGGGTTGGATGGCGTGCTGGTGGGGAACGTTTGCGGGTTCTCGCTCCAACATTAGCAATGGAACCAATATGTTGGATCCTCGGTAGATGTTTTTGAGACTGAACAAGAGAATGGTTCTTCACTCAATATTCTCTGAATTCTTGTGATGAGAGTAAGTGGTCCATGAGGGGAAGAGCATGCAGCCCGACCCACTTGGTCTGAAAAGGTAATACTACGGGTCCTATGGTGGTCCGTATGGTGTAGGTATACACCTTACAAATATCCATAAAAAACTCGCTAAATATGACCAAGAAGTGGACTCTCGTGCAAAGGTCAGACTGCTGTCGGTATAGAGGTAATACCTCCGTTCCAGAGGATGTGAACCAAGTACTCGGAATGGCCATCAAACTATCTCAATCCTTATCATCTATGTCGGTATTTGCCCCCACATAGCCTCCCCTTTGTGTCAATTGGGGAGAAGTACAAGTCATCACAGTTCATCCTTTCCAGGACCGGTCTTCTGATCCTTGATCTCCTTCTGCGCAACAGTCTGAACTCTGATCGAGTTTCCGACCTGCGATCTTCCACCATACCGGAACACAAAACGAGCCGAGTCCGTCCGACGTTTGACAGGATCATGATAGTTGGTCAAATCCATGAGTTCATCTGCTCAGTAGAATCAGCATTTTATCACATACGATGAGTGGAAGATCAACCTTCACACGCACTATGCCCCCCCACCACATCGGCCGTGGCAAACAGCGGCATCAAATACGTGACAACCCCCGGCGCAAAGAACGCCACACCATCCAACACCGCAATAAGCTTGCGATCCATCTCCTCCGCCGTCTCCATCTCTTCCTCTCTCCACCTCCTCACCCCCGCCGGCAAAGCATCATAATCCACTCGCAGAATCCGAAATCCGTCCGGATGCTTAAACCGATTAAAGTCACCCGGGTACGGCAGATCCTCCCCATCGTCCGTCTTCCAGTACTCATCTAGGAATGGAAATGCCCATGCGATCTCCTTGGGTGGATTGGCAGGGTCATTGACAGCAACGATCTCGGAATCGAGATAGGCACTCGTCGAGCATTCAACAGACCACTGGTGATGGTCTGAAGGAAGGGGCTCTGACCGTATTGCGTTCATTTTTTTTCTTGAGCTGGGAGGCTAGTTCGTGGTTTCCAGACTTTTGTGCTGCGTCGACCTCGCGCAGTAGCTCTAAGATTGTATCATCGCCGATGTTGATCTCGAGATATTGGGGTGATAGCTCTGCTACAGCTTGGAAGCCTAGGAAGAGAAACAGGATCGGTAGGTACATCTTGGGATGGTGATGGTGTTGTTGACTTCTTCTGTGAAGTAAGGTTGTCTCCTGAGTTGGGACTTGGGGGACAAAGAATCCCCGTGGGGCTAAGCCCTACACTGTTTACGGAAAAGGGGGTTAGTCAGGGTCCAACGCCCCGCTGGTCCCCGCAATACCTGGTGGAGCTGGATGAGCAGATCTTATAAGTAAGATAAGGATGCATCTGGGGTATAAAGAGGGAAAATGGAGCACCAATGTATGGATCTGGGATTGAGTCTACAAGAATGCTCGAATTGCAGCATTTGCTATCCCAGTACTTGTACTTGGTCCAAAAGGGCTACAGCTACATCTATCAAGGTACTCATGGGAGGGTCTCAATCGGACTAAGCACTCATCTCCAGACTGAACAACTAGGTCCATATTGAGTAGAAGCCTTTTGACTATCAGCTCAAAGATGAGATAAATGCATACACAATTGGTCTCTCTAACAGCATATAAGCTTGGAACATCGTGTCAGATGGTAAGAATTCTCTCCACCCTCCAATTTGTGGTCATTGTTTCGGCCATCTGAGCATCGAAGCAATCAACACATGTGCATTATAATCAGAAATACCCGCACAAATTTCATCTTCAAAAGGTGATCGAAAGATATCTCGACCGTGCTCGGCATATAAATGCTATCCTGAGGCCTCCAATCCGACCCACTAGTCTCGAAACATACAAGTGCTGATTCCTTAGTCATGAAATCCAACCATTGACTAATTTCCTGCTATATCTAACCACCACTTTCACTGGACTTTCACTACTACTTCTCAACCTCCAACCATCCAATTCCCACCCATCTACACCTATATCCAAAATGACACCCCCCACCCAATCCCTCCGCCTCGGCACCCGCAACTCCAAACTCGCACTCGTCCAAGCCGAGCACATCTCCAAAGAACTAACCAAAGCGCACCCAGGCATCCAATTCCCCTGGAAAACCGTCGTAGTACGCGGCGACGCCGACAAAACCAGCCCGTTCCTGAAATTCGCAGGTCCCTCGGACGCAGCCAAGAACATCTGGACCGAGGAGATGGAAGCGAAGCTCTGCGGCGGGGAACTGGACGTCCTCGTACATTGCCTGAAGGACATGCCAACACGACTACCCGATACCTGCAGTCTAGGGGCCATCGTGCATCGGGAAGATCCCACGGATGCGTTGGTGATGAAGGAGGGGCTGCGATCGCAGTATACGGATCTGGCGGAGTTGCCGCGTGGGTCGGTGGTGGGGACGAGTTCTACGCGGAGAAAGGCACTGTTGCGGTTTCGGTATCCGCATTTGAGGGTTGAGGAGTGTAGAGGGAATCTGTATGACTTTACCCTACTCTATCTTGGTTTGTTGTTTTGTTGCTTGGTGTGGGTTACTGATGTATGTATGCAGTGATACTCGTCTTCGCAAACTAGACGACCCGGAAGGTCCCTTCTCGGCGATTATTCTCGCTACGGCGGGTATGGTTCGGATTAATCTGCATGATCGGATCACGAAACGTCTGCCGCCGGCGGAGTTCCCGTATGCGGTTGGGCAGGGGGCCCTGGGGATTGAGATTCGGAAAGATGACACGCGGACTGAGTCGATGGTTCGTAGAATCGAGGATTTGCCTACCCGACGGATTTGTTTGGCGGAGCGCTCCTTGCTGCGTACGCTGCAGGGTGGGTGCTCGTCGCCAGTCGCGGTGCATTGTACTGTTGTGCAATCGTCGTCTTCTTCGGCAGTGCAGTTGCGTCTCGATGGCACGATCATTCATCCCCATGGGACTGCTCTGCTATGTGAATCTGCGACGTCAGAGTTCGGGACGGATGAGGAGGCCGAGGCGTTGGGTGCGATGGTCGCGCAGCGGTTGTTGGATAATGGTGGACGGGCTTTGTTGGAGGAGATTCGGCTGTTGCAGGAGGAGCAGAGGAAGTAGATGGTGGATGGAGATTGTGTATTGTAGATATAATCCCCACTCTGTAACATGACAGAATTTCCCAACTAGACCAAAAGAGATACCTCTCAGGTTAGTGGAACAATTCCAAGGTGAAATAGTTCCAACACAATATTCATCGTCTTTCATGATATCGATAACATGGTATGCACTGTGGGCAGCAGAAGATATAGATCGGATCGGCATCGGCATCGGCATCGGCATCGGTCCTGCCATCGCATTCCATTGGTCTGGTCCCTGATCGGGCCGACCCGACGGCTTCTCGCGGCGTACCTTGAACCATCTGGCATGTACAGCAGACAACGTAAGAAGAACCAATATGTAACAAGTAATATAGCAGAGATACATAGCACCCTCAAAGTATATAATAAGACATGGCCCAATGTCCCCAACAGAAGCATATCACCACCCGCAGCCAAAAATCCAAAAGACAACTATGAACCACCCGGAAGACGATAAACCGCGGGATGCGACATCGAAATCCGATGTACACGACGATTATTTCCACTGATCCTGCGAGTATACGTCTGACTTGTATCTCTATGTATGATCAAATCTACCATGTAGTATTTGATCCCGTGGTAAATCCATAAACTGACATGGATCATAATGCCAATCCTACCCAAGTGGATGATATTTCCTACTGGTTTGGGCTGAAACCGACCTTGAAGGATACCCAGCGCTTGCTGTGCGGGTATGCTAATATCGAAATCAAGTCCAATGGGTATAGCATCGAACCCGATATCGAATCCCTCCATGGATCCGAGCAGGATGGCGACTCGTTGGTTGTCGGTGCGTTTTTGGAGTATCACTGCTCCTGCTAGTGATTTTGATGTTTTGGGTAGGGAGAATTGGTGGGGAAGGTTGGGTGGGAGCCAGTCTTTGCGGGCTTTTTCGGATGCGTGGATAAACTCGGGGGTTGTTTCTGCGGATGCGAAGTGGTGGATCTGGTTGGAGAGTTCAGGGAAGATGACTTGTATGACATTGACATCGGAGTTGTCTGGAATGTGGGGGTTGGATCGGGGGCCGTTGCGGAGCTGGGCCACGTGGTAGGGAAATATACCTCGATCGATGGTTAGGGCGTTGTGGATGGTTTGTCGAACGAAGATGTTTTGTAGATGACCGCGGTCGTTGTGGATGGGGTGGAATTCGGTGATGTTCACGCGGGCGTATTGTTCGTCGCCGGAGGCTAGTTTTTTGAGAAATATGCCGAGAAAAGTTCCGTCTTGGTATATTGGTGGCATGGGGCAGTTTAGAGTGGCGATGTAGATGTCTTCTTCTTCTAAGTGTTTCTTGAGGTGGAAACCGATTCGTAGTCCGCGATTTGTCATGGAGTACGGAGGGAGGACTTCCCAGTTTTCATAGGGAATGATGTCCTTGGAGGAGGCGAATTGTTTTGGCGACCTGGCTAACAGGCCATGAAAGGAATTGGGATCTGCGTTGGGATCCCGCCAGGCAAAGATTGACTGGTCGTCAGATTGACGCATGATCTCCTCCTGTAGACGGATAAACGCGCGGTCGCGTTCGCCATACAATAATGGCATGTTGATGTTGAAAATCCCCAGGAGACAATATGCGATATCTTCCGGCCTAGATGTCTCTCGATTTGCCACCCAAGACATTCGATTGGCAATTGAAGCAGAAGACAAAGGCGCCTTGTGACGGAGGTACTGAACCCCGATACCTGTGATTGTGGATAATATCTCATACAGCTCGGTCTTCTTCCCTATGACTTCCCAGTTGGAGGAAAAGAAAATGACTTCTTTTGGGGCTAGCAGTTCTTGAAGAGTGAAACCTCGAGTAAACCATCTACTGCGCGTGAATTCAGAGCCGGGGTCGTTGACATTGACATTAGTGGGGACATCCGAAAGATATGCGTAGCACACGGTGGCATTTTCATACCACGCAAACATGGAGTTCAAGGCCTCGGAGAGCTCGGCGCTGCTGCTTTTATCGATGCAGCAATTATCAATCCACACATACTCTAGATTGTTGGCAGAAGCTTGCTTTGCTGCCCCTTCCACTTTGACATAGGATGATTTGTTGATGGCGGTGTGGTGGAGAATATCTTCAAAGAGAACTTCATCTTTGCCCCATGTGTGGGAGAGGATGGCATAAGGGGGTATACTGTCTGGTAGAAAGTCTAACAGTTTTAGATCTGATACCTGCAGAAGACGCATTGCGTTGGTGTGACTTGGAGGTGAGATGAAGCGGAACGGAACATAAGATGGAGGGGCGGACATGCGGGGCAAGGCTGGGCAGCCTTGGCTGGAGGATGGCAGTGTAAAACCGCAGGCCCTTTTGAGTGAGATTTACTTGATCTATGTTCCATCTCACTTGATTGGCAATGGGGTTTTCCTTTCCCTACCTCTATCATGTAGAGAATGGTTACGTTGATCTGGATGGTCTCAATGGCTCCTTGTTAGCACTGATTGGGTAGAACTTGGGTGGAGATAATGGGAGTGAAGCAGGCCGTCCCTTATAGAGCTTATGGTGGTAGTTCGTTTGGAGACGCGTGTTATATGCATAAAACTAAGATTGGAGTACGGAGTAGTTCAGTCATACAAAAAATGTTCAGCAATGGTAAGTTAGTCTGCTTTTTTAAATTCTGTTTTGGCATTATATATACTAAGACTTCGATGGGTTCGGTCCATAGTAATTACTATATCATGGCTTTTCTACGTCGAATTTATCCGCAAGTCCTCTCGTTGTAATTGATGTCTTGCAGTTCCAAGACAAAGCATTTCCATGTGACCCAACGAACTAGAAAATAAAAGGGAAACAACGTTCGATTTATTCTAATTAATTCATCCCAGTAACATCCCACTAACCCGGTGGAGCCCCGGCAAAAAAAGAAAAAGAAAAAGAAATGCTCCCACGCGGATTTGAACCGCGGACCTCATGATTACTAGTCATGCGCTCTACCAACTGAGCCATAGGAGCTGTTGATATATCTTGTAACATCTACTCTGCTAAACAAGTCTCAATAACACTCTGCTGGTCCCCTACCACCGACCAAATTTCCACAATTTTCAACGGGGGCTCCACCCTGGCCAACATTTCAGTCCACTGCGTCTTGGTGCGCTCCATACCATTGGACAAAAACAACATCAACATGTCCATGTCTGCCCTCACCAACGTCTCGTTCCTATCCGCAAGGACCATTTCATTGATCAACAGTCGCGAGTGCGGTTGCATGGCTTTGGCGGTATTGGAGAGAATCTTCTGCGAGGCGATATCATCCCAATCGTGGAGGACGGACTTTAGGTAGTATATATCGGCCCCTGTTATGAGGTGTCAGCTCTCACCCACGGAAATGGATCGGTCTCAAGAACGTACCTCGAACCTTCTGTTCCGTGAAGAAATCATACACAAGTGGCTTGATCTTGGAATCCAGCGGACCCGGGATTCCTTCCAATGTCTGCGGCAAATCCTGCAAGATCAACTGACACCCCAAGCCTGGGAAAGACTGGGCAAATCGCTCCAAATCTACCCCCTGGTTCCCACCAATGTCCACAATGACAGGAGGTGTACTCAACTGTCGCTCCGCAAGTCGCTCCTTGACTGGAAACTTGACATGCCAGGGGATAGACAGGATTTTGTTCCGAGCGGTCATGCTATCATCGAACCCTTTTTTCCATCCGGGGTTCTTGGTAAATGTTTCCCAGACTGTCTCGCCCATGGCGAAGTCGTAGGCCGGGGGAGTCTGGGAGATATCGCATGGCTTGTTTTGGTGGAGGTAGTCCCGGATTTTGCTTGCTAGGGGGAAGGTCAGTTCGTTCCTGGTGTTGGTGTCAGTTATTGTGCTATTATTTGGGAGGAAACGTACGTTAGAACAACGCCTCCCATTGATCCTGGCTCGCTTTGGCAGATTGTCACTGGGTTGGCGGTATACGTCTGGTATCCGGTCTCGTCGGCGAACCCGATCGCGGTCATCATTCGCATGATGCGGGCTTATTAGAAAGTCAATCGTAGTTCGAGTTATAATTGAGGGAGGGTCACGCACCGATTAGGACCTTGTCATATCCCGACTCTTGGGCCAGATGAGAAGCGGTCAAATTCTCTCCTTTCTTTGCGGCCAGCGATTGAAGGAGGCCCATTTCAAGTGCGGCAACGAGGCAAATGTTCTGGATGGTCTACAGGCTGTTAGTATGGTGTCCGAGTCTAGGGAAATGACGCGCATACGTGAAATCGCTGCTTCATAGTGAAGACTGGTGGTGGCTCGGTGGCTCGACGCAGCTTTTCCATCGCATCTTGGATGGGAATCCAACTGGTGGGATTAGTCGGGTCATAGGAGATGACTGCTTGCTGGATATCTGCAGCGAGGTGTTCGAGATGTGCCTTGTCTGCCATTGCTGCTGGATAGGCTGCTTCGGTAGGAAGGACGCGTAGTGGGGAGGATTACTGTGGGGGCAGGATGCCGAAGTGTGGGGTGCACGGGACTTGATAGAAGTTGAGACTTTTGAACGATACGATTAGATAGGATGAGGATGTAGATTGAAAGAAGTTTAGAGTAACGAGCAGTCTTGACCACCTTGATATATGCCCAAGATGTATCACAGGATGTAAATTTCCCATCCAATGTTGGCATCAACAGCGAGGCTATACCCACTAGCCTACCAGGTCCAGTGGGGCAGACAGGCGGAATGATAGCAGACGAAACAACATCAAGCATGGCCATTCCGTGGGGTCCCGAAGCCAACAAAACCCGACTATTCTACTAGTGATTAGTGTGCAAGCCAATGTCCATTCAGCAGCTTATATGTTATAAGATCGACATCCCCACCCCCAAATACTAAACTCTTTCTTTGTCTTGATCACTTTTTTCTTCCAATAACATAGCCCTAGCTACCAACAATGTGGCCCTTCAACGAAGCCAACTATCCAGCCTTCTTCCTCTTTGTCTACGACGCATGGGTTTTGCACACCGTCACGCCACTAGTCTGGCGCTGTTCAACCAAGGAAGTATTACTTCCTCTGTACCAACGCAATGTTGACCGTCATCATTGTGATATAGGCTGCGGTATTTCCCTTCCCCATCCCCGTCCCCTCTTTATCTAAATATACCTAACAAACCACAGGCAGCGGCTACTACCTCGTCCACAACACCTACACCCCCGAAAGCACAATCACCCTCCTCGATATCGAACCAGCCCCGTTATCTTCAACCACCACCCGTCTACACCAATCCCACCCCACTCTTCCCGTCCACGCACACCAACACGACATCCTATCCCCCTCCCCTATCCCTCCTCCACCACCCCCGTCTTCCCTCTACGACTCAATCTCCCTAACTTACCTCCTGCACACTCTCCCCGCTTCAACAGCAACCAAAGCCAGTGTCTTCGAGAAGCTGAAGCCAGCCATCGCACCCTCTGGGGTTATTTTCGGCGCTACGATCCTCGGCCGTGGAGCCTGGCATTCATTCCTGGGAAGGGGGTTTCTGCGCTGGTTGAATTGGAAATGGTTGGATAATTATGATGATCGGCCGGAGGTGTTTGTTGATGCTTTACGGGAGAATTTTAAGGATGTGAAATGTGAGATTGTGGGGTCGGTGTTGATTTTTGAGGCGAGGGAGCCGATTGTTTAGATGGGGTTGGATATGTTTGTGGGCATTGAGGAATCTGTTGTCGAGAGTATTTATATAAATATCACAGCTTTGCGTATCCGGTCGCCGGTCCCTTCCATACGAACTTCGCCAGTTCATTCTTAGCCGTGGTCATTCTCCTCAAAACCTCAACATTGGGAATATCCAACACCTGTTTGATATCAATCGGGACCGTCTCCAACTTCCCAAGCTTAACGTAGTAAGCCGCCGAATTCGGTGCGCTGCTTTCCGCAAAACCCTTACAAGCCTCCCCCCACAACTTCATCACATGTTTACTCTGCGGCAGGAAAGGCATCACCACGTTCCAAACATGCGGCATATGCTCATACTGCACAAATGTCACAGACACCCCCGACGCTTCAAGATTCTTCACCAGGAACTTGATTCCATCGGCATACGTCTCGTCCCCAGCTGCAATCCACACCGGCGGCATACCCGTCCAATCCGTCCAGGTCGAGGGATCGACCAGTGGGTGACAAAGCGCGGAATTATCGCAGTGAAGATCGCCTCTTGGGGGGTTGGACGGCCAGATACCATCAGCCGGGAAATTTGGTTGAAGCCAAGGCGCGCCTCCGGATAACCAATCGTATGGTTCGAATTTCTTCACAGAGGGAAGAGATAATGCCATGTCGCAGCCGGGACTGATAAATGCGCAACCTTTTGGCATTGCGATCTGGACGTCCCGATTATTGAACCGGATGGTTAGATTTGAAGAGCGGAGAAGAGATTGGAGGAATTGAAGGAGGTAGAGATGGAGGTCCGTGCCGCCGGATTCTCCGACAAGGATCAACTTTTCTGGGTCTATGGGTTTGTGGAATGACCCGGGTGGAGGGGAGAGAAGGTAAAGATAAGCGACGAGGACATCGAGCAGGAGAGTCGGCAGGGTATACTGTGGAACGAGACGATACTGGAAGGTGAAGACACGCGATCCGCTTCGGTCGCAGAGTTGTTTGATCAGTGGGCGAGCGCCAGGTGGGCCGGCTCGACTGCATAGTTACCTGTTAGGAACATGGCCAGGTGGGGGTATAGTGTGTTCACTTACAACCAGGCACCCCCTGACAGATAGAACAGCGTCACGTCGCTTGGGCTATTCTGCTCGATTGCCTTGAACCTTTCGTGTTCGCTCATATCTGGCGACGGAGCATTTCCATCCTTCATCACTCCAATCCATTCACCCTTGTAGCTTGCGCATGGTGCTGGGGGGTCGAGCTTCTCTCCGCCTCTGCTCTTTGCTTTGTAGAGGTCCCACACCTGGCTGCGTAAAGCCTCTCCCTCCTCCTGATCAGGACGAGGAATCTCGATCTTGCTGACTAGGATCGGTCCCTTCAGGGGCCTTTCACGGAACGATTGAGCCTGCATCGTGGATATGGGGATCCAGGGAGCACTTTTAAATTGCTTTCGGAAGGTTGCAACAGCCTCCTTCTGTCCTTGGATGGTGTCCATTTCTTGGGTGGTCTGTGAGAGGGCGGTGGAAGGTATTGTAGAGGTGTACAAGGTTATCGGGGCCAGGGGCGTTCTAGAGCTCGAGGATATCGAAAAGTCTGACCGAATTATTGAGGATTGGACTGAATCAAATGGACAAATAAGTAAGCTCCAGCGCCTTAAATAGATTAAAGCTTGACCTAGCTTACCTGTACCTCGCCGGAGTCACTATACGGTGTGTAGCACACTCCACAAGGTCTCAGTAAAAATAAAGCAAAGGACAAATTAGCGGGGTGGTCAGGGGCTAAGAGCTTCAACGGGGAACAAAGAACTCTACGATCGACAAGGCTGGCGACGTGAGAATTTAGTGCGTGGGCCCCTGCAGCTAACCATGACTGGGGAGGTTGGAAGTTGACACAAATACAGGATAGACTTTGAACCAACAGTAACCTGATGTGCGTATGGAGGATAATCGTCATTGGCATTTGTCTGGAACTTGATGCTAGTGAGTGCGATGATGGTGGTGACTGGATGCAGATCACCTGATGCAGTTCGTCTGGCTTTTCTCCCGGCTAGTCTTCATCAAGTTGACCAGGCCAAAATTATTTCAGACATAGTGAAACCTCCGAATATCAAGAAAAGACCGGTTTCCAGCCTGACCTATAAAATCTCTGGGTGAGGTAGCTATATGTAATTTTCTCTGGGACCGTTTAGGTCAAATAGAGACTAGCACGCCCCTGGATGACATTCTATGAGCTTTAACCATCCACGTTGATCGTCTCTTTACTAAAGCCAGTGGCTAACTCTAGCTCGTGATGCAGAATAAATGTCTTGACGAAAGCTGGCTACACTGGGGGCGCTCGAACTCCAGATACAGGTGCGTTGGAGAACTAGGAGCAAAGGAAGCCTCCAACCAGAAAATCAAGATTGCATGTGTGCGCAGGAAACGGTCCCTCATTCATAATGCGCATTTCAGGATAAAGGCAAGTCGATGTAACCAAACAAGAGACGCAATTGTTGAATTATAGCAGGAATCGGAATCCCTCTCTCACTGCCGCTCCAGGCAAGCCGTGCTCTTCATTCTCACGAGCCCGTGGAGCAGCGTCAATACCATCTAATTGATCAAGTTGCTTATTCAATCTTCCAAGATAAATGCGCAGAATGGTGGAAAATACAATTGTCATGGAAAGCATGCCGATGTTGATACTGAACGCGACGATATACCGAGGTGAGGCGGAGTCTATGAATGTCATCAGTAACAGTGCATGTATCGTGGACAAGATACGTACCGTAGTAGAGGTAAGGGGTGTAAATCTGACACACGTTGCTGAGACAGTTGATGAAAGCCAAAGCAGCGGCTCGTTTTGCTGCCGGGCGCGGGAGGACTGTGTCTGTCAGTAAGTATGCTCTAAGCCTGCACGACGACATCTTACTGTTTGAAATATAGCCTAGGGCCACAACGTAACCGGAATAGATACTACCAAGCATGATACACATCGCGCTGGGTGCTCGGTTAGTAACTGCTATGTACGAGGTGTTGTCAGACTTACACATATCGGGCAGCGAAGTTATTGCCTGCCATAGCCAAGACAAACGAGACAATGGCGATGATTGGTGGAAGACATATGTGTAAATATCGCTCGCCTGTTCGATCCGCATTCCAGGCGTGTATCAACACGATGATTGTGCCGATCAAATATGGAGGGGTGGTCAAAAGCAAGGTATCAATGTTGTCCCTGCCAAGTCCAGCCATCACACTGAAAGCAAGCATTAATCTAACGGGCCTAGATCATTAAAATGAAAGCATTTCATACCTTGGAAAGAAGGTTGTCACAGAACCTGCCGAAGTGCAACCATAGATGACGCCAAGCAATAGCCAACTCTTTGGGTCCCTGTTGCGCGGATGTCGTCAGCTATGGTCAAAATCGAGGATGCCAATCCATCTTACTTGACGGCGAGTTTTGCGCCATTGAACATGCTTTGATGTTCATTATCCACCCAATCATCTTCGCCAATGTCCTTTTCAAGCCTCCAGGCCGCAAGGACTTTCTCATCGTCGGTCAGCCACGGAGTCGTTCGGGGCAGATCAGGAACGATGAAAAATGCGATCAAGGCCGCAAAGATCTAAAAGGTCAGAAGTTGTCTTTTTTCAAGATCCAGAGCAGTGACGTATACCGTCAGTGATCCCTCGATGATAAACAGCCACCTCCAAGCTGCAATCCCTCGTGCGCCGTTCAAGCCACTCGTGATACCAGCAGAAATCAAACCGGAGAATGCACCTGAAATTAATGAACCCGCATACAGCAACGCGGTCCGTTTGACCAATTCTTTCCGGGTATACCAGGCCGAAAGAAGATAGAGACAGCCGGGCTGAAGGTCAGCAAATAGCTGTTAAGCGATAGACGGGTCCTTACAAAGTATGCAGCTTCGACGAAGCCGAGGAAGAATCGAACGACAACCAAGCCAGCAAAATCCTTCGTGGCAGCAGTGCAACACGAGATGACACCCCACACCACCATACATCCTGGCAGATAAATTGAAGGTTTACCAAGTTTGTTGAGAATCATATTCGAAGGAACTACGCCAATGAGTCTCTCTGACTACATGACCGAGAAAGGCGATACCAACCTTGCATAAGAAGATATCCAACAAACAGGATACTGACACAAACCTGCAAATTATAGTCAGATTCCATTTCATGTTCACAAAGCTCGGGTTCTCATACCTGATACTCGTCCCCCGTAAGGTTCAAATCCTTTTGCAGACCGGCCAGCTTTGCTGCTGCAATATTGTTGCGATCCAGGTAGTTCAGAATATACATGACCAACATCATAATCAGCAGTCGGATATCAACCTTTCTCACTAGCTTCTTTTCCCGTTGCTGTATTTCCTCTGGCATCAAGCCCAACAGAGCTGCTGGCACTGTTCCAGGACCAGGGTCTTTGGGGTTGTCTCCCGTCTTGGGGAACTCAATGTGTTCGGCCCCGGATGTCTTGACATTGTCCATTGAATGCGGTTCGAGACACAATGTGAGGAAGGTATTCAGTGAAAATCTACAGAACCCAGAGTGGTTGTCGGGTGAGAATAATGGGAGCAAACACAGCGGTCGTGGCATGGCGCTTGGCTCTTAAAAGCCGGACGTGGGTCCCTCCCCACATCCGAGCGTGTGCAGTACTCGATTCCCCGTGGGGTAATTGATGACCAGTCGGGTTCGAGGATTGTGCTCTTTCCGGATATCCAAAGCGGGGTTTGATAACCTTGGCAGCCGTAGCCGACTGTCGAGGAATCTGACATATTTGGCCTATATCCGGTGCTTGTCAAATCGGATAAGTGGTCATGGCCATAGACTTTGTTACTTCTTCAACAAGCTTTATTCAGGTCACTGTCCCCGAGCGAGAACCCTATGTTTATCACCAGACAGGAATAAATTAGTGAAACATTCTATACAAATTGCGCACTACACCCAGGCTACAACGCTTAAAGCCTAAGCAGGAAGTTCTTTTGCTGTCACGCCACTGCACTCTTCTTCCTCGGAAGGTATGAACTCTGCTACTAAAAGCTCCAAGGCACGAACTGTACATTTCAAGTTCCTGTCAAGCCTACTTTGGAAGTTGTTGCGACATTTCTGTTGTCATAGACATAGGAAGAAACGCCGTTTCACTCTGGACAGCCGCGCTGATCAACACTGCTGCGAACAATTACACTATCAGGGTATCATCGACCGCACTAAGCAGGGGCGGGAGTGATTGCCGTTCTTCTTGTCGGAAAGTCGCAACCCTGATCAATATGGGTCTTCAAATCGGCCGTCAAATGTGACAAAAGAGCATACTTCTTGAACAACCCCGCAAGTCTTCATCTCCCCGAGTGAGATTGCTCACACCAATACTGGTATCCTCTCCCCTTCCACAAGTCACTCCATCGCTGCCCGGATATGTCTGTTGAGTACGTCGATCATGTCAACAAGGTCATCTTCTGCTTGGGTGGATAGCGGTGGCGGAGTATCGGAATGACAAGGGAAATGGATCTATGGACGGAAAGAGACGTGTCAGTTTATCATCCCAGTGGTTGCATACGTGGTTGATTGAAGTTACCGTGTAGAGATGAAAGGAGTCAGTCCGGAGAGCTGGAAGTGACTGGTCCACGGCCTCCTCAACGTGCTGGGGCTCGTGTTGGGTATTCCATGACCTCTTAGCGGGGTACTCTAGACGCCGTGATTCAATCTCAGGCCTGCTTCTCATTGTTGTAGCCGGTCACGTCGATGTGCCAGCACCGATGCAGCGCCGTAATCACCACGTCGCGCATCTGACCGTTCTTTGATTGTTGTGAAAGTCGTCATCTTTACTGGATAACCATCTTGATTGACGCTATAACCACATTCAAGCTTGGATGATTGACCTGAAGACAATGTCGTATTCTGGGGAAATTCCCAGTTATTGTTGACTTTACTCAAGAAACGGGTCAAATCATGAAATTACCAAATGCCAGGCATCAACTGAGACTCGTATCCAGCAACAACCGGCCGGATAAGTTTCCGGAAACATTCCCGAGCGACTTTTCCGACAGCTCGCTTTGGAGTTTTCCGACACGTTGCAAACAGTTCCTCACCACTCGCCTTCAACAGCAACGTGGCTGATTACTCTGAATATGACATTAATCAAAGTCTCAAAAGGTTTGAAACCCCATCCTCCGATCACAGATTGGTCGACAAGCAATGGCACCAATCACGCAAATCGAATACTTTCGCGTGCCTCCGCGATGGCTGTTTGTCAAAATCACCGATTCACAAGGGAATGTTGGTTGGGGTGAAGCGTCACTAGAGGGCCATACAGAGGCAGTCGAGGGCTGTATCGATGCCTTTATCGAGCGATTCAATGGCATGGATGCTAAGTACGACCTTGCCCCTGGACATCATGGGATACATGCTCACTTGAAGTAGTGACATTGAGCATATCTGGCAGAATGGCTATCGCATGGGCTTCTATCGGGGTGGACCGATTCTAATGAGTGCCCTATCTGGTATTGATATCGCCTTATGGGACCTAAAAGGTGAGACTCAATCCGACCATACACTGAAGGTACACAGGCTAATGTTCGGTTCATCGCTGCAGCTCGACGGTTCGGTGTACCTATCTACGAGCTCCTGGGTGGCAAGGTCCGTGATCGATTGCGGGTTTATGCTTGGATTGGCGGGGATCGCCCTAGAGATGTGGAGATACAAGCGTGAGATTTGGCACCTTCTTACCTCAACCTCGACATCCCTAATAATTGTCTTTCAGTCGCGGTCGAATCGCTCAGGGGTTCAAGGCTGTCAAGATGAACGCAACCGAAGACCTTGGCTGGCTGGACTCGCCCCAGGCGCTCAACGCATCGGTGGAGCGACTCAAGACTGTCAAGTCTCTTGGCCTTGATGCAGGAGTAGACTTTCACGGACGGGTACACAAAGCAATGGCAATCCAGCTGGCGCATAAGTTGGCTCCACACGAGCCGTTGTTTATTGAGGAGCCTTTGCTCTCCGAACATCCGGAGTCTGTTGCCGCCCTCTCCAAATTGGTTCCTATCCCTATTGCCCTCGGAGAACGATTGCACTCTCGCTGGGATATCAAACCCTTCCTCGAATCGGCATCCGTCAGCATTCTTCAGCCCGACATCAGCCATGTAGGGGGTATATCGGAGCTGCGCCGTATTGCGGTAATGGCCGAGGCCTACGACGTGGCTTTGGCGCCGCATTGCCCTCTCGGTCCGATCGCCTTGGCTGCGAATATCCAGGTTGACGCGGTGTCGGCCAACTTTGCAATTCAAGAGATGAGCATAGGTATTCACTACAACCAGGGTTCAGCGGACATTGAGACCTATATTAAGAACAGTGATGTGTGGACCGTGAAAGACGGTATGCTGGATCTCCTGCGGGGACCAGGCCTGGGGATTGAACTAGACGAAGACAAAATTCGAGCTGCAGCAGTTAATGCCAAAGCTTGGCGTAGTCCATGCTTCGAAGGACCTGATGGCGAGTGGAGAGAGTGGTGAAGTCGTGAAAGTAATGCCATTTTTCTAATACGAATCCGAATAAAGATTTTGACAGGTCCTGTACATGATAAATCCTCTTTATACTGGAAAATACATGACATTTATGGAATTTGCTGCTCTGGCAGCGGTGTAGTATCCTGCGCATCATGGTAGCACTCGTACAACCTTCTGTGCCTAGGGCAACCAACGGGTGGCTTACCCCGCCCACTCCTTCGTCCCGTTCCCAGTCCCTTTGCTCTCCACATCTCCACATCTCCACTTCATAACAGTGATTCAGAGACTTGAGCCAGATACGGGCGAAGCCGCTTGGTCCCCCAGATCTCACATTTTGGATAGTCCCTCTAGCAGCTCCCAAACAAGAGTCCCAATGGAGTCGCCAGATGGACCTGCGAGCAAGCGCCGATGCCACAAAGAACGCGTACGAGTGACTCGCGCTTGCGATGCTTGCAAGAAGTAAGTCAGTATTGGACTTTCATCTTTCGAATATCTAATTCTCGGTTCAGGAAGAAGTTACGCTGTACTGGGAATTTACCTTGCGCCAGTTGTGTTCGAACGAGTAAAACATGCGAGTACACAGCCGAATACAACAGGGGCAAGCTGCCCCAGGTTCGCATCTCCCAGCAGCCTGTACAAGAAAGTGATGAGCAGCAGAAACAAGGTTCTACAGTTGAGGTGGGATCACCTTCTTTGCCATATTCCCGGATTGTGGAAAGTGGCAAAGTGGCCGAGATGAACGAGGCGGTCGACAATCCACTCTCTCGTGCCTCTCCCGAGCCTCACCAAACAGACTTGGAGGGTCACTATGTTGGCCCTTCATCTGGACTCTCATTTCTACTGCGAGCACAAAGAAAACTCCACAAATATGTCGCGCTGCCTATCAATACCCCGATATTCACGTTTGGCGACTCTCCATTGCCAGAAGCCGAGTCGACCTTCATGCTATTGCCTCCACGAGACGAGGCCAATGCACTCCTTACGCGATATTTCGATTTTGCTTTCCCCACACATCGCTTTCTTATTCAATCACAGGTTGAATGCTGGGTTGAGGAATTCTACAGCGCCGTGCAAGCGTCCGAGGTTGTCAGTCCCAGTGTGCGGGGGAAAAGAGCCGTGGTTTTGATGGTCTTCGCTCAAGCAAAGCAAAGCCAGCCCGACTCGGATCAGTCGTCAGCCCGTTCTTTGATCAGTAGGTTCGTCTGTCTTACCAAGAGGGTCTATAGGAGTTTGAAATAACTCTTTGATGCTAGTGCGGCATACTTTGCAGCCTCGGAAAAACAGCTCTCAGCCGAGACAGGACCAGTGCGTATAACGAGTGTCCAGGCACGACTAGCCCAATGCTTCTATCTCCTGTCTCAGTCTCGAATCAATCATTGTTGGAGTTTGTTCGGCACGACTGCTCGACTTGCTATGACTATCGGGTTGCACTGCGTGAGGAGGCGTGAAATTGGTGCCGGTGTCGACCATATTGATTCTGAATCTCGGAAGCGTGTCTTCTGGTGTGCATACAGCTTGGATAACTATCTCAGTGCTGCTTTAGGTCGCCCACGGATATTCCATGACGATGACATCGACCAAGACTTTCCTACAGTTGTGGATGATTCACGAATTTTCAAAGATCACATTCTTGCCCCAGAGTCGACTGCGCAGAGTATAATGCTAGCGCCTTTATATCATGCGAAGCTGTCGGTCATTATTGGCCGTATACTGCACGACATGTACGGCATCCGCAGGGGTAGCTCTCAAGCAGAAATATCAGCCGCTGCTCAACACGGTGCCGATCTCACCTGCTGGCGGCAGGATCTTTCTAGCTTTCTTGACGCCTCGAATGCCGACCTTTTGATGCTCCCGTATCAACGGCAATATACAGTGCTCAACCTGGCATTCTACCACGCACAGATTCTGCTCTATAGACCTTTTGTTCTGAGACACTTTGGGACCTCTATGGATCGAGAAAGGTCACGGAGTGACTTTTCAAGTGAATCCATAGAGCATTACATCAGTATATGTCTAACGGCTGCTATGAAAATTGCCACAATTATTCGCGAACTTTGTGAAAAATGTCGAATGTATAGCACATTTTGGGTACGGTGTGGCCATTTTATCTCTGACAGTTAACTAATGCAGACACAGTTCACCCATTATTATGCATTTTCCGCAATCATGATTCTGTATCTACGAGTCATGCAGCTGGCTGCACAGAAAGGAAATCCAGAGGAAATTTCCAAGTATTTGCAAATCGGGGAGTGCGCGCAACGAGACCTTTCCAGCTGTGCATTTCAGTCTTCCTTTGTGCAGCGCTACATTGTTGTTCTCGAGGAGCTTCGCCAAGAGGCTCGGATGACACTGAATCTAAATGACAACCATCAAGCACCAGATGCCATCGGAGATCAGGTGACTGCGGCCCTGGGGCACCAGGAAGGCGTCCGACTAAACGACTTTGAGGGGTTAAGTCGCAGTATGGAAATAACCGGGGAATTGCACGGTGGCAACCTCATGGTGCCCCCCGTGATGGAGTCTAATCCCTCATGGGTAGATGGATCCGATGATAGCTTTAACATGCCTGGTTTATCTGGACTGACAGATTGGGAAGGACTCGACTCCTTGGCCCTAGCGGGGATGGGGGAATTAGACTACCTGTTTTGCCACGACGGGAGCTGAGCGACTAAGCATTATCCTTTACTAGCGACCATAGATTCGCGACAGAACTTCTTGGAATTCCGTTCTTCCTGCATCATGAGCATCCCTGCCACATCTGTCAAACTAATTTCTAGCGCATAAAACCAGCCGTGTCTGGGGTGCACCATTTCCGGCTCCAACTCCCTGCGGGCACGTTATCCGAGTGGCTCCCTTCCGAGCCCGGAAAAGAACATGGTCGGATAAGCGCTGGATTGAGGGATGTATCCGATATGCCCATTACGCGTGGACAAGGCCCCGGGGACTTACATTTTAGTCCATGACCCCGATCCATGTTTCTATCATACATTTTGAAGTGTCTTTCATCTGCAATATACCCATCCAATCCGCACGTGCTGTGACAGCGATATCCTCTATCATGTTACATGCATGTACCCTCGAGTCCGCGCTTCTCAAAGGAGACAGCAAAGCAGAGATCGTCCACAGGCTGCCCCCAAGCCCACCAGCGGAGGAATCTTACGCCTACTACACCATTGACGATGTCTTGAGAAGTCTCGTGCGGGACGCACCCGATGAGCCCCTCGTGGGCTACCCACAGAGTGCGCATGGAGTCACCGATTACGTTTACTACACCCCGCGCGATCTGGACAGATTCGCCAATGGTGCTGTCAAACAATACAAGAAGGCCGGCCTTGCAGAGGTAACTATCACAAGTTGTAGGCGATCAATATGCTAAGGTCATTAGTTCGCCCACCCGACCGAGAACCGCGTTGTCTCTATCCTCGGACCCTCCAACCTCGATTATATTGTGTCACTATTTGCATTGTCCCGCATGGGCTATGCTGTTTTGTTATTGTCGACCCGTCTGAGCACTGAGGCTTATATCAATCTTCTCGAACGCACCAACTGTACCAATATTGTGCATGCCCAGGGCAATGCCAAAGCAGTCGGACAGATGATGGGGAAGTCTTCAGTAGCTGCATTTGCAATTCCAGAATTTGCGAACTATTCCGAAGAAGTGTGGCAACCAAATACTGCACGAGATGGAACAGCGCAAGAGAGTCAGAAGTGGGCTTTTATCATCCATTCGTCTGGCTCTACCGGCCTTCCCAAACCAATCTTCCAGACCCATGGTGCTTGCATCTCCAACTACAGTACGAGCAAAGGCTATCGAGCGCTACTGACATTGCCACTATTCCACAACCACGGCCTCTCCACCTTCTTCCGCTCCCTTTTCAAACGAAAGCGTATATCCATCTACAACGCTAATCTTCCACTGACCGGGAATAACGTGTTGGAAGCGATGAAGGTCACGGCCCCGGAGAGTTTTCATGGCGTGCCATACGTCTTGAAGCTGCTGTGTGAGACCGAAGGAGGAACCCATGAGCTAGCCAGGTGCCAGCAGGTCCTCTTTGGAGGGAGCAGCTGCCCGGATGATCTTGGTGATCGGCTAGTGAATGCTGGAGTCCGATTGATCAGCCACTACGGAGCGACCGAGCTTGGGCAATTGATGACATCTGCGCGACCCCTGAAAGACAAAGCCTGGAATTATCTTCGGCCACTGCAGTCTGTTGAGCTATTCTTGAGATGGAAACCTCTTGAAGATAATTCTTATGAATGCATTGTTCTCGATGGTCTCCGATCCAAAGTCAGTTCCAATTCAGACGACCCTCCAAATTCTTTCCACACGCGGGATACCTTCCTCAAGCACCCTACGATACCTAATGCCTGGAAGTATCTAGGACGCATTGACGACCGAGTCACTCTGATCAATGGGGAGAAAGTTCTCCCAGTGCCGATCGAACATCGTATCCGACAGAGTGTCTACGTACAAGATAACCTCGTGTTTGGGGTTTCCAAGCCCATTCCGGGCTTGATCGTGGTGCCCAGTTTGGCATGCCACAGTCTCTCATCTGACGAGATTCTGGATCGTATCTGGCCAGACATTGCTGCAGCGAATCAAAATTCAGAGGCGTTCAGTCAAATATCGCGGAATATGGTCATCATCTTGGACCACAGCCAGTCTTATCCAATGACCGACAAGGGAACCATGATTCGCAACCGCTGCTATATGGAGTTTAGTGATTTGATTGAAGCGGCGTACACGCGCCTCGAAACTGGAGCTGAAAGCAATGAGAATCGCCGCGCTTTGGAACTGCCTGAGCTGGAACATTTTCTGCTGGATCTGTTCCGTACTGACCTTGGATTGTCTGATATTAAGGTCGGCACAGATCTGTTTGAGGCTGGTGTAGACAGCTTGCAGGCCATCAAGGCGCGTGCTATCCTCCAGTCGCAAATTGACGTTGGATCTGCCACCCTCGCACACAATGTCATCTTTGACTGCGGAACAATCAGAAAGCTGGCCGCACATTTGTATGCAGCACGGACAGGAGAGGCCTGGGATTCGGAGGATGAGTTAGACGCCATGTCTCGGTTGATCACACAATACTCGACGTTTGTCAACAGGCCAGCTAGTGAGCAAGTTGTCGTAAGTACTAGCCGATCCGCTACTATAATCTATGTTAACATCTCTAGCTTCTCACGGGCACTACTGGCTCTTTGGGGGTATACATCCTCTCACGACTTCTGCAGCAATCCTCGGTGAAGAAGGTATTCTGCCTTGTACGTGCGAGCTCTGTACCCAACGCGTTAGACCGCGTTCTATCGAGTTTATGTTCACGATGTCTACCCATTGTCAACGCGTACAAGATTGCCGCCTTCCCTTCGGTGCTCGGCAACGAAGATCTCGGCCTGCCGTCAGCAACCATTGCTGAACTACGGGGCTCCCTGACACATGTGATCCACTCCGCCTGGGCCGTGAACTTTACCGTGGGTGTTTGCAGCTTCGAACAACAACATATCAGAGGTATTCGAAATCTCATCAATCTCTGTCTGTCGAGTGAACGACCGTCTCCTGCCGAATTCTACTTTTGCTCTTCAATCTCCGCCGCAGCTGCCACGCCTCTCCCAGCAACTATCAGCGAAGGGCCCATTCCCGAGCTTGCACATGCTCAAAACATGGGATATGCCCGATCCAAGCTAGTTGCGGAGCGAATTGTCCATGCAGCAGCCAAGACAACCGGGATGGTTGCCAAGGTTCTGCGACTGGGGCAGATTGTGGGCGACACCGTGACTGGAAAGTGGAACCCAACGGAAGCGATTCCACTGCTGCTTCAAACCGCCAAGACGCTGGGAGTATTGCCGGCTTTGGATGAGACGCCGTCATGGCTCCCTGTGGATGTGGTCGCGAATGCCGTGCTGGAGCTGAGCGGGATCCTGCCGAGTGATACCGCAAAGCGCCTTGTTTCAGACCCTGATGTGGTGTACAATGTACAAAACTCCAGAACCTTCCGATGGACGGAAGATCTGTTGCCTGCTCTGCGCGAGGCGGGATTGAAGTTCGAGACCCTTCCCCAGAGACAGTGGGTGCAGCGGCTGCGGGAGTCTGAGCAGGATCCGCAGAAGAATCCATCGGTCAAGTTGCTGGACTTTTTTGCAGACAAATATGATAACGATGCTCCTGGTCGCTCGGGATTGTCTTTTGCGATGGAGAAAACAGAAGCAGCGAGCCGTTCGCTAAGAGGGGGTGTGGATCTGATTGATAATGGGTTGATTAAGAAGTATGTAGATGCATGGGCACTAGTGTGGTGATTTCTTTCCTCTTTTTTGGGTGGGAATTATCATAGTCTGCGATTCTTTTACATGACAAGCGATAGCCGAGATAGTGAATTATTGCATTGATCCATCCTACCGATTTCCTATGACCGTAAGTAAGCCAGCCGGATATCTCTGAGCTCTAGATGGTCGCAGCGAGACCTACCACCCCCATAAAAACAGAAGAAATATAATCATGTTGTACAATACGAAATACAACAATCTTCGCATCAGTTATCCGGATAACAAGAGGATTTCCCGCCCACCCACTCGGACATCCTCCGACCCTTTTCCGACCCCGATTCCGGGCCTCTTTTCCCCGAAACCCGACCATCCCCACCCCGTTTTCCCCGCAATGAAAACAAGCTGTTAAGTTCCCCAATTCCTTCTTTCCCCTCCTACCACCCAGCAAGAAAACAAACAACCATGTCCATCACTACTCCCATTCGTACCAGCTTCCAGGCCTCCTCGGTCGCATTCGGCTTCTGGCTCACGTAAGTCAATTGCATTGCCACAATTCCTACCAACCCCACTAAACAACACCTGTGATGTAATGCAGGCTTCCCAGCTCCGCCGTCGCCAAAACAATCCTCCACGGGGCATCCGGATCATCGACGAAGTTTAGCTGGGTGTTGGTTGATGCTGAACATGGATTGATTTCGGATTATCATTATTATGACGTTTGTTTTCCCTAGCTGCATTGTGATGATAGGGAGAAGTGTGCTGAAAGTAATGGACGGGGTAGTTAAACAACGCCATCGGCTCCGAAAACGCCAGCCCGATTATCCGTGTCCCTTATGCAGAGGAATGGATGATTAAGCGGGCGTTGGATGCGGGCGCGCATGGGATTATGACGCCGATGTGTCATACTGAGGTATACCTATCTCCCACTCACTTGATACCCATTGTGCATAATGTTAATGGGGTTATAGGCCGACGCCGCCAACATCGTCAAATACACCAAATACCCACCCGTCGGGACCCGCGGGTACGGACCCATGTTCGCGCCTCACTCGATGCGAGACGTCAACCCGGGCCCCGACTACGACGATAAGATCAACGATGGCGTGACGGTATGTGTTCAGATCGAATCGCGGTCTGGTGTGGAAAATGTGGAGAAGATCGCTGCTGTGGATGGGATTGATGTGTTGTTCATTGGACCTTTTGATCTTGCCAAGCAGATGGGTGTGACTCGTGGAGGGGAGGAGCATGAGGCTGCTATTGCTCGGATCTTGGCTGCTGCGAAGAAGGCGGGGAAGGTGGCTGCTATTTTTTGTAAGTTGATCCTGGAGGATCCTGGAGGAGGTATGGATGGGTGGTTGATGGTGTGGCTAATGATGTGTGTTAAGGTACCGATGGGGTGGATTCACGGAGACGTGCGGAACAGGGGTTTGATATGATTTCGATTACGACGGATGTGAATGTTATTCGGGGTGGGATGTTGGGGGAGTTGAGGGTTGCGAATGGGGAGGATGGGGGGGTGAGGTCTTCGGGGGGGTATTAGTGTTGTTCAGATTGGTTGTGTATGTATTTTGGAGATCTGCCATGTGGGAGAGGATACTGGATGTTTTATATCATGAATGGTGATGAAGCCCTCTAAGTTATGCAGGTGGCAGGTCGTTATTTTCTGATAAGGTCAGCCTTGGCAGTCAAGTTTCAGTTTATTGACTCCATACATGGTTTTGATCATAGTAGGTAAGAAACAATTATGTAATAAACTTCAACGTTATGTAATCCTCTAAAGCGCCACCTGACTTGTCTGCATTTCCAGTCTTCCACATGACATCCATCAGGACGTTTCTGCAAAGCAGCAAGGCCGAATGCGAGGAGGCGACCGAAGTCTGCCATGGGCGATTCCAACCACGGTACAGGCGAGAGAACCGCTACGGGGTTGAAATGATTCATGCTCACTTCCATTAGTTACCAGCCATGATTCGGAATCAATCGATCCGGCTCTGCTCAGAGTCCGCCAGTCCAGCTTTGCAGAACCTTTGGATCCTCAACTACTACTTTCTACGACCTACAACCTACCGTCTGACGAGGAACCTGGAAACCCGCCGATATCAGATTGGCTCCTGAATGATCTGGACTTCCAGGACTCGCCAATTGCCACATTCAATTTCCAGGAACAGCATAAAATACTGAACGACCTTGGCAACTACCCCGCTGACCCTGTGACTCTGCCTCGCCAGCTTCCACGACGTAGAAGTCGTTACCTGACACGAAATCAAAGACGTGCTAGTCCGATTGTTATCCCCAATGCAACCCTTGATCCTATGGAACGATGGCGCAATTCTCCACCAGAAGAGGAATCTGCTTTGATTCCAGACATCATAGATGCGTTGAAAGCTGCACCAACCCAGCATGGATCACGCAGCAATGCATTTCGTCAATATAGACGAGCGGCCTCGACGACCAGCGGTGAATCCAGTGCATCCTCTAGAGACTCCCAGCAATCCGCACGCTCTAGCTCGTCTGCTCAGGACCAATTGGCCGTCCAAGGGCGTCGACACCGGATACGAGCAAAAAGGAACCCACAACGGCGCCACCGAGTCAAGGAGGAGCGGAGATACTGCTGTACCTTTTGCTGCGATCGATTCAAAAGCAAGTACGACTGGGCAAGACATGAAAAGTCTCTTCATGTGACATTAGAAGCGTGGTACTGTGCTCCGTTTGGAGCAACGATACAATCCTCTACGGCGCAAGAAGTACTCTGTGCGTTCTGTGGTGCTACCGATCCAGACGCGGATCATCTCTTCGAGCACGCAGCTGATGCCTGCGAAAGCGAGTCGGGCACTCGCCGTTCCTTTCGCCGCAAAGACCACCTCGTCCAGCATCTGCGGCTGGTACATAACGTCACGTCGCCAGATATCGATGATTGGAAAATTGGGCAATCTGCTATTTCGTCCCGCTGTGGCATCTGCGATCAGGCACTGAATACCTGGGAGCAACGGGTCGATCATCTGGCGGAGCACTTTCGGACTGGGTCGACGATGGCAGACTGGCGAGGCGAGCACGAGTTTCCCCCGGACTTTGCAGCCCAAGTGGTGAATGCCTTGCCTCCGTACCTGATCGGGTCGGAATCCCACAGCGTCATTCCTTTTTCCGCTACGAACCGTGATGCCCAAGATCACTTTGCACAGATTTCCTCCAGAGCACGCTGGGACTCAACTGAGAAAGAGGCCAATTCGATAGCGACGCCTGTAGCTCCCATGCCCCCGCCACTGCAGACTATTGCGCCCGGCGTGGCCCCGGAGCAGCTCAGTTCGTTTACCCAGGTGCTCACGCTGCATCTGAGTCGGTTTGCGCAGGAACAAATGAAGAAGGGGGTAATTCCGAGCGACGAGATGTTCCAGCAGGAGTCGCGACGTCTGCTGTATGACTCGGAGGACACGTGGAATCAGACCATTGCGGATAATCCGGAGTGGATGTCTGCGTTCAGGGGACTGCATCGTGACAACACCGGTTCACTGCCCTGAATCGTCAGGGGACCTGTAGCGCGACATGCCTTGCTCCACACAAGCGTACCCTTCAATTGTGTTTCACCAGCTTCAGTAACTTTGATGTTACCGTTGCGGATTTTGTAAAATTCGATGCGTACAGGATGCGGCCGAGAGACGACACGGGGGTTGGGATGTATGGACGATTGGGCATCACGGGCGGCATCGTTATATTTATTAGATGCTTGATGCTGTATAAGATTATAAGTTTATCCAATTTCGGCTTTGAGTAGACCGAGGATCGGTGTTGGATGGATTGTTGAACGGAGGGAAGGACTGCAGACACGGTGAAGTGATTAGCAGCTGGATTTGAAGTTCAGCGTAAGCAGGAGAATTGTGTCACCTGTAATACTCTCTTCCTATTTTCCTTCACCATTGCCTGTATAATCACATCGTGGCAAAGGAATAGCAGTCAAAGGGCGTGGGCGCGACATAGGGCGCAATGGCAAAGTCTGCAGCGTAGGGCGTAGGGCGCACACCCAATCCCAACAATACAAAATCCAGCATGCCAGCATAACAGCAGAAGCAACCATGTGGACAATCTACAGACACCTAAATTCAACCCTTCGACCCCTTACGCGGCGCTACCACGCCATGGCATCTCCCCGGATCCACGTCCTCGGCCTCGGCAGCATCGGCACCTTTACAGCCCACGGGCTCAAAGACATTCCCAATCCCCCAGCAGTCACTCTGCTTCTCCATCGCCAGTCCCTCTACGAGTACTACCTCCGAAACAACCGCCAAATTACCCTCACCACCCTCGACGGGAAATCCATCGCCCACGACAACTACGATGTCGAAATCTACCACCCGACAGGCACATGGCACACTCCTTCCCCCTCCTCTATCACCACCTCCTTCATCGAAACCAACACCACAATAACCCACCTCATCCTCACCGTCAAAGCCACCCAAGCCATCTCAGCCCTCCGATCCCTCAAACCCCGTCTCACCTCCTCCTCCACAATCCTCTTCCTCCAAAACGGCTGCGGCATGATCGACGACGTCAACGAACACCTCTTCCCTGACCCAGAGACCAGACCAAACTACATCACGGGGGTAATCTCCCACGGCGTGACCCTCACCTCTCCATTCAACGCAACTCACACAGGTGCATCGAGTATATCCCTCGGCGCTGTCCCATCCCAATCCCCTTCCTCCACCACACCCACCACCACCAATAAAGACTACATGCTCCAAACCCTCCCCTCTCCCCCCTCCTCACCGCAGAATCATACCCCTACACCGCTCTCCTGCAAATCCAACTCGAAAAACTCTCCGTCAACGCCTTCTGCAACCCCGTGTGCGCGCTCCACGATTCCAAAAACGCTATTTTATTCAACTTTCCCCATCTCCGACGTTCCATCCTCTCCGAGATATCCAATATCGTGCTGCGTTTGCCTGAGCTACAGGGGATTCCTGGCGTCGAGGAACGGTTTTCGGTGGATAGGTTGGAGGACACGGTGAATGGGATTCTGGAGAAAACGAGAGAGACGGTTTGTTCGATGGTGGTGGATTTGAGGAATGGACGGGAGACGGAGGTGAGGTTTATTAATGGGTATTGGGTGAGGAGGGGGAGGGAGGTGGAGGTGGAGGTGGGAGTTAATGAAGGGCTGATGGAGCAGGTTTTGAGGAGAGGGTCTGAGTAGATGTTCTGGGGGTGGTAAGATGGAACAGGTATGAGGGTGTGTGTGTTGTAGAAGGGGCTATAGTGGCCATCGGGCAGGTACAATATCTGAGCGCGGAATTTAGGGATACGTCCGAGGGCGGGGTAAATCCCGTGTAGAAAATTAGAATGCTCACCACTATGAAGTATTACATATTCAAGATCGTCTATTATCAGATTAAGAGATATCATCTTCAAGCTCTATTATAATCATTAGATCTAATACTACTACTATCGAGTAATAAGAAATTGAATGTATGCTAGAGACTTCCTTAAATTCATGAAACACTTATAAACCGGGATTAACTCACACCGTCAGCACTTTATCGAACACATCGGAGACTTAATCTCGCTGGATTGGGGGAATTTCCTCCCGATCGGAGATAGAGCATGGGTGTGGTGCGTTCCATGGTTCGGGTTGACAAATCTAGGGAATAGTAATCTGTATCTCGAGGGTTAATTTAATATTTAGTAGCTGATGTTGGATTCATCAACTGCCTTGTAAAATATCAATGGGTGGTGATGGTTATATTCATATGACGATATATTCAATTGCCCAACTACTACTGCCTATGGTAATTAGCAATGTAGTAATATATTTGGTACTCGTAAAGTCATTATGAAGAGTTAATAAATAATGGATATTACCTATCTACAGTGGTTTCTGGGTGGTGAAGATACTTGAACATATTCAATATAGTTTCCTGGATGGATATATAATCCCTGCATCCCCTTCTTCCTCATCTTCTTCCTCTTCTCCTAATCATCTATACTAAATATCTTTGACATATGACATACAACCCTAATTACCACCCACAATTAATGCAGCAGTCAAGTCACTAAATCTGTCTATGCAAAAACCATTCAGAAACCCAACACCAATACCACCACGTCTATCTATACTATTTATCTACAAGCCTCAATCCAAATCCCAAGAACACCAACAGGATAACCACCGAACCTACCAATTACAATTCCCATATATACCTGTTGATGCTGAACGCAAGAGGGAATTTTCCATACCATTTACATCCTCCATCTCCTAACAAAAATAAAAGACTTTATTATCCACCAAAACCCGGAATTAGCACCGCACAATACCTAACCCTTATACATCCATCATTAGTCTTAATAAATCCCAGGGCAGACGAACCACCAACGAAGCCATCTCTCCTATAAAGCGCATCAGTACATCATTAAAGGCGACAATTATGACTCCTAGTAGGCCTATTGGTTCAGCGAGTCGTTCAAGGCTTTTTATAACGTAACATCAGGGGTTTAAAATTATACTCGTCGCCCTCATCACGACGGGTTTCGAGCGATGGAACCTATTTTCAATACCGGGGCTGGTATGTTCTGATGAAAGTTGAGGGGGTTGGTGGTATTTGCTGTTTGATGAATCGGACAGTGTGGTGGTTTATGATCTCGTGACAGAAACTATTATAGTCAACTATGATTAACGTGGTATGGTGTTGGGATGTTCATATTGGAGAAGCTAATATGTTGATGCTAGGGGTGCTTTGGACTCAGGATATCTGTTACCGCACTATCCATGATTCGAATTCCCTGGTTATATTCTTTTATAGGGAGGGGGTCAATCAGGTAGGTCACTCGGTTAAACGACCGGAAGACAAACCACCCTTGGAACACCGGCCTGAAATATGTCTCCTCTCTTGCCCGATTATCCAAGCTCAACGGGTGATTTATGCATGTGGATGGATTCTTAACCCTTCTATATAGGGATTTGCAAGTGTTGGGAGAAAGCACAGATCTATCCCTGAGATGGAAACATGACATAGCTCAATATTAACGTTGGGATGACACAGGTATACAGTTGATATTATTCTACTTGTTGGTTGCCTGAGAAAAAGGAATACCACATGTTGACATATTCGGAAGAGAACGAAGCAAGTCAAGACGTTCACTGAGAAACGATTTGTCGGCTGCTCAGAGGCCTGAATTGTTTTCTTTACCGATTAAAAAGATCGATCTATCATATTTGGACAATAGGAGATAGAACATGGATGGTCTGTATCTCATATACGATGTTTACCATCTCGGTTAGACAGTGGAATGTGCAAAACAGGACTATTCAAGCTATTGGAGTGCCAATCCAGCTACATGAACATTCCTGATTTCGACAAACAACACTTGGGTATAAACCAAAGACGTCGATTGCCCACTGCGGTCAGAGAAATTAGGCCATTTGATAAAAAGCGATGCAAATTTCCCCGATGTGAAACAGGTGATGGATGCACTAACCCATGCCCTCCTGATCAACCAAGTCAACCACTTACATCTACTCTTATACGATGTTAGTCACAACGGCAATGTATCCGACATGGATCCTGGTGTGAAAAAGGCGAGACTTTGTTACTATTGTCGCACCTTGACGTACGATTCGAATTATCTGAATAGCAGGATTGTTTGCTTGCGCAGCAGCAATGGTATAGTCTGGGTCAGAACACTCTCCTCTGTTGAATCAGGGTGTTTAGTCAATTTACTTACAGGTTCCGCAACGATGAGCTTGATGATCGCTTACCTACGCGATAAAGTATGCTTTGATGAAGAAAAACCGTTGTGGTTAACTTCCCTGGTGAGGAAATATACGTCATGGCTGTGCTTTATGAGGCCAAACTTGATGTGGCGATGGTCCACAGCGGCATGGACACAAGAAACGTAAGGCAACTATCAACGTACAAAGCAATGATCGAGCAAGCACGTGGTGCTTATCTTTCTATCGTATCAGGTCAACTCACCAGGGCTCAACCTTCAAAGGTATTTTTGGCATGTACATGCCATGAGTATGGCCATGTCGAAAGCGGATACCGAACAAGCAAACGGACGCTGCCTACGAGTTGGACAGCGCAGACCTTTTTATCTTCAATTACCGCATTTCAGACCGATCCAGACAACATTGGCAAGATGTGCCACAGCAAAGACACTCCTGACGATATTAATAAATGTGCTATGCACAGCACAGCAAAACAAAAAAGCGTAGTAAACAGAGTATTGGATAACACTTTCAGCTGTGCCATGCACGATACAACAAAGATGTCATCATCTCTTGCATCCATTTATGCACAGTGAATTAGACTACTCAAGCCAACTATGCGTGCTGAGAGATGGGAGAGCTATGAATCTGGAGAAAGTGTTTATCAAGGCATTCAAATTCACGTTGATCATTAAGATGCTCTGATCAGCAGCAAGGACAGAACCTTGGAATATCTTTGACCAGCCTACTGGTGGTATACAAGATGGTTCTGATGCCGATCTGGTTGATCGTTACCCTCCTGAAATGCTAGTTGACTGGTGCAGCGCATTTGAGAAGGTCTGTCAAGAGTAAAAGAAGGCCGTGGTCCACAATATCTTTGATTCCAGCGTGTACCAAGCGGTAGAAAACTGCAACAGACCGAAGAGAGATCTACACGTCTTGATGAATACTTTCATTTCAAACTTATGTCTCGGTTTAACAGCAGAATCGTTTGCAAGGACTGGCAAGCTGGTAGTGATATATCTTGTCATGAATCATTCTGTATGAATATATGAATGCTTTGTGGCTCAAACAGCAGTCTCTGTGGATAGCCCCAAGGTCAAGTTTCTTGCTGATTAGATGCTTTAAGCGTATTCTGCTTACTGAATGTCCAGCAATGGTACGAAGAACCGTATCCAAGAGACCGCCCAGGGCTATCTGTCGTTTCCAGCCTTCTGTTCCATCATGAGGGATAACGCGTACCAAACCGCTGGCTGTGTTATCTTGGTATTGAAACACGCGAGAAAGAATCGCCATGCGCGTCTGTTCTTCAAGAATACACAACTGAATAACATCGACATTCCTCTAGAAACTTGCCACAGAGTTTACCAGCCTAAAGCAAAGTCGATCTACGAAGGGGACTGGGATAGAGTTTCGCAATAGCAAAATGCTGGGTAACGCGTGCAGCTAATCGGGCTGTTACAAAGTCACTGAGATTGCAAATGCACGAGCGCCTTATGGTTGTGCTGGTAACTGATGAGGTAAATACACAGAGGAAAGAACCATCTGATTAAAATGGGATCCCATAATGGAGGAAGTGGAGGTCATTGTCGGGAGAGATACCGCATGAAGATTGACTCCATTGACGTCAAGTTCTCAGGCGACAGAAAGCGTCGACTGCAGTGTGCTGCATCTGCTGAGCCTAATCCCCTTCGATGTGGCAGTCTATCTGGCGTATGGCACATGCCTTGAACCCGGAAGGATCATTTTCTGGTTTTCTGCACGTGGTCGGCAACGCTGCAGCCAACAGGTCTGATGCTGCTGGTTTGTGCTTTCCAAGAGACATTCCTAAAATGGACCAAGGTCATTGGTGAGACATCGATCGACATTAGGATACAATCTGCGGTACTGGACATGTTGCAGGAAAACTCATTCGATGCAATATGGACGAACATCAACAGATATATCCCGAATAACAATCTCGGGTATGGGTTTATTCAGTGAGAAATGAAGGATAATGCTCTATACTACCTGACTTGCTCACTCGGCAGCTTGTCCATTCTGGTCTTGCTTCTAGAACACATTTACATATCCCTGATCTCGTCAAATATGCTCACAGTTATCTAGTCCTTCTACCCTAGGAAATATGATATTTAACATGATTATATTAAGCGGAACTGCATTTTTAACATACCGCTGTGTCATCACCCCCCCCACAGTGGGCAATTTATACGTCTTATCGGACCACCAGGGATCCGAAATCTATGCTTCGCGCATATAATCAGACCGTGTCATAAGACTATGACATACTATCACACGTTCTCAAAAGCAAGGAGACATTCCTTATCTCAACAATTTCCACTGATTCCGACGAGGCAGTCTTCGATAAATTATGGCTCCTTTTGTTACGGCTCAAGCTTCGCTGGGAAAACGCTCAAGACCCTGCACCAGACCTCCGGTCCCGCTGTTATTGGTTATAACCGAAATGCATGGGGGAGGATAAAGACGAATGACTTACTTTCCCGAAATAGTGGTTGAAAAAGCAGAGTTTTACGATCATACGAATGAAACAGGGGTTATGCTATTTCCTGTGGCGAGAGCTGATCGTGGACGAAGTATAATCCAGATAATACTAACAAAACATTCCGCTGATCACAGATGCGTCATATCGCTGTGTTGTCTTTTTCATCGTACATGCAGCCATTGGAAACATTCTGCATATTATGACAACCAAGCTACATTCACAAGACTTCATCAGCAACATAAACTGTCCAAATCTATATCTAATAGGATGATGGCTTTATCGCAACCAGATCTCCCAACACTGACATGATAAATTCCATCGTACTTGTCTACAGACATCTACAATGTCTGCCGTGTCTTCCTATTGACACGAACAACAGTGTAGCGGGCAAGGCCGACGTGACTCCGACGTAGGCTGTCTTCGACTGTGAAACCAGCTTCGGGGAATAACTTTGTACTTAACTGAACACTACACACGTTTACCACTCCTTTCTATGTCTAATACAAAACGGGCCTATATCCAGCGTACTATATGGAATGCGGCAAACAGCCTGAGAATTTATACCAGACGATTTAATCATATTTCTGGATGAGAGAACGGTAGAGTGAGACCATCTGCATCTCTTCAATTGAAGAGTCACCAAAAGACGTCGGATTCATAGTGCTGAATCAATGTCTTCAGAATATATTACCATTAAAAACGGGGTACTTTCAATTCTTAAATCTACATTCTAAACACATACAGACGCATCAGCTGAATCCCATCGAAACTGTCATATTTTTCCTCATTCAACAGCTTAAATGGACATGAACCAACTCCTCCGAAATATTCCAAGCTTACTTGAAGGTGTTGCGCAGTATTCTTCAGTATTTAGCTTTGCTTCATCCCGTGAAATCTCCGTGGATGCGAATACAGAAGGGGTGGAAGCATCAGAGCTGGTCCTGAAGTGGTTTCGGATATTTTCATGATTGAGGATTGGCCACTATCTATTCCTGTTGAGATTGAGGCTAAAGTAGCATGATAAGGTGAAGCACTCTGAATATAGATTGAGGTTTGGTGCGTGGTTGGTATCAATTTACCGGAGATGCTATGCTTATACGTTTTGTATGTTCTTCCAGAAATTAGACACCTAAGGACTGAGTAAGTAACTTAATAATGAAACATACCGATCGTTACCAGGCTTTCTCCTTATGATATTCTTACATAGGATACTACCTACCCACACCAGGTAAAACCCACTACACACTCCGATTGTTCGGGAAATGTCTACGGATTCTACCTCTCGAGTGTAGGAACTATCCACGAAACCTGGGTGATACAAGGCGCAGCTACGTTTATATAAAGGCCTTAATCCACCTGTTCATAGACCCTTCTTCACCACCATCACACTCATTCATCCCAGGTCCTCCCAGCCGACTCAACAACTATACCCATGAAGAAAAGAAAACAGAAAGAATAATATGATCTCGAGACTCAGAAGGAAAAACCCGAACTTATATACCAACAACTCCAGGCATTCCTGCCTATAACAACCCCCCCGAAATATGGAGTACACACACCCAACCCACTCACTGCGTGGGAAATTACCATCCCAAACGCATTGTCTGCAAATCCACCAGTCATCTTAAAGGGGAAACACCTATTCCAACACCCACAGAAAACGGGATACCAAGGATCAGATCCACATGTGTACGACCAACGAATCCTTGACCCATCCTCCGATCATGCAGCCATTTATAAGAAATCTGCTGATCCAAACTGGTGGCCGTGGATTGCTAGTTATGAGATGAGCTATTCTAGTTGCTCACAAGGCTGCCAACCCCGCGACCAGGGGTCACATAATCGTCTTATCGGGTATATCCACGACTGAGACCACATTACTTTGTTTGGCTTGATGCAAGGATGTCACCTTGATTGACTTGACTCAACAAGGCACCTGGTTTCGGCATAGCTTCGAGGAAGAGATGCTGCTAAAATGCGAGCGAAGGCACTTATTTAAAGAGCTGATCGAATGACACCACGCACATGGCCAGGGTGCATGCTTGTCTGTGGCTTAGAGGGGAGAGGTGTCCCGGAAATACCAAGAGCAGGAGCTATAACAACAGCATATTAGGGTTGTTACTCATGTCGACGTCGATTCAATGTCGGGATACATGGCTTTTCTTGTCGCCATGGGGTGGTGGTTCTTGCCCGTCTTATTGGAACTCTCTATGGTGTTTGGTTTTCGAGGCATTTGAGTGAGGGTGTGATGGCTGTGTTGGAAGTGTTGTCTTGCTATAGCTGTCATTGATGATACGGGTTGGTGGCATTGTGGGTTGGGGTGAGAATGACTGGTCAGGTTCAGGGTAGGTGCGATGGCTGTTGACATATTGGGTGTTGTGAACAGAGTTGTTCAGTGGCTTGTTGGGGTGAATGATGTGATTTGGTGAGGCTGGATGATTGGACTGCTGTTCAAGATCAGGCTGGGTAGTGGACTGGTCGTTGGGTTTGTCGGATCCATCGGTCATTGCGAAAAGGAGTTGCTGCGATATTTGAGGTATATGATGAGAACATATGGGATATCCAGGTAGATGTAACGGACAGGCTTGTTTCGGCAGAGTCATGGGAGGGTATAGTCATGTCTGGTCGGTCACTATATTAACTATAAGCATGATATAGAGAGATATGAATGTATAGAAATGATCAATATTTATTATCAATTTCACGGAGGTCCTTGTAGGTGACAGATGATCCCCCAGTCAAAAGAAGATATCCCAAGCTAGATCAATCTGGCTGTGACAAGGGCTTCCAGTTAATCGTGCTTTTTATCATGTTTTCAGTCGAGGTTATCCTCGGAGAAATCTTTCCTGGGCTGGATAGTTCCAGAGATCAGCCATGTCATTTTAGTGAATAGTGGACATCATTGTAGATATAGACAGCTGACTGTAGGGCCGTAAGCAATGCTATACCCTGAATTACTTGCATTGCACCTGTATACTGCAAATCAAAATCCCTGCATCCTAAAGATGATACATCACATTTGAGATACAAGATATGGATTCGCCAACATAGCGGTCAGGAATTGATGTGTCATATAATATAATCCTGGTTATTTTTAGAGATCCGTCAACATTGTCAGGGAAAAAGCAAGCAGTCAGGTGACATCGCTCTGGAATCCTGCATTCCGATCGTACAGATTTGCGCTTATTCTTGATCGATACGGCTAAAATGCTTTGACCTCCCAAGTTCGTAGTAATTTTGATTCAGATAACTTGACCTTTGAAGGTGCACTCTTTAGATAAAAGCATGTTGATCGAGCTTCTATAAAAACATAGAGATTCATCTTACAGTGGGAGACATGCAAAACAAGAATTCCATTAATCTTGGCGCGACATGGTTTTGAAAATAAACATATCGGGACATGTACTAGGTGGCTGCCTTGGGCACCAATATGGCCACTCAACCACTGCAAGAGGACGTTTTCTGGAATGTCGGACAATGCAATTATTTGGGTGTTCTTAGGATGACAAGCGACACAATATCAGGAGAAGTAACACAGCTACATACAGTGAATCTAGTTTTACCATTTCCGCTAAACTTTACATCCTGATCAGCCGTATGGTATACAAATAGCATACGCTTAAGAAAAAACCAACCCGCTCATGGTTTTCGGTCACTTTACCTTAATTCCAGCAATCAAAAGTTCAGAGTTTGATGCTAGCCACGAGTGACCTGTTCAGGTAGCAGCGAGTTTGAAAACACCTGGCAACCCCTGAATACGACTTAGCGGTAATTTTGACCTATCAAACCAGCCTACTGCACACAAGAAGTCTATTTACCACGCTTATGCAGTCTAGTCTTGGATTCATTTAACAGGAACAGGGATGGTAACCTGTCCATTGACAGACCAGCACGAGGCTGACGACGCGTTGCTGCACTTCATAGCACATGCTAGTGTGTTTGTATCACTCAAAACAAAAAAAGTTGACAGAATAAATACGAACACCTATTTCCGTCCCCCCCAATTAACCCGGTAAACTGAGATAAGCACTTGAAAGATACCACTTCTTTGTTTTGTTTATTGTTTACCGTGTTACCACTGACGTGAATCCCAGGGGGTATAACATTGGGTACTTTCACAGCCCACCTATTGAACCACGTCTTGTTATCACACCGTTGCACTAACACTCTACTTTGGTTACCCCTCTTAACTTTCACTTCGACTAGTCCATTGCTCGAGCCCATTTTTGTTGATTCAGCCTTGTTGCAATCTCCAGCCCGCACCCGTTCCAGACTTTGAATTCAAGAACCATCTCTCCCAAACGACTTGAATCCCTGCTGTACGCCCTGACTTCTGCCTGCTACTTCATCCACGTCCTATAAATACATTGTCTGGCTTACAGCATCCACACCGTCATGCCGATCGTTCCACGAAGAAGCAGAAGACGAGCCGTCAAGACCAGTGGTCGCTGGACGGAAGACGAGAGACAGCATTTGTGGTTTTTGCGATCTCAGCATTCTACGCTACCGTGGGGGAGGTTTCACGAGGTATTTGATTAAGGTCGGCTTGGTTTGTGTTGTACTAATACTAGTAGCAATTCTTTCCGAATAGGAGTCTTAATGCTCTTCAGAAGGCTTATTCGGTATGTTTTACTTTTGAGTTCAGAGCTAAGTGTAACTGACGGCTGGACAGATCATGAGTCTGGAAAAGAAAAAATCAGACATGGTACGTATAGCGACTCCTGTCTGTGTTCATGACAGCTAATGAGTCAAATTCAGACCGATACACCCAAGATACATGGAAGAGTGGTTAAGCGCCCATTGTCTGACACCCAGGATGACCAGCCGTGGAAGCAGACCAAAAGAACCACCGATATTCCTTTTGAGAAGAGTCTCGTGGAAGAAACAGATGACAGTGCATCATCGGATGATGAATCCTCTAGCTCGGGTTCAGAGAGTGATTCCGATGAGGAAACGCCTCAGGAACCGACGACCAGTCACCGAGAAAAAAGTACTCCTGCAATCGAGACCGCTCCTGGTGAAGAGGCCGCAAACAATGATGTCCATCAAGAGGAAGAAACTACTGATCCCAAATCCCCCAAGGTGAATAGCACCTAACCCGTGAATTGAGATATACTGACCCATGCAGGTGGCCCCAACAAAAGTAGTCCCTGCTGCAAGTCCAACCATTGAGAACCCAAAGCCTCTCGGTGTAGTGAGAACAGAGCAAAAGATCAACCCGAGTGACAACCACAGCACTTCTAGCAAGGTATCCAGCCACGCACTCCCACCACCACCAGTATGGGTGCAAATCATGAACTCGGCGACTCGGGACTACAGGATTATGGATTTCAAGATTCGGGACGCAGAGAGAGTGGCATCTGCTTTACAGGAGGAGGTCGACACCCTCAAACAGCTAAACGAGGGTAAAGAGGACAAAATCGCGGCTCTGCAAGAAGACGTTAGAAAACACCTCCAAACAATCCGTCGCCTCCAACAAGATGAGAACAGACATACCGATGAGATGACTCAGCAACGGTCCGCGAACCAGATACTATCGGATCAGATCGATGTTCTGGAAAAGAAGCTGATTATCGCTCGGAGTCAAAACAAGTGTGAAACGTGTGCGAGAGTTAGAGAGTTGACTTCGCGGATGAGTTGATTCCTAATTATGATCATGGCTGCTTGTTTTCTTTTTGTAATTGATTTGAACATCGTCGGCGTTGTCGGTCAAGCTCTGGAGCTTGTGTCTGACAGGTCCACGGCTTTGCAATACACGCAGTATGAAGGGGATCGCGAAGCGAAGCATACTAGTACTGCATAAACATACACATAATCTTATCAACCAGCTCCAAGCCTGCTATGTCCACTTAACAAATCCACAAAACTACACACATTTGCTCCTACATCTCATCAGTATCCTTGCAATCTTCTTACTCCACTCAACCCCCCCTAAATTGTCTATATAAAGCGTCCTTCAGCACCAAACCCTTGCACTACCATTCAAAATTGACCTGCATATTGACAGCGCATCTAACATCCCCACACCATCACCATCACCAACCATCCCAGATCCTAAATCCTAGTTCCTAGATCCTCCACACCGCTCATCTATCCACTCCACTTCAACGCCCAACAACCGTACATTCGGCATACATCAAGCCAGTAGTACCCAACCCCTCTGTCTAACTAAGAACACTCCCATTTTTCTTTTCTTTTCGTTCTAAAAAAGGAAAGAGAAGTAAAGTAGAAACGATATTTCAGTTAATCACATCCGACCCCTCAAAAGAAAAAAAAAACCCCCAAAAGTGAAAGGAAAATGAAAGAAAAGCCTGAGCAACGACTCGAACGCGGAATGGCCATGCGAACTGTAAACTGATCCTGTACCGTACAGCATAAATAGCATAACTTGCTTTTGGGACTTGTTTGCTGGAAAGGGGCGATGGGATAGCATGCTTGAAGTTTGATAGTAATTCCATGTAGTCGGTGTTTGTTGAGGCTTTGATCATTTCTTTTTGTTTTGGTCTGCTGGTTGGTGTGGTCGTGGTGTGGTTACACAGATCGGTCCGCGGATGGAACTTTTTTATGGATGCAGCAGAGAAAGGGATGTTGAGGGACAGGTGCAGAGAGAGAGATTTATCAAGATGATGTAGGCTTATTGAATTTGATTTGTGTGGTGATAGCTATAGGCGTTTGAGCAAGAAGACCGTGGGATGAAATGCTGTTGAATCTCTATTTGTCGTATGAGAAATTTCATAGCATGACATACAAACGAAAGAAGAAGACATGACTGATTAACTGGGGGCTGTGAGTCCCAACATCATTATCTTGAACTTCAAACTAAAACTCATCTAAACTCCCAACAATAAAAACTCATGGCATCCTATGCAATCAACTAGAATCCCACCGTCCCGACAACCTGCTTCAAAAGGAACTCCCGAGTTACTGTCGGCGCCACCAATCCCACCTCCACAAGACGTCCACTTGTTTCTCCCTGCAATGTAAACGGAGTCCACCCGGCGTCAAACCACTGCTCCAGCACTTCTGCGTGCATGATCATCTCAGGATTATGGCTCTCTCGAAGACCCTTGAACCATTCTGCTGGTGGGACCACCGCTAGAGACACTCCGCCATCTGCTGGGTCACCACCCAATACCGCTGGCAACTGCGTGTACGGGATGTGCTTCTCCGCTTGATAGTTGAAGATGCGTGTCTGACCTGTAGTCCCAGGGGTCGAGTCACTGGAAAGATGCTTGATTGACTGCACCAAATAGTCCACCGAAATCCAGCTCATTCCGCCTCCATTGGCGCTCCGGAAATCAGGAACAAGACTGGTCTGTAAGCAGGCCTCGAGGATTCGTCGGTTGATGTCGGTTCGGTCGAGTCCGCGGCCTGACAGTGGCGCACTACCACACATGCAGGCGCGGTAGATGCTCACAGGAAGGCCCCGTTTCGCTGCTTCATATAACAGGGCCTCGCACACCCAGCGGCATTTTAGGTATCCTAGGGTGTTTTCGCTGCCAGGGGTCAGGTTGGTGAGTTCTTTCTCGCCATCGATGTAGCCTTGGTTGGACAGGCTGCTGGATGCCCATGATTGCAGGTGCGGAACTCCCCAGCTGGACAAATAGTGCAGTGGTTTTACCTTGCCCGAGGATCCACGGGCTAGGTCGATAAGGAAATGTAGTGAGCCAATGTTGGTCGGTCGGAGGGCCTCATAGTTCTTCAACAGGGACACGTCCGAGTCGAAATGGTAAACCTGGTCTGCCTGCTCATCGAGATGGCGTACAATGTCGTCCGATAGCCCGAGAGTAGGATGCGATAGACTGCCACGGTATACGTAGAGTCTTTCATCGAGCGCTGCACTGGATACGTCTAGTAAGTTCCATTTGGAAAAGGTGGACAAGACGCTGGCCCGGGCTTCATGCTCGCTGGTCGCTTGCACCCCAATACAATGCACATTGACCGTAGACGAAGCCAACATTAGATGTACGAAATGGGCACCGATCATGGTCGTCGCGCCAGTAACAACAATCGCAGCTGGGTTGGCCGCTTCAGAGGATGCGACCGTCCAAGTTGGTCCGGGCAGCAATGTCTCTTTCTGCCAGTCGATGGTTGCCGACGGTTCATGTTCGTCCGAAATGGCCTCTTTTGAATGTCCATCGTAGTCACCACGTTGATACTGAGCTAGCAAATACCCCATTTCCCTGAGTGATGGATTCGCAAACATCTCCGCAAGCGAGATGGTAACACCGCATTTGTCGGCAATCTCGCTTTGAATTTGAAGCAAGATCAACGAGTGTCCACCTAGAGCGAACAAGTCATCGGCAGGGCCCAGAGCCTCGCCAATATGCAGAACGCTCTTCCAGACACTTGCAACAATGCTTTCAGTCTCGCTCAGATTCTCATGAGAACTAACCCCATTGGCTGCATTGACTGTCGGTGCCTGCCACGAGGAAATGGCCAAGTGATCGATTTTTCCTGTGATGGTGCGTGGCAAATCGCGGACAAACACATAAGCTGCCGGCAGCATGTGGACAGGAAGGGTGGCTTTGAGAGCGAGTCGCAAATAGCCAGTCAAATGCCGCTGTTCATCATCTGATACCTCAACAGACCCGGACGGTGCGAGGTATGCCGCGAGAAGCCCATCAAGTTCGCCCTTGCGGTGATACGTAACAGCCACAAGCGATAGCGATGGGGCCCCTTCTTCTTGCAAGACCTCGTATGCGGACCAGATCGCATTCTCTATTTCCTGGAGCTCAACCCGCATGGAGCGTATCTTGACCTGACGGTCGCTGCCAATGCGCCCAAGAGCGCGCACAGTTCCGTCTCGAGAAAGGCAAAAAGCATCTCCGGTGCGATAGAGCTTGCCAAAGCCGGCCTGAATCTCCGACTCTGGAGCAAAGGGGTCGTCGAGGAAAGCCTTTGCTGTGATTTCAGGCCTGTTCACATATCCCCGGTTGACATTAGGGCCGCCAATATACAGCTCGCCAGGAACTCCGAATGGAGCCGGCCGCATTTCCTCGTCGAGGATATACAAACGTGCGGGGAAGAACGGGACGTTAAGTGGAATATCCGATCTTCCAGCATCTTCCGGAAACAATCTATGCCCTGGTTAGACCCAACAATAAATCTAGGGTGGTTGCTCACTCTTTCAATGTGTTAACAACAGTCGTCTCAGACGGCGCATATCCGTTGAAGAACCTGGCTTGCGGCAACTCGAGGGCGAAAAAGTCCCGGACTAGATGAGTGGATACCGATTCCCCTCCTAGTACAAGTCTCCGCAGACTCGTCCAAAGCGAGAGGTCTTTCTTGTTGGGTGCTTGCAGCATGACCTTGACCTGTGTAGGGGTAAATATGCAGTTGGTGATCTGCCGAGTGATTAATGTGCTGATCATCTCGATGGCAGAATATCGCGCTGCGTTGACAGGTCAGCTATCTTGACACAAATATATCGAACAATGATATACCTTCTCTGGATGCAACAAACATGGTGGCGCCATATTGAATCGTCCCAAAAATGGCTGGAAGTGACATGTCAAACACCATTGCTGAAGCCAGCAGGATCAAATCGTCGCTAGATGTGCCGATATATTTGTTGTACCCATGCATCTGATATCGCAATTGGGCATGACCAATATACACACCCTTTGGTCGACCCGTACTTCCACTCGTGAAGATGCAGCAGAAATTATCCGAAGGCTCGATTTCCCGAGGCAAGACAGGTGTCTCCATCCTGCTGGATTCCTGGCTGACTTTTTCGACCTCATATAGATGTTCCAACTCAAAGCCACACATCAAGATCTGTTGACTCTTCTTGTCGCCCAAGTCATCCACGAGTATCTTGCTGATCCCCACATCTTCAATCATCCAGGAAATACGCTCTGCAGGAAAGTCAGGATCGATTGGGACATACACACACCCGGCCCTGAGAATGCCGTAAACTGCAATGACCAGGGAGTTGCTTTGCTCGCAGCAGATACCGATGCGATCCCCCATTCGTGCCCCATTATCCAGCAAAGTGTTCGCCACAGCATTCGTGCGCGCCTTTAACTCACTGTAGCTGAGGCTGCCGTGGCAATCAATAAGTGCCGTCTTATTCGGATTCTCTCCGACCGCAGCGGCAAACAAAACAGGGAACAATGACTGGTTGAGTTGTTCCAAGGATGGTTCATCCTCGTAAGACGGTTGTAGAGCGGATGCGATCCGAGCCTTGTCAGCGCTCGAGACTAGTTGGAAATCCTCGATTTGACCAGCGCCATCCTTCTCAATCACATCTTGGATGAAGAGATGATACATCTCTACCAATTCCAGAACACCAGCTTCGTCGTACAGGGAACTATCAAAGTCCCATCCACACAAAAGCTCACCCGTTCCCAACTCTTCAACCTCCAGGGCAATGTCTGATTGGGATCTCGCATTGTAATGATCGTACTCTGCGAACTTGAACTCCCCAAAGTCGACTTCAGGAAAGCCCCCTTGAACTTGATAGTTGACTGTGATCTGGAAGACAGGGCTGTGACTAGTACTGCGGGAAATGTTCAGCTTCTGCAGAAGGTAATCAAATGGGACCGCGTGATGCTCATATGCCTCAAGACAGGTAGTCCGGAACTGCTCCAGGAATGTCATGTAGGGCATATGACGGGTGATGTGACTTCGCAAGGGCAACATATTGACCGTAAAGCCAATCAGCTGATCAAAGGCCGAGTGTCCTCGATCACCATCCGTGATTCCAATGACGACATCCTCATCTCCAGTCAACCGGCTCAGAACTGCACCCAGAGCAGAGGTAACAAACATGAAGGGCGTAACTGCATGTCTCTTGCAAAAGTTCTTAATACTTGTCGCTAATTCGGCATCCAGAATATGCTGCACCCGGCCAACCTCGTATACCTTCATAGATGGTCGCTGCTCCTTCAACGCAAAAGGCAACAGGGAAACGGCTTGGGGAACCCCAGCGAGCTTCTTCTCCCAGTAGCTTATCATTGGGGCGGTAAGAGCTTCTTGGTTCAACCAATCATTTTGCCAAAGAGTGTAGTCAATGAACTGGAAAGGCACTGGTTGAAGCTGTTCTTCTGGCTGCTCTCCAGCTAGGAGAAATTTGTAGATTGCCGAAGTCTCGCTAAAAATTGTAGGAACCGAGGAGCGATCCCAGGCAAGGTGGTTCGAAGCGAGGAAGAAGCGAGCCTTGGTGGGCGATCTGAGCAGCCACCCTCGAATCAGCTCACCTCCTTCGACGTCAAAGTTGTGGACTCTAGCTATCTGGGTCAATGCTTCTTCTCGCTGCTGGAAATCTTCATCCGAGGTCTCGACAACCGTCAACGGGAACGCCCTCTCGGAAATCGGAATTTGTTGCAATCCATCCGCCGTGTCAACAATCTTCGATCGCAGAACTTCATGCCGTTCCATTAGTACCGTCCAAGCTGTGGCGAACTTGGTGGCATCAACACATCCGATTATATGGCAGACCAAGAGAAGATTGTACACCGTCTTATCGGATAAAAATCTGTACAAGAACCATAACCGTTGCTGAGAATGTGACAGAGGACGCACGGCCACCTCAGTGTGAGCAACCGGCTGCGGTATCTTGATTGCCTCTGTCGCAGACTTCTGCCCCTCGAGCTTCTGATAGGCACGTGCAAGCAATGCATTGATGCTTGTGCAGCCAAGAACATCAAACACAGGAAGGTCGACACCAATTTCTTTGAAGAACCAGTATCGCACCCCCACCGCATTCAACGAGTCCAGTCCATACATGGAGAGAGGAGAGGCAGGATCGAATGATGATTCGTGCTGACCGGTAATATTCGACAGACATACCCTGAATCCCTTGAGCAGCGCACCCAATGCGGCATCGGAATCTAGCGCCAGCACTTGATCGAGAAGAGAAAGCTCCGCGGCAGCTCCAGACCCCGAGGCTTTGTGGTCCATTAAGCAGGCAAATTCAGGCCATTCAGTCCAAAAGATTTGAGTTTGGTCTGACTCTGCCTGAACCTTGCCATCAAGTGTTTCGAACATCTGTAGACCAACGGTGATAGTCGCATGATCCCGGGACTGGGAGGATAAAATAGCCGCCTCCATAACTTTCTCCAGGCCTTTGGCATCAACGATATCCAGGCCGCTCTGGCGAAGGATGCGAAGTAGTTCTTCATTATTTGCCAGGACTCCGATACCGGACATAGCACCCAGTGCAACAGCGGTTCCGGGAAGTCCTAAACCATGGCGGTACTCAGCCATTGAATTGAGGAATGCATTGCCAGTAGCATAATTGGCTTGTGCTCTGTTGCCACAGATTGAACTGATGGAGGAGAACATGATGAAAAAGTCCAAGTCGTCTTGCAATGTATGCTGGTGCAAGTTCCACGTCGTATCAACCTTCACTCGAAGGACATCATCCCACTGCTCATCTGTCATCGTTGAGAAAGGCGAGTTCTTCAGAATCATTGCAAGGTTGAGGCAGCCACGAATAGGAATCACCTGTCGAATTGACTCGAGGGCTTCTTGCACAGCACTGGAATCCGTTGCGTCTGCACTCAATACTTCCAGATGACCATGGAGCCTCTCAATAGCCTCTACTGTCTCATGAGCGCCGGGGGCGAGAATTCCTCGACGGCTCAGAATGTAGAGGTTCTTGGCCCCGTTTTGAATCATCCATGAACACAAGTATTGGCCAAGACCTCCAGATCCTCCGATAATTATATAGGCACCGTCATCACGGAACAGAGGCTTCTTTGAAGGGTACCATGTAATGGCATTGCCAAGGTCATCATGTTCGGAGTGACTGAGAACAACGGCAAACGGCTGTTCTACTGCCCTCTCGAAGGCGACCTGATGGTCCTTGATGTTGAACGTTGACACGACACTGTTCAGTGCTAATCGAGGGCCAAGCCGTGAAGCAACAGAGTTGTGGAAGGCATTGGTGGCCGACAATTTCTGCAGACAAACCGGGCCACCATTCAATAGTAGACCTCTTTCACTAGCATACTCAATGACTATATCCGTGCTGCGAGCCTCTGAGACAACTGTGACTCCCAGGAGCTTTGCAGTTGCTGTCAATGCTTCGCCAAGGACTCCGGCGACGCGTATATACAGCCTGTCTCCACGACGACATCTCGCGATGTCGCCTAAAACAGTCGCTGCTGTAGTAAAAGCCGCATACTGCACAACAGCATCTACCACAGAAGTCCCCTCAGGGATAGGGAACACCTGTGATGCGGGCAGATCCAGAACGGACTGGTGCGCATTCGTATGCCACCCCACGACCCGAATAAAGGAGGAGTCAGATCCAAAAGCAGAGTAAGCACGTCCGGCAAAGAAACGCCCCAGGTGCGGCGAATCCAACAGACTGCGATTGTTAAACCGGTACGTATCGGCCAGATCCACAACACTAGTATCAACAACAACCCGATATGTATTTTGTTGACGACCCACATCAATGCCAGCTCTTTCACTCAAAAGGAGGGTCGATCTTGGACCCGACAAGGTCAGCTGATGTATAGAGAGCTGCGGGCTTCGCTTGGCAGCCTCCTGGACTGGAGGTATAATTCCCACGCTTGCAGATAGCTCATCATCTGGCTGGTATCGCAGAATGTGGAAGCGCCGGTCCTGAACAACGTACTGGATTTCGCGGTCCCCGTGTATGATATCATCATAAAGGGCAAGTGTTGTCCGAGTAATAAAGTCCATGTCCTTTTCTCCCTTGAATATAAGGGTGGCGAATCTGACAGAGGGATACTCTGACTGCAGAGTTTTCAGGAGACTTCCTGACAGGTTGCCCAAACCATCCGCTATGGATACCCAGAGAAGCACTTTGACGTGGTCCACCACGAATTGCAGCCAAGGTAGAATTTGGGCGCCTTTCCAATCCACCAGGATTGACTTGTCTGCACTGTCAACAATAATGGCGTCGAAACTATCAGTGGAGGCGTTGGCGCTTGTCCATTGCTTGAGCGTCTGTGTCTCCAGCAAAATGCCTTCGAATTTGGGGCTCGCATTGGCGACGGAAGGCGCTGAGATAATGTCAAATGGCGCAATAACCTTCACATTATCCGGAACCAGCGTCCCATTTGCATGTGGCTTGAGCCGTCCTAGTCTCCAAGTCTTTTCATCCAGTCCCGTCACGTCGCAGATCGAGTCGAATGTTTCCGAAAAGAAAGCTTCATCTTCATGGTCTTCTAGCAGTGCGCAGACCACACCGTTCTGCAACAGATTAGATGTGGAAGACCGGACATCACAAGCTTTGCCTATCAGACAGTGTAACTTCAGAGAGCCGTCCAAGCCATCCAGAGTCCTCACGCGATCAGACTGTTTCACAGAATGATCACCGACTATGGTCAATGAGCGGAATTTCGGTCGTTGATGCGATTCCATACCCTGGAGGCCAGAGAGTAAAGTCGCAGTCGTTGTTGAATCAAGATTGATTATTCCAACATCGCACATGGGCCACTTTCCGGTGACAAGCTCCGTTACCCGTTTGATGTGCAAGGCGCTGGTGCTCGACAAACGAATTATATCTGGCTGTAGGTGGCTTTTGTAGAACAAAGACTTTAGAATAGGATCCTTCTGAATCACCTTCTGCCGCTGTAAAGACATCCCTCGGACGACTAAGCCATGGCCGGATTCTCCATAAACAGCCAGTTCGGCCTTTCCGCCGGTTGTGCCCCGCGTCGGGAATGTCACCTGGAATGACCCTTTCTCGATCGCTGGCATCGTGATATCTAGCTCCAAAGTCCCGATCTCAAGTAGCTGATAGGCTGCTGGAAGTCCTGATGCCTGCAGAACGAGTTCAGGAAGTTGTAGTACTGTAGAGAGAATGGCAGGGTCGACCTTGTAATTCTCGTATCCAAGGACCGGGTTCGAGAACCGACCGTAGGCGCTATCTTTGTTGAAGGAGAAGTCATCAAGGTCAGGGTGTTGCATCGTCCCGAAAGATAGCGCGTATTCTAGTTTATCCTCGTCATGTTGACACTCTGTAGATTCTGGAAGTGTAGTTTCGTCTCGAGAAAAGCTCAATCGAGAAGTGCAGTTCTTCACCCATGTCATTTCACTTTGGGAACGCGCAGAAAATATCTCAAGCCTCCATCCACTAGTGGCGGTATCCTGGTGTATAACCAGATGAATCTCCATTGGAGCCTCGGGATCCTCTGGGAATGGTATTGGATGCTGAAAGGCAATATCCTGAAGCCGAACCAGGGGCATGTCCAGCTGATTCTCGATGAATATCTGCCGTGCAGCTTCCAGAATCATAGAAAGGGTTATTGCCACTGAGCCATAAAACGATCGGTCGGTCTAGAGCCATCGATTAACAACTTGCTTCTTTCTCATTTGAGACAATCTTACCAATGTATGGGCAATATCGCCCAAATCCTGTAAGCAAAAGACGTTCCTCCACCTTGGGGCAAGCGGCATATCGTTATGAAACCTTGTACCCAGCAGTTGATGGCGGGGAAATCGGCGCTCACGTACATTCTTGCTCAATCGAGACTCGGCCCAGAATCCTGTCGAGTGGTCCCAGTGGTAGGTAGGGAGGTCTGTGAGCACCCTTCCTGTGGTGTATGTAGACTTGAGGCCATGGCATGTCTGGGCTGCATTAACACGGCTTGCCAACACCGGCAAATTCGCGGCTATCATGCTTCCAGCAGTATTCAACATTGCTTCATGATCTGGCTGTCCACGGAAGCAAGAGTGGAAATACTGGTATTCGGTCTTACCCATGCTGGATAAGACGTCCCCAACAGGCCCTTTCAAAGCCGGGTGAGGTCCGATTTCGAAAAAGACATCCGGGTTAACATTGGTAGCAAGCTGACCTAATGCATCCAGAAAGCGTACACAGGACACCATGTTGTCTCTCCAGTACGAGGGAACACAGTCACCGCTAGTTACCTTCTGTCTAGTCACCGAGGAGAACATCTCACACGTTGTTGGATTGCCACTGAGGGGTTGGACATGCGCCGCGTTCATTGCATTTTCGTATGCTGGGGCTAACGGTAGCATGTGATGGGAGTGGTATGCTGATTAATTTGTCAGTTAAATAATGAAACAATGGCCAATTGATATAGCCACATACCCATGTCAACACGCAGCGCCCGGCAGAATGTACCATTCTCAGTACACTCTGCCACGATCTTTTGGATCCCATCAACATCGCCAGATAGTGTGCAGCTGCTTGGTGAATTCACAGCCGCAAGAACGACTTTTCCTTGGTACCTTTCAAGCATATTAGCGCAGTCAGCTTCTCCCAGACCAATGGCACACATAGCCCCGGCGGGACCGTCTCGCTTGACAGGGGCATTTTCACCCAGATACAAACCACGATAAAAGGCGATGGTAATAGCATCTCGAAGGGAGAGAAATCCTGCAGCGTAGGCAGCTCCAATCTCCCCAGAAGAATGGCCAACAACACCGTTCGGTGAGATGCCCCAGGATCTCAGGATCTCCACCAGTCCGATCTGCAACGCAGTGCACATTGGCTGTGAGAAGCTGGCTCTAGCTAACCGGGACTTCTCTTTAGACTTGACTAGTTCCTCTGCAATCTTCCACGATGGCGCGTCAGGCAAAGATTGCAAGACGTTATCGCAATCGGTAATGACGCTTCGGAACAGGGGAGATGTCCCCAGCAACTGCTTTCCCATCTGGGGCCTAGATAGAACCACATGTTAGCGAGAGATCTCACAGGAAAACCAACCGATTGATAGATTGAGCCAAATGATCACTTGCCATTGTGCACCTTGGCCAGTAAAGATGAAGGCCACTTTTTTATTGGCAGTGTTGCTTCTCACGAGCTCCTGGGGCTCAACTCTCAGTTTCGAAACCAGTTCATCGTGAGAAGACGCGACAATAAACGCCAGCTTCCTGAGATTCGATCGCCGAGAAAGAAGGGTGTGCGAGAGATCACACAAGGCTGGTCGTTCTCTCTCAACGTAATCGGCTATCGATTTTGACAATCCCACGAGAGACGACGTATTGGCCGCTGAGACCTTGAACAGATATGGTCTATTCTCATCAAGTATCCTCGAAGCGGCATGTGTAGAGTCAAAGGCCTCCAAAACTGCATGGCCATTAGTACCGCCAAAGCCGAATGAGTTGACGCCTGCTCGTCGAGATCCATCCGTGCTTGTCGGCCAAGTCGTTAGATTGGTTGGAATGGATATCCGATCGAAATTTATCTTCGGGTTAGGGGTGCGGAATAGCATCTGTGGTGGGATAGTGGCTCGCTCAAGCGCCTCGACCGTCTTGATTATCCCAACCAACGCAGCGCAGGACTCAAGATGACCAATACTGCTCTTCACTGATCCTACTATCAGTTTGTCTACCGAGTGTGAGTCTCCAAACACGGCGTCAATCGCAGACATCTCTAGAGGATCTCCAACTGCAGTTCCGGTACCCTAGAGAGATATTCCTGGTCAGCATGTCTGGATTAGGCTCACAAAATCAGAGGTGAATCATACATGTGCCTCAATGTACTGAACACCACCAGGATCCAACTCGAGCTGTTTGTACAGTGAGAATAAATTCTGTCGTTGTGCCTCAGAGGACGGCAAGCTGATTCCTTGTGTGCGACCATCTTGATTGATCCTTGTGCCCCGGATCACCGCTCGAATAGGATCACCGTTCTGCAGAGCTTCATTCAGAGGCTTCAGAAGGATGGCCATCACACCCTCCCCTCTAGCATAGCCATCCCCAGCTGCATCAAAGGATTGACATCTGCCACTAGGACTCAAAAAGCCCAACTCAGACATGTGTACGAACATGTCGGGGCTGATGATCAGATTTGCGCCGCAAACAACTGCCATGCTAGATTCCCCTGCCTTGAGACCAGCCACTGCCTGATGCAAGGCTACCATTGTCGAAGAACAGGCCGTGTCGATGACTAGACTGGGTCCATGCAAGTCAAACACATAACTAATACGGTTAGCAGCAATGGAGTTTGACGTTCCTGTGGACATGTATTTCGGAGTCGCATCCACATCTCGTAGGAGACTAGTGTGGTAGTCATTTCCAAAGATACCTGTGTGCGGTCAAATTCATATCACCTCATTAAAACTAGAAGGGGCTTCATTACCAGCGTAAACAGCAGTATCACTCCCCTCAAACTCGTCGAGTGTAACCCCAGCATTCTCAATTGCCTCGTATGTGAGCTCGAGCAACAGGCGTTGCTGGGGGTCCATGGCCTCGGCCTCCAGTGGCGAAATCTTGAAGAATGTATTGTCGAATTTGTCAACCCCATCGGGCATAACATAAGCATGGCGGACATTTGTTAGACCTTTTCGAGGACCACCGTCAGGCTTGTAGAACCCATCCGAGTTGAACCGACTGATTTCGGTACGAACGTCCTTTGAGGACGCGAGCACATTCCAAAGCTCTGAGGGTGAATTGGCGCCTGCTACGCGGCAGGACATGCCTATTATGGCAATATCGGGAGATGAAACAGGTATCATGTTTAGGACTAGTTTCTGTCTTCACGAAAGTCTGGAGAGGAGTATGTGAGAAGTGAATAACTGACGCCAGGTAATGGTCTGTAGGAGAGTGTTCTGCTTATGAATGTTTATACGTGAACCACATTGTAGGAGACTGTTCACGTAAAACCCCAAGAGACTCGAGCCATGAAGCTATCCCCACTCGGTCTGACGGCCCCCATTCTAGGGTTTCGGCCCAGCTGCGGCTTACTTTCGGACCTGTTCGTGTCGGCAGACATTTCTCACATATGACGGCGGGACATAATCTGATGCCGCCGCGGGTGCAGTAGTGCCGGTATGGATACGAACATGGGGCCCGATATCCCTGTTGACTCCACTAAGCGCGGGCCGCACTGGGCGCCGAACGACGCCTTACCCTCCAGTACGTCAGTAGCTAGAGGTTTCCATGGCAGTGAGTGATAAATAGGTGGAGTCTGCCAATTGTTGCCACTCAATAAGACCACACTTGGCGTAATCATCAATTAGCCATGCAGATCTTTCAATCATTTGCAGGCCTGCTGGCTCTTGCCTCGGTGGGAGTCGCCGACTTTCTCTTTCACGGCTCCTCCATTGTGATTTATCCCTCCGCAGTATCAGTGCATCCTAAAGATAGCGAATATGTTGGAGCGAACTTCTTCTCCTACGTGACTCCTCAAGGCTATTTCAGTTTCGGCTGGTAAGCTGGCATCCGAACAGAGCCAAATGTTCTTAGGTACTGATACGTCCGCGCAGGTGGCTTGACCCGGTCCCAAATACCGACACTTCTCATTGCTCGCCGAAGCCTCGTCAGATCGACTGGTTTGAGTATACCTCAACGGGCAACTGCACGGCTGTGGAATGCCGAGTCCACGCCGTCAATTACCTGGTCCAAGACCCGTCGAAACCGTCCATCGATTCGGACTATGTAGCGACTGCCCTCGACCTGGGCAATGGTGAAGCTGGACGCTTAGCGCTCAGTTACTTCGACAGGCCCCTTGGAGGATATGCTGTCGGGTCCCGTAACGTCCTCAGTGGTGATGACGTGGATAGGAAATCCATCCGAGACTGTCACGATGCCTTTGAGACTCTGACAAACATCCAACAGAGATGGAAGGTCCAGCTCCCATTTGAACTGATCAACCCATGCGGTGAGGTTTCGGGGGAGTCTCTCCAATATCACTTGGGACTGTAGGAGCAAGTCATGTATTTTCACTTTCTGCGACTGAGGTCCCAACCATGGTGTCAGTTCTCTGTGGAAAAAAGCTCTTTGAGTTTTCAAGGAGGTGGAAGTTTTTTAATGGATATAACGGAGGAGGAATAGCATTGCCTTGAAAATGCCAATGATGACGGAGACATTTAGAATCCCATAAGCCAGATGGTACTCAACTTGTAATTTGTTAGCGCCTCCGGTAGTACTGAGACAGACCTGAAGTATTAATGCTAGAAATTCGTTGAGCAAGAAACGTGGATGTGAGTAGAGATCCATATGAGTGCACTACTCTACAGTGGCACAGATTGTTTGTCTTTCACAATGTGGATAAGCTGGATTCCCGAGTAGACCTGCCGACGCGTCGCCTCGGACGGATGCTTTTTCCGGGCCGACGCGGCCTCCCCCCCCAATGAAACTGGAGATTGTCCGATCCCATATTCCACGAGTTTTCCTCATGTCTACTGTATATAGAGAATGGCGAGTCTCTGATTTACGAGTTGAACTCCCACAAAAATTTCTGTGTTTTTCCTAGCAAGGTGTGCTCAATCACATGTTAAAGATGGATGTCCATCACGGCAACCATACGTTTAAATATATGTAACCTTATCACGCACATATCCAACATTGCCCAAACTATGGTCAAATACAATCAATGCATCGTATTTCGCCAGATCTATGGTATATCCAGTCTAAATCAGAAAACAGAGATCCGTGGGCAACAACGAATGGAGAACGATCCCTTCTTCCTGCATATTCCTCGCCAGCTCTTGGTCAATGACATTTTTGTATATGCGCGGCAAATGTGCCTGTCCCTGAGCCATACGTTCCAAAACTTTCGAAACGAGGCTCAGATCCAGTCGGTACGACTGCTGTTGCGAGAGACGCCACTGCACCAAAATGAAACGGCAGCACAAAAAGTAGGAGGACGCTAGCATCGGATTCGACACCGCATCAGTTGCAAGCCCTGAAATTTGACGGAGTGTAGCCACAACCTTGTCTACAGACTTGTAGGAGCACTGGAAATTCTGTTGTTGGGTGGGCATATTGGTATCTCCTGGGCTTCGGCGCTCTGCCTCAGTTATGTAGAAAAGCACCGTGGAGCAGGTGTGGAGAATGATCAGCAACCAGACACATTGGAGCGCATTTTCCGGCGGAACTTCACTGATGTTATGAACGTAAACTGGAAGCGATACCCAGAAGCAGGCCAGTGCGGACTGAAGCTCATGAAAGTCCGCTAGGCGGCTGCGGGCATCACCGGCATGTGTAGGTATGGGGTTTATAGTCTTGTATTTGACTGTGCGCCCTAGGATGACGCTAGCTTTGCAAACGAAACGAGTAAGAGAAGTCCCAATTGAAAGATTGGGGTTCTCTGAAGCCAGCGATGCAAGATCTCGATCGTAGCGTTCTGGGTCCGGGCGTAGGCCATACTGAAGAGAGCGGTCGTCTAAAGGGTAATTGACGCACCAGAGAGTGTCATCTACGACGAAATGGCGACCCATTAGGAAGTTGATATGTCGGTCAAGGATGAAGAGAGCCCAAAGTGTGCAGCGGCATTCTTCTGATTCAAGCGCAGAGAACTGGACTGCTAGCGGGACGTTGGGACTGGGGTCATCCAGTCTATTCAGTCCATTCAAACAGGCCAAGGAGTATGCCTGAGCCAGCAATACCACGGACTTGGCTATCTCGCCAGCATTGTAAAGCGAATACACGCACCACACTGCTGCTTGCAAGTTTTTCAACACATTTTCCTGATATTTCTGTCAGTTGATGAGATCACGCAATGTGCCCGGGGAACTAGTACCTGGAGAAGAGGGCTTTGGGTGAGTGAGTCGACGGCAATTTGTAAGAAAGCGCTTGCTTGGGAGGAGACATTCACGTCACGATGGGTCCTTGCAGCGGTGGCTAAGATGGCCCACTCCAATGGCCTTGATAACAACGGCCCCTGCGGGCCACGCGGACGAGATTGAAAGCTTTGCTTGTGTATAGATGGTAGAAGAGGATGGTACCGGGCAAAGAATTCGTTTTCTAGTTGGACCGTTTGCTCGGGCGATGGTGCTGGGGATGTAGGATCGGTTGAGAGATTCCGCGACGAAGGATAAGAGGAATCGACCAATGTCAGGCTGTCCGGAGATGGCCCACCATCCTCCGACACTAGCTGGCTTGTATTCAAAGGAAGTGGAGATAGTGGAAAGTCCAGAGGTGTGAGTGGCAGATTGTGGACAAAAGAGGCCAGGTCTATCCCCAGGGGACTATTGGGAGTGGGAAAATTATAATCGAACATGTTCTGGGGGCCGGATGCATAAACGCAATCGACGTTCCATGCACTGCATGCTGAGCATGCGGGCTGGTTGCCCTGTTCATAGATGTACCACCGGGTCAGTCTGTGGAGACAAAAATATGCGGGGGCGTGGGTCTCTTCTCGGAGGACTTACATCGCATCGTTTTTTGCGTCGGCGACATGCCTTGTATGAAAGAAAGTTTCAGCGTCCTGATTGATATTACGTGGAAAGAAGATTGTTATATACCAAACAGGCTTGTTTCCTTGGCTTGGTGGGCTGAAGGTAATCCGCGGTGGGCTCTGAGTAGGGGTGAATTGAGGAGACCATTGTGCGACTGATTCACGACTTTGAAAGGCTGGATTTCAGCCCATCTGCTTCCATATAAGAGGGCCTTTATAAGCTTATGAAGTATGATCATACCAGTAGAGTAAGGGGGAGTTATCTGGCAAGAAGACGTCAAATGTCAGACAGAAAGGATTAGAAATGATGGGCGAGAAGTGGAGCGGTCAATGCACTCCCGGCGACCAGCCTCAGTTGGTCAGTCACGGCCAGTATGAGCTCGATGATGTTAGCTCCATAGCTTACTAGTGCTGAGTAAGTCAAGATTCTTCAAAATGGTCAGCCAAGTTGCTTACGAACCGACCAATTCGATAGCAAGGCGTCCTGGGTCTAGGATAAGTGCCATTGTTAGGATGGGGTTGTTGGGACGCGCGGGGCAAATGCGGCCTGAGGCATGAATCCCTCCCGATGTTTGTTTGCATCCCGTATTCAGGCAAGATCAGGCTGAAATCGATGGCCTGAACTGGCCCACCCTTTCCCTGCAGAGTAGGCTACTTCGTGTGAGTCTCGTATATTAGTCGCCGATCTGTCAACTTGAAGCCTTCTGCAAGCGATCTAAATCCATCTGAAGAACATTGGCCTGACAATAACTTCCAATTGGCCGCACATAGATGGCTGTCTGGTTGTCACATGTCACGTCCATGGTATCACCCCTCGGCCATTCCCACGCGGCCTGTTTCCGAGCGGGCTGATTTTGATATTATGCATGTAAGTTGTGAGCCGGCAAACAAACTTGGGGGCTGAAAGCACACTCTCCGGAATGACCACAGATAGCCAACGTGGCATTAGACCACCAGATGGGGCTGGGCATAAGCACTAATTAAAAGAATGACATTTTGACGCTCAAGGCTAGATATTCTAAGTGATCTAGGTAACGAGATATGATTCTTCCTTCCCCAGTCGAAAGATGGAGATAGGTTAGCAACGTGAATCTCTTTGAAAATTCCTGATCATTGGTCAATCCCCCGTGGGGTGCACACTAGAGCTGCCGCCGGATTCGGCACCAGGTCAAACAGATGGTTAAACTGATCCCGTGGCCGTTCAGTTCCCGGTGGCAAGCTTAGATCATAGCGCAGCAGAATCCTGGACAGGGTTGCTTTCAGCACGTTTACGGCAAAATGCCTACCGGGGCAGGCATGGCTGCCAGCCCCAAATTCCAGAGAGTCCGGGCTGCTCTCATGGTTAGCGCAAATGATGCATGAGGAGTGGATGAGACAGGGCCGCCACCTACCCGCTGAAGGCGTAGTTTAACCGGCTATCACTCGCACCCCCTCCTTTTTTCCGCGCCCACTGAAAACCGTCAAATGGTCGATCTGTACCGTCATCTGACAGTCTCGAATACACGGAGCCAGGCACGGCGATGTATGAGTTAGCCGGGAGTGTCACCCCGTTTGATAAGGTTAGAGGCTGCATGAGTTTGCGATATACGGATACTGATCATTACACTGTGAGTGGATGGTAGCGGAATGGCCGATATGCAATGTAACACTCACAAAGATTAGCGTGATGAAAGCGCTGGGACTCCTTGAAAAACGAGTCCATCTTCTGCAACCGTGCCAATCCCGTAGCCAACAAGTTCGGATCGCCACCTTCCTTGTCGATCGCGGCAGCTACTTCATCTCTTAGAGGTTGGATATATTCAGGGTGAGCCGCAAGATCTAGAAGCGCTTGGAACAGCTTGGGTTTGTATCAGCAAGGCAACTTTGACAAATGAGGAAAGAGGCACACACCACGCGACCTGTACTCTGAATTCCAGCGATATTCAGCATTACCATACTCTCAACCAAAAGTGTTGTATTGGTCGCCTCCTTTCCAGCATGATCCATAAAGGACTGAATAATGTCCACGGGTTTCTTGGCATCCACTTGTTTCAGCAATTCTTGTCGTTGCTTGATTGCCCTCTTTGTCAGCTCTCCGAGAATGTGCCTTGTGACTGTCGACCTACCTGATGCAGTGGACGGAGGAACCTATCAAGGATGCGAATGAGCACTCGCAGTAGCTTCATCTCCGGAATGAAGAGAGCAGCGATGGGGCGCACACTCCAGTGATACTTGGCCAACGCTAATGCTGCTCGAAATGCAGCGCCGGGATACTCGACGCATGTTCTCATCTAGCCAATAGTTAGCTGTGGGGCATATGCAGATCCATCCCAAGGTGGTACTCACCCAAGTCTTATCTTGTGCAAGATCAATACCAACAAATACCCGCTCGTAAACGTGTAGGAAAACATTCAGCACGACGGCTTGTATGTGGACAGTGCGGCCTTACACGGTCAGTTCGTTACTGGGGCTCCTTCTAGGGGACTAGCACAGGACCAGGGTCATTCTTACTTTTGTCTTTCCCTATTTCACGATCTAGTAGAGTGTCCACATCGGTATACACCCCTGGGAGGGCATGGTTGATGCTGCGGGTCAGCAAGCCTTTGGCATATGTGACTGCCGTGTGCGTTCTATCACCTTTTTTTCGTGTCAGATTGCAGGGATCCCCTCTGTTGGCGAGTCCAGAATATATGATAGGCAGATAGTACTTACCTGGTCGATCGGGAGTCATCGAACCAATCAAGGTATATTGGCCCAAGAATCTCTCACACAGGTCGACGGCGGATGCTGTGCGGCTCTGTCAGCCGCTGCATCGGATTGATCATCTGTAGTAAGATGGGGCACTTACAAACTTTGTCCTCGGATTTCCAGGCGTATTCGTTGACGAGTCGTGGGGGAACCACATAGACACGCCGAAATGGCGATTGGAGCAGATAGATCTGATTGGGATGCTGGTGGCGGCACGCTTTGCATTAGTCTCCGGACCAGAGTTCTGGATCTTCAACCCCTCCCTTGCCCCGGCTTACCTTCGTGTACTGCTCTTCAATCAGATGCCTGTAGTCAGTGGTCTCAGTTCCAGAGAGGATTGGAATCCCTGGCGGAGGCGAAGCCCTCTTGAGGTGAGGCCAGATCCAGACCAGAACTGCAACCGCCGGTGCGGCCACCAAAGCGAACCACACAGACGGCATTGTTTCAGCGATAGCTGGATGCATGTGACGGAGTGATTGGTTTTTTTTAATGTGATCTGAGGTTGCAACTAGGATAGATAAAATCAGCAGGAGATTGGTCTTCGTTACCGTGAGCAAGGCGCCTCAAGTTAGTTTGCTGTGTAGATCCCTTCCACCATCCCCACTAGCATCATGTTCGCTTTATACTACTCCTTTGGCCGTATGCAGGTAATGTAAATTGGATTAAACTCGTAAAGTGATGTCGTCTGTCGAGGTCTAGCTCAGGCCGACTGGTGTTAGATTCCGGGCCCGTCGGCGACAACCCGGTGAGTATACGAGGCGTGCCGCGGTGAATGGCAAAGTCCGTCATTCATTTCTGATCCATCGTAGTATGAGGCAAAAGAACACTCAAGCAAGGATGTCGGAGCAGCGGGGTGGATCTGAACGGCATCGTGGTGTGTTGGGAGTGAGATTGCCCGCACCTGGCGGCGCTTGGGCGGTCCCGCGGATCCTTCTTACACTTGGCTGCCTCGGAGAAGTATTCCCCATCGGGGTGAGACACTGCCGGCAGTAAACCATGTCATTCCTTCTGAGAAAACAGGTCTTACATCTGCACTCGAGGAGGTGTAAGCTATCGTATCTGGCGGCATGGGAAAGAGGCCTTATGATCGATTTCCATCGACAGCCCTACTTTCTGGCTTGGTATGGGGTCTCTAGATACGATACACCAGTAGTTATCTATTTCTGAGGTGCTAATGGAGCAAAACCAACGTATTGATTCAATTCCAAGCACATTAAGGATGGACATGCGATATTCAATTCCTAGATAATATACTGATAATCTAATTTTACCCAGTTTATAGACGTTGTATGACAATTGATCTTCTAAACCATCCTCAATAGTCTCAAGTCGATGCACCAGCCGATGCTACCTTGGTGATCCATAGAGATGAAATTCCCTGCAAGCATCCTAGTACAGCCAGGAAATAGAACTGTACACCAGAACAAATATTAGCAACGCAACAAGCAAGATAGGGTGAGGGAAGAGCTACCAAGGCATGGGAGTCGAAGGGAAATGGAAGGCCATTAGACAAACTCCAAGACCAGACCATACCACCGAGAGCTGGACCAACTGCACGACCAAGTGACATTCCCGTTTGAGCCATGCTATGACAGACAGGATAGATTAGTATTGCTGGAAGCGACAACAATGTTTAGGTGAAGAGATGTATTGGATATTGAAGGACTGACCCCATCGTTGTGCCCTTTTTACCAGGAGGAGACATCTGGTTCAGCTAAAAAGGGACTTAGTGACTTTCAATGAGATCTGCGAAACAAAGAAAACCTACCATGACAGCCATGCTAGTATATGCAACAACATTGGCCGCGAAACGGCCGGTCATGATGAACATCAAGACCACCCAAAGCGCCGGACGATCCACCGACGGAGCTGTAAGCCTGGGAAGTAAAGAGAACAGAGGATAAAAAACGATGTATATGAACGCCGACCATCGCCACAAACTTAGCGGAGGAAAGTGGCGACTCAACATCGGATACCCAACAAATTGTGTTAAGAGAAGGACTGGGCTCATACATGACAGCGTTCTTGCGATCTGGGCTGAAGTGAATCCAAGACCGACAGGCGGCGATGTGGTAGATGGCGAAGCTAGGAATACAGGAAGACCTTCGTCGAAGGCGATGGCATGTAGACACATAAACAAAATACTCACCATCATGGCGATCATGGAACGACTCAGTAGCCCATGTCTCTTGCCGTCGCTCACAATGGATGATGGGAGCAACGGTTGGATTTCGTCCGCCGTCTCACCCCCGGGATCTTTGCGGAGTACACGGTCGTTAGTTTCTTCGAGAAGAAACAGACTGATTATCGTGACGGTGAGAATCATCAGCGTACCGATGAGGCAAGGCAAGAGGTAGGGGTATATTCCGAATATGTTTCCAGGTCCCCGGAGTCCGTATAGCTCTGCTGGTTTCGCAAGGGCACCTCCAATCATCGGACCTACTACATAGCCGAGGGCTCCTGTGAGACCGAATATGGCAAACACTTTTCCCTGGTTGAGATGAGCACGGTCGGCTATCTCCCCCGCGACAGTTCGGGTGATTGGGCTGTTTCCTGTGATTTGTGAGTGTAAGAAGGATGAGATACAAGGGGAAAATAGTACCGTTGAAGAAGCCACACAAGACACGGCTGGCAATCGCCCATGGAAGAGAGCGAGAGAGGCCAAAGAGACCGAGAAAAACGGCACTTCCTATTAGACCCGCTAGAAGTACTGGCTTGCGACCATATCGGTCTGATATGATCCCGTAGGGAATAGTGGTGATCATTTGTGGGATAAAGAAAGCAGTAGCTGGCGAAGGTCAATCACAGAGATCTTCCATCGGAGGTGAATTGGAGGTATATTGAGTAGACACATACTGACTAGTCCTGCCCGAAGACCGATATGCTCGACGTCGCTCGGATCGAAGTCCTTCACCATAAAGTATACGAAGGGAAAGAGCATGGTGGCAGAGATAGGCTCCATGAGCGCTATCAGCCCAACCATTATCAGCGTACGCGTCACTGAAGTGGTCATGGTTATTCTGTTTTCAAGTTTAGTTGTGGCGTTGACTTCGCTGTGACACGCTCTTTCTGACTATCTAGTAAAATAGTAGATGGACATCAGTTAGTTTTCATTCCAACGGGGTGTTTCATATTCGCAAGGATCCGAAGGCCCTGTGCACATCATGAGTCATTGGCCAGCTATGATCTTATGTGAGATTGGAGAACAGGGATTACGGAGTTGCTGCCGCTCGGAGCTGATCCCTTCCCGTTTCGCACGTGGGATGCGGCCACCAACCGGGCGTCGTGATGCTAGGGAAATTCTGGTCGGGGACTGAGCCACGGCCGGCTGACACGAGATTTGCTGTAGATGGTAGGTGATCTCAAGTTCGGATGGTCTGGTTAAATTGTGGCGTAGTCCCTCCTGGGACAAGGAATCTCTATAGGAGACAAAAACAATCATTTTGCAGAATGGAGCCTAACCCCGGTTTGATACAGCCTCCTTCCAAGGATAGCCTTTATTCGACCCCCCTGGTACTCTTCCATGATGGCGGAGGCACGACAATATCCTACTATCACTTGGGATCTCTTGGTCGACCAGTCTATGGAATTGCAGACCCATCCTTCTTTACGGGACGCATGTGGTCCGGGCTTCCTCAGATGGCAAGGGTCTATGCAAATCTTATTCGAACAACAATGACGAACACTCGGATTATACTTGGGGGTTGGTCACTAGGTGGTTTCATCGCCCTCGAGGTTGCACGTATCCTGGAATGTGAGGGTCAATTTCATGTCGTGGGCGTGGTGATGATCGATAGTCCCTATCCTCACGGACCAGCGGACAAACTTGTCCCGCCACGTCCATTCCTTCATTCAAACTGTTCTCCAGAGACAAGAATGTTTGTTTCCCGGTCCATGAAGCGGGCGCACAAATTGGTTGAGAAGTGGTCTGTGCCTGACTGGACGTCGTCATCGTTCCCAAATATGGGTGCTGCACCCCCGGTGTTACTTCTGCGGTGCCAGGAGTATGTGCCGGACGAGCAGTCAGAGAAAGAACATGCTCCCGCGCGAGTATCGGTTGACCGATGGAGGCATCTGCGAATGTTGGGATGGGAAAGGACGGATGGAATGGTTCGTGGAGTGCTCGATATTCCGGGCCATCATTTCAATCTAATGTGGGAAGACAATGTAAGACTGTTCTTTCCACCCCTCGGTTATCCTGGCGATGTTAGCTAACAGACTATCAGCTGGATGCTATTACCCGGCAACTGAAGCTGGCGTGCAAGATGCTAGACTTGTCACTGATCAGATAAAAGACGAAGGGCGCTTTGGTACTATAGAGGTGGAGGCAGCTGATAGATACTAGTTGGGCCTTGGGGGATTTTTGTTGCAATTCGTATTAGTGAGAAGCAGACAATATCACCAGCGCATGATGCGTCGAGAGGTGTTTGACTCTTTGTTTGACAACAACGCATCGGGATGAAAATCAAGAGGATGATTAAGCACCGACGGGAGAAACCCAGATAAGACGGGACTAACCACCTTAGTCTCCGCCAGAAGCATGTCCATTGGGTAGTGTGTGCGGCCCCACCTCAAATACAGCCAATAAAGATACGGTGAATGGCCGGGGTGTCGGGGAAATCGGTGGGTCTCGCCGCTCCGGGGCGACCAATTCCACTCTAATTTGTCAGGGCAGTAGGTACGTCGGCGCCTTGGGTAGAATAGTAGGTAGAATAGGAGCATTCTCTTTTCATTATAAAATCACCCAACACCTGTAAGGTCCGATGCCCTCTAGATGAAAGACTCAGTGACTCAAGCTTTCTCTTGGCTTCCCCCATCTTCCGGAGTTCCGCTTCTATCAGAATAATCATCCCCCGGAAGGCAGGCTCCATGATGGCGGCGCATACAGAGATCGACAAGCAGCATGCCCTGCCCTGGGAGAGCTCAGGAGAAGTTACCACTCCTTCCACAGATATTGAGAAAGCAGGTGCTGCCCCAGATGCACTTCCAGAGGAAGATATGCGGCCGGGAGCAAAGGCTGGGCTATCTCTGAGACAGTTCTGGATTGTTATGCTTGGGTACGCGGTTTCTGTATTGCCCTTCCCTTCAAGTCAAGGATCTAACCAATGATATTCCGCCAGTCTCAATATTGGAATGCTTCTAGCTGCGTTGGATTTCAATATTGTCGCCACTGCTGTTCCTATCATCTCGTCTGAATTCAATGCGTACAATAACTCCTCCTGGCTCGGAACCGGATTTCTCGTCACCTTCGCTCTTGTTCTGCCAATATACAGCAAGCTGGGCGACATCTTCGGTCGGCGGAGTATGTTCATGGTTGGGACTATTATCTTCATTCTTGGGAGCGGCCTCTGCGGTGGTTCCAAGAGCATGGACATGTTGATCTGGTCTCGTGTAATTCAGGGCATTGGGGGTGGTGGCATCTATGGACTGGTCAATGTAGGCCAACCTAGAACTTTTGAAAACCTGGATACTGACAATTCTTGCGACAGGTTATCGTGACCGATCTAGTACCTCTTCGCGATGTGGGGAAGTACGTCTCATTCACCGGTTTGGTCTGGGCAATAGCTGATGTTGCCGGCCCCCTCCTTGGTGGTGCATTCTCCCAGTATGTACCTCACTGCATATCATCTCTTAAAATATCTGACAACCCTCTGCAGATACGTTACTTGGCGTTGGTGCTTTTACATAAACCTCTGTATCTCCCCAATCAGTCTTCTCATCACTTTTTTCTTTCTCCGTATTCCCAGTCCGAAGATCGACAAAGATCGTATCAAGAACTTCGACATCCCCGGCACCATTACCCTCATTGGAGGCACCGTCTGTCTCCTTCTGGCAATTTCCTGGGGCGGCAATACCTTCGCCTGGAGCGACTCTCGCGTGATCGGGTGTTTCGTGGGTGGATTTGCATTGCTCGTGATCTTTGTCGTCTGGGAACACTGGGCCAAGGATCCCTTCCTGCCACCCGTCTTTTTGCGAAGCCGCGCCATTATTGCCATCTTTTTCGCCGAGTTCTTTTACGGTGCAAATCTCCTGGGTATGATGTACTACGTCCCGGAGTTTTTCCAGCTTGTCTATGGTGACTCAGCCACCATCTCAGGTGTCGCTTTGCTTCCGATGATGCTGGGCCTAGCCATCGGCAACCCAATCGCGGGCTGGGTCACTAGCAAGTACGGTCTCAGTCTGGCGAACGCATGGGTTGGCTCCGTCCTGATTGTTCTCATCAGCGGTCTACTCACCCGCTGGAATGCGGGAACCAGCCGCGCCGAGGCAATTGTGGAGCTGATCATCATCGGTATCGGACAGGGTGCTGTGATGGAAGGTCTACTTGTGGGGTCACAGTTCTCTGTCGAGCCCATGTACATCGGCCTGATCACTGGGTTGGTGATCTTCACGCAGACCGTGGGTGATATCTTTGGAATCGCCATCTTTGCCGCCGTTTATCAGAATGAGCTACGCTCCAATCTGGGCAAATTATCCTTGACGTCGGACCAGGTCAGTGTCATCTTGGCGGACGTGCAGAAGGTAAAAACAGAGTTCTCGGGTACCTTATACCATTCTATCATTAAGGTGTATGCAAAGAGTTTGCAGAACGGTTGGTGGTGGTTGTTTGCCTGTGCGGCATGTTTGTTGATCAGTTCGGCGTGTGCGAAGCAGCGGAAATTATAAGCGAGGGCGTCCGCTTAGGAAACACTGACTTTGGCTTGGATACTTGGGTGTCTCGATCAACTTCACTCTTCTTCTATCTCAGCTTCCTTTGTTTATATCTCTTCTAATGACCTAGCCAATTGAACCATTAGTCTCCGATAGTCTAGATTGGTCTATGGAATACTAGGGAAGGCTGAATTTCTTCATATATTAAGCTTTTGTCATAGATATAGTATCTAATTAGTACCTTTGGAACACCAAACTCTATTCCTTCCCTGGACTCTAAGATCTCAAAATACACAATGCCTGGTAGAATAATATCTTGGCTCGTCATTGTAACAACTATCAGCTATATGACTGAGAGAAAGGGGCGACTCAGTCCAATGTCTGTGGGAAAATCCCAACTTAGCAATCGACTTCCTGAGAAATTTTCAGGTTTTCATGTTGTCAGCAACTCAAGGCAGCGAATTAAAACCACATCTGAAAGCTGAAGGTTTCACAGTCTCGATAGACTTCCGCGCCGTTTGCTCCTAGACGGCAGAGGAGTGAATGAGCTGTCGCCCAGTGGCTGTTTCGGTAGTCACCGTTTGCATCCCCTCTCCGGCTTCTTCTGTCGCCCAGTTCCTTTCCTCCCCCGTTTCTTCCCTCCCTGGCTCACTTTTCTCATCCTCTCATCCTTTCCATCCTCTTTCCCATCCTTCATATTCACTCTCCTCTATTCCCCAACCTTTCTACGGGCTCTCATTTCACCCGAGTCATTTGCTCCATCTGATTCCCGAACGTGTAAGTCCACCTGCTCACTGCCATCGGGATTTTACGCTATGTTGCTTCTCATTGCACCCCAATCCTAAAACTCGACCTTTGACTCTCTTATTATATGGAGGTCATCTTGACTCTTGATGCTAACCAACAACGATATTTCACAGTTTCTGTCCCTCTAGCATCAGCGATATTTACACGAGCACGCCGAAATGTCTACCTGGGTCCCTGACGAGCAGCCAGGCTGGGATGATGGCAACGATGGCGGTACGCGTCCCATTCCGAGAACAGTCACCCTATGCCCGTCCAGAGGATACGAGTTTCTCCAAAGACTCGACGATCACTCCCCGAGTTCGCGTTACTAACAAAAGCGATAGGATTTCGCAACGATGAGAATGCCAGACCTGGTGGTTTTGACGCTGATCGTGGCTTCGGTGGTGATGACTTTGGTCCATCGGGTGGAGGCAAGGAAGATGACAATCGGTGCCGCAAGTAAATATTTCTATGACTTCTATTATGCCCCTCGCTCCTGCTAACCAAGAACAGCTGTGGAAGTGATGATCACTTCGCACGTAATTGTCCCGAACCTCGTAAGGGGATGGCATGCTTCAACTGTGGTGAGGATGGGTAAGGATACCATGATAATATCGCAATAATCCTTCGCTGACACTAAACTAGACATTCCAAAGCGGAGTGCACCAAGCCTCGCGCCTTCAAGGGCACTTGCCGTACCTGCGGGAAGGAAGGACACCCTGCTTCCGAATGTCCTGACAGACCCCCCGAGGTGTGTAAAAATTGCAAAAATGAAGGTTTGAACCCCGTTACCTTGCAATGAAACACCTGTACTAATGATCCGAAGGGCACAAAACCATCGACTGCACTGAGAATCGTCGCTTTGACTTAAACCATATTCCAGACAAGCTCCCGGAGGAGGCTTGGGCTGTCCTGAAGAAGGCCAGCGACGAGCGTGATCTCGAAGATTTTCGCGAAGTAGGAGACATCTATCTCATCGTTATTCACTTTCCCTTTTCCAATGCGACCGCTGTAATGTTTTCGATATGCTGACACAGTATAGGGCCTCAAGGTTTATTCCAAGGCGCTCCCACAGGCCACTTTCGTCGACATTGAGAAGAAAATGCGGGAAGAGAAGTTTAACATTTACCTCATTGCCTTGGTAAGTCTTTCCTTCGTTCTCTTCTGAACGGATAAGCATTGATGGGTTATGGTCACCATAGGACAAGGAAGTGTCGGATATTCTCAGCCTTATCGACTTGCAAGGCAAACTGAACTGCACCTACGTGGTGGGCTTTTACTACAGTCCGAAGCCACAACGCGCCAACCTTGCCGAACGTTGGCCATCGTCACCCGAGGAGAATCTCGATCGCCTGGCTGACGCCGGCCTGCCCTATGATCGACAAGTTCCAAAGTGCAGCAACTGTGGCCGTAAGCTGGGGATCATGTCTGGAAAGATAATCGTATAGCTAATGGCTTGCAGAGATGGGTCATATTTCGCGAAGTTGCAAGGAAGAGCGTGAGGAGCGTGAGCGTGTCGGTATTAAATGCGTGAACTGCAGTGCCGAAGGACATCGTGCTCGCGATTGCCCTGAGCCACGTCGCAATGTCTTCGCTTGTCGTAATTGCGGGTAAGTTGGCCTCAGACTCGTACCAAGGTATCTTACTGACCATAGCAAGATCTACTGAGCACAAAGCGGCAGACTGTCCCAATCCTCGCTCAGCGGAGGGTGTCGAATGCAAGCGTTGCAATGAGAGTAAATAACCCAACCCTATAACAACTGGCCTCACACTAACCTGACAACAATATAGTGGGCCATTTTGCGAAGGACTGCCCGCAGGCTCCCGCTCCCAGGACCTGCCGCAACTGCGGGTAAGTCGAAGCTCTCCAGATTTTTACCTCGCTAACAGAACAGATCCGAGGATCACATTGCCCGCGACTGTGACAAACCCCGTGACGTCTCCACCGTTACTTGCCGTAACTGCGACGAAGGTACAGCCCCGAGTTATATACACCGTTTGCTACCATCGAACAGCTAACCCGCATTGCCACAGTCGGACACTTCAGCCGCGACTGCCCTAAGAAGAGAGACTATTCCCGGGTCAAATGCAACAACTGTGGCGAGAGTAAGTTGATCCCCCCGTCATCAGTTTTAAAGCACATGCTAACCACAGTCAACTAGTGGGCCATACCGTCAAACGTTGCCCTACCGCCCCCGCCGAAGGCGAAGCTCCGCAGGACGGCGGCTGGAACGATACCGGTTACAACGAGCCCGCGAACAACGAGCCCGCGAATGACGGTTGGAACGCTGGAGGCGATACCCAGGGCAAATCTGCTCCAACTGAAGAAGACGGCGAATGGAATGCCGAGGCAGCTTGGTAACAGGATGAACGATAATGTCGGTCGGAGCACGGTGCAAAAATGTTGGAATGTTCGTTTGAGACGATACCTGACACCTTGTGTGTGTGCATTGATCGGCTATAGATTTTTCATCCCGTTCGACGGCTCGTTGGTCTTTGATAGCTGGTATGGATTTTGTTGAGGCTCTGGCTTTGCGTACTTCATGGGACCGGCCGGACCGGGGATTTCCTACATCTTGCAGAACTCGCACGCAGGACGGAACCATCTCTTCTTCTTAACCCCTTCTAGAAATCAGAAAAGAGAAGTATCTGTCATGCCGTTTGTCTAGCAAGTTGTCCGTGAAAAAGTGGTTACTTAGTTCTTGTTTCGAGTGTGGTGGCACAGTTGAAAACTATCAGACCCAGACTAAAATACGAAAACAAGTACACACACGATGCTATAACATCCACAATACCTCATTAAATCCTTCTCAAAACGGCTCAAATGTCCAACCCTACCAAAAAAGTCGGATCAAACCTCAACCCCTTCCATCTCGTCCCATCGACCCATCACCCCCATTACACATCCCTCCTCCTCCTAAGCCTATCCAAAACCCCAACCCTCCACACAAGATAATAAACCAAAACCGCAACCCCAAAATTAAACCCCACAAAAGCCCACCCGATGCCAAAATTCCTCCACCTCTCATCCCAATTATACTCCCTCTCAGCAAGGAACTGATCCGCGACCGAGAGAGGACAATACTGACAATCGCTAGTCGCAGCGGGATTCAGTAACCGACCCGCTGCTGTCTTCAGGTACTCATTCAAATAATCTCCACAGGATTGCCCTAACGGGGGATTAAACACGGAGAGTTCGATCTCACTGCACGTGATATCACGACCGTGGAGTTGTGTGGCTGTTACACCGCTGACGAAGTAAGTAAATGGGGAGACGCGGTACATGAACAGCCAGAAACCGGGGAGGGCGTGGGGTGGTTGCATGACGCCGTTGAAGGTGAAGGACATGAAGGTGAGGAGGGCGGTTAGGAGGGCAGAGGTGGGGATGGTGAGGAAGGCGAAGGAGAGGGCGGAGATGAAGTATTGGAGGGAGAAGAGGAGGAGGAGGCCTTGGCGTGGGGGGGAGAGGATGCCCGTGACGGCGTAGGAGTAGCTGGCCCAGAAGCAGATGCTGAGGGGGATTTGGTAAAGGAGTTCGACGAGGAGGGTGGCGAGGAGGAGGACGAAGCCGGAGTAGGTTTTGCTGGGGCGTTCGCGGGACTCGTAGAGGGTGCGGTTGGTGGTGAGGAGGGGGGTGATTTGGTGGACGAGGGGGGCGAAGAGGGTGCAGAGCATGAAGGCGGAGAAGATGGTTTCTTGAAGGCCGCGGATGGAGGTGCCGGGTTTGTAGAAGGAGAAGCCGATGAAGAGGGCTGCGAGGATGTTCAGGACTATCCGGGATGCGGTGTGGAGGGGTGAGCGCCAGTATTGTTGTAGCATGCGACGTAGGACGATGAAGAGTTGGAGGAATTGGGATGTGGCGAATTCTTGGTAGTCGTCTGGCTGATCATCTTGTGCTTCGGTGTGCGCGTGGATGCGGACGAGCTCATCCTGAATGGCAGCAGCGCTGCTTCTGGTCCAGATGTCGGACCAGGCCTCCCTGCGTTTGTTGGTGGCTGCGTTGATGGTCTCGAGCAGGTATTTGGCGGGATCTTCATCAGTTCTGCAGGTACGGTGACTCCCGTGGGACTCGAAATAGTCCAGCAGGGTCTGGCCGTTCTCGCCAACGGGTCCGAAATATACTGTCTTGCCCTCGTTGGATAGGAATAGCACCTGGTCTAATTCCCTGAGAATGGTTGGACTGGGTTCCTGAACTGTGCAGATAATGGTTTGTCCGGCATCGGCCAATTTCCGCAGAACACGGTAGATGGCATTAATACTTTGCGCGTCAAGACCACTATTGTGTGATTTTAGCTGTTGATCTGTATCGAAATGAGAGAGAGAAAGAAGAAATCGTGAAGTTGTACCTGCTAGGTGCGTCTAAAAGCAAAAGCTTAGGCATCGCTGCCATTTCGACGCCAATACTCAACAATTTGCGTTGTTTGGTGTTCAACCCTTCCCCGAAAACTCCCACAAAAGCTTCGGCATATTCCTCCATATCCAGGACCTTGATAATCTCTTCAACATACGTATATTTCTCCTCCTTGGAAACGGAGCATGGCTGGCGTAGCATTGCACTAAATCGCAAGGTCTCACGAACAGTTGCCGTTTCTAGGTGAAGGTCCTGCTGTTGAACATAGCCTATTTTCCGCTGAAGATTCGAACTTAACGACCAGTTGTTAAGAAAGACTTCACCGCTGACAGTACCCACGGTAGTGCGTTGTGCCAATACCTCTAGAAGGGTTGTCCTCTCGACGCTGTTGATGCTCATCAGTGCGGTGATCGTTCCTGACTTGGCCCAGCCGGACACCTGGTCCAGGACCCGATGGTGTCCACCGCTGGTGTCAATATTATAGGTCACATCGCGCCAGGTGAGAATCTCCCGTCGGGGTGTATTTGAGGGCAAGGTATTGTCTCGCACATTGGTAGTCGTGTCCTGGTTTGCACTCATGGAGGGTCGGCCAGATTCTTCATCCCCATCCTGGTCTGCTCCATGTTTGAGGAATCCAGGCTCATTTCCTCGACGGAAAAGCGGTGTGTCAACTATGACGTTTGAAAATGCGATGAACTGCGCCGCAGCAAAGTATACGATCATCCACCCGACCAGAAAAGCGATGAGGATGCCGAAGTCTCTCCATACGTGGTCATAGGTATACTTATAAGTAGCCCAGATATACTTGTCACCACTAACCGTGCGTCGGCCAGCAACAGCTCCGACAACCGAGCAGATGAATGCATTACCCTGAAGGATGGGATATGAGGGTACAAGGTCAGCACAGTCAAACCCCCGACCATGAAACTCGTTGGCAACAAGAGCCTCGTACGCGTAGTATGCCGGATTGATGTCGTGGATAAAGTCGAACCACTTGTGGATCCGGGGGACAGGAATGATAAAACCGGTGTATACAGTAACCGGAAGCACCAGCGCACCGGCGAGAGCCATGGCTTGTGCAAGAGTTTTTGTAACTGCTGCTGTCGATCGAAAAGCTGCGCTCGTCACAATGATGAGTACTAAGTTGAATAGAAAGCATATGAAAAACTGAGACGGCTCGCGGCGAAGATTGCTCATGAAATAAATGACGATATTGTTGATCAACACCAGAAGAAACTTGGTCGGAATATCACTCAAGAGAACGGCGGCCGATTCGACCATGGGTTGATAAAACCCAAACGAGGCATGCTTTTCCACAACCGGACGCTGGCAGTGCTGGCTGCTTATTTCGGCCAGCGACATGAAGGAATTCAGCAACACTATGTATAAAAGCACGGAACCCTTGGAAAAGAAACCGGAGGTCGTAGCGGGAGTATTATAGAACATTGACCCGATAATCAGTGCTATGATGAAGTTTCCCACAAGCTTGTACATCGCCGAAACACGTTCGTTCCAAGCCCGCTGAAAAGCGCGTTTGGTAGTCAGCGTGACTTGCGTTGTTATGCTGGGATATGCTCGATTGGACCGTGCATAGAATGGGCGTTTCTGCTGTTTGTCTTGCTTAGGCTCAGGTCGTTCTTCGTTTGACATTGCAACTTGCTGGCTAGCACCCATTTCTGTCTGTAACTCCTGGTATTCTGGGGACTGACACCAATACGCTGCGAATTCGTCCGGGGTCCGGGGCACTTTGTTCTCCATACCCCGACGCGGCTGTCGCTCTGCAGCATTGGTAACAGAGGTCAAAAAGTCGGCAGTACCCAGCTGTGGAGGACAGTACCACCCTTGGCGCTCGAAAAAGCCTCTCGCTTTGGTGGCAGAACCGTAATAGATCTGACGGCCCTCGTATAATAACAAAGTCCGATCAAATAGATCGTATGCGGTCTGATTCGCTTGATAGGCGGTCATAACATGAGTAGCCGAGCCTAGATCTGCAGACAGCCTGAGAGACTGTACGAATTTTGTTGCCTCTGCCGAGTCCAAGCTCCGGGTTGGCTTATCCCACGCAGCCAATGCTGCTCCTGAAAGAGCTATCTCGGCGATATTGACTCGCTTGCGGTCACCTTCGGACACACCGCGGACAGACTCACTTCCGATTTTTGTGCTATAGGTGTGGCTCAGACCGAACACCGCCATGACCACTTTTGTCATTGCCTTTGCATACTCTGTCCGTGTTGCAGCCTGCTCTGCAGGAGTCCGCACTGATGCCGCAAACTCCAGCGTCTGTCCCACTGTCAGATGCGGGAAATGTCTGTCGACTTCGGGGTTGTAAAGCATCACCCCTTGGAAATCCTTGGGTATTTCGTGGTGAGAAGTGCCACTATAGTGAATGATTGATCCAGAATCCAGCTTTAATCCACGAAGCTCTCCACACAGCGCTCTTGCGACAGCACTACATCCGGATCCAGGTCGTCCGAGAACAAGCAACAATTCTCCACTATTCAGAATGCCATTCAGATCCCAGAGGATTTGCTTGGGAGTTTTGGGTCCCAAGTTGAATGTCTCCCGTGGCCTTAACAGGGAGGAAAACACATCTAGGACCGTCTGTTGTCGTCGCAGCGAAAACCGAGTCCCCGAGACATGCAGATTGTGAAACTTTATCGTGGCGTTCTCTTGGAGTCTGTCTTGGTTTAGCATGTACATAATCTTTCGCAGCCACCTGTACAAGTCAAAGTCTTTGCCTCCTGGATTAAGCAACTCTTCGCCCAGCGAGATATTTGCCAGACTGCTGAGTCGAGCAACCTCTTCTGTGGTGGCGAACTGAGCAAGATATGACTCCTCATTCGGATTCAAGGATGCGCGACGTGCGGTAAAAGCCAATGGTCTCTCGGCCTTTTCTACCTCTACCGGAGAGCTTATGGTTGACAACGAACAAGCTTTAGACACAAGAGTTTCCTTTTCGGCCGCATTTTTGCCATGCCTGCTCGCCTCGTGCGTGACGTTTTCTGCTCTCATTGTGGATAAGACTTCCGATGGAGGGGTGGAGTTTGCATGGGCTGGGCCAGGTTCTTCATTGACTGCATCATCGAAAGCGTCTGTTTCGCTCATGGCAGTTGCTTCAGTCGTTGCAAGAATGTTGACAGGAAAAGCTGGCGAGGACTGCGGAGATGCGGGTGCATGATTCACCGTAGCTCTTTGAGTATCGACAGCTTCAATCGGCACGTTGATCACATTATCTTCAGCTATAAGAATCGATGGCGATGACGGAGGCTCCGCATGAGATATAAGGAAGTCCCTTTTAGTTCTTCCGATAATATTGGCTGCCTCGGATGTCCCGTCATTCCCAGGTTCCTGAGACACGAGATCTGGTGTTAAAGTCTGCGCATGAGGCATAGCAAGGCCGCTGGAGGCCTCACCACCCCTGGTATGACTTGCCGTAGGAAGTAAATCCGACGAAGCGGTCTGCGTGTGCAAGTACCCATCTCCACGACCCTTCTCGAAGCCTTGTGCTCCATGGTTCCCTCCTTCCTCAGTGGCTCGGGATGTAAAGGAAAAGTTCACGGACGTAGGTTGCGCATAAGAGATGGTATTTCTGTTCAATGTTTCAGTCCGGTCTGTCCCAAAAGCCTCTTGGGTGACTCCAGATGCGAACAAGGGATTTGAAGATGTATCCTGGGCTTTGGAAGTAACTGATGCCTTCCCCAAATACTCATCAAAGCCCTCGTCTCCGAATGTCCCTTCACCTTCGATGACCCTTGCAACTTCTGGCGACGCGGACTGCATGCTAGAAGAAACGAAGTTTCTCTCTGTTATCTCCGAGGTACTTGTTCCATAAGTCTCTCGGGTCACCTTGGAGGTAGCAAATGATCCAGATGAGGCAGACTGTGTATGGAAGAACTGGACACTTCTTTCAACATCATCCCCGAACCTGCCTGATTCGTAGATGGTTCCTCCTTCCACCACCTGGGATGTAGACGTATATTTGGATGTCAACTGCGCATGGGTGGAAGCGGAATCTCTCTCAAGTTCCTCCCTAAAGCCGCCGGCTCCGAGTGTCTTTGTCCCACCCATTGTGCCGGGATCGAAGAAGAGGGTTGACGATGTGGTCCACGGTTGAGATGGGACGGGATCTCTCCCAGTCGCATTCCCGTGACTTTCTGCTCCGGTTTCCTTTGTCCCAGACATCCTAGGGTCGAACGACCATCGTCTGACTTTGATGAAGATAGCGATAAAGGTCTCTAGGATCAGCCGATGAGATACTCTGTTTCAGAATCAATAAGGAGAGAAAGGTCGACAGTTGAGCAAAGCGCAAGATCACCCAACAGACAGAAGCCAGGGAGAAACGAAACCCCGACTTCTCATTTTTGAAAGAGCCCCGCGCAAATCGGGAGTCATCTTGTCCGTCAATCGACTCAACAAGAATTATTTCAGCTTGTGCTCGCATAAGTCAGTCAATAGACAGGAATTAGGCTTCTAGGAAAAGCAAATAAGGTCCTGTAGGGCCACAGAGATGGCCGCTTTGTGACACTACGTACCCACTGATCTACAAGGCTTGCTCGGGCTCTCGTAGATGGACGAATAGCTAGTCCGGCCCGAGGGAGCTGAAGATCCCAGTGATATGGGCATATTGAATCTCCTCCAGCGGAGAATGCTGTTGAAGTCATATTGGAGTTTGACTGTCTTCTCATGGTACTAAGTATGCCATTTCAATATGGACTGCAGAAGCGGTAGGTACTCCAGATCGGATGAGATGGGCCATGATGGTGTTCAGCTCATCGAGCCCGAAAGTGGAATCCATCAACAACGGATCAAGGTTGTCCCGAGGCTGGCCCGCCGACTAGCGGTGCTGATCACGAATCAGATCATCGCTGGCAAGTCTTTCACCCTGGAAGATTCTCACGAGAGCTGTACACAGTACCTAGGCCGTGAAAATTGTGTTTACAAGGATGTCAGACCAGCTCAGAACTCAATGTACATGCGAGATCCAGAAGACCCTCGGTTCGGACTTAAGCGGAAATCCTTACCCGCTATCTCCGAGGTGCATAGGGGGTTTCGGTGTATGCCTAAATCTTCAGCTCATCAATCAAATCCAAGAGCGAGTCAATAGACTTGGCAGGATACCCCTGTCCATTCCCATGAGGAATCAAGTGACTCTTCCAACCGACATTTACAGTAGCACGATAGCCCTTCTCATATTCCTCCCCCACATGGACACAAACCCAGTCATCTGTCTCGTCCACTCCAGCTGGAGTAGAACCATGCGTGCGTACGGGGTACCCAATCCCTCGCTAGCAATCGAGCCTGTCGCTTTGCAACGTGACATATGAGTCGGTTCAGATTGCCCTCGCCTGCTTCACAACTAGCCATAACCAGACCTACATCAACATCGTAGGTGGCCGGCTTCAGAAGCCAGAACACGCCCAAAACTCGCCCGAATCACCTCCTCCCACCACTGTTCAGCCCGCCATATATCCCACATAACACATAAGCATAGCCGTATCTGAGCCAGCGCTCAGCTTGTGCGTTATCGGCATCCTTGAAGGTTGCTTAGACCTTTTTCGGGGTGATAGTGATGCGTGGTAACCCAAATCCATGGCCAGTGGTGGCGTATCATTATGGAACGTGAAGATTGGGGTAGGATAGAATACCAAATGCGTCGAGAGTGAGTAGGAGGGCGCGTTCGTGGATGGAAGTTGGAAGAGACCCGTAATTGGGGGGGTTCATTGTGTAGGTATTGGTGGTGAGGGGTTGTGAACATGTTCTGTGTTACATGGCATGTGACCTCTAGCCATAAATGAATTCTGTTTTGCCAAATGAAGAACAGCCTGCGGTATCCTGTCTACCAATAAAGAGACTTTTAGGAACCGCAGCATGGTAAAAGCCTAGCTCGATAGAAACACCCACGGGGTCCATCTGATCCTGGATAGCGCCATCGTATCTGCATGTCATGCGTAAAGCGCGGCCTGCATGGCCGTTGAGCTTGACACCAGTATAGTATCTTGATCTGAGTGTGGAGCCAAGCGCTTATACTTTATAACAAGGTACTTGGACATCTAGGTGAGTCCGTTGAAGAATGTGTATGGGTCATTGGTTTGGATTAGTGGGGCTTACATGTGCAGAACATGGCAGTGGGGGGGCCTAGAGAGGGACTGATCTGAATTCTATAAGATCGAAGAAGTAACATCATATCTACTTGGATAGTTGTTCAATGTATTTCTAGCATTGTTGATTGGACTGTGATTTTGGATAATATACCGTGTTGAATCATATATGTGCTGGATGACCAACTTTCTGAGGATGTTGTTCGAGCCGTATGGCAATCTAATCCACCAAAAAATAAGTCCGACTTATATCCCGGCAGTTCGTAGCGTGCTCTTAACATGCGGGCTTATTGGAGCGATTGTTGAATTCTCGCAATTCCGTTGTATTGGTCGAAGGCTCTAGCTTGGTTTACAGAGCATCCTAGACGAGGAGCGGAAATGAAATGACATCATCTCACATTAAGCTTTAGCATTGACCTCCGTGTTTCGGCTCCAAAGGTACCCTACCTATAGTACCTGGCCGGTTTATTCGGTGGCTCAGCCTTGTACGTAGCCGAGTGTTTGCGCACCGACGATCGGCTAGGCCTACTGCCTAAGTTAGTTAGAGATATCGCGTGATGACCTGAGCTGGAATTGCCGCAGGCATTTGGTGCGCTACGCTAAGCTATACTGAAATCTCGAGATGAGTACGTTGGCATGTGTTTGGTGGCCTGTATTTACACCTGGGGTTGTTCACCATACTCCGGGTTTCATATCAAACCTGCCCAAACTCTACAGGGCAGAAAAGGTGGAAGTTTGCAAAAGGCACGCGGTACTTGCCGTTCCACCGTGAGGGTACAAAACTCTCGTGCCATCCTCCGGCCAAGACCACGAGCGTGACCCAGGCACCGAAGGAATCGGTGCTTAGGACTTAATCCGATCTAGTAGCCCCACAATTGACATGTACCTATGCGGTACTTGTCAAGTACCCAGATAAGCATTCACAATTAGGCCATACAATATTGCTTGTTATGCTTTGCACCCTGATGAAAGTGGAATAACTGTGTCGTAAACCCATTTGCCCCAACTGTTCTTTTCATTCGTGCGGGAATTAGAATGACCTGTCTCCTTGTGGAAGGGTTTGACCGTTGTACATCTTGTATACTTGCCCACCAATCAAGGCATCATGATCCTTAATTGTTTAGCCGGGGTAACATCCCAAATGGCTGGTGTCAATTAATCACCTCGCCTGGCCGGTATTTACGCTGGTTCAAGATGGACGACTGTGCAAATGCCTTGGCGGGGTTTTCGCCATCTATAGTTCATAAGCGATCGGTATGCCGTTTAAGCTAATCTCCGTGCTGCCATGTGAACTGGAGAGGGTGTCAGAGCACCACGAGGCGATATAAAAGCGACCGAAAGAAGGATGAAGCAAGGGCTTCTCAGGCTGTTCGATGAACAAGGCAAGGTCAGCGACAGGTCAGTTTGGAAGGATGCGAAACGGACGACTTACGGCGCACATGGGGTGGGGATAGGAACGATTCCTGCTGATGTCGTACTCCCATGGCCAACCCGATGGGCAACGCGGGATACCCAAATCTGGCAAGCCGCAGAGAAATCCGGAGATATACTCGACCACAACCGAAGAGCCAGACTGCGGAGAGGCCGAGCGCAGTTTCACGGATGGGGAATGGGAGAGGAAACACTGGCTTGGCAACTGTCTCGAGCCGGGTTAGTGGTTACTAGGCACTAGGCCGCCCGGGAGGGGGTTGGATTGCCACCCTAAGCCAGTCAGATGCCCGGCTTGGGTCGCGCGTTATTTCCCTCAGCGGGCCGGCCAAATTGCTCGAAAGCTGTGGGATCGCTTCTGTAGCATCGCTCGTCCACCGTCCTTTGGACCGATGTTTCGGCGGCCCTCGGCCAGGTCTGGACTAACGTTCTGTATGCCGCGATTAAGGTTGCCAACACCGGCAGGACTTCGGCCTGGATCAGACTGGAGGTCGGTGTAATGCGCTCTTTCCCGGCAGCTTTCCTGTCCTCAGTCCGACATGATGACTGCATGGTCTCCTCTCTCTGGTTGGTTGATCCGCGAGAGTTTAGCAAACAATAATTCATTCATCAGGAGACTTACTCTACCTAGTACCCCCTGGGGCACTCTGGGAAGCGGCGTACTGGGCGAAGTGGAGCTTAATTCAACAGCCAACGAACCAGGATTGGAGGACACGGCTCATAGTGAGTGTAACCGCATGCAAAAAGGTCAAGATTCATCTCCATGTCATCCCACGGAATCCGGGCTGCGCGAGGGGAAAGTTGGGTCGGCATTAGGCCAGTCCGACCGATGGGGACTAGGCGCCCCATCGACGAGAATATTACGGGACAAGACAAGACGGCCGCCCGCAGGGGTCTCAGTTGGGTCCCAAATCCCGTGAAGAGAGAAGAGAGCAAGGATAAAGCAAAATAACTTCCGGCATGATTGTTTGCTTACGGAGGCAATATGCCACTGAGAAGAAATCAGCAGTACTCGAAGTAAGGAGAGCGGATAACACTGAGCTGTGAGGCCGTGAGCGAGCCCTTCGCAACACCCACCACGAGGCGGAACGAACCGAGGGTGGCCCTTGCTTAAAGCGGTAAAGTGGTCAGGGAGTCCCTTTGCGGAGTCTCCAAATCCCCGGATTCTGAATAATCAGCCACGGGAGGGTCCACGGGGTTCGGCCTAGCACCGTAGCAGAGCGATCTAGCTGTCAGGTCAAATGAGCAGGGAGATGACGATGCGATCCTGCCCTCCCCGCCTACGATCGTTTCCTCTTCCTTGATTTTTGCCCACGCGAGAACCCACGCGAGCCGGCCGATGACGATGACAAGGCCTATAATCGCCCAGACTCAGATGCCTGGCCGTTATCTATTCCGCCAGCCACGGAAAGCATAGAATGTAACCTGCCGGGACATTAGCATTACCGGTGGATTGCATAATTTCGATAAGAAGAATAAAAAATCACCAAGCAGGAAGGAGGGTATCAATTGAATATCGGCTGGCACTCCTCCGAACTGGTCCAACCGCGGGTCGAAACACAATCCAGCGACCGTCGCTCTCGGTTTGTCCAGAAACGGCTAGCCACCTGCGAATCCTGACCACCATGACGGCATCGCGGAAGCTTTGGGGGAAGGAGGGGGATTGATTTGACTGATTACCAGGTAGTAGTGAGATGATACGTGCAGTGTTCGCGGCCCCGTTCAGCCCCCGCCGATCGCGACACCGGCCCATTGTGGAGGTGGAGTCGGACGAGCAGTCCACCACTCGTCAAGGCGCGCGGTGGCCGGCGATGGCCTGAGATGGCCTAAGATGGTGTGTGCCTGGGGGAAGCCATGTGGGGAACGGTCACTCCTCCGTTGGTCTCGACAGCCAATGGACCCCACTGCTACCTCCTGCACTCCAACGCAATAAAGCTGGGGTGGCAGAGGCCTCATCCTTGATCCGGAGAATGGCAGCTGTGGGGATGACTTCCCCTCCAGTACTCAACAACAGGGCCAATCAGTTGCAGGCTTCGAGAACCAGCTTCCTGATCCAATGCAGTCCCCACCTCTTCGTCTCGACCGTCCAGTGGGTTTGTCCTTTTCAAAGTCAAACCGGATGGTACTTGGCTGGCCTTAACGACGGAGTAACAAAGTCCTGTACCTCACGAAACCCAGCTAGTCACTGCATGCATGCGCTCGACAGGCTGACTCGCCCGAATGGGTTTCTTACTTCTGAATCCATGCGGGCTCTCTGATGGATTTTCCCCCATGGTCCAGTCGGCCATCAAAATCTCATGAGATTCCAGCTCTGTTTAAAACCCCCGACCATGCCCCTCGTGCGACCGTTTCGTCGATCGGTTTTTCTCGATTCCTTCCTTCCCATTTCTTTTTCTCCTCCAAGCGCAGCCCAATATCGTCCAATGAGCCTTCTCCTTGACTGCTACTCTTACTGTGCGGTGTTGTGTTTTAGTACTACTCTTAACTTCACAATTCGGTTGCAATCAACTCCTAGAATTCGGCCTTGACACTTCTGTGGAGAGAGCAAGTCCTGCCTATCCAACATGGCACGCAGCTACTTGGGCCTCACGGGAGGCAAGCTGCAAATCGCTATCAGCGTTATCGCTGGTATGGATTTCTTGCTTTTCGGCTATGATCAAGGTGTAACGGGCGGTCTCTTGACCCTCGATTCGTTTATCAAATACTTCCCAACCATTGCGACCAACGGCGCATACTACGAGAGCTTGAGTGCTCCTGAAAGGAGCACACAGTCCACTCGCCAGGGTACGTACGCGATCTCATAATTTGTCGCGTTCCCTGCCCAGAGTCGTGGACTGATCGTTTTCATTTAGGTGTTGTCGTCGCTGCGTACAATCTAGGGTGCTTCGCTGGATCAATCCCTACAATCTGGATCGGTAATATGCTTGGTCGGCGCAAGACAATCTTCGTCGGTTCATTCATCATGTGTATCGGGGCTCTGCTACAATGTACTTCGTACGACTTGGGCCAATTCATCGTCGGACGGTTGGTTACTGGTTTTGGTAGGTAGGACGAGGGCACAGACAAGTTGCCAGTCAACAAGCGAAAGAGGTGCTAATATACGTTGACAACAGGAAACGGCATGAACACGTCGACTGTGCCCACATGGCAGTCAGAGTGTTGTAAATCCAACCGTCGTGGCCAGCTGGTCATGATCGAAGGCGCCATGATCACCTGCGGTATCACCATCAGTTACTGGATTGACTTCGGCTTGCTGTTTGCCGATCCCAATGAGGTCGCCTGGAGATTCCCGTTGGCCTTTCAGATTTTCTTCGCCCTTATCATCTTATTCTTCGTCCTTTCTCTCCCCGAATCGCCCCGTTGGCTGATTCTCAAGGGCCGTGAAGACGAAGCAAGGACTGTCCTACATTCTCTCTTGGGCGATGGGGACGAGACCTTCATCGAGACGGAATTCACAGCTATCAAGGCCACCGTCTTGGAGATGGCCAAGGGTTCATTCCGCGACATGTTTACCATGACCGAGGACCGCCACTTCCACCGGGTGGTGTTAGCCTACGTCAACCAGATGTTCCAGCAGATCTCGGGTATCAATCTAATCACTTACTACATTCCTGTGGTGCTCGAGACTCAGCTAGGTATGAGCCTCGAAATGTCTCGTCTAATCGCGGCTTGCAACGGAACAGAGTACTTCCTTGCCTCGTGGATTGCCGTATTTACCATCGAAAAATTCGGCCGCCGGACCCTGATGCTTTTTGGCGCAGCGGGAATGTCAGTTTCCATGATCATCCTTGCTATAACTGCCAGCATCGGCAGCGACGGAGCCAACATCGCCTGTATTGTCTTCCTGTTTGTTTTCAACACGTTCTTTGCCATCGGCTGGCTGGGTATGACCTGGCTGTATCCGGCTGAAGTTGTACCACTGAGAATTCGTGCTCCGGCCAACGCGCTGGCCACGTCATCGAACTGGATCTTCAACTTCTTGGTGGTTATGATCACGCCGGTGGCCTTTGACAACATTGGCTATCAGACCTACATCATCTTTGCAGTCATGTAAGTTCCCGTGCCCTTGTCGCCCCACGCTGTGGCCATTCTCATACTGACCCCTCGCAGCAATGCATTCATCTTTCCAGTGGTCCTCTTCTTCTACCCAGAAACCGCCCGTCGATCCCTGGAAGAAATGGACCGCATTTTCCGCAAGACGACCAATGTCTTTAATGTGGTCAAGATCGCCAACGAGGAGCCTCACATGTACGGCAAGCGGGGTGAACTCCTGCGTACGCTGGACGATGTAGAAGACGACGCAGTGCGCCGGACGAGTGTGCTGAGCCATCATGCGAAGGATGCAGAAAAAGACAGCGACGAAAACACCAGCAGCGTCAAGGTGTAGACTTACCCGGCTGTAGGCTGGTTGCCTTTTATCCCGATCTCTCTGGGACAGGAATGATGATAGTGACGATTTGATGGGCTGCATGGCCTAAGTGTTCAGCTTAGTATATACCCCGATGGATTCTGTGTAATTAGACCAGGAACATGCTATTTTCACTTCTCACACATGATCAAGCTCTAGTAGAGATGATAAGAGCAGCCAGTACTCCGTACTGTGTGACCTGTCATAGTTCATGACCCCTTGCATAAGGATGCACCAATCAAGCCTCATGCAGCTGCGCATTGAGTGCCATATCTTAGAGTTTGTAGCGGGATGCAGACTACCTACCGGGAGCCACATCATTCTAGAACTCCTCGGGTCCCATTTGCATTCCATCAATCCAAGGATAAATCTAAATCTGAAGGTTAATCACCACAACTAACCTTCCCAACAGATGCGAGAAGAAGTAATATAAAGCCTAGTGCAATCATTCGTTAAAGCTGCGAGCTCATGCATGCATCATAACGACAGGAATAAACAACTCCGATGACTGGTTCTTATGATTTTCGAAAGTAGTTGAAGTTGACTAGATTCCATGACGAATTTTTGAGACAGAAGATGGAAATAAAGGAGAATACCGGGTGATGGCACCTGACCAGCAGGTACTACGGCGGCTCTTAATTTGTGTCGCTCAGCAGACTCGGCGTCCCTTTGTCAAACCCTGGCGCCTTTAACCCAACTCTCTGCTCTACAGATGATGAAAATACCGAGAAGCTGGATAGTGTCTCCTGCATAAGTTAACAGATTATAGTTCTCATCGCGTTATGCTATACGTGATGTAGAACTACAAGATCTCGAAGCGAGGTGCTTGCTAAGTCGCCTCACTCTTGGGATGAAGAGATACTCATGATGTAGGAATATAGGTGTCCTTCACAACTTATAAACTACCTATTGGGTACTATTACTAACTCTGTGTGTTACTCTTCATATTTGCAGATCAACGTTGGTCGACGCAGAGATATACAGCGGGCTCTAAGGTGCTCTCGAGAATAACATGAATACAAGGGGATCATTAACAAAGCACTAGGGCTTTCGTTGCGATACTATGGAACAAACTGCGATGCTGACCTGTCTCATTCTCTGCTCTTCAAGGCATTCCAGGTACACTGTCCCCCAAGTTCTATAGAACAACCAATCGCCAGAGGTTAAGTACAAAGTCAGTGAGTAGCATGGGGCGATACTGTTGACTTCAGAGGTCTGTGAAATGAATTTTTCCGAATTTTGGTGACTTTTGATATCCTTCAATGCAACTAAATGGCTAACATTATGTGCTGAATTGATAGTGCTTGTCTCGGTTCTTGACTGTGAGTCATATACTACTAGACTGACACCAGCCTGGTATTCTCGATCCTGGAAGACACCATTGGCCATTTTCCTCCGCGGTGGGCATTACAGTTCTGGAGTAGTCCGAGGTATCATGTCGTCAGATTCTGGTTCAACGACTCTCCCACTGGAATGTGGAGCCTTCATGAGTGGTCTTCCCGTGGCTCCGACGTCACGAGTTGGTGGACACATTGTCTAGACTCCAGGTGAGATAAAGAGGAGCGCTGCAGAGGACCGGATCACCGATTCACCGGGCCATGGATTCAGTCACCGGTCCAACTGGAGTTGCAGATCGAGGTGCAGCGTGCAGACCTCCTGCAGGCCTCCCCGGACGAATGGAAACCGCCGGCATCGGATTGAAGCTTTTTCTGGTTTTTTTTTTTTTTTTTTACTTTTTGTTGGTGACCCCGACCTTGATACTGGGGGGAAGTGGGAACCAAGTCTGGGGAGTTGAATGAGTCACGGCGGACTGGCTGAGGAGGTTGAATTAATGTTGATTGTTGAGTGACCAACCAGTCAAACAGTGGTTCTTCCGACCGTCGGGGGTTCGAACAGGATCCCCATCTGCATCTTTCCATCGCTTCGTTTATCCGCCGAAAACGTCGCCCTTGACGAGAATGGAGCAGCCGGGGCATCGTTGGTCCGGCACTTGTCTCCGCTCTTGAGATTGCTAGGGCCTCTGTTAGTCTTCTGTAATTCTGTTAGTCTGTGAGCCTTGGCGATTTTATCAATCACTCGGCGATCCGACGCCTCGCCATCCAAGCAGCTCGTCCCTTGCGTTCCCTCATTTCTCCCTTCTTCCCCCCGTCGCTGGCTCCAATTGATTCGGGCTCTCCCTTCCTGTCTTCTCCAGCATCCGTCATGGCCGTCTCTGTCCAGGTACGCATCCTCTCTCGTTTCCCAAAGCTCCATCAATCAGTGAGCACATGCTTTCTCCGAGCTCGAAGCTCTCCCCGCTTCTACTCCCAACAAATCCCTGGCGCATCCACCAGAATAACATGCCTGCAATTCCACAGGGCTGATCACTGCCGTCTTCATACCACACCACTTGCCACGAAGTCCTGTCAGTGCGGGGTTGGCAGCTGTATCCAGCGCAATCCTTATCACCCATTCTTCCCTCCGTCTCCTCCGACATCTTCGTCGCATCTACTGAGCCGACCCTCTCTCTGACCCTTGTAAGTTGTCGGCTGTGGCGTCGATGGTGCCCGCCACTGAATTTTGGAGTTAATATCCTGGCCGCAGATTCTGCTCTCACTCGCTCCATCATGTCCCTGATGGAACCGCAGTCCCAGACCCATGGGTTGGGAAAGCATCCCAACCCCGAAGATATCCACGAACGATCTTTGAGCAGCCATGACGGGGACGTCGAAACGGGCAGCGAGCCCGATGTCGCGGATATTGAGCGCATCTACAGGTTCGACTGCTTCTCTTCCTCTTCGCATCCAAATTTCCTCTAACTTTCATAGAAAATTGGACTACCGAATCATCCCCGCATTTTGGGTCCTCTACTTCCTCTGCGCCGCAGTGCGCTCCAATGTCAGTCTTGCGCAAACCATGAACACCGATGCCGGTCACGATCTGGGCTCTGTCCTCCACTGCACACCGCACCAGATTTCTACCGGTCTGGCCCTGTTCTACGTCTGCTATGTCGTCTTCGACCTGCCATCCAACCTGATCATGACCCGACTGAGCCCACACGTGTGGATGAGTCGGATCGTCATCAGCGTGGGTGTCATCGGGACCTGCATGACCGCAATGAAAGCCGCATGGAGTCTATAGTACGTCCTCACCCCCACAGCACAATCCCAACCAACTAACCAACAACACAGCCTCCTCCGCCTCCTCCTCGGCATCGTCATCGCAGGCATGTGGCCCGGCATGACCTACTACCTAACGCTCTTCTACCCCCCATCCCGCACGGGCAAACGCATCGGCCAATACTACACAGCCGCCCAAGTCTCCGCAGCCGTGGTCGGTCTCGTCTCCGCCGGATTCCAAGAAATGGACGGCGAGCGCGGCTACGTCGGCTTCCAATGGATGTTCCTCGTCTACGGCGTAATCACCATCGCCGTAGGAATCATCCTCCTCTGGTGGCTCCCCGACCGACCCCTCGCCCCAGGCGTTGAACCCCCAAGCCGCAAATACCTGTGGTGGTTCCCGCGCAGCCCTCCCGCCCTGACCGGCCGCGACGCCGAAATCCACTACCACGACCTAAAGCGCGTGTACCACCGCGCCCAATGGACCTGGAAAGACCTCCTCTACGTATTCCTCGACTGGCGTCTCTGGCCCCTCCTCATCATGTACTTTGGTGTCGTTGGCGTGGGAATCGGCGTCCAAAGCTACGCCACGATCATCATCGAAGCCATCAACCCCTCCCTCTCCAGCATCGACCTAAGTCTCCTCTCCGCCCCAATCTGGATCGTGAGTTGCCCCCCCCCCCCCCCTTCTTCCACCCAACCATCCCCACTAACCACAGTACCAAAAAAAAAACAGATGGACCTAATCGCCATCGTCCTTATAACCCCCTTCTCCGACCGCTTCCACCACCACCGCGCCCTCTTCTTCTCCATTCCCGTATGCCTCCAAATCCTCGGCCTCCTTTTAACCACCTACGCCGGCACAGACACCAACTCCTGGCCGCGCTACGGCGGTCTTTTGATCGTTGGCTTCGGTCTCGGCCCCACAGTCCCCGTCACCATGACCTGGACTGCAGAGGTGTTTCAACAGCGCCACGGTGAGGTCGGTGTTGCGGCCGCGTCGGCTGTGGTCTCTGGATGGGGTAACCTGGGTAGTATATTGACTACTTATGCGTTGTATTCTGGGTGGAAGAGTGATTATGAGGCCACGGGGAGGGCGAAGTATCGGAAGAGTAATTTGGTGATGGTGGGGATTTTGTGCGCGAGTATCTTGGCCGCGGTGTTGATGGAGGTGTTGTTGAGGGTGGTGGATGGGAGGAAGAAGGGGCAGGGAAGTGCTGAGAATGATGGTGGGGAGGAGGATCCGGATAAGATTGTTGATGGGGCGGCGAGACGGGAGGCGAGGCAGAGAGGACTGGATGGGTTGGGATCCGGCATGTTCAAGTTCTGGAAGAAGTCGCGCTGAGGGTGGGCCGTACATTTATCTATATAGTACTTATTCTCGGGACGAGTTCGAGATCTATACATGACACTGTAATAGTTAGACAGTTATGCTGGCAATGTGCATCCGATACGCGTTAATGTAGGTCGTTGAAGTTGAGCCTATAGGCAATGAGTGTGATTCACTATGTTACCTGGCAAATGGCCATTAATCTATCTCGATCCTTCCAGTGCGAGAAGCACGTTCCACCAATTCATTTTCAAGAGACTGTCGGTCCTCCGAAGTCCTCTATGCTGTACGTAACACATAACCCAATAACGAAAGAAACGAAATGCAAGACCAGCAGAGGATAAGGATCGCAAGGCAAGCTCTGGCAGGAGAAGAAGACATCCCGAACTACCATGAAAAATTCTATGTTTGCTCCAATGGTGCCAGGCCGCACTATTGTTCTCCCTATCGACGCCGGAGGGTATACGAGCGCTAATATGAAGTTGTATTCACATTTTCAAACGGTATGTAACGCATTTAGTTGCCACCCATAAGCTGAAAGGCAGTCAGTAATCGGTCACAATGGAAGCATGGTAAGGCCACTCACAGTCTCAACAATGATACCGGTGATCTGGTAGGGGCAGGCGTTGCTAGCGGGACGGCGGTCCTCGAAGTAACCCTTGCCATCCTTGGCGACCTGGCGAGGGATACGGATGGAGCCACCACGGTCAGCAACACCGTAGCTGAACTTGTCAATGCTACCGGTCTCGTGACGGCCAGTGAGACGCTCCTCGTTACCCTCACCGTAAACGGCGATGTGCTCAACGTGGCGGGCCTCGAGCTTCTTCATGGCGGACTCGATGACCTTCATACCACCCTCAGCACGCATGGCAGCGGTAGAGACGTTGGAGTGAAGACCGGCTCCGTTCCAGTCACCCTTGATGGGCTTAGGGTCGAAGGAGATTCTGACACCGAACTCTTCAGCGACACGGTGGAGGAGGAAACGGGACATCCAAAGGTGGTCACCCACTACAGCAAGTTAGTTTAATGTTTTTTTTTATGGTCGCAATATAATTGGAATCGCGGGAACTCACTCTCAATGCCGTTGCAGGGGCCGACCTGGTACTCCCACTGGGAAGGCATGACCTCAGCGTTGATACCGGAGATCTTAATACCAGCGTACAGGCAGGCACGGTAGTGAGCCTCAACGATGTCACGGCAGTAGACCTTGCCGGTACCAACACCACAGTAGTAGGGGCCCTGGGCACCGGGGAAACCACCCTTGGGCCATCCGTAAGGCCAGCCATCAGTACCGAGGAGAGTGTATTCCTGCTCCAGACCGAACCACCAGTCCTCCTTGGCGTGGATCTCCATCAGGCGGTTAGCCTCGTGGCGGTGGTTGTACTTGTTGGGGGATCCATCGGAGTCCCAGGTCTCACAGAGGACGAGGATGTTGTCGCCAAGGCGGAGGGGGTCGGGGAAGATAGCAACAGGGCGGAGGTAGACATCGGAGTTGTCACCGGGGGCCTGGCCGGTTGAGGAACCGTCGAAGTTCCACTCGGGGAGTTCATCGACCGACTTGACGGCCTTGGAGAGAGTCTAGATCGGGGGGACAATCCGTTAGCCCGAGTTGCGCCAGGTCACGTGCCACGGGTGGGTGCAGCCGGGCGCGTGCAGGATCGGGTCACCGTGCGCAGGGCTTATCGGTGTAGAGGGAGCAAGATAACAACAACCTCTCGTCCCCATCCATGACACACGGCCACACCCATTGTCGCGCATACGCGTGGGAACAAGCAGCAAAGCAGGCGCTTACCTTGGTCTTGCTACGGCAGCCACCGACAGCATCGATCCAGACGTACTCAGCCTGAACCGTTCCTCGCTGGTCGAGGGACATGTACTTCATGAGCTGTTTCCAGCCAGTCAGTATGGCATTTTCCTCAAAACCGCAACGCGGCTGAAGAAAGATAATGCAAGGTATTAACGAGAAGATGAACGCACATTCTCCGTGTTGGAGATGACGGTTGCTTCACCAGACGCCTATGATGAGAGAAGTATGAGTCAGCGAGCAGCTCTCAACCAAGGAACAGGCACGGTGATGCCGACGGGGGAGCCGAAGGAGATTGGAGGCAGCCATACCATTGTGAAGTGTGTGTGAAGTGTGAGGGATTAAGATATATTCTTTTTTTGGTTGTTTGAGCTTGCTGATGCAAAGCTGGCAGAGACTTCGATGAGTCAATCAAAAGCGATAACGACAAACGCGCGAGGCAATCAAGAGATTGATCGAGAGTAAGTGGTGGTAGCGAGAGAGAGGAAGGATCCTGAGATATAAGAGAGAGAAGCGTTGGATAAAAAATGGCGGAGTGAGGAGGAGGAATGGAGATGTAAGTCAGCGGTTCTGTGGGTGGGGAGGGATATCCTTTAAATTTAAGAGAATGAGGAAGGCGCCCTTTGGCTGGGGGGCAAAAGTCGACAAAAATGGACCTGGAAATTCAAAAATAACTCTGAAAATTACCGTCACGCTCCGGCTGCGTTTCGGTTGCTGGGCATCTCCGTCCGTATTACGCTTTCCACCGCCCCGTATTGCCGAGTCCCCCGATCGCATTCAATGCGAGGAGTCACTCGCTTCCTGAGCGATCCAGATCGCATACTTAGCTCTTCACGGGACGCGGTCTGTCTGCAATTATGAATGGCTTTCCTGAATTCACTGGCTTCCATTCAAGGCAGGAATTGGACATATTCGTGCTCGCCGGATGCATCGATACAAGAAGATGCGGCAAGGCTGCAGGGTAGACCAGGGTTTGTTACGCCACCATTTCCATCGGCGGGCGATGGTAAGGACTAGACCCGACTCTGGCTTTTGCGATATCAAGTCTACGTACACCGGCCTATTCCAAGCGTGGGCTTGCCCACGCTGTCAGAAGCCACAGACAAATTGCTAATATATTGATAGGATGAACTGGCAGAGATTGCGTGCGCCATAAAGATGGGGTGTCCATTCCACGTAATGCAATAACCCATTTGTCCACCCTCTTGGAGCATCCGTCGTGAAAGCCACAATATTACCCGTTTGGGTAAAATGGATGCACAAAAGACGCCCCTCTTTCCCAGGACAGTCGGCGACAGCTCTGCGGACAGGTACTAGGTACCACTGCAGTCGGATAATTTCCTAGAAGCGAGTAGTAATCCCGGCTGCCTAGACTTTGATAGGCAGGCCCTCCCTCGATGACTGGGAATATTAATCACTGTAACCTCATTCGAACCCGGGAAGCGGTTGGCCTTCCCCAGATAATCTTCCACCCCACGCGATGGTGATCTGAAGTCAGGAGCGTCCACTTGTTCCCGGTGCCCACAGAGGCTCAGAGCACTACGATCAGGGCACAAAAAAAAGAAACTCCCATCCCACACTATATGCACACCGCATCGCAGCCATGTCGGCTGACCTTGTTTCCCCCTCCAAAAAGTAATCATGATATTGTATGATCCCTCACCCATCCCTCTCACCCTTCTTGTCCGCCGGTCATCCAGAGATAGCGACCCCAATAGGTTGCTAAGAGGAATTATCAACGAGTGGTTGGCTCCGATGCATATCAGCTGCAGGACCCGAATAGCTCGAACGTTGCCTGCGCCTAATCACATTGACATGGGTTCTTATTGGTAGGTCAGGGATGATGGATGCAACTCAGGATAACAATGATAGGAAAGGAAGTCCAGTTCCGTCTCTATCTTTCCCGGCTTATCTCGTCCTGCCATGGGGGAGGATATTGATTGAGGGCATGGTGGCCGAGTTCCATATTGCCTGGGCTGTTCCCCTCTTGCTCGAGTATCTATCTAGATGACCACTGGTATCAAAGATGCTGGAAGAATACCGTTGATAGGAAACAAGAATCACGATCTCAAGGTACGAGCAATACACTCGGGCGATACGTACTGGTCCGGCACCCGCTTGTACCTGCGGTTATCTAAATTGGGAGGATTTCTTATCAGTGGCTGCCCCTCAAATCCCCGCCATGAGTCGCGTGGGTGGATCATGGCGCGCCTGCCGACTGATTTTTTTTATCTGCCTTTTTTTTAATCGCGCATGGACGATAGCACTTGGCGACGCTTTGCCTGTTTGGCACCGCACGTAAAAGGCATCAATATCCATTGTCCCCCTATCCAGGCCCGAAGTCATACACACGCATACACCCGGCTGACAGTTTACACTGGGAAATACAGTTACACACAGCAGGTAAAGCCAGAGAGGGCCATGCCCCGGTGCCTTGCCTCGCAACGCGAGTCGACTGGGCGATTTGCCGGCTGTGGGGCGTGGCAAAACATTCCTGAAGGGAAAATGGCGAGAGAGCCGCCCGCGAGCCCCGAGACCGGCCACGGTTTCCATGTTAACTGGAGTTATAATTAGGTTCTGTGACTAATATCAGGTGAGCGCGGTGTGCTACTCGCAGGTGTGCACCGCCTCCAGGGCCGAGCGTGGAGGGAAAAACGGTTCCAAAGGGAAAAAAGTCAAAAGGGGGCGGGTGAATGGAGGGCCAGGGTTACTCCTGAGTTCTGAGGAGTGACGACGAAGTAAGGTATCCTTGTCCAACCCCAGGATTTCCTTCCGGATGCTCTGCGGTGACCCATTTGTCTGTTAGTGTCCGATCGTGGGTTTGGGCGTCCCTTTCTCCGGGAGTCTTTGTGTGCCGGGGGTGGATGAAGGCCGCGGCAGCAAATGACAGAGAGGCCAAGTCGGGAGTTTCAGGAATGGTGAATGTCCTCTCCCCCATCAGCCCTGCGGACGTCATAACTACCTACCTCCTAGCCACCACCCACTAGATACGGGCAATGTGAGGTATCCGATGTCATCGCTGGGCAGCATAGCTTAAATCCACTGGCCACTGTGCTCTATAAAACCCTCATTACTACACCGCGTCATCGACAGAGGATCTTGGATGAAGATGGCTGACTCTGAGTGCACCGCCCAGAGTGGCGCGGTATATGCCCTAACCCTGTCGGGCTTAGCGGGTCACACTCCTGCGTCCCATATCTAGATTTTGATGCCAGTTTCAATTCTGACCCAGTTGCATCAGAATCATACTGAAAGAAACCAGGCCGCATATACTCGGGTGGTAATGCCAAGTACGAGGTGGACCAGATTCCTGCCACACGCATTCTGGCCAACAGCCGATGCACCTCGTGAAAAACTAGCAGACCAAGATGGATTCGGGCGTCGCAACAGTGGACTGGCGGTCCACGATGCAAGCCTCTCAGCACATGAAGATTCAATATATCCCTCACCGGCCCAGCAGAAAAGAAATTTATCACCCCATCCGAATTAACCCCTCAATGAAACGGGCGATAAAACTAATCAGAACACGGTTCTGCCTGTAGATCACGAACTTGAAGGGCGCGAGCTTATCGGGCGGTGATGATTGGTCCGTCGGCCGACGCCATGACAAACCACGCTGACTGGTTTCGGGCCGAATCAAGGCACACACTTTACAGTGATATCAATCTGAAGCAATAACTTAGAATCTTGCAAGGACAATGATTTCACTGGACTACTCAATAGTAACATCACAAGGACTGTGTACTGTGTAAGGTGCCTGACTAGGCTTCTACCTCTGCCATACACAGTATACACTTCACTGTGGGGAGTAGATGCTATTCATAGACATATATCCAACCCAGATGTCGTAATCATCCACATCCATCCTCACGACAATATAGTACCTGCACAAGCAGAGTTCCGGATACGACACCTGCATAAAGCCGATCATTAGACACATCAACCCTTATTCCGAGAACTTCGAGCCCATCGCTCACCACCCATCACAAAACCCAAATGTGAATAAACACTACCACATAATCCCTCATCAACTATCAATAGTACTACATTCAATATCCCCATTCCTCCGTACAACCTACCCAAATAGTAGGCTCGAGCAAACCAAACCCTCTCAGTGACCACTCATCTACATACTTGCCAGGAACACTATCCGACAGAAGTTTGACAGCTCAAATGATATACAGACCCCACCTACCTACCTACCTACTTCTATGCATGCTCTGCAGGAGAATAAACCTTAATGCTCATCCTACTGAGTGACTCAAAAAATGAATGAATAGTAGAGATCATACCCAAGGTACCAACCAATGCTACCTAAGTAGAGCAGAATGTCATAGTGAGTAGAGTATACAGAGTATATACACCCAAGTGAAGTCAAGTACAAGACAGTAGCATAGAAATCAAGATGAGTCGTCAAATCAAAGACGATCATCTTCACCCTCACCAGCCACACCCACCACATCAGGGAGCTCAGACCTACCTACCTACCTACCTACCTAGACCCAGAACGCAGAGCGATGAGCGCAGAGCGATCTCGGCCGCATGCCACATACAATGCAGTGCAGTGCAGTGCCTAAAGTTAAACACGGGGTAGCTAGCTAGCTGCCTACCCACCAAGCTACATACAACATAGATACTACGTACAAAGCTCAACTCGAATTCCATCCCCAAAAATGAAAAACACACCAGTTCCCATTCCCCAAAAACACACATGTAACAAACCACCCACACACTACACACATCGCAAACAAAAAAAGAAAATAAAAGTGTATTAAAAAAAAAGGGCGGGAAACGGGGGCGGAAGGAAAAAAGCTACCTGAGCTCCATAGTTAGGCAGTCAGTCAGGGAGAGTAATTCGCGCAGTTGATCAGGGCAGCAGTAGTTTTATTTATTACTTTTGGCTTTTTTGTGTTTTGAGTAGTAGATAGTAGTTGGGGTCCATGCTTTGGATTTCATTAATAAAAAAAAAAGATTTTTTTGAGGGAGGGAGGGTGGAACACGGTAGCGTAGCCGATGGAATTTATTGTCTTTCATTCATTTATTTGTTTGACAGGTCAGTCGGTCTTCATGTTCCATTTGGTACATAGGTAGGTAGGTATGTTGGCTGTTTTGGGTCAGGGGAATTCATTCTTCTTTGTTCTTTTGTAATGGCTGTATGAACTCTACACTGTTTTTTGTATTGGGGTAAAGTAAATAAGTAAGCAAGTAGTATTGTGTCTGTCTTGATTGAGGAATGCTGGGGAGTGAATTTAAGCACATGCAATGTAAAAAGGCCCTCCTTGCATGTTGTTGGGGGTGGGGAAACCCGAAGGAAGGGAGGATTAATCCCTCATACAGTCCGACGGGTGTTTGATACGATGTGTCGGTCGGTTTGTCTTGTGACTTGGCCGGTTTCAGAGATCGGCTGGGCTATTGAATTGGGCTATTCTTATGACTGCCACAAGAGTGGATTCGCATTTCTGATTTTGGGCTGTATACGAACCGTTGCTAGTTGGCTATCTAGGTAGTATTGTAGGTAGGTATTGTAGTCATCATGCCCGGTCTAGATCTTCCGGAGGCTCCCTTTCCCCCTGCAGCTGCTACTGTCCCGATTCCCGAGAAGTCACTCATGTCTAGACCCTGACAGTCACGTTGCTTATCAGATCTGCAAAAATTCCACGTCGTCGTGCCTGTCTCTTTTTTCGTGGTGGTGGTTGTCTGTCATCCTGTTGGTGATTCAATCTCTATCCTCCGCAGTCACCCAGCACATGGCAGTAATGTTCCAGAAATGCCCAGATTAAGCTTAGGTTCCATCACATGCGCCAGGCCCAAGGGTGGTATAATCGGGTGTTACAGACCGACTGTGTATGACAGCCATGCAGAGAAAAATGGGCCGGCCTGCTTCCAGAATGTCGGTGGAATCTTCGGCAAGCCCCCCACGGATGAAACTAGTGCCTTTCCTCACGGAGGACATCCCAACTTGCGTCACCGCTTTGTCCGATGGATGAAATTGCTCTCCACTCCGATGCAGCTGACTATGTCCCCCAAACCGTCTCGGACATCGCAAGGCTTTCAGCGGCCCTTTCGCTGCCGCGCCCATCGCAACATCCATTCCACCAAGATTCCAATGTCCTGCGACATCTCCAGCACTTTGGCAATTTTGGCCTGCAGCTCGAGAGCTTCATTCTGGTATTGCTCGTTCATGCTGTCCGCGGCAGTGTCATCGTCATCCAGCAGACCCGTCATATCCACCACTGCGACCCGCCCATTCAGCCCGACTTCCAGACTAATAGAGACCTTGCTCAATGCAGCCTCCAGGTTGACCGGTTGAGATGATCCGTCTGGATTATTCAAAGCAAAAAGTAGCATAATCACCGGCGCTTGTCCTAGCTGCGTCCGCAACGTAACTTCTACTTTGACATCGTCAATAGCAGAATTGACATCCGAGTGTCCGTCCCCAGTAGTCGCGGGACCTTTACCCTTAGCACCCGGGAAAGCAGCTGTTTTGTTGAATCCTCCCAATAGTTCATCAAGCCTCTTTTTGTTCGGGTCCTCGTTGCTCAGAATAATGACATCCTCCTTCTTTGACTTTCCTCTGGAAAAAGACAGGATTGTCAAAGAATTAGCCTGGTCGTCGATTTTGTCCTCGTCGGGTTTATATGAAGAACTAAAGATGCTGCGAATCAAGTTTGCTAGAAACGCATACTGGCGCAGGATCTATGATGTATGTCAGTAATGTCAGACCCAATTCGAGCATTAAATCATACCGGAAGAATATCGGCAAGTTGCCTCGGATGCGAGAATGGGAAATCTCTCATGGTTCGGCCAGCAACAGACTCAAACGGCTGGAAAGTATAGCTGTGGTGTTTTGTACACGATTTACCCTCGCTGTCAATTGTCTGCACAGACATCCGCCGGCTTCTCCGACCAAGCTGAGACGCATCCTCAGGACCCAACCCCATGGCTCCGGCCGCGGACAGAGGAGACCAGCCCGGGGCTAGGAGTCCATCGTAGGTGACCATCTTAAACTCTTGCGGCAGTTGCATTCCCAGGTGTCGGTAGATATCTGACGCGGCCAGGATTGGTAAATCCAAGGGCGGCTCCAACTTGGCAACAAACCGACGATTAGGAGTAGAGGAGCCCAGCATGCCCGATTCAAGCGCCATAGCGTCCGAGTGGTCTTGATTGGAAGTTAACGTCGCCGGCGGGTCGACCCAGTTGACAACTGCAGCACCAGACCCTGGCTCACTCGACGATGGTCCATTGTCGTGGTTAACCACCGTCAGCACCTCCGACCCAACCCACTCCTTCGACACGCGGAGGGAAGGATAACCCTCTTCACACTCAACCACAACACTCCACTTTCCATCCAAGCCCGACTCATCGTCTGACTGTCCATTTGGCTGGTCGATCTCCATTTCTTCCGCCGCCATCCTCTTCTGTTTCGCATCCAACACGCGTGCTTGCTGCACCCAGTAGTCCAAACCAAGACCCATATGGCCTCCCCTATGCAGACCCGGCCTCCCCACCCAGCCACTGCAAAGATGATCGTAGACACCGGCAAACGTGCGATGATTCCACTCGGAATCCCATACGCGCTTCAGGCTCTCGTAAAGCCCTTCAATGGCCTCAAAACAATTAACCTCCTGACTGAGTTTATCATGTTTCGCCAGCCATTGTAGATCCTCATGAAATCCGCTCAAAGGCTTCCAAGAACCACGGTCCCCCTCCTCAGGTGACTGTATCAAATGACGCTTGAGAACCGCCGTAGCCTCCCGCCGTTCCTCGTCCGCAGAATCGGGCGTCGCATACTTCAGACTGACACCCTTGACTACATTATACCCTCGATGGAAGTCAATCTCCAAGTCGACAAAGTTCCCAGCAATGCTGAGACTATCCTCCTGCCAAATCGACTCGAAGCCTTCCAAATCACCCAACCGCTCAATGCCCTCTCTGCACACACCCCGGCCAGAGACCCGAGATCGGAAGAGCTGAACCACGTCTTCAATGTGTCGTCTGCGCTCCTCATCACTGTCCCGAGCACCCCCGAGCTTCAATCCCTGCATGCCCAGCGCCTGGATATCATTGTCGTTCATGCCTGCGCCGACCAGGCCATCGTGACCGGCAGGGGACGGGCTGATCCCGCTATACCCGCCGAGGGCGAGGAGAGCCGATGGGGAGCTGAACGTAACGGGGTCTTCGGCTCCGGCGGTCACAGCAAGAGGAGTAGCGTACTGGTGCGTCGAGACGGGAGGCTGGTTGTGACCCGGTCCAGAAGCCGAGGGGGTTCTCGTAGACGGCGATTTGTGCGCTATCGGTCGGGCCATGTGTGGACGAGGGGACGAGGTCAGATGCGTGGGAGTGGCTCCTGGATTCTGTTTCGAAGATGGGGTCGCCATGGTGGCTAGCTATTCAATATGCAACAAGGAACCAAATGTAGTATATCCACCTGAGATAGCAAAAATAAGAAAGTAGCCAGAAAGAAGAAAATTGGGTATCACGCATGCGATAATGGAACAAGCAGCCTAAGACAAATAATCATGTAGGCGTCATGTCTTGAATGGCATCAACACGGATAAATCAAAACGATGGTAGACTTTGCGCAAACCGCTGCTATATTGTCAAGATGTCACGAGAAAAGCATCCATAACAGACTGGCCCGCAACGCAATCAAGAACCACCGGCGAAGACAAGGCAATCCCACTTGACGACTGCATCACCGATGGTTTGAATGCGCCCGCCGCTGCTGCTCGCGGCCGAAAACGCGCAGTCACATGAGTTTGTCCTGTTTGTCTGTGCAGCGTCATAGCCTTCGACACTCCTTCCATTGCTTTCAACTATTCTAGACCATCTTGCAGTGTCAGTCGCAATTGGCATTTCTCACAGTACATCATGCTGGGATTTAGGTCATCTGTCCGCCAGGCGCCCAAGTGGACACAGTTCCGTGCTGTGTCGACGCTGGAGGGCCACTCTCACATTGTATGTACTCCAAACCAACTGGAACATCCGATACTATGAAGACTATTTACAGCCCGTTATTGTGCTGACACAACTGATGTAGTACGTGTTCCCCCAAAATGGAACCAATGTTCTTTCCCTCCTCCCATCTGAACCAACCAACCCCGACCTCGCCCTCGGCGTAACCTCCAAACTTCCTCCTACGCCCGACTCCTTCAGAGAGAACCCGAAATTCGTCAAAGTCCTCCAGGAAGTTGTTACGGAGCATGGGCACGAAGACCCCGATGCTATTTCCCAGGCTCAGGTGATGGTCTCGACGGCGGGCGCGAATTTGACCTCCGGAGGGGTGCTGATGACTGGTGCGCGCGGGAGGAGACGTCGCGGCGAGGTCGGTGATTCCAGTGGTGGAGCTAGCGGTCAAGGTGGTGCTGGCTCGGCTGGGAGAGGAGGCTGGATTCACCTTTCGGATAGCAGAAGGCCTCCGGAGTATGGTCGGATTGCTTGGTATGTCTGTCACTGTGTTTGGGATTCGGGCGTTGCTGACGGGGTTAATAGGCCGGAGGATATCTTTGGGAGTCTGGAAGTTGATGGCAATGGGCAGTTTGTGGGAGGGAATGGAAATTATCAACCGAGTGGTAGGTGTGCTACTGATTAACTGCCGATAGATTATGGCTGACTTGAGAAGGAACTTATCGGATCGTGACTCGGGATGGAATGTAGGTTTTATCTTCCATTATCATTATCTACATGGTACTGACATCGAACCAGCTTCGGATTGAGCCCGTTCTTGAGAGAAAAGTTGGTCAAGAGGCTGCGCGAGCAAGAGGCGCAATAGGCTGCGACAGAAGCCTTGTACAATACTTTGGATGTATTATTAACCTAGCTTTTGTGGAACGGCCTTCCATACAAACTGCTGGCAGTTACACAATCTGGATCATACATTACAGAAGACCAACTCAGGTCCAGCCTGAGAGGTTAGATCATGAGTTTGTTCCATCTTCATCCCTCTCACTTGTGGAAAAAGTTCGTAATACGCTGGGTCCCTGCAGTCAGCTTCTTCTCCGGGGTCTTCTTCACCGGTCTATTATGGGTGGAACTGCGCATGTTCTTCCCCGGCAGCGTCGCCGGTTTAGACGGTGACCTATTCCCGAGACTCGAAACCGCACTCGGCTCTGTTTTCTGCTTCTTGGTTTCCTTGGCCTCAACCTCCGAAGAATGCTCTCTCTTGACTCGGGGAACCGGTTTGGGGGCATTGTCCTCGCTCCATTCCGCTTCTTTCGTGGCCCTGTCGTCTTTCACCTTTTCCTGTCCTGGTTCTTCTTTCACCACATGCAGGTCAGGTGCTTCCTCCTTCGTCATCCTGCCCTTCCTCGCGTTTGCAAAGAAATTTGCAATATTGCTCTTATTCTCCTTACTGCTCACGGGAACAATAAAATCCGGGGAATTATTCCCCACCTTCCCCACCTCCTTCGGCACCTGATAGCATTCCAGTTCCCCCTCATACGGCTTGAGAACCGATTGCAACTCCTCCGTCCAACTCGTCCGTCCCGGATCCAGCCAGGCCTTCATTTTTTCGCTATTGGGCTCCAGAATCACCGGCATTCGGTCATGCAGGAACTTCAAATACGGACTCGATGCCGTTGTGATAACTGTATAAGTGTAGAGCTGCTCACTCGAATCTGATCCCAGTCAGCCCAACCATAACCAAGCCACAACCCACCCCAACACCCATCCACATTCAACCCAGAGAGAAATGTTCTCACCTTCATAAGAAACACAGTCCCAGAGCCCCGCAAAAAACATCAAATCACCATCCTTCCTTCTCACAAAGTGCGGGATCTTCTCCTTGCCCCCAGGGCCCTTCTTTAACCATTCATAGAACCCCTGACACACCACGATGCACCGTTTCTTGCGTTTCATGAACGTCCACATTCCCCTGTCCTCGGACAGCGAATCATCGCGGCAATTGATCGTCCGCATGAGAGATCCGTAGTCGGGTTTGCGCTTCGTCCAGAAAGGAATGAGACCCCACCTCATGCTTTGAAGCTTGTAGTGGGTGTGTGCAGCATGCTCCCCTGCGACGCCCTTGCCGGTTGGGCAGGATTGTACTTGTAGATTGTCTGGGTGGTTCTCTGTGGGTGTGTCGGCGCGATAGACGACACCGTTGTTTCCCGGCGCGAAGTTGTAGGTTTCACGGACTTCGTCATCGTCGGGGGCTTCATCAACTTGCATGCCTTCGTCTTGTAGACGATTGCGGATGAAGTTCATGCGCTGGTAGGGTCAATTAGTAGGGTTCGTGGTAGTGGTATATATATTGTGCTGAATCACAGGTGAGCTCAGGATTAGTGCGTACCACGCCCAAGGCATACCGTCCACACATTTTGAGCCTCTTAAAAGGAAACTAGAAGCTCAGATCGACAAATGGACCAGAGAAGCAGCGATCGCGTGCAGAAAGCGACGGGGAAAGAAAGCACGGTGCGACGTCATTCCAGCCCAGGGCGGGGAAGCTTGGACCACCGCCTGGGATCGGCGGATTCTCGACTCGATCTTTCTCTGCCGGCCATTTCTTCTTCCCAACACTTCCTGTTCAATCGTCTTACCTCCACCTTTCCCTTATATTTAATACAAAAGGGCCACACTTTTTTTGGCTAGACTATCGACTACCTTATCTTTACCGCTCATTGATTGAGTATCTCAAAACAAGCAACCACACAATGTTCAGCGCAGCAGCCCGGCGCACCAGCGCCTTGCCCCGAACCATCATCACACATAACCACCACCACCAACATGCGTTCTCAACACGCTCGATACCTACTCGTCCACGCTCAGTCACCCCTATCACCCGAACTGCCTCGATCTTCCGACCCTCCGCCCTCCAAACCCGCCACCTCTCGCTCGGACAAAAGATGAAACGCGGATATCAAGAAGCCTCCAAAGGCATCTGGCGTAAGAACCCTATTCTGATGCCCCTGGCGTTGGTCTCCGTCGCCACAGCCTCCGGAATATTTGCCTACATCGCCTATGTCGAGGCCACCCAAGTGGCGCCACAATATCATAAGTTTCCGGCACCGGTTGCGGAGCGGCTTCGCACGGCGATCTACTATACGGATGTGGACTTGAACCCACACAAGGCGATCAAGGCGTACAAGGAGGCGCTTCATATAGCGGGCGAATTACAAATGCATCCGTTCTCGGACGAAGTAATGGGGATTAAGTTGCAGGTTGCGGTAACGCTCGAGAAGGCGGGACTTGTTCCTAAGGCGATTGATGTCTTGGAGAAGATAAAGGCGGATGCATGCCACTGGACACAGATAGGCATTCAGTATCAGGCTGATCGGGGTGAGAGGCCCGAGGATGCGAAGAAGGGCGAGGAGGCCGCGGAGCCGTTGAGTGCAGACCCGGCTATCCTCGAGGCTTATGATAAGATAAACGAGATCGAAGCATATTCGGCGCAGCAACTGGACAAGACACTGGCGAAGATTGTCGGAATATCGATGAAGCTGGCGGAGCTGTATCGGAGCGATTACGTCCAGAATGACGCCAAGGCGGAGGAAGCTCTAGAATTCGCGGTGAACTTTTCTCTTCGGGAGATGCAACGTCGGGCTAAGGCGGGCCGTCCTTTGGGTGGAGGCAACTGGATGACCTTAACTGAGATAGCAACGGCCCTGACGGAGCTGGGCAACATGCACTACGAGAAAGACCAAAACAATTATGCCCTGCCCTTGTTTTTGCGCGCATTGGACCTGGTCTCGGCCGATGAAGGAAAAAACCCGTCCTGCAAGCAGGTGACGCTCATGCACAATATCAGTGCTGCCATCGGCAGTGCTGCCATGACTGGTCGTCCGCTCGCGGATCCGGGTGTCACGCGGGAAGAGGCTTTCGAGACGTCGCGCAAGTGGGCCCTGGAGGCCCTCAACAGGGCTAAGAAGATCCCCGACGACGAGGATGGCGAATGCGAAGCCAGCTGCGCACTGTCCATACTTATGCTGGGAGAGCTGGCCGCGTTCCAGGACAAGCGTGGAGAAGCTACGAAGTATTTAACCGAAGCCAGGGAAGCGTTCAAGAAGCTCAAGGAGGATAAAGGTGTGGAACTTACCACGGAGATCTTGAAAGAGGTGAATAGCCGGAAATGAATGGGACCAAGTGATGTTGACGGAAGAAAGAGGCCGAGGCCGCTGATGATACCCGCGCGGGAACATGTATATTATTGGGGTGTAGTATAGCATAGTAGCATAGAAATGTAGAGTGCCATGTGGAACATGAATTCAAGAACCGACCATACCCGAACCAAGCGGGCCATACCCATATCATGCTAAGGAACGATCTCGATCTCTCCGCATTCAAGACCCGCGGAAGCGGAGCAAGCAGCCTGCAGCCAAGCCTACGAAGTTTCATGACTGGTGGGTGTTGGGGGTATGTTTCTTAACAGTCATTTTAAATGGGTATTAGAACATGTGCATGACGTGCCATGCCATCATCATCCTCCATCACAAGATTCCAGACATTTCGAATTTTATGACGAATCGAATAATCTAGACATGTCAAGAAGAGAAGAAAAAAACCCTACGTTTTAAGAAAAAGGAAAAGCCCGAACCATTGCGTCCCCCCACCCGTCAACGACTGGGGGAAAGAAGGCAGCTCCTTGGTTTCTTTCCGGGGGGTGGTTTACTTCATTGCTAGTCATGGCTCATAGAATCCCAACCAAAGCCGGCCCATTTTTTGTTTAAAAAGGAAAAAGATGAGGTGGAAAAAAAAAACAGAAATGAGTAAGATATCTTGTTTTAGTTAGTTCTCTCCTCCGCCTAACGGGACGTTTCATCATCTATGCCCTCGACATGACACCCCAAGCACGGATCTTGTTGTCGGTGTAACCAGCGAACAGAGTCTGGCCGTCAGCGCTCCAGGCCAAGCTGACACACTCGGGCTCGCGGGACTTCTTGCCCTTCTCGATGTACTCGGGCTTGAGCTCGTCAACCTTGCTCTTCTTCTCGAGGTCGAAGATGGTGATGCTGCTGGAGGTGGCAGCGCAGAGCCAGTAACGGTTGGGGGAGAAGACGAGGGCGTGGATCTCGTCACCGGCGTGGAGGGAGTAGAGGTGCTTGGACTCGTTGAGATCCCAGAGCATGGTGGTGCCGTCCTTGCCACCGGAGGCGCAGAGGGATCCATCGGGGGAGATGGTGACGGCGTTGATGTAGCCGGTGTGACCGATGTGGTCGGTCTGGAGACGGCAGGAAGCGAGCTCCCAAACCTATTGTTTCGGTGTTAGCTTGTGACTCGGACGCGCAAGTCGAGAAACATAAGCGGAACAACGGGGGAAACAAAGAAGATATAATAAACAGAATTTTGTTTATTTGGTGTCCATCAGGCATTGGGTGAATTTTTGTCTCATGGCCGTTAAAGGCTCTGAAGTAGCAAATACGTAGATATGCAAACATCACTTGGACGAATCGATGTGGTATCGATGGTGTTGGATAACGGGGAATGTATATCGAGGTGGTAAGGACCGAACGTACCTTGACAAGCTTGTCCCAACCAGCGGAGACGATAACGGGGTTCTGGGGGTTGGGGCTGAAGCGGACGCAGGAAACCCACTCGGTGTGGCCCTTCTCGGTGATGGTGAACTTGCAGTCACCGAGGGTGTTCCAGAGCTTGATGGAACGGTCACGGGAAGCGGAGACAATCTGGCGGTTGTCGGCGGAGAAGGAAACGGAGAGAACGTCGTTGGTGTGGCCGACGAAGGTCCGGGTGGTCTCACCAGTGGAGAGCTCCCACAGACGGAGGGACTTGTCCCAGGAGGAGGACAGAGCGTAGGCACCGTCGGAGGAGATCACCTATACGCACAAGAATCACCACAGTCAGCCATTGTTTCGCCTTTCCGGTTCGTTTTCTGGCGGGGTCGAGACACGGGGGAATGTTCTGGGGACGGAGTTCGGAGGCATACACAGTCAGAGACGATGTGAGAGTGACCCTCAAGGCTGCGCTTGGGGTAACCGTAGGCCTGCTCGTCGCGGGTCAGGTTCCAGATGATCAGGGTCTTGTCGCGACTGCCGGAGAGGAGCATGTTGGGGCTATAATGCAGGAAGAAAAACATAGAAGTCAGAACCCATTTTGTCCACTTTCAACCAATGCGATCATTTCTTGCAACAACGCATCCATATACCACTTTGTGGGCAGCACATGCATACTTGTTCGGTCTCGCAGATAACGCATATTCAGGTGTGCAATATTCAATCAATCGGTAGAGCCCTTACTTCTCCAGAGAGGTAGCCAGGCAGGTAACCCAGCCATTGTGACCCTCAAGGGTACCGCGAAGGACCAGCTGCTCAGCCATGATGAGTCTCCGAGACGATGGTAGGGGGCCGCGAGAGGAGAGAGGAGGATGAACGCGGGCGGAGCAATTGTCGTTGACTCTGGGCTGGGAGATAAAAATCACAGCATGAGGATGGAGGTGCAGACACGCCTGAGCCCTAACTAGCGCGCCCAGCCCTGCTCGCTGTTGTGCGGTACCGCCAACCCTAACCCGGATAAGCGAGTCACGTGGATACCTCACCGCCCGCCCTGTCATCTGACATCACCCGACAACTGGACGATAAGAACAATGGCACTGCTTTTACTATGTACTCTCCTCCTCCCCCATGCCCTGTAAAGAAACCGGATATAACTATCTGTACACCTTCGCCATTTATCATGCAACTCCACATATACACCCCCTCCACTCTTCAAGACGGTCTCATGTTTAGTGATCAAACACCTGAACATTCGGCATCCGTCCCAGTCCAGCTCCTCCCGTCCGCTTGCTCTTCGCTGCATGGAATCCCGTGGCACTGTTATCCCGCACATGATCACGCAGGAGTCGCAGCACATTCGAGTCGGCCCATCGTGCCGGAACGGGCCGGTATGCAGCCTTGAAAGCACCAACTGTCTGCGCCCACTCGCCGCTCTTGGCTCCGGTACGCTTCCACGTCTCCGTGGGCGTATCCTGAGCACCCGCATCAGTAGACGAAGCAGCACTCTCCGCACCTTCGGCCGGAGGATCCTGCGTAGCCCAGTAGTAAATGTCCCAGTCATTCTCGTCAAGGAACCGGTCGTACTCCTGCAACTGCTCCTTGCTCATGTCGGCCAGATAGACATTGGCGAAAGTAGACAGCAAAAGATCAGACTCAAGAATACCGCGCTTCCGGCTCTGGTCTGTACCATCCCCAATCGCATTAGCCATTGTCAGCAAAAGCAGGGAAGACGGGGAAACGAACACAGCAACCGAGCCCTCATGGTAGTCACATCTTCGCCAGACCGACGCAGCGGCTCCACCTTGAAGGTGATACCCTCCATCTCACCGACTCCGAGTTCTGGCTTCTGGGCCCCAGTCTCCTGTCTACCTCCGGTATAGTGCTCGACTTTTCCGGGGTACGGATCCGCCGGCTTGTAGTTCGGGTCGACCGAGTTCAGAAGCTCCGGCGGTGCAGACTTCGCACCCACCTTGGGGAAATCCTTGGTCATGGTGGAAGTCGTGTTGGGAACATTGGGATTGGGAGGCTTATTCGTCTGGTTCTTGCGGTGCTCTGGGGCCGTGGACGGTGCGCGATCGTTCTGGTTGACTTCGTTTCGACGAACAACCGAGTTGCCGAAGGAGCGCCGGGCAAAAGTTGTGGTGAGGGAGATTGGGGAGGTCGATGGCCGCATAAAGCGGTTGATAAGTCTGGGAGCGGACATTGTGTTTCGCTATGATAGCTGCAGTAGATCTATCCAGTATCTGGAGAGGCAAGAAAAGATCTATTGCGAAATTCTGGGGAGGTCAGCGATAAAGTACGGAGTAGCAACGGAAGAATGACGGGGTTGACATCATCCGGAGAAACCTCGTTTGCACTGTTTGCAGGGCAGTTCGCCAACCGTCGCCGGCCGATTTCCAACTGGATGCATTCTTGCCTCTGTGATGCTGCGATGACTACAGATCAGCTGGCATACTATGAATGCATGCTCCAATTGGCCCTCCAGGACCACTAGGATCTGTTATCGCTTGTGTAGTCAATTGTCGTGACGATTCCAGAAGCAAGCTCGTATCGGCTTCCAGAGTCACCAAAGCATCTATTGACATTTGATCGGCTTTCGCATACAGTCAGTAGGCAGATTGCAGGGTTGCTTCTTATGTATGCAATTAGAATGGCTAGATTCCTGAAAACCCATACCGACACCAGAGCCAATATACATGCAACTTATCATAGTTATCATCAATGTTCAAACAGTGTACCGTGAAGTATATCGAAAGACTACATAAGGCCAAAGATACTAGATAAATGCATTGGAAAACTCCATATTTTGTCATGATAAGAGAGAAAGCATCAGCCTGGAACCTCCTCCCCCCATGATAAAGAACTCAAACTGGTTAACTCTAGATGAGATGCTTGGATCTATAGGAAATTAGTTAGTCGCCCGCATGAAAAACCAAGTCAAGGGAAGAAGAAAGACATACCTGAAGTAAGCCCTCAGATAAACGACCTGCCAAGCACCCAATCCAACCAGCATGCCCATAGTACCGAAAGCGAACCACTTCACACGCTCGTTCGTGCTCTCGTTGGTGTCGCGCAGCTTCTGCTCGCGAGCCCGCAGGTACTCCATCTCGCTGACAATCTCGGCCACCATCTCCTCGATACGGCGGAGATCAGTCTCGACGGGCTTGAGCTTCTCCTGAACCTGGATGCTGGACCAATCACGGGCATCGGCACCGATGTCGACATCAAGCTCAATGGACTTGTAGGGGTTTGCCATGGCTTCTGTTTGCCATCTGGTTAGCACACAACAGATGTCACATAACGATCTATATCTCTATCGTGTCAAGAGATAGCCGAATGGGGGCCATGAAACGTACTACGAGTGGTGAGCTGGTTATCGAAGCAAACGTCGAATGCAGTATCAGCGGGAGAGGTGAACGCCTGGCGAGTCTCGCCCTCAATATCCTTGGGACGACCGTGGTCGTTGCCCAATGCATCCTTGATCTATTCCAGAGGAAACCTGTCAGTGGAGTGTAACTTGGGCAAGCGGCAAAGCTCAACGCAAAATAATCGGGGGCACAAGACAGCTGTCTCTAGCGGCCGCCCGCACAATAGCTGCGAGGAAGTATAGATTCCCACATACATGCATGTTAACGACCTGGCCATCACCCTTATTGCCGCTCACAATGGCCGTGACGACCACGAGCTGGTCCTTGAAAACAAAGTTGCGTATACATCGCTCATTCTTCCCGCTCACGGCAGAGAGGTCGAATTTCAGGGCGGAGGTGATCTGGACAAACAGGAGAAAAAGAAGGCCGAGGAGAGAGCGCATGGTGAGACGGGTCGCCCCCATTGTCAATGGCAATTGTCGCAGTGGCCGACGGTGAAGTCTAGGGAATTGACAACGAGTGCTGCTATTGATGCCACGCCGCGCTCCAGGGGATCCCGATCGGCCGGCCGAACGTTTCTCCGGTTATCGGCCCACGCGTATCGAAACAGCATTACGACCTTACATCTATACAAATGGCCGGGCAAAATACTCTTACTAGGTAGGTGCGCTTCGTAGCAACATGAATAGATAATAATATGGTGGATGGCATTAAGTATTCAGCAAAGTCGCTCGAGACACATGAATCAATCACCCAAACCTTCCGGAGTCAGGTGATTTCAATCGTAGCTATGGATGAAAGTCTCCTCCTGAGGAGGCGCACAATACAAAGGGGTCTCAGAAATTAGAGAAGATAGAAGAGAAATTGTAGAGGGGGAATCAAGCGCAGAAAAAAAAAAAAAAAAAAGAATACCGCTGTAAAGAGTGATATGTCCAGGGGGTGCAGAAGTAAGCTGCAATCCAAAAAAGGGGGAATTCAAAAGAAAGATCCGAGCGAAGGAGTAAAGCTCCAATATAGACAAGATAAGGGTAATGAGATAAAGAGAAAGTATCGGTCATCAAGGTCCACAACTGTGAACAAGACATGTCGTTTGCCAAACACTTAGTTATATCGTGCTTATAGCAATTATCGGAGAGAAAAAAGGAGAGTAATGAATGAGGGCATCAAAGAAGATGCATTGAGATGTGAGGTACGTTAGGCCTCAACCTTCTTGCGACGCACAAAGAGTCGCGCGAATCCCGATTCCTTTGTTTTGACAGGAACAGGAGGCCTGGTCACAGGAGGCTCAGGAGGTCCAGTGTTTTTCAAGAAATCAGCCAATGCGCTGGTCTCGGTCTGTCGACTCGAGGCGGTCTTCAGGCCGTAAGCACCGTTCATGCCTCCACCATTGCGCTCCATGCTAACCTTGACGGTATAATTCGCTGCACCACCCACATAACTGTCTGACTGCTGACGCAGCGTGTTCTTGGAGGCTTTCGGTAAGGGCGTCTTTTCGGAGGAAGTGTTGCGAAGCAGTCGAGCCTTCACCGACGCGCCGCCGAATCCGGCAGACGAACCTCGCCGGGAATTCGTATTTGTAGCCGAAGGCTGTGGCGCAGGTGTAGCCTCAGGCGGAGGTACGTTGCGTAGAAAGTCTATCAGACTCTCCTCCTCACGTTTCGGCTTGGGCTCTTCAAGCAAATCATCAAGGTCATCGTCGTCCAAGTCAATGGCATAAGGGTCGGGCACCCGGCGCCTTGTCCGTGGCGGACGGAAGTCATCCGACGCGCTCACAGCGCCAGAAGACATAGTGATCGCTTCGTTGGCCATGACAGTCGGGGTGCTCGTTCGACTGGCTGATTCCAAGAGCCCCGTATGAGAGCCGACGGAGGCCATAGACTTCCCGGCCATCGAACTGGCCACGGAGGGGGCTCCTGTTCCCGTGCGGCCAGGTTCAATGGCTTGTAATTCGTCCGAGTCCATGGTATCCCTGAACGGAGCCACTGTACGTGGGATACGATGAGCCCCAGTAGTCGGTGGGCCTTCCCGAATGAAATCTATCAAGTCCGACGTTTGATCTCCTCTGGGAACCACAGCGGAGCGGGCTTCCATGCGAGGGCCGCTACGAGCAGAACTGGAAATAGAAACAGCGCCACTTGCAGGCCGAGTGAGCTTCTTCGCTATCTCTGTGGCATCAGACAACCGACGCAAGCGCGGCGACTTCAGCGGGGTGCTTTCGACCGTCGCAGGAGTGGTTGGAGTATTTGGCCCGGTTGATTTCAGGAAGCTTGAGAAATCACTGGTAGACTCAATGCTCTGCTTCGCGTCCCGAGGCGGTCCAGCATTCGATTTCTGCTGCGGGCTCATGGCGGGGATCTCGATGGATCGGGGTTTCGGCTGGAGGTACTTAGGCACTGGTGGAACTGGAAGGTCCACAATGCTTTTCGAGGAGGCTGTAGAGGTTCTCGATCGAGGAGTGTTCTCTGCGGGTGGAGTGGTGCTCTTCTGCAAGTCGGTCAAATCAACCGTACTTGGTTGCTGGGCACGCCATCTGGGTGAATCCGGCAACTAGGCCAAGGAGTCAGTAAGAGCAAGTCGGAAGGGGACTATCGTTCACTCACCTCCATTTCTCTCATATTCTTTGGTGTCAGAGTGAAATGGATCGTTTCCTCACTGCGAATCAAGTCGTCCAAGCCGGAAGTATCGTCGTACGCTGATTCTCTGGTTGATACCCTGCTTACCTCGGAGGAGCTACGGAGACGAATCGAGCCGGAGTCACCAGGCCGACCGATCAGACCTTTTAACTTGCTAGAAACCTGAGAAGTAGAAGAGCCGGCTGTGACTGGACGTCTCTCCCGGCTGCTGCTGAAACTGCCAGAGCGGCGGGTCTTGGAATAGACGGAAGAAGCTATCGAAGTGGAATGCCGCCCCGATAATCGTTGAACTGCGGCGCGCTCTATGCCGGAGTTGACGGAGGATATCCCTGGGCTCGAGCGCCCGTACCGATGCTGACTGCCGCTTCTCACAAGGGGCAGGCTGGACTTGGAAGGCAGAGTCCGCGAACTGTCCGAATAGGCACTTTCTCCAGAAGTCGAAACCGGTCGGGGAGGCCTATCCAAGGCTGAGTCGTCAGCGGAAGGTTGAGCTGCTGGAGGGGCTGAGTGTTCGACGGTCGACAGGTCGGCATCAGGAGCTTGAGACGCATCGTGATCGGCGGCGGGTTGGGCCGGGGTGGAGTCGACCCCTTGCGTCCCCGGCGCCTCGTCGATAAGCCCAGGGGTAGTTGATTCCTCAGCTGCCGGTTGGGGTTTCTCACCCGTCTCGTGTTCCTCAAGCACTTCGGTTAGAGAAGGCGACGATACTGGAGTACTACTAGCTTCACTCGTGGCTACCTCAACCGATGCAACTGAAGTCGACGGGCTTGCGCTAGCATCGACCGGCTCATTTTCGTCGGCCGTCTCTGGTTTATTTGCCGCAGCGTCAACCTTCACTGGCCGGGTTTCCTGTTCGACGTCCCGCTCATCATCCTCGTCATGCTCGTACATTGTTTCCAATCGCCTTTTCTCCTCAGACGGTGTGGGAGATAAGCGCTCTGCAGGTTCTTCAACTTCCGATGCTTCCTCAGGAGCAGCATTGGGCAGTGACCGGGATCGAGCGTGGCGTGTAATCTTTACGGTTTGGATTTTAGGAGTGAGAGGGGAGTTTCCGTTCGACGATGGCGATCTAGGCGAGGGTAGCGTGAGCACCATCAAGCTGTGAGGTCGAACCTTGTGGGCCACTACAGCCTGCATCGTCTGAATGTCGCTGGTGTCGAGCTCTGGAAGAAAGTTCGGGGTTTCGATTTCCTGGACATCGTGCTCACTCACCGGCAGTGGGATGAAAGCTGGGTCAACATCAGGCCGAGTCTCTGAAAGCGGCGAGGTCGCGGATCGCGATGATGCAGACCGCGGTGAGATCTCGCCTATCGTGACGGCACTGCTCCTCCTACTGCCCGTCATGAAAATCAGGCTCTGGCGATGTCGGAGAGATTCTCGAGAAACTGCTCGGGACAAGTTGGCTCCTCGCATGCGTTTTCTCCATGTCCGCCACAGTCTCCCCAAAGTTGGGTTCAGGGCCAGCCTCTCCATGTCATGGTCCTCCACGATCAGCCGGTCCATACTCCCCCGGTTCGCACCGGCCTCTACTGATTCGTTGTCATTGCCAAGGTTTGCTGACAGTCTCGACCGAGCTGTCTCGCCTGCAATAACTAAAGCCTGTTCGCCGATGTGCTCAATGATAGAAGTGAGGAAAATGGAAGCGGCGGGTGTAATGTATCCAACGTGACTTGCCAGTCTCCGGAGGCCGCCCCCATCTTCGCCTAGCATTTCCTGGTTGATATAATCCTCCTCGTCATCTTCCTCCATGTCACCCAGTCGTGTGTAGACCATACATCGCAGACGGGTCAATTTCCATGAGCGAATGAGATCGAAATCTCCAATTGAGGTTTGACCGCCACCGTACTCGATCTGTCCGTCTCCAGGTCCTCCTAAGTATTCGCTCAACTCATCGTCGGCCGCAGAAACCATCTCCTTGGCGAGTCGAGGCTTCAAAACCTCCGCGACCGCGGGGCGAATATTGACTAATTGGGTTGACTTGGCCGCGGCCAGAATGTTGAACAGAAGATTATCGAGGAATGAATTCAGAGCAGAGAGGGCGTCCCGGGTTACAAGTGCACTTGCACTTGATCCATGGCCTTCATCATCGGCCAGAAAGTCGGCGGCGTTGAACTCTTGGTCGGCGGTGATGATCTGGGCGGCCGCGGACGATGCGATATACGAGGGCGCGGGGATCACAGGTGGGGGAGCCAGCAGATGGGTACGGGATATTTGCGAGTCGCTGGACATGCTGGTGCTGCGCGAGCGCGAGACCGTCCGTCCCAGCTCCGGGGACTCGAGTCCTTTGCTGTGCTGCATGGTCGAGATGCTGGGTCACATACAGGCAGCGAAGGCGTAAGGGTGAAATTAAGAGAAGGATGAAGAGAAAGCGATTCGGTATGAAATTTCGAGGGTAAAACGAATGGCCAAAAGAAAAGGAAAATAGCACGCTAGATCATCCTAAGATCATAAGGCATAAGCAATTCTTCGTCAGCGTTTCCAACAATACGACCTCCGGTGCACAGCCCGGTTTGGGGGCCTTTCTCGTGATTTGTCTTTGAGCAGTCTGCCTTCTGGACGGATGCCGTAAGATGGCGTCAAGCCATTCGAAACGATCAAAAGCAAAAAGCGAGGATTGGGGAGGCGAAAAAAGGGTAAAACCCAAAGCGAGACCGAAGAAGCAAAGAAAAGTACAGAGTACTAACGGGGCGGATGCAGGGCCACGATAGTGCATCGGCTAGAACGTACCCGAAGAAAGGAGCCAATTAACAGTAGCTCGGACTCATGTCGGAGGGTGATGGAGGGGGCCTGGGGGAAAAGATTCCGAAAGATCAATCAAGACCTGGCCTGTAGGGAGAGACCGTTGATGAATGAGAAGGTGAAAGAAGAGGAAGAGGGAGGGAAAGAAAAGAAGGAAGGCGGAGGGAATAATGATGGGAGCAGCTGGGAGGATTCAGGAGTCACAGACAGAGAGCTGTTCTACTTACACCGTCCGTCCCTGTCCTATCCAAATCCGAGAAGATAATTATAATAATCACAATAATAAAATAATCAACCTGACCATTACGGTTACAGCCCGCGGGCCGGGCTAAAAGGGTCACTAGCAAAATCAGGAGAGGTGGATACCACCCATTCGGCTTCTGGAGGGGTGCGAGAGGCAAATGAGCGATGAGGGTCAAAGGTGGGTGGAGCAGGGAGATGGTCTCTGTGAACTTGTAAAGGCTAATTAATCAAAGGACATCCAGGAGCTGCATGCACTGAAAAGTCTTATCCGCGGCGCCAGTCACTGCAGTTACTCGAACCAGCAGTTGGGGGGGTACCATCCGGAGTAGAACTACTACTTAGTACTTATTAACTAGACGGGGATTTCTATGCAATTTGAGTTTGCGAGATTAGGCTCACCACGAGTCGGAATTCTCCAGGCACGGGCGGCCGGTCGGGATCGACATACGATTGGAGGTTGCCAGTTGTTGCCACCAGGATGCCGTTACCCTGTCAGTCAGGAACACAACGTGGTCCTACCTGTCCGTCAACAAAACTAGTAGTAAGTAGTAACATATCGGCGGCGATTAACCATGGGAATCCCAACGACTAGTGTTCGTGCACTTGGTGAAAACTGGGCGGAACGGAGGCAAGCCTTGGTTTCTTTTTCCCTTTTGTGCTGCTGGACTGATGGATGGCAGCAATCAGGAAGAGGCACCGAAGCCCCCAAGAAACCCGACGATCTCCAGTTCCGAACTAACGAAAGCGCCCCACTCAGCCTTCGAAACAAACCCTAAAACCGTCCCGACTGCAGGAAAGGGGCGCTACTGTAGCTCTGTAACCGCTTAACCGACCCGCGTTGCGCTGCTCGGCCGCTCCGTCTCTCGCTATTATCATGGACGCTCCAAAGCAATGAATGGTACATATGTCATGGATTCACTGAACACCCTCGTGGATATGGCCAGTAGATGTCGTGCAATGTTCCGGGTGAAATCCTCGGGACCCTCTTGGCCCAAGAAATAGTCACAGCCGGCGATTGGCTGTTCCAAGTTTCGGCGCCTCTTATCCTTCCCGAAAATAACCAGCCCCATCTTACACAAGTCAAACTCTGATTGCAACTATTAAATCCAATCAGTGAAATCCCACCCCTGGGTCAACGGAATATGGCCGTGCCCTGGGCCACTGGACAGTGATCCACCCCCAGCACCACGAGCATCATGACCGTTTAGGACTCTGAAGAATTAGTATCTAGTGGTAGTGATATTCCCGATTACGCAATGAGGCTCGAAAAAAGGTGCTTTTCCAGAAATGCCAGCCAATCCAGCTGTGCTGTCATCGCCGTCTTCCCTTGAGGCACGCAGAGGACCCAACGGTGACAAAGACTCAGCTGGCGATCTCCAGCTTGACAAGGTAGATCATGGGTGGGTGCAGCGATAATGCTGCATCATGCATGACTCTCACGTTCTCGGTTTTCCGTATCTACCCCATACGCTACTGAGTCTGATATGAGGCTAAGGGACGCCTTGACAAATCTTATATGCCTATCCGGGACCACGAAACCCTCCGACCATCCCAATAAGCTGCTGACTCGAGAGCACGGGTCAATTCCTGCCTGCTCCGTGTGCCGTCCCCAACTTTACCTGCCTGTTTTGTCTTTCCTGCTAGGTACTCCGTACCAACGGCAAAGATTTGAAATCCCACACCCACCACACCCACCCCACCATCGCACCATCGCGCGATTTCAGAAACCATGCATGTAATAATAATCCAGGAACTCGAGAAGCATCCGAAACCACCTCTTACTCACCTTAGTGGACCGGCCATGCACCCAATCATGGCTGGAATCGGACACAAGGCTCTCAGCGGATAGTTAATCGGGTACAGCAGGGGTGGGTGGCCTGTGATTGGTTTCCGGCTACCGATTTTAATCAATCGTAAATATGGCCACCCTACCCACTCGCTGGGCTGAGCTTCAGCTGAGTTCAGGTCTCAGCTCAGCCAGGTTAGTCTAATCTGAGGGTCACATACCTACGGTCCTACCTACACACAAGCTGGAAATGGATCCATGACTCAATCAGTAGCTATAATAAGTAGCTACCCGCAAGACTAGATATACAAACTCAATAGCTCGGAGATATACCGGCTACCATAGGTAGTATCTATATTTCCTTAAGAAAAAAAGAAAAGCAGTGGGGAGCTGTCACCATGTACCAAGGACGTATATCTCGAAGGATTCGAGAATCCGATTCGAAGTTCTAGACCTTGACATGAAATTCCTTGATCTATTTTAGGTCCTATAAAAAGCAAACACATGGTCAAATCCATGATCAGCTATAATCTATATCGATCCTGCGCAATAAGCTTACAAGATATGGGACTGCCCCATCACTTCCCTGTTTTAGATGCCCACACCACCCGCCCCACGACACTACCAGTACCTATAGCCTGATCATGTACTCCGTACATACACTCGACCACCCAGGCCCCTCAATAATACATTCCAACAAGACCCTATTCGCACCAACCATCACACAGATTGATGTCAATCTACTCCGTACAATACTCTACATTTTGGTAAGCGGGAGTGGCGTGTTAGTCCACAGATAAGAATCAATAGTGTCCAGATAGCCTACTATACTATCATGCAGACTATCTCCCTGTCAATGTACCTCCGTAGATAGACTCCATTTACCCAAAAGTACGAGATCCTGCTGCCCAACACGATGCGCAGAATCTTGGGTAAGAATTCCAACTTCGCATTTTTCATTCCAAGGATCTTCCTGGTTCAGTCACCCCATAAATAAGTACCTACTACTCAATGTACTCCTAGTACTACGAAAAACACACCATCCAAGATAGAATACACCCCAAGAGTATAAAAATGGATTGCCATCCCACACACCCAACACATACACACGACCTGCTTTCCTACACGCGCTAAAGCATGCATGCATACATGCAAGCACCTTGCCAAGAAAGTATCTCATATGTTGGCATTACTCCGTAAATATGCATCAGTATTGATCAAGCACGGGTACCACAACATGTACAAAGTACTAGTACTCTGTACCCGTACCTCGACTCAGCTGACAAGCGCCAAGCAACCACTAACCAACCAACCCGGATACATTTCCCCGGGTTCCCTTTCCTATCGATAAAAAATGTCCTTGTGGGAAGTAAAAAGAAAGAATGAATGAATGTAACACAATCCTCCCCACAACAGGCAACTAAACCCAGACAGCTACCAGATACTAACCCGAGAACCGACAACAAGGATGGGATGGGATGGGATAATTCGATCGATCGGGTGTACGCCCCCAAACCAACACGAACAGCAACAACAACAAGCCCAGATCTCACCGGAGAATAGGCACGGAGTACTTCACTACGACCATGTGAGTACTTGCATGCACGCATGCATACCATGTACCTAACTAGCCCTGCAGCCACAATTCAAATACTTCCATACATGTAACTCCAAAGTCCAACCCGCCCCCAAGACAAGTACTGTTTTGTTAGGTAGATGGATAAAGTAGCACTTACCTACCACCAAACCAACCTAAACCCCATAAGTCTAGTAACCCTGCACAAGAAATCACCCCTTACATCATAGGTACTCAACCCAATCATATGATGTAAGTGGCTCGATGGGGGATTTCATCTTTCGGTAACTAGACGAGAAGTAGTTAGCATGGAAAGTGTTAATTAATGACCCGCGTAGGCGATTTCCGTTGTTCCGAAGCTGAAGCTGAATCTGAAGCGACGCGAGGAGATGAACCTAAAGGTCGGGTGGCTAAGCTGAGCTGAACCGAATACTACATACAGCAAAGCAAAGTAATTAATCCCAGGCCTCTTTTTTCTAATTCGTTGTTGCGTACGGAGAAACCGAGATACCTGACATCAGCATCGGTTCTTTTTTTCTTTTTCTTTGCATAGGTATTGGTTATGGGGCACTATTCTGTACAAGTTAGTAAGTCAGTGAGTGAGTGACTTGCTGACACGCGCTAGAGGGATGAATACGCGGAGGTAAATGGATGTGTCTCCAGTTCATGCAGTGCCACGGCCCCCCAGCGATCCGTTTCACGGCAAGAGTCGGGGTATCGGCCCCCCAGCCTCGTCGTTTCATGTCAGGTGGATACATTCTGTGTAACAGCTACACGGGCTGGGTCTCAATATGCCTTGCTTGACAGATGGGGATTTGTTTCGAGTCCGACAGGCACGGGACGGGACGGGCTGGGGTGGCCTGCCAGCACACCGGAGAATTATGTTGAGCTGTTTCATTTTCTGTTCGACAATGAGACAGGCATATGCTTCATGCTTCGTCATGGCCCCGGTCGTTGCTATTGCCCTCTTTGGTAGGTTCGCAACGACCGCTGTGTGGCTAGGTACTTTGGGAAAGGCACTTTTATTTGTCATGCTATAGACAGTATCATCAAGAATTTTAAACCCCGCTCATGAGCTTTTGTAAAACACAGCCGGCATCTCATGCATCATGTCAAGCAAATTCAATCTCTGCTGAGCCCGATCGGGTCTCCAGTAGTTTTCATCCCTCATAGCAAACTGCTGTACGATCTCAACCTTTATCTAGCGTACCAGGAAATCTCTCCAATTCTCCAAAGCATACGCGACGCCGCTGGCAAAGAAGCTCAGCTCGTCCGGCCCAATATTGGCGTCACACGCTAGTCTCTCCGCGAGAATATGCTCAATCTTCGCCAGCAGCTCCTGACTTCTGCTGGAGCCTAGAGGGTGTCCTGAAGGGGCTTCTTCGTTGATAAGACTGGCAAGTTCGCCGAAATCCTCTTTAGCGACGATGTTGCGGAAAAGCCCAATGACATGATTCAGCACATTGTCAAAGTAGGCCCCATTGGCACTGGCACTTTCCAAGTCCAGGTATGGTGACTCCAAGCGACCCATACTGAAGTCGTTGGCCTGATTGTGAAGACGAGATCTGTATTTGCGATCAGGGATCTCGTGCATACCATTCATGTAGGCAACGAATAGTCTCTTGTCCAGGTCAACGACATCACTAGGGTGCTCTTCAGGAAGCTGTCTCATTGACTCGGGCAAGCTGTCGTCTTCGTCCTCGTCCTCGACACGGTCGCATGTCTCCTGGAATCGGAGCGTACCAGATGCTCGTGCACGTTCCATCAGCTCATGACAGGTCAGTTCGACATCAGAACCTTCGTCGTCCAGAACTGGGGCGTCGATGTAGCGTATATTTGTGTCAAATCGAACCACAGGCCCGAAAGAAATAAAAGATCCGGCAAAGGATTCCGCGTCGTCTTCATCACATGATTCAGACATTATGGATGCTTTGTCCCATCCAGAGACATAGTATATATCATCGTCGTCATCATCACTGTCTTCGAAGATCGCGTCATATTCAGAGTCTGAGGCTTCCGAAGCATAGCCAGACTCCGACTCCGACCCAGACTCTTCAATTTCCGAGTATGGTCTTTTCAAGATGGGCTTTAAAACGAAACCGACAGAGGGTCCAGTTGCAGGCGCCAAGGCCGAGGCACCCAATTGACTGGCTGATGTGACAGAGACCTCATCCGAGGCATAGCAACTGTCATGAGAGATCGATACTTCAAGCTGGGAGAACGTCGAAGAAAGAGACTCCCATGACTTTTTGTTCATGTTTTGACTGCTCATTTTGACAACACAGGGGTCCTCTTGCCGAAGCTGAACAATCTTTGCAAATAAGACCAATGGACGAGAAAAGGTGAAGCAGTCTCGAAAAAAGTCAATAACTTTGGTCGAGATGAATGAAGAGTGTTTTGATATTCAGAAAATGGCTTCGAAGGCCTCCAAAGGGTTTAGAGGGGTCCATGGTGAAGCACAGGCGTGAAGAATAAATCCACCTAGTGGGAGCCGACAAGGCCCTTGAGGAAAATAGCGTAAAACATTTTCTGTATTTGTCTGTTCACTTCAAATTGGGGGATGAGTTCAGGTTGTGGCGCATGCGCGTTTGGTTGTTCTGGATTCCAGCCGAGAAACACGGTTTGACTCCCTTCTTGCTCTTGAAAACACGTTCGATTTCGATGAACTGTTTGACGTGATACATATAGACTGGTTGGTTGTGCGTGAGAGAAGAAGCGCAGGATTCGTTGCTAGCTAAACACCACGCGTTGGGTATTCAGGTAGACGTCAACTTGTGTGGAAGATGACGATGAGGTTGGCCTTGTTCGGAAGCCGGTTGGGTGCTTGATCCGCGAAGAGGGGTCCTGGCGCTATAGGGTCATGCCCACTTTTCGTGGGGAGGCGTAAGGAACAGTGCTGCAGCGGGGGGCGAGAGGGGTAAGGAACAGAATCCGTCAATGGAGTGTTCCTCAAAGGAAGCCTAAGAATGATAAACCCCGACGATTGTACGGAGTTCGTCGAGAAGTGTCTGGAATGGATGAGAAATAGCACGGTAACCAGTGCTGGGGAAAGAAAGGGATGGGAACAAGGCGAACCTCGCGGTAGTCAGTCAGATTTCCGTCATCACCACATGACCTGGGGCCTTGTTGCCTCCCCTTCCGGCGTAGCCATCGGCCCGACCTCGGGCGGCCAGATCTGGTCTAGCGCTTGCGGCTAAGGCTCGCTACTTGATCCAATCAACGTCGTCTTTTCTCGGCTCGGAGTTTCATGTAGTTCCGTGCCGGAGTCTCTGGACTCTTCGCCGGTGAGGAGAGACCAACACGCGGTGGGCGGCTTGCTAGGTAGCATTTCGACATTGCTGGTGACTGATTTCTCCGATGGATACACTCCATAGTCTATGCTTGGCCCATGACTCCACATCAGTCTGGGCTGCTTGACTCTTGAAAGTTGAAAGAGGAAGTTCCCTCCATCTCGTGGACAACGGCATAGTGATTACCTAAACGGGCAATGCCCAGCAACACCTCGCTTTCACTCCAGTGTGAACCATCTAGCCTGTCCATTCGTGTCGGGCCTGACTTACGATACTTTCAGGGAATCTAATCTTATTCATCTTGCATTAACCACGTTCGGGGATCTATGTTTGGGCTTTGGCATGCTTCACCCTGAAAGAATTCTTCCGAGTGGCTTGTTCGATTCACTGTTCCTGCCTGAACGACGGTTTCGGCGGACCTCTGACTCGACATCTTCATAACACCACTTTTTATCCATGTCTCCTGGATTTGCGTGGCCTTGTCCCAAATGCGAATACTTGTGGTTCGTCGGAATTAGATCATGGACCACAGCTCAACCATGTTCTGAGGAATTCGAACAAAGAAAGAGCCACTCGGCACCTGGCAAGGGAAATGAATTGGTGCTGCATCTGCGACAAGACTTGTTCATTAATGAACTCTCGTGGGGTTGGCCAATCAAACTGTCAATCTAAGGACAAGGAACAAAGGACTGGCGATGAAACATCGTACCAACTTAGAGTTCGACCTCGCGAGTCGAATCAAAGATCCGGTCTGCTTATTCTTCAGCATGGACCAATGCCAATGGGCACGGAGTAGTAAGCTCAGCACACTCACTGACTGTCCATGCTAAAGCTGCATGCGAATAGCTACGTTCCCTTCTACCGCTAGGGCGTGCCGCGTAAAAGAGGATAATTATAGAAACTTGAGGCAGGCAAAGAGTCAAACTGCACATCTATTGCCAAAAGCTTTTTCAGGCTAACCTCTATTATGAAAAGCAAACAGGAGGACGAGTGGCTCGGGATGCCAAATCTTTCTTTTCATGCATTGTTACGGGGGGTATGCATTCTTCCCAGACCCAGCATTCCAATGTCTAGGCCAGCCAGCTCACCAACGGTAGCGCCTTGAGTACCCGAGGATCATTAGCTCCACCAGACGGGAAGGGCGTGGAGCAAAGGATCGGTCGGGGAAATTTAGTGCAAATCATTGCGGCAGCTATCCTACGTATTCGACTGGGGATGGGGAAAGCAACCTAATGACGCTTACACTCCAGGTGTCAGTCAGCAGCTAGACCACACCTCCACCGTGTCCCTTGACGCGTCGAGCCGTCGAAGCCGGTCGAGCTCCATTGTGACACTCATAGTTCGATCCAGGTGCCGGCATTGATTATCAAACAATGAACAAGTCGGTGTCATTGGTGATGTACTCGCTGGTCCCTCTAGGACCCGCCCATGTCTGCCCTGCTGATACCTATGCGCACTGTTTCTGGCATAGTAAGGGTTGCATTCCCGCGGGTGGCCATCTGTGCTCCGAGCCCACTGGACGGCGAGTGTCTGGCGGTGGATGGCACGAATCAGCCACCAGGTTTCCAGGCCCTCTGATTGGCACCAGGAGCGTGTGGGATAGGCATGGGCTGCTCTGCTCAGGCAATGGGCGATGGGGTGGGCCATATCGAGGAGCTGCGTATTCCTTGATGGCACATTCCCTGCGCATCTTGCCCTTCTTGAGAGCTCTTGGAATGTATGCAGAATCCAGAGAAGAATCCAGAGGCTGGGGCCCGTCGTAGCAATTCAAATAGGAGCCCTCAGTCTGTTGTTTGTTTGCTTTGTCTACTTTGCATTTTCTGCACTGTTTTCTTCGATTGACAACTCGTCAAACCAGCCCAACACTCCCCTCCTCAGGCTGCGGTACATTCCATCATCACTCCGTGCCATCGTCACCACCGCCGGCACTTCAACGGATCGCCGGCTAGGTTCGCCCGGCCCTTGCCTTGCGTCAAGCTTTACTGTGCATCAAGCTTTAGGACTGCCCGCAGTGTGCGTCGCCAGTCATATCTGATCTGCCCCAAGGTGTTCGTTGGGTCAGCCTGTGACAGACTGACAGCTCCTCTGGTTGTCGCCGCAAACGGAAAGCCAACAAACCCCCGGCACCATGTTCGCCCACCAGTTCGACCATTCCTTGAATGACTTGGATTTATTTAATCAGTACGTCAATATGGACAACTCCAGCGTGGATGGCAACAAAGATGTCTCGTTCCCTGGCGATCTTGACCAAATATTTCAGCTCGAGTCGCTGTCCAGCGACTGTGGCGAGCATTCTCCGGCCATCCCCACCTCCACGCAACCCCATCAGGCCGCCCACGCTTGGAGTAAAGACTTTTGGTGTCTGGCCCACGATCCAGACTCGTCTACGGGTCACCCCCATTTCTCTCTACAGGACACTGTTCATCCTTCTGCCGTCTCCGAGCTAGCTGTCAACTTCGAAGCCCCGCCCACAGCCTGTGCTCCGGAAACCCGCCGATCCCCAACCACTCCCCCAGCAACTCCCAGTCGCAAGGCCCAAAGTGCTGGCATCACGCCCAAGGCCATCCGCCGTCATCGTGAGCCTAATGACCGCCGTGGGCCGCTGCAAAAACAGAGCTTCTCCCCCGGCATCCCCCGCTCATCGCAGATCCAACGGAACAGAATGGCGTACCCCGAAGCTTGGGCTCAGCGATTCAACAACTTCAGCTTCCGTAACTCGGATGAACGCTTGCCCTTGTCACCACCACCCTCAGATATCCTCGTTCAGCAGGAGAATATGGCGGCAGACACCGCGCACCTGAACCGCACTGAAGCGCTATCCAAGCCTTCCGCAGAGATGCCTCCACATTATGACACTGGCATCTTCAACCCATCACCTGCCATCTCCATGCCTTCGCCTTCAACAGCTACCCTAGCGGGGCAGCCTCCGAGATATTTAAGCCAGTCAAGCAGCTCTGGCTTGCCCACCTCAAGCCCCCCTTCAGCTGATGAGATCTTCTCCTCCCCACATTCTTCGGGCCCTCAGTCTATGTCTTCGTGGCATTCCGACTCTCTTGCCTCTTCGGGGCTTCCGTACAGCACTCCCGACCTGAATGGGCACGATACCCAAGCATGGTGGTCACCAATTACATCTCGAGTTCCCCAGCGACAACCGTCATATCAGCAAATGGTCGCCTCCCCAGCTGCGCAACGGCCGATCCAGAACCCTGCAACCCAGAATGACATGCTGCAAGGGGGACTTATGATTCAACTCGACCCCTCGTCGTTCGACTTATCTAACACCCACTCGTCCTTCCCGTCGTCCGGGCTGGCTTCCGCTCCTAACGGCCACGACAGCCGTCCCTATACCCACAGCACAGCAGCTCCAGTGGATTCATCCTCTTTCGTCACCCCACAAATCCCACCCACTCACTCCAGGCCACCATCGCTATCTCCAGGCTCAGGCGCCTCTCCAAAGAATGGAACCATCATGCATAACGGAAGCAGGAGGACAATCAACCGCCAGAACCTCAACCGAAAGCTATCTAATTCCATGAACATGCCCAAGCCAGTCAAGGGACTCCACACTACAAGCCCCAAGGGAGGCAACAAATCCGTCACCGTGTCATTCGTGAACTTCACCCCCAACGATCACCAGAAGATCCTCACCGGTGTTGCCCCCAGCGGCAGCTCCAAGACTAAGGCACGACGCGAGCAAGAAGCCCGCGATAGACGGCGCAAACTGAGCGAAGCCGCTTTGCAAGCCGTCCGGAAGGCCGGAGGCGATGTCGAGGCTCTCGAAGCCATCTTTTGCTAATTCATGTAATAGTAATATCCATTTGTTCATTCTTTTCCTGTTCTGTTACTTGTGTTGGTTACTCTAGCCGGTTGGGGCTGCCTGCGTTATACCATTCGAGTACTTGTTTTATCCATGTCTTACTATATCATTGCTTTTTACCCCCGATACAAGGCAGCGGTTGTTTTCAAACAGATTATCCTCTTCGCTGTTGGAAGGAAAGGGTTTGGGAGTTGGATCATCAAAAGCGTTAGATGGGCGGACATTCGGTTTCCTCCCCGGGTTGGATACTACGTATAATATATGTCACTAATACTGCATACATGGGAACACAGTTGAAACAGAAGCGAGCGATCTATAAATGCAGATAGTAGTAGGTGGATACTGAAGTCAAGCATTCAGCGGAAATAATATACCATATTATCTTAAGTTCGTCTGAAATGTAATGTAAAGTGGAGAGATTCAGTAACAGTCATCCGATGTCTGGGACAGTCAGTCCGGCAGATGGACATAATATACACGGATCATGATACAACGACTCATAAAATACATAGATGGAGGCGTTTAACCAGAGACTTGACCGAGAAAAAATCCCAATACCGTATGGCAACGCTCCAGTCAGCCTAAGTCAGCGGCATTCCGACAAATCACGCCAACAGCTTGTTTTACAAGGGGGCGTGTTCCGCAATTCGGGAACGGACGGCAACCCGGCAAGGCAACCCAGATGCCTTTAGGCGTGACAGGTCTAATGATGTTTTCAACGAGAAGCTCGAACAGAGACGTCAATCCCATTCTACCAAGCTTCATCTTCGGATCTTTCACTCATTTCTTCGAACTAGTCGGACTCCACGAATCAGGCTGCCAGTTATCACCCGGGTTACCTGCCGCGGCCTTTGCCCAGGGATCTTGCTTGGCAGCCGGAGCCTTCTGCGGACTCTTCGCTTGGGTAACGGTCGCGTCGCTCGTATTTGTTGCGGGAAGCGGTTGCTGTTGTTGCTGGGATATGGGCATATCGAGGTAGGATGGTTTGCTGGCCCAGCGTTCATCGGCCAGACGAGCTAGCTCCTTCATCTGCACCTGGCGGATGATGTCTTGTTGCTGTTCTTCGAGGGAAGGGGGTTCGGCGCGCACGTAGCGAAGCCATTGGTGCCATTGTGCTGGGAGTTGTGGCGGTGGGATGTTAGTCGTGGCTGGACTTGCGTTTTGATCGGGAGGTACAAAACTCACGGCTCACTTGAACATCACTGTAGTGGGTTTTGGGATCGGTCCTGACGATGCGGCGGAAACGCCCGGCATTCAGCTTGTCCTTGAATTCCCAGAAAGTGTTTCCGGAGAGATCGGTGCCTGTGTCGGGGCAGTGTTCGTTAGAAGCTATATATAAAACGGGAGGGTGGGATCGGAGAGACAGGTCAGGTCGATCGCGACATACCGACGAGGAAGGATCTTCGCCAGGGTAGTCGAAGGCTCTTCCACTTGAACCAGAGACTGTTGATTGGACTCATTGGGGCGAGAGGAAAGGTGATGGATGGAGATTGGGGCCGTGCGATGGGAAAGTCGATGGTGGAGGTGGCTGAGGGTTGTAGTGATTGGTAAACGGCTCCGGTCAATGGCTGCCGCGGCCTGGGCCTGGGGCCCGAAAAGGCAGGCAGCGACGGGGATGGCGGCGGAAGGACGTCATCGGTAAGATTGGGCCGTCACGGCGCGTATTCTTCTGGTAAATTCCACGGCGCATTCCAGCCAAGGGCCTCGTCTGTCGCGGTTGCTGCTGATTGTTTTTCCCGAGCTTCTTAGGCTGCAGCATCTTTTGGATCCGTCACTGCCCATCTTGCTGGCCTCGCGCGTTTCTTCTGCCTCCCATCCAGACCCTTTCGATCTTCCGGTTCATCCGTCTTCCCCTCAGCCCCCTCCTGAACCCCTGTGACGTCCCGCCGTTCGTCCCACCGGAAGCCACTATAAACAGCTCCTCCCCCCTATTTTTTTTCGCCCAGCTGCCTAACTGTGCTTCACGAATCGGTCTGCATGTCCCTGGCATTTTGATCGAGTCGGCTCGAACTTGAATATGGCCTCCGTCACCTCGCTCGACAAGGACCTGCGCAATCTGCGCCTGTCCCGCTATACCCCGCAGGCAGCCGCGGAAGTCCGTACCTGGATCGAAGAGGCGCTCCACGAAAAGCTGCCGCCAGGGGATCTCCTTGACGCTTTGAAAGATGGTGTTGCACTTTGCAAGTGAGATCAAGACGAGATTCTAGCAATCTGTATAGCTACTAATGACTTCCCAGGCTTGTGAATCTGGCCGTTTCCCCCGGTGTCAAGTACAAGCAGTCCTCGATGCCCTTCGTGCAAATGGAGAATATCTCCCACTTCCTCCGCGCGTGCCAAATTCAGCCCATCAGCCTTCTTCCTCATGATGTCTTCCTCACTGTCGATCTCTACGAAGCCAAGGATCCTGCACAGGTTCTGCAGTGTCTTACGTCTTTCAGCAGGCGTGCCAATGCCCTTCAGCCTAGCAAGTTCCCTCGCGCACTAGGCCCCCAAAGCAAAGCAGCGAATTTGAGCCCGAATGCCACCGGCTCCAGCCAAGGCGCGTACACTCCCACCAAGTCGAGTGTGTCCGGACACTCGAGTCCAGCAAGGTCCCCCAAGCCCGTCAGCAGTTGGAGCAAAAGGTCAGATGAGGTCGTCACGGCCCCGGCCTGGAACATCCATCAGTACGGCTACATGGGTGGCGCCAATCAGGGCAACCAGGGTGTCGCGTTTGGGGCTCGTCGGCAAATTACCACTGCGGCCCCTCGGGTTCCTAGCTTGGCAGAGAAGGAAAAGCGGAGACAGGAGGAACAAGAAAGACAGCTCTTGGAAAAGCAGGAAACTGAGCGTCGTCTCCAACAAGAGCGTGAGGCGGATGAAGAGCGTGCACGCATAGAAGAGGAACGCCGATGGGAAGAGGAAACGGCCCGTCAGAGGGAAAAAGAACGCCGCAACGTTGAGGATGAGAGAAAACGCTGGGAGGCGCAACAACGCAAGTGGGAAGAGGAGGAACAGCAACGTGTGCGAGAAGAGAAGGAGACGGAAGAAAGGCTGGAACGTGAACGGCTACAGCGGCGAGAGGCGCACGACAGCCGCCTCAACGGGCAGTTCCTCAGCCAATACCAAGCTAGTCTGCCGAGTCCTACCCAACCAGTATCCAGCGAGACACGCGAAAGGCAACGGATCCGAGAACTCGAACGTGAGCTGGAGCGGGCGAAGGAGAGAGAGCGTCAGTACGAGCGCGAACGTGAACAGGGCCCGGGATCACCCCAGTCTCCTCGAAGCCCTCGCCCGGTTCCCGTGCCTCCCAAGCCAAGCTACGATTTGTCTTCACTGGAGCAGGAACGCCGCATGCTCCGCACCGAATGGCAGAACCATCGCAGTGAGGGACTGGCTGAGGAGCTGGATGGCCCGCCGGCTATGCCCCCGCGGCCCCTTCCAGAGCCAACCGAGGCGAAACCACCCATGCCGCCTCGGCCTCTCCCTGAACCCACCGAAGTAAAGTCATCTATGTCACCACGTCCCCTCCCTGACCCCGTCGCCTACGCCGCTCAATCCCAGGCACAAGATAGCCGTGTCGATCGCTTCCTCGCCTCGAACCGTCCCCCTACTGCATCTAAGCCCGCCACCCACCGTCCACAGGACTACACAACAACGGCAGAGGTCGACGCCGAGAACAGCCGTCGCGCAGCCGCCCAGGAGAAGACCAAAGCCGGCGGCTGGGCCTCCAAGTCCCTTCTGGAGCGCGAGATGGAGCGTGAACGAGAGCGCCAGCGGGAATGGGAAGAAGACCAGAGACAGACCCAAGAGGCAGCTGCCAAAGTCGTTGGAGCACGCCGACAAATCCTTGGCCCACGCCCGCCTCCGTAAAGTACTCTTGCAAAAAGGCGAGCTTACATCTATCAACATCATCCATTGATATCCACCTCCGGAGCTGCGAGGTTTCATATACCCTTTTACCCTACGCGGTCTTGGTTAGGTACTACTAGGTTTGCTTTTGGGCGGATGCGCGCATGCATGGGTGATTTCTGGTTTTTGGTTTCAAAATTTGCATGTAAATATTCATCTATTCATTCAACCTGACCGTGTGTCAGGATAAAAATTTTGATAGACATTTCACAATCTCAGCAGTTTTCAAGAGGGTATCTATACATTAACAGTAAACTATAAGGACGTACTCGGGTGGTTAGACAGTAGATGATCAACCAGCGAGTATGAGGTAGATCAATCAATGATTCGATGAATGAAAAGCACGCTTTTACTCGCTCTTATCCCGAACGCATCTAGAAGCAATCACTCAACCAACAAACAACCGAAATGAGAAGTAGTAGCGAATTACTCCGAATAGGCCTTTTTTCCGCAAAGAATCTCATCCACGAGAAGCAACAAGCGCTCCCCGCTCTCAAGCAACCATGTTCGCTCGATATCATCAGCCCACTGTAATGCCTCCTGACCACCTCTTCGCGCTTCTCCTCGTGCCCGTGTAATCCGTCGATGATTTCCCTCCAAGACTGCGTCGCGCAACTCTGGCGTGATGCGCAGCATATCGCTATCAGCGAGGAGAATGATCAGTGACTCGAGGGCGATGGACATCTTGGCGTTGTCGGAGATACTGGCCGTGCTGGCCATATAGGGCAGGAAGCATCGTTCCAGTTTGTCTTGGTTGAGATACTCCTCGTCTGTGTCTGGGGCGGCGGTCTCGCGCATTCGGAAGAGGAGGAATTCGCAGAGTGTGGTTTTGGCGGCAGGGGAAAAGTAGGGGAGCGTGGATGGGCTGACGAAGGCTTGGAAGATGGGGAGGGGGAGGTGGCGGATGTTTTCGGCGAAGAGGTGGTAGAGGTCTTCGAGGGAGGCGAAGTCGTCGGGGAGGGATTCTGAGACGGTGGAGAGAAGGTATAGGAGACGTTGGCGGAGAGAGAGGGAGCGCATGCCTCCGAAGAAGCCGACGTCGCCGTGCATGTAGGGAATGTGTTTGGTGGGGAGTTCTTCGATGGGCACGATGATGCCAGTGCTTGGGGCGGAGCCACCATATGGGCCGGGAGGCGTGTTGATGCCGGGGCCTAGGGCTACTGGTTTTCTGGGTTTGGTGCGTGGGGCTCGTCGGGGCCGTTTGGGTTGACGGCGTTTTGTTGAGGTTGTGAGGTTGAGGTCTGGGTCGGTGGCTTCCTCGTCCTCGTTGTTGTCATCTTCTTCGATCTCATCATCGTCTGTGAGGTAGTCGCCGAACTCTTCTTCATCGATGTTGACCTGCGCGCTGCGCTTTTTGCTATTGTTGGTGTCGGTCTTTGCGTGTTTGAGTTCGTTGTGGAAGACTTCGCGGAATTCGTTCCGGGAAGTCGAGCCCCCGTCTGCAAAGATGGAGCGGACAATGCGCCGGTTACGACCGTACGTGGCGCTGGCCCCGCTGATGTAGCGGAATATCAAGCTGTCTTTGAGGATTTGGCGGGAGTGGTCTTCGTCTTGACCTTTGGGATTGTGCTTTTTCTTGCTTCTGGTCTTCGTTGGGGATGCGGTGGGTGCTGTTTTGGTGGTGGTGGTGGTGGTGTCGCTGGGCTTGACTTCGCTCTGTTGTCGTAACCGTTCGTTCCAGTCACTCTCCAAAACATCACACATGATTTCTAGCCAGACTTGCCATCGAGCCCAACGCTGACGATGATGGACTGAACAATTGAATGCCCAACCAACAACATGCCAGAAATCTTCTGCACTAGACCAGATGGAGTGTTTCTGGCTGAGGTCTAGGTTCAAAGGTTTCGTGTCCTCGGAGGACAAGCCTGTCGGCACGGGGACCTCCTCTGCGGGACGTCGTCTTGTATGGCGGGGGGCATCAAAATGGTTGAAAGTAAAGGCGACGCCGAGTTTAGAGGCAATGGGTCCGACGAGGGTATTGGTCAGTCGAAGAAGACGTAAAGCCGCCTGAGGCGCTTCTTCCTCTTCGGTGGTTTTTGCGCGGGTCGTGGTGGAAGGGTGCACGAGGAGGGTGGCTGCCACGGCGAGCTGTTGGACAGGTGGAGTAAATGCCGGGGCGGAGGCAACAGTGCCAGAGGTGAGGATGTTCAGCAGGAAGTCGAGGGCTTGGGTATCTGGATGGGATGGTCAGATGTGGACAAAGGAGCGGCGATGCGGAGGGGCAGACAGAGTCTCTCTTCAAAGAAGATAGCGGCATGTTGGGCCAGCTCGAACGGGACAGGTTTTGCAGGACGATAGAGAGGCAAAGTTACCTCTGAGGCATCTGGGACCGTCATCGAGGCCGGGATTGAGGGGCAATGATGGATGAAAGCAGGGGATGCGGAGGAGATGGAGATGGAGATGGACTGATGGATGGCAGAATGATAAAGAATGCCGACGCGACGCTTATCGATAGCAGCGCGTGCGGCGGCTCATGATTGGCTGTTTCAGACAATGCCGTTCCGAAGAAGCCTAGTCGGTGGGTGCTTTACAAAAAGGAATTCTTTCGTTCTTCATGTCGTGGGTTCAAGAGGCGGGATTTGAAACAGATTGCTATCCCCGGCTGTCCGATTATAGTACATGCTCTCAATTTTTATATACCGTCTGAATACTGTGAGCCCCAGCTCTAGGAATATCAAACACTTTAGCGACAGCGTTTCCAACAAATCAAGGTGCTGTAGTGTAGTGGTCATCATGAAACGTTGTGGTTTTCCGCAGCGCCGTTTCGACCTGGGTTCGATTCCCAGCAGCGCCATCAATTGGCGTGTGTGCTTGATTTACCTTTTTGCTGATTACATTTTTCCCTATCAGACAGTCTGTCTGTCTATTCAGGTTCTCTATATCGTTGGTAACTTCTTTTTGGGATTCTTCCGTACTAAAAAACTACTTCCATTGTCTCACACCCATCATCTTCCTTCCCCCCATCAATCATACTACCTTGCCTCTGCTCACCGTGCTACTTCTTCAATGACCCTTGTTCTTGGACAATTAATTGTGTGCATATATACTTTCCTCGAGGCAGCAGCAAGAAGCCTTGTAGCCCATATGCGCTTGGTTACAGTGTGCTCTGCGACTTCACGCACTAACCATGCGCCAGGATAGGTAGTTGTCGACATTGCTCCCACCAGCACTAAGCATGTGCCCGTGCCAGAACCATCGACAGCACAGACGCTTCATTACAACTAGTAGTACAATACACAGAGAATGTTGTTTTCTAGTCCTCAATACCTCGAACGGAAGGATTCGATCAACCCATGGAAAGGTAGTATCCATTACCCCCCACCTGGCGGGATCAAGTAGCCATCCCAATGTCACGCAGGATGTCGAGCAGATTTGCCATGCAGGAAGCCGTCCACGAATACCTCCTGGTCGAGAAATGAGCTGTTTCCAGCACTCAGCAGCCAATCGCCCAGGCCAAGCGACCTGCTTCTTTCCGCGGTAACACAGGAGTCGGGTCATTGCAGTATAACCTGCCATCTGACCTGCTGCGAATTAAATCGGACAAGTACGAAGGGACTAGCTGTAACATTGAACGGAGAATTTTCTGCACCACATGGCCCTTTCCAAGTGCCTTCCCAGTGGTCCCATGGATATTCACAGAGAAAGACTATACTCTTTTCACTCGGACCCAGGATGTTCGGAGCCCCGCCACCCGAGATCCACTGTTCCGTGCGAGGGAAAGCTTGACTCTAGTCAATGGTTGGCGGTTCATTTCCCAACCTCATCCCTTGCCGCTGACAGATTGGGCCATGAACCCCGATAGTTGGGTTGGGGCAATTCACACCCAATGGTCGGGATATCTGACATCCCGCAGTCAATGGACATCACGATATGTGTAGAGTTCGGGAAAACAACCTTCATCCAGGACGGTCTCAGATCCTTCTGAAATGGTGGGTTGACATGAGCCAGATAGGTAGGGAGCTGCACGCGAGCCGTCTTCAACCTAGTACCTAGTAGCCGATCCGCATTCCCAATCACAACTCCGGTACTCCGTACTGGAACATAAGCTTAGGGTCGAATAAGAGTACGGATTCTGCGCCGCTTCGAGCTAAAGAAGTAGGCGATTTATCAGATGTCTCACCGTGATCTGACTCACCGGAGAAGACCCATACATTCCTAGTATCGTATCAATAATCAAGGATTATGGATGGTCCCACCTGCTTAACGATTAGTAGTATCTGGACACTGGATACACTTCCCTCAGCCTGCACGTGTGTATAGAATGGCCGGCGAGTGGCTGAGGTTGCTTTTTGGTGCTGATAAGCGGGACAGATATCCAATCCAACCAGCTCGAAGAGTGGGGTGGTAAACACGGTCTCGATGAACTTTTGCCCCCAACAGTAGGGACCACTCAATACCCATGGCGATCGAAGCAAGGTTTACACACAATACGGTAAAACCGTCCCGTAAGATTGTTCAGGAGGGGTAGGTAATGAACGGTCCGTCGTGGCGTGAAAGCGAAAGGCCGGGCAGCTGCGACTACTTATCAATCAGCGGGTCTCGTATCCTGATCCTGAAAGATGATCTGATAAAAATTTGTCGCGTGCGCACAACTTTCCATCCACAGTCGACTTGTGGTTTCCCTTGCTGCACCCGCCGTCAACATGGGCAACAACCCTGTTTTTGCCGTCACTGGTAGGACCTCCACGGCATAGCATCATGCTATAATGCGGCCAGGAAGTTACTGACTTTTGGCCAGTCTTTTTCATCTGCTTTCGAGAATGCCTGGAAACAAGTGTTGTTGTGTCTGTTCTGTTGGCGTTCTTGAAGCAGACGCTTGGGAGCAGTGGAGAACTCGAAACGTATAAACGACTCAAAAGACAGGTAAGTGTCGCTGGGAAGTCAGTCATCGGTTGATCTCTAGAGTTATTGCTGATTATGTGCGTTTCACACCAGGTGTGGCTAGGATGCGCACTTGGTTTGTTCATCTGCCTCTGCGTCGGTGCCGGTATGATCGGCGCGTTCTACAGCCTGGGAACGGACACTTTCTCTAGCACCGAAGATATCTGGGAAGGCGTCTTGGGAATCTTAGCCTCGATCATTATTGCCGTCATGGGTGCAGCCCTGCTGCGGGTGTCGAAGCTGCAGGAAAAGTGGCGGGTGAAGCTTACCAAAGCTCTCCAGCATCACGACCGGCCCAATAGCTCGCGTAAGGGCCGAGTCAAGATGTGGTTTGAGAAATACGTCATGTTCATCCTGCCCTTTATCACTGTTCTTCGTGAAGGACTAGAGGCGGTTGTTTATGTCGGAGGTGTCGGGTTGGGCCTGCCAGCCACATCGTTCCCGCTAGCGGTTGTGTGTGGTCTCATCGCGGGATGCTTAGTTGGATATCTGATCTATCGGTATGTGATCCTCTGACCATTATGGGTATGACCCAAGCTAATGAATCATCGGGGTTGTAGAGGAGGCAGTGAAACCACCATGCAGTTCTTCTTGATCGTCTCGACCTGCTTCCTATACTTGGTGGCCGCGGGATTGTTCTCCCGTGGCGTGTGGTACTTTCAGAACAATGCTTGGAACAACATCATTGGCGGGGATGCCTCGGAAACAGGCTCGGGTCCTGGATCTTATGATATCAGGCAGAGTGTGTGGCACGTTAACTGCTGTAACCCCGAGTTGGGCGGCGGCGGCGGTTGGGGCATCTTCAATGCCTTGCTCGGATGGACCAACTCGGCAACACTGGGGTCGGTGATTGCCTATAATCTATTCTGGGTCTGCGTGATGCTTGCCTATGCTGCAATGCTGTATCGCGAGCGGAAGGGAGCGATCCCCGTCATTGACCCTATGATTGCACGCTACCAGGGTTTCAAGGCTCGGGTGATAGCCACGATCCTACGCCGGCCCTTGGAAGAGAATGACGATCCGGTAGAGCAACCCGGAATTCTGGGAAACAGTGGGAATGAGAAAGCGGTTGGTGCTGGGGTGTCGATGTCTGTGAGAGAAGCGGAGGTTAGGGCTGTGTAGCGGTCGGGTAGACTCGCTGTATGAAGTAGAAAATGGAGCTTTTTTCTGGTCGAACCGCGTTATGCGGGTAGTTTCGGTAATTTGCCATCGCATTTCGCGAGGTTGTAGTTCTCCGGTGAATAATCGGTGTGCAGATCGACTGGTAGAAACAGTAAATTGGCAAGGTCCAGGGATCCATCAGTCGGATCGATACCAAACCGGACGGAAGTAGGGCAATGTACGGCGTATGGACTAGTAACCACCAAGTAACCACAAAGCGAGGGCTGATACTAGTGTAATACCCGCTCTTGGCACGACCAGGGGTGGAGGGCAAGAAATTGCATCAGATAAGCCCGGCCCAGCAAGCAGCCACCATGATAAGATGCTGTCGGGCGTGGATAAAATGCCATCTGCTCGCTTGCAGATGAAAAATTCTCCCTGACAGGCGCCTTTAAGCAAGAAGTAGTCGGAGATAAAGTAGCCAAGGATGCCAAGTCGGGCAAGTCTACTTGTTCTGGGGAGAAAACTGGGGTGGGACTGCTGTTCGAGTGGGACTCCGAGAATCTGCCCGTTTGGGCCATGGTTGGAATGGTTCCCATATCAGATGGCTATCTGATTCGTCTCACGCCTCGCATTCGTGGATGCATGTAGTCATGTCCCGTAGTATGTACCACCTTCCGGCGACGGCCCAACTGATTGATAAGTGGGATGATCGATCCTGCTCGCTGCTCCACTAAGGCGAGGGCCTGCCAAGCGTCAAAGGTATATAGAAGCCACGCGCAGGGCTTTCCCTCGTCCCGTTTTCTTTCTTTCTTTTCCTTCCTGTCCGAACAACTCTCGTCTTCATCTCAGGCGGACAGACAGGATGGCATTCCCCCGCCATCTGCTTTCCTGGCTCGCAGCCGTCGTGTTCCTCGCCCAATGCCAGGCCAAAACTGTGACTTATGACTTCAATGTTACTTGGGTCACGGCCAACCCAGACGGCCTGGCCGAGCGAGAGGTGGTTGGCATCAACGGTCAATGGCCCTTACCCGTGATTGAGGTGGACAAGGGAGACCAGCTGGTGGTGAACATGTACAATGGACTGGGCGACAAGAGCACGTCCATTCACTTCCACGGCATGTACCAGACCAACACCACCGACATGGACGGACCGGCCCTGGTGACCCAATGCCCGGTGCCCCCTGGCAGCTCCATGACGTATAACTTCACCGTCAACCAGAACGGCACGTACTGGTACCACTGCCACACCGACTATTGCTACCCCGATGGCTACCGCCAGGCCTTGATTGTGCACGACAATAGCTCCTGGTTTGCCGATGAGTACGACGAGGACCTGACCATCACCATGACAGACTGGTACCACGAGCTCACCCAGGAGATCGCCCCGACTTTCATCACCGTTGACAATCCCACGGGAGCCGAGCCCATTCCCGACTCGTTCCTCTTCAACGACACCCTCAACACCAAGATCCCCGTCGAACCAGGCAAAACATACCTGCTACGCCTGATCAACATCGGTGCCTTTGTCGCGCAGTACTTCTACATCGAGGATCATACCATGCGCATCGTCGAGATCGACGGTATCTACACTGATGCCGCCGAGGCCGACATCCTCTACATCTCTGCTGCCCAGCGCTACTCTGTTCTCGTCACCATGAAGAACTCCACGGACAAGAACTACCCGATCGTGACCGTGGCAGACTCCGTCCTGCTCGACACCATCCCCTCCGACCTCAAGCTCAACCAAACCAACTGGCTGGAATACAACTCCAGTGCCTCCTTCCCGCAAGCCGTGATGACCGTGTCCGATTGCTCCGATCTGGACCCCTACGACGATATGGGCCTCGTTCCCTACGACAGGATGCCCCTTCTCGAGGACCCCGACGTCTCCCTCGAGCTCACCGTCACCATGCAAGTCCTCGATAACGGCGCAGACTACGCCTTCCTCAACGACATCTCCTACACCAAGCCCAAGGTCCCCACCCTGTACACCGTCATGTCAGCCGGGTCTCTCGCCACCGATGCCACCGTCTACGGTGACTACACCCACTCCGTGGTGCTAGACGAGGACCAGGTCGTCGAGATCATTCTCAACAACGGCGACACTGGCTCTCACCCCTTCCATCTCCACGGCCATGCCTTCCAGATGGTTGACCGTTTCCCCAGCTACGGAGAGCATTTCTACGACTACGCTGATGGGGATCCCGTCACATACAACGCCTCCAACCACAGCACCTTCCCAGCCTACCCCCCGCGCCGAGACACCTTCGTCCTGCCGCCGCAGGGATACTTCGTGATCCGCTTCAAGGCCGACAACCCGGGAGTGTGGTTCTTCCACTGCCACATTGACTGGCACTTGGCGCAGGGTCTGGCGATGGTCTTCATCGAGGCGCCCCTGGCGATCCAGGAACGGGTGACCATTCCTCAGCAGCATTACGACGTATGCGAAGCGGCAGGAATTGCCTATGAAGGAAACGCGGCTGGAAACACCGAGGATTACACGGACCTGTCGGGCCAGAACAAGCAGGTCGCTTGGCTACCCGGTGGATTCACGGCCCGGGGTATCGTGGCTCTGGTGTTCTCGTGTGTGAGTGCGTTCCTCGGAATGGGTATGATTGCATTCTACGGCCTGTCGGATATCAAGAAGGGGGCACAGGCCCCGACTGCACGCAGAGAGGAGGTGAGAGAGCATGAAGACTAAGGTGATCTCTGGTATTAGGAGGGACCTTTTGTGTTGATGATCCTTCTTGTTATTGCGCGTTTAATATCATGGATGTCTGTATATAGGAGAAGATCCCTATGCGAGGGATACTGGTTTATGTGTAGGCCGCCACTCTAATCTTGCATGTCGCGTCATATACCCGATAGTAATAAAAGTTGTTTGTCAATTTCTCCTGAGGCATGTTCTTCGAACTTCAATACAGAGTCTTCCCGAGCCAGTCAAGTAACAAACTTTCCTTCTTGCTTCGTATCACCACCTGCCCCTTACCTTTCCCAGACCGGAGAGAACATTTCTCTTTCCTAAGACTTCTACATGGCCTGCTCGGTGTTTCTCTTTGAAGACCCTGACTGAACGCATCGAAGTGAAGAAGCTCGTTGAGCTTGTGAATGGCAGAGGGAAGACATTTAATCATGGACTTTCTCAGAAGAATCACCCCCTGGATTGCAATAAAAAGGGATAGCATGCTTAGTGCTATTTTGCTATCGAGATTGAGGCTCCTTCACTGAAAGCAACGCAGTCAGCTGACCCTCTAGTTCTAGTGCCTCTTTCCCCTCCCTCCCTGCCCGATAGCTTCATCTTCCTCCCCTCACCACCACCAACAACCAATCTAGCAATCATTGAACATCTTGATATTCATATACCGACGTGGTATCAAATGACCGACCGCTATACTAAACTGCATCAAGCCTTCCCTCTCTGCTTCAATTTCATCATTGTCATTACTACCACCAGAACATGGCAGTGATATGATGGACGAATACCAAAACCAGCTTACAGTCAAAAGCTTCTTCTTACATTAGTTGAGAGCTAACTCAACAAATCTAAACAGAATCCAGGACCTCTGATCTCCATCGAGCATGACAGTACTATCGGAAAATCCACTATCAGTACCATTAGATCTATTCGCTTACGAGGGAAATACCGACCTGGAGACTCGTTCGTCCAACCGCATGCAGGTGCAGGTATTCTCCAATTCTATAGTCTTCAGGTTTGAAGATGCAGATTATGGGATGCTTCCATACACTTCCTGTAAGTCTTAGATCGGGTTAAAGGGAAGAAGTCCCTTGACTGTCTGATAATGTGATTACTAACTATCGGGGCTTTGGTGGGATAGTATCATTGAACGGTGAGATTATCTGTTCCTCGGGGATGCTTTTCTGCAAAGATTCCCAACCATTTCCACTCAGCCAGAAATTCCGGGGTCAGGTTTGCTACCAGCATTCCATGACCTGGGAGGTTTGTGTCTTTACGCTCCCTACATGGGGTCAAGCTTGACTCTGATGAACTTGGGAAGTGATACTTATCTAGGAGTCTAGGGTTTGCTTGCTCAACGAGCTACCTGAATACCCCACACTACTCATGAGAACCAACCCAGTTGGGACATTTGAATCACCAGCTGGATCATAGCGCCCTTACGCCGAATACGAAACCTCCCAAACCTCAGCGACATTTCCGAATCAGCAGAGACGTCTACACTGAGAAATCAAGAAGAAACGTTCTGTGCGGTGAACGGATGGGGGTAGCAACGATAGTATCTAATTACTGCGTTGAAGCGGCCTATAATGCTATAGTATTGAGTTGAGGTCATTGAGAATTCACTCTGACGCTGTGGGTGTTGAGGAGACTAGTCTAGTTAGGTCGATAGATAGATAGATATACTCCGTATAGTAGCTTGGATAGTGGTGTTGTTGGTAGGTTAGGTATTTCATGGTCGTGGAGAGATGTTGTGCTCGGTAAATTATTCTACTTTGATGTAGTCCAAGTGACTAGAGCAATGTATTAGAAGCTCTTTATGCCGCTGTGTTGACGGCCTTGAATAAGTCCGAAACAAGCATACAGCCTATCACGCATATAGAATACTCCGGAACTACGTTCTAATCACGCCATCGACAGAATTCCACGGCTGCCTAAGGCCCGCAAACCACGATGGAACTACGCTATCAAACACCACAGCAGTAAAGAATATCTTCTTATATAGAGTGTAGTGGTGATGAGAAGAGAGTCCAGAACCAACCGACCGGCCCCCTAATCTTCATCTATTCCGCACGCCCCATTCACGCCATCACCCTTTCTATAAAACCGAACCACAATTTTCCCTTTTTTTTACCCTTTGCCCTCCTCGAGTGCTCATTCGATCTCTTTCTGTTTTCCGGCACTCTCCGACGGGTCCGGCCGCCCAGTTGCTGGGTATAAGAACCCGCGGATTGGAAAGCGTAGATAATTTAGACAAGGAAAGAAGCGAGATGAGAAAAAAAAGAGAGGAAGAGGAAGATAGAGAAGGGCGGAGAGGGTAAAAGGAAAGAGACAGCGACGCCAAGCGGAGAATATTATCAAGAACGGATAAGTAGTAGTTTAGTAGTAGTAAGAAGCAATAAAAACACACAAGTGTTAAGGGAATAAAAGCAAGTAAATGGGGGAGAAGCCAAAAAGCAAAAGGGAAAGAAAAAGTAAAGAGAGCGGCTACTCTTCCGGTATATCGGAGAAGAGACCTATCCGCAGACGGTGCGACTAAGATGGGTATTAGCATCCATGACTCAAATCCGCAAAAGAGAAAGGAGGAAACGTACAAAAGGCAGTTTCGGAATGACCACCCCCAGCGTGGCGAGAAAGTTGATGGTGAAATACGTCAAGTCGTAGTGGGTATAATGCGTGCTGAGGAGGAAGAGGCAAATGGGGACGCAGAGGAGGAATTTCTTGGTGGGTGTGTACTGATCTCCATTGTCGATCTGCTCCCACATGTTGAGGTTGTCATACGCGCCGGCGTTGAATTCAAAGGGGATGCCCCGCACCCAGTGGAACATGAGGAAGGATCCGAACATGTAGCTGATGTTGGTGAGGGTCCATGAGGTCTCCTGTGAGACGCCGGGGATGATGTCGTAGAAGATCTTGAGGCAAACGATCAGGACGAAATGGATGGTCCAGGCACCTGATTGGTAGTACAAAGTGGTCAGCCACTTGGAAACAATCCCCGCAGGAACCCCTCATGTTGCGTTGTCGACGACGGTGGAGGAGGAGGTGGAGGTGGCCAATACTCACCCTTGGCGTTGACCCAGTTCGCATTCAGATTGGGCAGGGCGGCCTGGTCGCTGGTGTGCTCAATGGATTCGGCAGGCTCCTGGTAGATGATGCTACTCGAGCGTCTCCTCCGTCCAGCCTTGCCCTGGGCCATGTTGGAGTCCGGGGTCAACCGGCGCGACGCAGCGTCGACGTCCGGGGGGAAGGAGATGGCACGGGGAACAAGTAGAGAAGACACTTTGGCGGTGTTGAGCGGATACCGGGGGGATCCAGGGGGGAATTCGGACAGAAAGTCGACGACTCGAGTGACCGGGAGGAAGAGGGAGAGATCGCGAGGGAGTGGCAGAGAAAAGACGGACTGGCGGAGAGGCAACGAGAGAGCAAGCTGGCTGGATGGAAGCTGATGTTCGCCTGGCGTGGAGGCGATCTTGAAGACGATCGGCGGCGGTGCTGGTCACGGGAGCACGTCTCCGTATTACCAGAACAGGGGTAACCTTACCGAGGTGCCAAAAAAAAAGTCCAGAATCTCCACGGGAAAAACTAAGGACACAATGCCAGAAGGAAGAAAAAGAACGACTCGAGGAGAAGAAAAAAATGCCAGCTGCGCCAAAATCCCGAGGGGCAGGGAGCCGATCCTCAATCTTCGTCGGCATGGCTAAGAATAGCCCCAAGCGGACGCTTTGCTGCATCTCATCGTTCTAGACCACCCGCGATGAGTCTACGACGACGCCGTAATCCTCCGTCTCGGATCGATCTGCCCCTGATGCATTTGATAGCCAAAATGACCATACATACCGTCTCCGTACGAAACCTGCCCCCCCCCCGCGTTGATGGTTGCTGCCGTTCCCCGTAAATTTCCATCCGCGAAATCTGCCCGAATCACGAATTAAACGTCGCGCTGTTGCTTCTTCACGCCTGCACCTCGCTGTTCCTTCCTCTTCCCCTTCAGCCTTTCTCAGGATGCCAGACTCACTATCCGACGACAACGACTCCAGAACGGCCGCGGTTGCGTCCCGCCCCCCGGCAACCGGCTCCCACCAGTCCTCGCGCCAGAGCTCCCAGGACTCCAACCCGAACCCGCGGAAAAGACGACGACGCAACGGCTCCGCCGATGCCCGCAATGTCCGCGACTTTGTCCCTCAGGGTGCGACATTTAGCGCCGCAGCCCTCGATGTAGACCCAGACACCACATCCTCTTCGGGTTCCGACAGCTCGGATGGCAACTCCTCCGAAGGTGGTGATGCACAGGCCGAGTCCACGTCCACCGCACCGGCGCCACCTGTGAACTGGAACAAGGGGAACAAGAGTGCGATCCGCACATCGCTTCGCAGTCGCGGGAAGACAGACGAGAGCAAATCTACTTCTCAGTTTGACGCCGTCAACGACAAATTCTGGCGCAGTCGCAGCGCGTCTACTTCGTCCGGCGGTGATGACGACGCGGAAGCCTCGAAACCTGGTCAGGATGATGTCGAGGATATCGAAGAGGGTGAGGTGGATGAGGAGAGCTCGGACGAGTCCAGTCAGATGCAGCTCTCTGGCGATTCAGATGACTCGGAGTCTCTGGATTCGGAAGCGGATGATTCGATCTTGCTGAACATAGGGTCTCGGAACGGTCAGAGCCTTGGTCAGGACGAGGATGGCCTTATCACACCAGACGGCGAAGACGACTATGATCCCGAGGCTTTACCAGTTTCCGACGGCGGAGGCGGTACGGTCGCTCATGGACAGGGCGCTACTGAGACACAATCGAAAGAGGATGCGCTTCTCCGCTTCTCGAAGAAGTACCCGACTTCTCCCTCCACCCTCGCTGATCTGGATCGCGACGACATGGACATTCAGGCGAAGTACAGATTCTATGACCGCGACGTCAATGACATCGACCTACAACTACCAATAGCCTGCACAGAATGTCTACGCGAGGGGCACCTGGCACAAGTCTGCCCCTCCCGGGAGGTATGTACTACTCGAACTCACCGAACCAGACCATCAACTGACCCTTATAGTGCGTACATTGCGGTGCCTGGAACCAGCACCAGAGCAGTTTCTGCCCGTCCTGGAGGAGATGCCAAAGGTGTCGCCAGCGTGGTCACGACCAAGAGTGCTGTCCTTCCCCCCTGAAGGGCTCCACGAGCGAGTTCCCCTGCGACCTGTGCGGATCATCAGAGCACCTCGAGTTGAACTGCGATCTCATGTGGAAATTCTCCCTCCAGGAAGCATCGTCAGAGCCCGTTCTCGTCTCACTATCCTGTGCCCACTGCACCAGCAACCGCCATATCATCGGCGACTGCCCGTCGTTGGGAGGAGGACTGCGCTCCTCATCCTGGACCCTCCGCGGGGTCGACCCAAACATGATCACCAATATCAATTCGGTCGTGGGTGCCCGGCGAGGCGGTGGGGCACCCCGAGGTCAAGGAAGGGGCATGAAGATTCGGGGCCGCGCCGACCAGCGCTCTCCCTCATCCGACAGCGACGACATGATGGCCCGGCCAGACCATCGTCCACCCGTCAGTCGAGGCGCCAATCGCGGCCACATCCGGTTTGGCAATGGCATTGGACAGAACAAGAACCTGGCACCTGCGAGCGGTTACAGAGGGAACAACAACAACTACTCATCTGGCAATAACTCCCGCCAGCGGTCGTTATCTCCCAACCCCCGTCCCACGCGCGGACGCGGAAGGGATAGCTGGCAGCCGAATGGACGGGGTGGACTGCCGAACCGTCCTCCATCCAGAGGCAACGGGAACCCCGGACGCGGCGGGGGCCGCGGAGGAGGGCGCGGCGGGAAGCGAGGCGGCGGCGGCGATGCCTATCGCCCGCTCCCGAGTGCGGCCAAGAAGGCATGGGACAAGTTCCGACTGTGATGATTTGGTGTGATGAATAATGAAGACAGGTCGTTGACTCGGTTGGCGTTTCCTGTTTGTACAGCTATACCCCGGGGTTTGATTGATTGATGTGTATATCAAAAGCTGCTCGTCTTGCACCTTCACCTAAAAGCCAGGAGTCCCATATGTACAGCTCCGAACCATGTTTAATGTACAAGACTCTAGAATCCCTTACTCTGTCTCCTGATCCGTAGCCGTAGGAACCTTTTCCCCACCACGATGTCCTACAAACCCTTCATCCAGAATATCAATCAACTCATCCAATCTCTCGATACACAGATCCGTATGCGCATGGTCTTTCAAATGCGCATTATGGTCATTCAAAAGCAGTACTGTTGCTGCGCCGGCGGTATGTCCAGCCGTCATGTCGTCGAGACTATCGCCCACCTACACCAACATTAGCCAAGTAACTTACCTACCCACCTACATTCAAAGGAAACCAATGAAGCGAAATGAAGTGAACATACCATGATCAACCCCCCGGCCCCACCATCCAAGCCCCACTCGTTCGCGATGAACAATATCCCGGCGGGATCAGGCTTGGGCATTAACCCAGGTGTTTCACGAGTGATGATAGGGAGGAAGACGTGGGCAGGGAGATGATTATTGAGGAGGTGCAAGACGGGGGCCCTACAATTCAGTGCATATTAACATCGATACCAATTCCAACCTCACATTTGACATTTGCATATCCGTATAGACAAACAAACAGATATCGACTAATGCTATCCACAAAAGAAAGGTAGACTAAGGTAAGGAAAGGTAATACATACTCAAAATTCCTCGTACACAAAGCGCGTTTCACCCCCCTCTCCTCGAGAAAATCCATTAACTGGACTAACCCGGGTTGAGGTTGTTGGGTGCGCATGGCGGTTCGTTCAATGGCTTTGATTTTGTTGGCGGCTTCGAGTTGCGATTCTGGGGTGGGGAGTCGGCTGATGTGGTGTAGGATGTCGACTTTTTTGTCGATGTTGAGGGCGGCTCTGTTTTGTGTTAGCCTTTTATTCTGTGCTATGTATAGGGAGAGTAGGGGGGGAGGGAATTACCGCATTTCAGTGAACATGTGGTTTTGAGGGAGACTAGGGGGGTTGGTTTGTTAGTTTGGGGGATAGGATTGGATGAAATGGGATTGAGAAGTGAAAATAGATGTGTGTATATGGGAGGTATACCATAAGGTGCCGTCTACGTCAAAGACGATGCCTTTGAGTGGGGGCGCGGAGGAAGTCGGTTTGGAGGGGTTAAGGGGGGCAAAACGCCTTTGACGCAATGGGTAGTCGCCGAGGGAAGCCATGAGGTGACGAGGAACACGCAGGATGGACTGGGATGTGGACATTGAAAAATGGAGGAGGAAGAGGAAGAGGAGGGAGAATGACGAGAGTGAGTGAGTGGCGTTGATAAGATAGCCGGTGGAGCTTGGATGGCGTGGTGCGGAGATGCTGCGCTGCCATTTGCCAGGCTCTACTATAGCTCTACTATAGCTTCACTCCCACTAATACCAGTAGTAGGTATGTATACTCCGTACTTACTGCCTCGACTTGGTCTACATAAAACATGCTTTACGGAAGCTGCAGTCTGGAAAGCTCCTTCCTGCAGCTGCACATCCACATCCTGCCCAACCAGGCAATCCACCTGACACCTCACAATGATCTTCTCCATCCATCTCTCTTCACATCGTTCGTCCCGACCATTTTATACACCCTGACGATCACCATGCCGGCCAACGAGCCCCCTTCCGCGCCTCGCGCCTCCATCCTCAACGCCATCAACCTCCGCAAGATCCTCTCGCTACTCCGAGCCCTGCTCACCATCAAGCTCCTGAATGTGCTAGCATCTCTCACCGGAGTGAGGAGGAACTCTGCCAGATTCCCGACTAGTTACGTCGGCCAGGCCATCAGCTACAGGGAGCAACACATCATCAACATTCTCCTGACTATCGTGCCCGAGAGCACCCTACTCAATGATAGTCTGTCTTCCACCGCGGACATGAGACCCACCACAGCCGACAGTGCCCCCTCTTCTGGTTTGGCCATCCCGCTCATGCCTGTGCCCTCGCGAGTGGTACGTCTGTCGAATTGCGTGACCAGCCGAAGTATGGATCTGGCCGTCGCCGGCAGAGGGAGAGAGCACGACGACCACACCAGCGCGCAAGCGAGCGTACACTTTCTGGGCCACCAGCCGCTCGCCAGTGACTCGGTCTACTCATCAGTCGTCCGGAGAAGCCTGTCGCTTAGTGATCCTCATTCGAACTCCTCAAGCCAACGCCAGAGCATGCTTCCGGGGGTGCGGTTCTCTGGATTCATGTCGGAGAGGTTGCGGTTCAGTATCATGAGTCGTCCGTGGTCGATGGACACCGTGCTGGCGGATGAGTCGCAGCCAGACCAGGTCACACTGGATATGGAGCAGCTGCAGCAGACACGTTCAGCAGACAGCTATCCCGGGCGGTTTCCCATTAGCGATGGATTGGAGCTGAGTTCTTTGGCAACGGCGCAGTGTGCCACCAATGACACCGCCAAGGTCGAGGAGGTGCGGACCTCTGTGAGGCCATTTACCGATGTGTGAGGGCAGGGATGGGTTAACATGTATATCATTCCTTGTATTATCTGGTGGATGCAACTGCGCCGATGATGTTCATGCTGGGTGTAAATGCTTCAGAGCAATGCAGCTAGCCAAATGCAATGTGTTAGATCAGGAACATTCTTCCTCGTGAATCGCATGGTCCAAGTATCCCATCGCCTTGACGAAGATCTTTGCGCTGTCCAATAGTCGTTGCTTGCAGTTTCCCGCGGTATCCATGCCCACAAATGCCCCATACGCCTGGCCAAACTCGATATGTTTGAGCGCCTTCCAAATATTATGCACATCATCTGGAGGGAGCGGAATCTGCAATCATCAGTTAGCCAACACCCCCACCCAACCCCCACTCTACCCCCATCCTCAACCCACAGCGAAGAAATCAAGCAAGCAAGAAAGAAAGAAAGAAAGAAAGAAAGAAAGAAAGAAAGAAAAGAAAGAACAAACCATATTCGGAAAACTCCACATAAACGTATACGTGATCCTACCCTGACCCATGATCCCATCCCCTCTTTCCTCACTCCACCCCTGCCCCCTCCCTCCCCATAATCCCCCATCCCACTAGGCACCGTCCCAATCGTATCCGCCAACAACAACACCCCCTTCCCCTTCCCCTTCCCTTCTCCCATCATCTCCCCAGCCCACCACAACACCGAACTCCCTGGAAAATGTCCCCCAGTTTTAATCCCCCTCACCCCAGACCCCCTCACAACTTCCATCTCCTTCTCCGCCCAGAAGACTTGCCTACCACTATCATCACTCCGCATAACCCACTCCCTATCCTCCGCCGACAAATACACGGGGCAATTAAACGCCTCAGCCCAGACTAGATGCGTGGTATAGTAATGCGGATGGGAGATGATGATTGCGGAGATACCGCCTAGGGAGGTTATGTGGGAGATGGTGGGGTCGTCGAGGTAGGTGAGACAGTCCCAGAGGATGTTGCCGTGGGGGGTGAGTAGGAGGAAGGCGCGTTGGCCGATGGCGAGTTTGGGGGTTGTGTGGAGGGTGAGGATTTGGGGTTGGTTGGGGAGGGCGTGATTGTGTTGGTGTAGTGGGTGGTGGTTGTGGTGTCGGGAGTGGGGGTAGGGGTTTGGAGGGTGCGGAGGGTGGTCCAGGTTTGGCTGTGTGGTGGTATTGGTTGTTAGTTGTATTTGTTCATTTCTTTAGGGAGAGAAGGGAAGTGGGGGGTAGGGAGGGAGAGAGGGAGGAGGATACCCGGTGGGAGGGACGTATTGGCGAGGGTCGTCGCAGATGGTGCAGGTTGGGGGAGGTGTTGCGGTCGAGTATTGTGTGCCGCAGGTGGCACAGATGGCCAGGTCGAGCGGATCGGTCATGGTGGGAAATTAATACGAAGTAGGGTAGGGTAGAGAAGTACAGGGAGAAAAGTAGAAAAGAGACAAAGGGTGGTGGTGATGTACCGGATACTTGGTCCTCTTATAGTGTCTGTGTCAATCTACTATCTATGAGACACCGCCTGATAAGCTTCGCATCTCCGCATCGACCCCGCATCCTAGCCACGGTCCGTCGGTGGCTGATACAGCGGAGAACTCAGCAGAGCCGATGATGTCAAGACTCCAATTTCGGAACACGCGACAACTTTTCATTCCATCGCATGCAGCCATGCATCCACCATTATGCACTATCAACCGTCCCATAGGACACAAATATGCAGCAAGAAGGGAATCATATAAAACAGATGAGTACATGGTACAGAAACATCACCGCAATGTTTACACCCAATGCCTCTCTCAGGCAACATACAACCACCGTCCCATCATATGCAACTGGTCGTAACCGTGAAAGCAAGAATCATCACAACGCGCGGGTCATAAATCGTGAACATGGTAAAATCGTATAACTGTCGAGAATGAGGAAATCGCTGGGTATCAAATTTCAAAATGCGTCACGTCACTAGTCAATGTCGTCGTCCACCTGCTCCGGACTGGCACGATACTGGCTTCTCTTCCGCCGCGCAGGGCTGTACTGGCTGCCCGACGTCAGAGGACGGGGCCCCGTGGGCTTCCGGGGAGGGGGCGTGCTACGCGGAGAGCGCATGATAGAACTCTACAGAGATATGGTCAGCATCATGCGACTAAAGCGTCCCTTCCAGACTTTAACACTAACCCGCGAAGCAACTCGTTCCATATACGATCGCTCGTCATCTTCCTTGACTTTGGGCGGCCGCTCCGGGATCAGTGGCCCCTCATCTTTGATCTTGGGTGGCCTCGGCGGTCCAGTGTGACGCGAGCTCGCTTCCGAATAGCCTGCATCTGAGATGGGCGACAGACGACTGGCACCGCTATGGCGCGGGTTCGCGTTGACCCCCGACAAGCTAGGGTTGGATCCCCAGTGTTCTGAAGGAGCACCAGGAGGCGATCCGTAGACCTGGGCTTGCGTTTCTAGCTGCGACTGATATCGCCCAGACGGCCCCTGGCGAGGCTGGGGGTGGTGGAGATCGAGACTGCCCCGGTGTGCCCGGTACTTCGGGGCTTCCGAGGCTTGCGACGGAACTAGGGGCGACGGAGGTCGGTTCTCCTGCTGCGGGTCATCCAATGTGTACGTGGAGCGCAATCTGTCGTCGCCCTGGTGGTCATAGTAGTCGGTCTTGTATGGCCCCTGTGCGAGCTCTGAACCAGATCGCGATGTATCAAAAGACGCCCGCTCCTTGCGGCCAGGTTGGATGCTATTGCGAATGTTGTCTCCCATTGAAGATGCCGTGGTCTTGGACCAGCGGGAGATTTTCGGGAAGAACGAAGAGCTGCTCGATTTGTGCTTCTTAGCCTTCTCAGTCGTCTTCGGTGTGGCCTCGCTACTGAGGGCGCCCGATGCCATGGGCTCACGGGGGGGCGTTGACACAGGAGCGGAGCCAGCTCGGTCCAGACGGTTGTTCACAGGCTCTTGGGAGGGCATAGGAGGGCTGGAGTAATCCCCCGGTTCGTCGAGTTCCATGTCTTCATCGAGCTCCGGGACCGTACTGACACGGTTCTCAAGGCCACCCCTCCGTAGTGAATTTCCAACAAGTGGTTCCAGAGCAGGCTGGGAGGATGTCGAAAGATACTCTGATTGGTTTCCCGGGGAGGAAGTCCCGGCGTGACCCTCCGGCTCATATCCCTCAGGGTCTACACTGGCGGGCCGGTTGCCTCCACGCATGTACCTGTCGTCTTGGCCGATGCGTAGAGCCTCGACCTCATCAAGTAGCTGTTCGAGCATATCCTCGATCCTGGTCAGGTCATTGGAGTTCTTGAGACTCAGGCCCTTGAGTGCACGCTTAAAGATGTTCTTCCGCTTTGAGCGCATGTCATCCCCGTCGTCCACCGGCACCTGGCGAGCGCTGCGCACGCTGACCGGTTGGGGACGTGGCCCGCCAAGAGCCCTATGTGTCCGCTCATGCTGCCGGTCGTTGGCTTCCAGGAGCATCCCGTCTTGTTGCGCAATGAACTTCTTCATCTCCTCAAATGAATTGCGCATTTCGGCGGCGCTTCGAACAAGAGTCACGAGGATCTCGGTGTCCCTGGCGTTCCGCTGGGCATCGCGAACAGTGAGCTGTTGAGATAGTCAGCAGTGATACATGCAACAGCAGTGATACATGCAACAGCAGAAAGTGAAGACCTACATGGTCCATAAGGGCAACGATATCCTTTGACTGAATCCTGTCAATTCCTTTCCCTGTCGCACTATCGTACAGGGGTGATCCAACTCCCTGGGAATAGCCACTCAATTGTCGCTGGTGAGATGGCATGAATTCATCCCCTCCAATAGGGCTGTCGAACATACCCATCCCGTTTGTATCAATCCCAGCAATGCCTTTGCTGAGAGGCTCGGGAGTGTCAACACTCGGGGAGCGAGGGTTTGCGGCCGAGACATAGCCCTCGTCTTTGGCCCCGAGCGGCGTGCCGAACATCTGGCCTCTAGAGTACTGCTGATCGTAGTAGTTATTCGCAGCATATTCGTCCTCGGGATAGTAGTCCTGGTCATAGTGGGATTGCTCAACCGATCCCAGGCCCAAGCCGGCGCCGGCAGCGGCACCAGATTTGTCAAAGAGAGGAGATGGAGCTGGAGCGTCTTTTGAGGGCGTCCGGTTGAATGACCAACTGTTCTCATGGGCCGCTGGTCCTTGGATGATGGAAGGGTTTGTATTGATTTCTGATTCAGAATCCGGGCTTCGATCATCTGCATGTGGCATTGGGTCGTCATCAAGGTCATCCAGGCCACCGGCGAACAAAGGAGCCGGCTCGGCCGGGTCGTCCAGCGACTGAGTGACGCTCTGAGGCGGCGACGTAGCACCCATCCGTCTAGGGAATGAGGTAGCATCGGGACTTGGAGCATCCTCGCGCTGTTTAAGAGGGCTTCCTTGACGAGATTCATGAATTGATGGCTCCGGTTGTTCCATAGGCACGGGTTCGTGGCTCTCCTCTTGTTCCGGGATTCCTGCCATGGACCGATTCGCACCAGACTGACTGGACTTGGTATCCAGAATCGTAGGGTCTAGGAGAGAGGCTACTGCCGATTCGACTGCCGCCGGATGCATAAATTGAGGGTTGCTGCCACGGCCTTCAGCGACAGGTCGGCCTTCATCCACTTTGTCATGGTAGTCGATCTCGCTGTCGGTGTACCCGGTCATCCGTTTACCCACAGTGCTCTGAGTCTCCGTCTCTGCCAGTGAGTTTTGGTCATCATCTTCGTCATCTTCGGATTCTGTCTCCCAGTGTCTTCCATCTCGTGGGGATGGCCGGGGGGTCTCCTCGTAACCGAGCTCGGGGCCGGGTTCCTGCTGGCGGCGTAGAGACTCCGTCTGGCTTGTGATACTAAGGCCTTCTGGACGGGTTGATCTTGCCAAGTTCGTGCTGGGCGCAGACGAAAGAGAGTCAATCGAGAGGCGCGGCTCCAATTCTCGTTCATCTTCGGAATGATCGTACCTATCATAATGAGTCAAGTCCTGCTTGACCGGAGACTGGCTCTGAATGCTGGCCACACTTTGTATCGGACTGAGTGTGCGCCGACGGCTTGTCAGATCACTGTAATCGAGATCATGGTTCTCGGAGTGGGTATCGAGCAGGTTGGCTGCGGCAGCTGCTGCGATAGCGGCATCCCCAACGGGCGAGCGACTCGCGGGGCTGTGGATCGACAAGTCGTGGCTGGACAGGTTGCTGTGCTTGAGCTTCAGCTCGTATCGCGTGTCCAGAGGGGTGCGATTCGGAGTCCGGGTTCCGGGAGACAGCGGCTGAATTGGGGAGTCGCGATATACTTCCTGGAACCTGGCGTCACTGTATGGGGACCCGTACCGAGCTGTTGGTTCTGCGGTCTGCTCGGAGAGAAGAGAAGCTCTCGTCAGGTCTGATTCAATCGCACTGCGTAGCGGCATAGGGGCAACATTGTGCTTCTGGAAGACTAGTTCGGTCTCGTTAATACTTCCAGGGTTTCGGGGCCCACTACTTCTCCTTCTCCCCTCGCTCTTGCCGAGGCTTGATCGTGAATCGTGGTGCTGGAGGGCTGCGGCGGTCAGGGCCGTCCCAACGAGCGCAGCCTTTTCCGCTGATCGCAGTCCTTTGCTTTTTTGTCGTCGCAACTTTTCTTGCTCCGTCAACTCGGGCCGATTGGCCCATTTGATGTATCCGAGATCTTGGATTCTCTCGTGGCTTCTCTCGCTATCCTTACTGGATCTGCGCTCCTTCTGGGAGGGAACTGAGTCGCCAGAAAGGATTATGCCTTCATCGCGACTATCTTTGTTAAGAACGACTTTGGGCTTTCGGACGTCGGGGGCACTGGCATGTTTGGAGAGTCGCCTTCCCAGCTCATCCCGAGATGGCGTGCTGGCGGAGGAGTGTGAGGCGTTCATGTCGCGGTCAAATTTGGACGTGTTGGAGATGACCTTCTGATCCTTCTTAAGTTCTTTCAGCTCCGGTAAGATCAGTCTCCGGATTGCGTCTTCAACGGTTTCAAGTAGCTTTGGATTGTTAATCGAGGACTTCGACGTGCCGGATTTAAACGAGTACTGGTCCCCGGACCGTCGATGAGAGGACACAGCCGAGGCACTGAGAAGGCTGGACTCCGGGCTCATCATATCGTCGGTTATCCGACGTCGAGGAGACTTTGAATCCATATCTTGGAGGTGATCGCTATCTTCGAATCTACTTCTCTCGGCGCGCCGGCGTTGCCTGGAGACGTCACGAGGATCGTTGCTGAGCTTCTCTGCAACTCGATGAGCGATTCGTTCGGTGCTCAGACTGCGACTGCGTTGTCGTCGTGGGGTTTTGAGGTATTCTTTAGACTCCCTTGATAGACTCTGGCTGCGTTTTCGACGAGGACCGGATGATGGGGCGTCTAGCATGCTATCCGCGGGCATCGAGGAGATATCCGAGGTTGGGTGGAAGTACCTCGTGTCGCGAGACAGGGCGGAGAGCTCACTGCCTTGGTCGCGATTCATCAGTTCGATTTCTAGGGGCAAATGGCCAGGAGGCTGGTTCTCGTCGGTGGCGGAGTTGGAAGAGCTGATGCTATGGTCATCGGCACCCGACTCACCCAGCGCCTTGTGCTTGTGGGGCGCGCTGAGGGAGATGCGGCGGGAATAGACCGGTTTCCGGTTCCCACTCGATTCGGTAATCTGGATGTGATCCTTGTCTTTAAGCTTCCGAGAGGAGGAAGGGGTGACTCGGACGCGGACGCTGGGCCGGGAAGTTAGGGATCCAGAACCCTTCCCGCCCTCGAAATACTCGATGAGCAGGGAGGTCTGGGAGTGCTGCGATGAGCGGGACAGTTTGGAGTCGTCCCCGCGGGATCGGTGTTTCCGGCGAGTGGGGATGGTGACGGGGCTCCCGTCGTCAGGAATGGAGTAAGAGGTCCTGTCTGTGCGGCGAGATATGTCAGTTGCCAGATCAGTGCCTGTGATGCTGCCGTTGGTATCGACAATGGATTCAGTGGGGGCAGGCAAGATCGGTCTGCGGGTGTCGACGCCCATGATGGAGGAAAAGAGCGAAGGTTCTTTTCTTTTCAGCCAGACAAGACCATACTCTGCTTTGGGAGGGGGGAGGGGAAATTCTTGGTCTCTGTGTTTCTTTCTTTTTTTCTTCTTTTTCTTGTTTCTTTTTATTTCCTGTTTTAGGAACTTGCAAGATTTCAGGGGCAGGAAGCGTGCAGGGGGGGTACGGTAAGTGGAAGGATTAAGGCTGGTACTGGGTCCGACTGCTAACAGATTGGAGTGTCACTACAGATCGGACCGATCGATATGCAGCTCGGATGAGGAGAAGGAATCAGACGGGTGGATGGGTTGGGCAGGAGATGATGTGAATGGGGAGAAGGATGGCGATCAGAGCAGGTGGGGACGCAGAGGGCAGCTGTGAGGGAGGCTGCAATATCACAAAAAGCAAAGAGGAGAAGCGTACCAGCGCTGGGGGGTTGGGAGGAATATGCAGCAACAGCAGGATTAACAGTGGAGGAGGTAGAGGAGGAGAGGAACGCAAAATGGCAGTAGTAGAAGGTGGTCAGGAAGATAGAGGGAAAGAGACGACGAGGGGCGTAGGTGAATTGAGGAAGCTCCCTCACTTGCGATAAGCCAACAATCGGTGTGGATAATCAATCAATCAATCAGTAGTCGGTGGTGGCCATGTGCATTCACCGCAAGAGTCGCCCGTGCATTGGGTGGATTGGATGGAACTCCGGGCTGGGCTGGGGAAATGAGTCGGTTGCAGGGCACACCCAACCCAGGTGAAAAACTCGAACCAGAGGAGTGAAGAGAGGGAAGAAAAAAAAAGAAAATGAGGAGAAGGCAATACTGGATGGGTGGAAACGGTGAAGGGGAAAAAAAGAGAAGGCTGGCAGAGTATAATAATAATAATAATAATGGCGGTTTAGTTAGTTAGTGGCCGGCTAGACAAGAAAATGTCGCTGGAACTTAAGTAAGGTACGGCCTGGATGAGCTGGCAACCCAACTGATCGGACTGAACGGACTGAAGATGCTGCTGAGCTTCTGCCCTCCAGCCTCGCGATTATCCCGCTTCCTGGGCTCTTATAGTCGCCTCGCAGTCTGAAGAGGTCTTTTCACTTCACTTTGGGTTCCATTGCTATCGGCAACGTCGGTTGGGTTCAATAGAAGTGGACTGCTTCCTACGTGTGTATCCCTCGGGGTCCATCCATCCTCATCCACCAGATGAGATCCACGCATGGTGACCGAGCAACTGCACTCCGACCCTCTCCCACTGCTGAGAGGATATAAATACTGGCGAGCCGTCAGCCTTGCCTCATCCCCGGTGTCGCCTTCTTCCCGATTATGCTTCTTCAAGAACAACCTAAACCCTCATCCACTCCCGTTTTGTCCCAGACCACCAAAATGTAAGGAGCCATCGGGGAGATAATATTTTTTTTTTATTCATATATCCACCCATTTCCACTGGACGGGCGGGCTATTGCCTTCGTAGTGCGACCCGAGATGTGATCTGTATCCTGTCTGTCTGCCAGTCCCAGACTTGGGTGGTCCTATTACCATCGTACAGGTGTGTGAGAGCGTTTTTGCCTCCTGAGACTCATGGTGATGAAACCTGACGGTGAAAAAACCTGGATCGTGATGCTCCGGAATTGGCTGCCATTTATACAGCATGAAACACGAGCCCTGCCAGCAGTGTCCAGAGCCCCCCGATGTGACTCGTCATGTAGAGCCACGATCTTCTGCTGTACCTGGGACCGGACAATCCGAAGACCACTGCGGAGTAGGCTACTCACGGACAGCATCAACATCCGAACAACATGACTAGTGTAGGTACGGTAGGAAAGTCCGACCAAAGTCATCGCAGGGGTGGAGCCCTCCCCCTCCCTCCATCCCTCCCTCCGACCCGCCTCATGGCAAAGAAGAAAGAAGAGTCACCTCAAGGCCCGGGCGGTCTCCCAGACGACCGACTCTCCATCAACCATTGGCGGTTAAGGCTGCCAACTCATCACATCCATCGGCCCTGTCTTTACCCCGCTGATTGGTGGCCTTTACGCCCATTGCAACGATCATCACACTGTAGGACAGGTGACGGTCAGGATCAGTGCTGCTTACTGCCACTTGCAACGTTGGATGCAGCAGGGTTCCGTACTTTTGCCGGGATGGTGGCACAGGATATCCCGTCCGATGAAAAGTTCGACGGCGGATCCCGTTCCGTCCCTTCTTCCCTTTCATGAGTTTCCCAGCCACCATGATCACTGATCACTACCCAAGACCCAGCCACCCATCCTGTTGATTCGCATAACTCCAAGGATCTTCCATGTTTGCCGGTCATCCAGATGCCACTCACCTTCCAGGAGGGTCTGTTACCATCCGTCAGCAAAGTCAATTCTGTGTGATGGGATTCGTTAGAACAGACAGAACCAGTACTATCAATGCATGATGAGTGGCAAGCTGGAAGGAGATATCTATCTACCTACTACTAGTAGTTACCCATCGGTCGATGCCGTCCTTTCCACCACACAGGCAGCCACCATCCCGATATACTACCTCAGGAATCCAACCTAACATCGCATTAAACTTTCTTTAATTTCCCGGATAGCATTCCTCGATTAGTCGCATTCTTCGCAAAATCTTATTTATCTTCCGAATCCCGATGGACAGACTAGTATCTACCACACATACCTACCTGACCTACCTTACTATGTATAGATAGTTCCACCCTGTATCAATGACACCACAGTACTTCGTGCTCCGTAGATAAGATCACCTATCACAATTCACAACCCCAGTCTAGATAGTACTATCTATTCATAGGCCAACCGAACAGCTAGCCCGATTCATTTCGTACCGGCTACCGTACATGAATGACATGCATTGCAGCTATCGATGGCTGTGAGCCCTTCTGGCTGCCAAGGATGTGCTTATTCAATCCAATCGGGGAGGTAGCTAGTTTTATTATGAATTATTGGGATTTGGGAGGTAGTGTGGAATGGATGCCAATAGCTAAGGTGCTCGGTCAATTGGATCCTGCTGTTCATATGCTTTACTATCTGTGAGGGGTAATGTAAAAAACTCCATTCGTATGATAGGAAGGCTAGGTATAGTCAAGGAAGCAGAATCGGGGGCCCTCTTCGCAGACTGATTCGCACTCCTGACCTGCCTTTGTGTATCCTCCCCTGCTGAAGTGGCCTTCGTTTTGTCCCACTTAGCAAGCTTGGGCTGGTCAGGCCACTTCTAGCCAGATCGGTTCTAGATGTGGATTCTTTTAAAATGGCAAACTGACTGGTCTACAACGGGTACAAAACAGACCTTAACGCTGAAGCAATGCTTTTAAAGATATCTATCAAACACAATTGAAATAACTATATGTAGACAAGTCCAGATATCCACAGGGTAAACTCCGAAACTAAATGCCAAGTCTCAACAAATCACGACACACCTGCTTTTAGCTAATTCAGTCATCATCATGCTTCCGCTTGAACTTCAGTCCCTTGGGCTGGCTGCCGTAGGTCCGTCGTCCTTGTTGCTGCTGCTTCTTGTCCCGGCTCAAGCTGGATCCCAGCTGGATGTCAATGCGCGGCGGCGTCGAGAACCCGAATCCCTTGGCAATCTTAACCAGGTCAAGCTTGTGCACATCGAAGACAGACCGGAGGGAGTGGGAGGCATATGCCTGGAGGTAGGCGCGGTAACCTTCCTTGGCGGACTGGAGGTGTTGAGTCAGTACGGGAACACAATTATACACGGTACTAGGTAGTACACAACTCACCTTGTTCAGATAGTAGTTCTGACCAATCAACTTCTCGAGCTGAGACTGAACGTTGACGATCTTGTTGGCCGGGAAATCGAATTCCACAACGGGAACACGAGCCTCCTTCAGATGCTTCAAGAAACCAACCTCGGAGGGCTGCAAGAACATCAAACTGCGTCCCTTTCCGTTGACACCACGAGCCGTACGACCGACACGGTGGACGTAATCTCTGGTGTCATCCGGGGGGTCAAACTGGATAATCCAGTCCACAGCCGGAATCTGGTTACTGTTAGATAACACTCCGAGAACCATTAGGCTGGTAGGGAACTTACATCCAAACCTCTGGCAGCGACATCAGTGCAGATCAAAGTTCCTTGCTTAGCATTGCAGAACTCGAAGAATGTGTTGGTCCGCTTCTGCTGCTTCTGCTTTCCGTGGAGTTCGAGCACCGGTAGGTCGATGTAGTTGAGCAACTCCGCATGGTACTTCACGCAGTTACAGCTGGAGAAGAAAACAATGATCTTCTTCTTAATGTTGCGCTTGAGGAACGAGAAAAGGAGCAAGAAACGCTTATCAGCTTCACAGATGACGTAACCCTGTTCCAGACCCTCGACCGTGCTGTGCTCTTTCCGGTGGTCGACGTTGATGTACAGAGGGCCAGGGCGCAGGGATATCCGTGCCAAATCTTCGACTTTCGTGGTCTGGGTGGCAGAGAACAGCATGGTCTGTCTCTCCTCGGAAGGCAGGATCTTGACAATCTGACGCATTTCGTCCTCGAAACCGACTTCCAGAATACGGTCCGCCTCATCTGCACCGGCGTTAGAAAACATTGTCCTGTTGTACGCGTAATCAGGTCGTACTTACCAATAACAAGTGTCTTCAGGTTCTTGAACACAAAGCCAGGAGTGTTCTGCAGATGATCGAGCAACCGTCCGGGAGTAGCAATGAGCAGGTTGACACCCTTGGTGAGCTTCTCTGCCTCCGCACGTCGGTTCGCACCTCCGATGACGATACCATATGTTTGCGAGTGGTGTGCCATCAACTCTCTAGCAACACCGAAAATCTGGAGCGCCAATTCTCTGGTAGGAGAAACCACAAGGACACCAGTACCTAAGTAGAAGAGTCAGCACATCATCGATCGGACGAGCGCCCAGTAAAAGGATTATAAACCCACCGTTGCGAGGCTTAAAACGCAATGCGCTCAGCATCTCCACAGCAGGAATCAAGAAAGACAAAGTCTTTCCGGAACCCGTCTTTGCGGCACCAAGGACATCACGACCAGCAAGTA